TTTCCCACTTGAACTTTTTCACATTTAAGCCTCATCACACGTCGTACTTTTCCTCTCCACACATCATTTGCATTCTACACTTTTAGCCGTTACATTTTTCTTCTCTCGTTTTCCTCTCTCGTCTTTCCACTTTTGTGTTAAATGCTTAATCCATTTTCACGTCCAAGGAATGCATTAATTGAACACGTCACCATAAACTTCAGCGTTCTTGCCATTTATGTTGTCCCCAACCATCACACTATATGCATCGCCTTGTAGGCATGAAAACCGACACATATACATTTGTTCATGCTAACGTATCGTTTGATTGTTATTTTTTTTATCATTCGTTCATCATTTTTTTTATCATTCGTCTATCATTTTTTATGGCGTCTTTGCAATAGCACAGTCTCGTAGTTTTTTCCTCCCCCTCCCCACTTCTACATCCATCATCTCCTCTTTTTTGTTGAATTTCTTCCCTATCGTATGTGTGATTCTATCATAGGGAACCTTTGCACTAATGAAGCCATAAGTGTAGGTTTTTTTTTTTTTTTCTTTTTTTTTCGATTTCCTATAAATTGCGTAACAAACTTATTAATGATTGTGTGAGCACATTGTTGCCAAAAAAAAAAAAAAAAAAAAAAAAAAAAAAAAGGAATTTCTGCTTATGCACAACGTTTATCTAACAACACGTATTAACACAAAATTGTACGCACGGTACATTCCCATTACATGTTATCACAATTTTTTTATTTTTTATAATTTAAACAAGGTAGAACTATTCAATATGGGCATCATAAGCAAACACGACTATGTTCCACACACTTAGATATATATATATATATTTTTATATTATATATATTTTTTTTTTTTTTTTGCATGTACATAATGAATGAACTGTTTCTTCTTAGTAGTTTGATAGAGAAGTAATATTATACATAGGTTTAAACAAAAAAATCCATAGAGATGAGATGTAAAAACAACAATACTTACGCGCATACTCGTATAAGTGTGCATGTTCTAGAAGAACATACATCACCACATTCTTCCGTGAAGATAAAAGCACATAGATGAACGCTCCTACCTCCACATACACCATTCATTACATTCATATTGGAAAAAATAAAATAAAAAAATACACATACAAATGAAGACATATATATCAGCTTTATATGTGTCTATTTATACGTGTCAACTTAGGGGTACCTATTTGTATGTACCCATTTATGTATATACAAACATCTGCTTGCATTGCATTATTTTGATTTACTTTGTTGTAGTACTTCGCTTTACTTTGTTGTAGTACTTCGCTTTACTTTGTTGTAGCACTTCGCTTTACTTTGTTGTAGCACTTCGCTTTACTTTGTTGCATTGTTTTGCTGTTTCATTTTATTTTATTTATTTCCGTCTTTTTCCCCACCCTCATTATTCATTTTAAAAAAGGAAGAAAAAAAACATAAACGCGAATTTTCTTCACGTGAGCTTGTTTACCACTTCTTCATTTCTGTTGGTTTGTTCGATTTTTTTTTTTTTTTTTTTTTTTTTTTTTTTTTTTTTCCCCAACCAAAAAATTTTAAAATTAAAAAAAAAAAACCAAAAAAAAAAAAAAAAAAAAAAAAAAAAAAAAAAAAAAAAAAAAAAAAAAAAAAAAAAAAAAAAAAAAATAAAAAAAAAAAAAAAAAAAAAAAAAAAAAAAAAATGAAAACAAGTATTTTTATCCTTTTCACGTAAAAAAGGTTTCACTTAAGTATACATGCGTGCACACACACACGAGCATGCACATACGCACACAGAAAAAAAAAAAAAAAAGGGAAAAAAAGGAAGAAAGAGTATTTTCTATTTTAAAATATCTTATAAGAAACTTTAAAATTTTTTTTTTCCTTTTTTTTTTTTTTTTTTTTTTTTTTTTTTTTTATTTTTTTTTTTTTTTTTTTTTTTTTTTTTATTTTACTTCCACTCTTAACAAATTTTAATTTTTAATTAATTTTTTTATGTGAAAAAAAAAAAAAAATTTTTTTTTTTTTTTTTTTTTTTTTTTTTTTTTGTTTTTTTTTTATTTTTTTTTTTTTTTTTTTTTTTTTTTTTTTTTTTTTTTTTTTTTTTTTTTTTTTTTTTTTTTTTTTTTTTTTTTTTTTTTTTTTTTTTTTTTTTTTTTTTCCCCATCCGCAAAATTTTGAAATTATATAGAACACACCGCACGAAGCAAGAAAAAAAAAAAAAAAAAAAGTATTAATAAAATAAATAATAAAATAAAAAAAATTAAAAAAATAAAAATAATAAAAATAATAAAAAAAATAAAAATAATAAAAAAAATAAAAAAATAGATAAAAACATATGTACAAAAACATATATGTATATAAATATAGAATAAAAAAGAACTATCAAATGTCTGTCTTATAAAGTGGGCCTTTTGTAATTTTTCATTTCATTGATAATTTTAGGGCAAGTGATAATTGGATCGAATTGAATTAAATTTTGAGGCTTCCCTTTCGCAAAGTTCACACGCGTTCTCACTGCTTAATACACTACATATGAACATAAAATGACATACCAAATGTTCACAAGAGCATATGGGGATGTTTGACCCCTGTGCATGTCTTTGTACATGCATGTATGTATTTACCAATTTATATGTTTATCTGTTTATCCGTTTATCTTTTTATCTATTTATCTTTTTACTCTTTTATTGTTTCATATATTTATCTATCCACCCATTTGCAAATGCTCGAATGAACGTATGTACGTATACATGCAAATTAGGATATATCTTCACACCACTGCCACCACAAGAGGAACAACATCTCTCTCTGTTTTTCTCCATCTCGCTTTTATTACTTATTAAATAACCTTCATCAGAAACATTATATCACCATTTCTTAGAAAATTTATTGCAATCCAAGTTGCAGCTGAAGTTGCAATTTTTTTTTTTTTTTTTTTTATTTTACTTCCACCAAAAAGAGAATACCAAATGACTACACCTTATCCAAGTAGTACCGTAGTATCTGCAAGGTGGTAATAACAAAAGGCAAATGGAATGAACAAGACTAAAAGTAGAAATAGAAAAACTGGGAAAAGATAAAAGTAAAATAATTAATAATAACTAATAATAACTAATAATAACTAATAATAATTAATAATAATTTCCCTGAATGCACCCCGTGTTATGCCAAAGACTAATTACAACTAGTTGCGACATAAGAGAAAAGAAAAATAATGAAATATCCTTTTTTTTTTTTTTTTTTTTATTTTTTTAGCTTTTTTTTTTTTATTGCTCCCTTTTTTTTTTTTTTTTTTTGCAACATACCTGATAACTGTTACCACCCCCCAAAAAAAAAAAAAAAACTGAACTGTACAAAGCTTGCAGTTGTTTGTTCAGTTGTGTGCAAAACCACGCCGTTTCGCATGCATATTTATGTATAGATCTATTCTATTTACTATTTTGAATATCTCGTATTTCTAAGAATAGTCTCATCAAGAAAAAGTATAAACAAGAGATCGTTTTTTTTTTTTTTTTTTTTTTTTATCATTTTCCGTTCACGATTAACACAGTTGTGCAAGTTGCATTCTTATCGATCTGTGTTATATATTCCACTCAACATTTTTTTTTTTTGCTCAGATTTTTCCATCATCAACATAGGCAATTTTTTTTCTTTTTTTTTGTACTTTACTGTAACTATATTAGTGTGCATAACATTATACGAAATTATTTTCTTTAATGCATGTATATGTGTCCATACGTGCATATATATATATATATATATATATATATATATGTGTGTGTGTGTGTGTGTGTATATATAACCGTGTAGCATTACCCCCCCCCCCCGTCCACTTCATATAGCAGGCGCAGAACTGCCACTTTTAGCACGTCCACGAGAAACAACAATTTTTAAACAAATCACCCACAGGACTATGTTTATTTTATTTTTTATTTTTTATTTTTTCATATGCTCAGTGTCTTGCAGTATCCCAAAAAAAATTAACATTCGCCAATGATGTAGAATTTTTCTCTCTTGCCCTTTTAACCGTAGTATGCTTTTGACCTCCATCACTTCATCTGTACATTCTCCCGTTCGTCCATTTATCCGTCCATTCATTTGCCCTTCCGTTCATCCATTTGTCCCCCTGTTCACCTGCTGCACTGCATAAATTAATGTGCACAGAGCAGTATATACCGAGAATTAATCAAATAAGGTTTTTTTTCTTTTTTTTTCTTTTTTTTTCTTTTTTTTTCTTTTTTTTCTTATCCATTTTGAATACATTTTTGAAAAAGACGACATATCCAATAAATCCCGTCATGCTGCTCTTGATAGAGAGATGCTTATGAATAAGTATACCATCACATCAGTTCATAAATGAGGCAGTATTCATTTAAATTCATTAATTATGAATATGATGAATGGGAATATTATATGACTACCACGTGTCTACATTGCAAGGGAAAAGAAAAGACAAGACTGATGAACTATGCAACATTGTTATTATCTCTTGTTTTGAAACTTGGAGTAATTTTTTTTCCTTTTTTAATTCAAATACAAATGTTGCACTGATCAACAGTTGCTTCTTTCCTTTTGAACCGTTGTGTATTTCTTTTTCACAGCATATGATGTGTGCTTCTTCTTCCGATATCGAATACACAGTCCACGATTTTTATTTGATACACTTAGTGTAATTGACACGGTTAGTGCAATGCAATTTATGCAATTTGTGGAATTTGTTGAATTTGTGCAATATATGCAATTTTTTCAATTTTCCTAAGTTACATACAGTGAACCATGTACACACAACAAACCATGTACAAACAGCAAACCATGTACAAACAGCTCACAGATCCCTTAGAGAGAAACGCAGTTACGACCCTTATCATATTTTGTAATAAATACATGCACACTTCATTTTGAAAGAAAATCCATACCATTCCTATCACCATCACATCACAAGACGCACACGAAGCGCAGATATATGGACCAACAAACCAATCGCAGAAAAATAGCCAACTCCCTAAGATGCAAAAGAGAGAAATGGATTATCAATGCCATATAAGAAATGAAGAATTTAATAATATAAATAAAAGAATTAAAGATAAGTTTATGTTTGTGTATTTAATTGCTGTAGGGGGGTTTTCGTGCGTCTATAAAATTAAAAAGAAAGAGACAGGAAAAGGCAAACAAATCTCCAAACTAAACGGCAAACAAAAAGGCAAAGAAAAATATTACGCGCTGAAAAATGTTAAATTTTCAGCAAATGTGTTCAACTATGAGAAGAAAATTCTGCTTAACTTGAGAGAAGTGGAATGTTTAAATAAACTCAAAAATCACCCAAACATTGTAAGCATACATGAGTGCTGGCTCGAAGTGAGTGAGTGCTTTCCCCACCACAGGAAGGAAAAGAAGAACCTATTCATTTCCTTGTGTGCCGATAAGGATGTGGATGGGCAAAGTGATGAGCCGAATGAATTTCATAAAATAAGTGCAGTTTGCCAAACTTGTCAGACCCTCACATCACCGACACTCCACGACACAAATGTGGGACAGCCTTCTTCGCCCTCTCCGAAGCCCTACATTTTTCCAAGAGGAAGAAGAGAAAAGAAAAAAAAAAAAAACTACACCTGCAGCTACAATGTGAAGGGAACTAGCCAAAATGAGGAAATTGTGAAAAAAAAAAAAAAAAAAAAAATTGTGTGCAAAAATGGCCCAACTGGAAAAAATTTATATGAACAGTCAGAAAAAAAATACAAATGTGCAGGCTTAACTAGCGATTTCTTCGATCTGTATTACAATGAATTATATTTAATTAAAAAAAAAAAAAAAAAGAAATACAACTCTAGCAGGAGGAAAATTTTTCCAAAATTATGCACACACCTTTGGGGCAACGAAAATATATACGAAAAAAATATAAAAATTTTCGAGTCATCCGCTAACTCTGTTTTAAGCAATGAAAACTGTTGTAATGATAATACATTAAAGATTAAGACAATTCTGAATAAAAATTTGTCCCCTTTTGAGAGTATATCTAAGAAATTAGCATTTTACAAGAGTAGTGTTAGGAAAAAACGAATACCCCCTGATGATGTGAGTAGAGGGAAAAAATCGAACTCACATAGGACAAGAACAAAGGTAGGTACTTCCGCCGAGTCTACATATGTAGAAAAATACCAAGATGATGTGAAAATACATAGGAAGGAAACACTAGAAAGCATTTTAGAAAATGTTCGAAATAACGTTTCTGTAGGAGACAAGGTACAATGGTGCGAAGGAGAAGAACTTTTAGGATTCCCTCTTTGCATAAGACAAGCAGATCAGAAAGCAAAAAATGGCTTAAAACACAAATGTCGAGTTAGAGAGAACGAATCGAACACCTTACCCTTTGAGCGAAAGGGAATAATGGAAAAAGGGTTGCACAGAACTATGGGAAGCATAATGGCGAACAAAGAAAAGGATGAAAAGAAAAATATCACATTTGTCACAAAAAGTTGTTATACACATATTTGCAAAAATGGACAGAATTCATCATACATGGACAGTACGTACAAGATAATAAAAATTAAAAACGCTAGAGACATAGTGGAACATTTATTTTTAAAATGCCACAAGAGGAATAATGAACACGATTTCGGTTCATATAGTGGATCTATACAGATTGGAAATCATTTTGATATAGAACCATTTCAAAGGGAAGGTTATTTCTACACTTGCATTAAACATTGCTATGTGAAGGTAATGATAAACAATGGAAAAAGGACAGACATAATGAGGATCATCATTCGTGGAAATAACAGTCTCAACCATATAATGTATTTTAACTTAGTGGAAGAGAAAAACTTTATAAGAAATGTTATGAACGAAATAACATTACAAAAAAAAAGAAGAAAAGGAAGAGAATTGTACACTCGAAATAACGGCTATCGCAGTAATAACAGTGATACATATTGTGTAAATACGCATTTTTTGAGAAAGACAAAAACAACAATCTCTCATAAAAGATGTAATACACCAAGATTGAGTCCAGAATTATCATCTCTCCATTTAGGGAAAAAAAAAAAAAAAAAAAAATCAAGTAGACTTTTTTTAAACATAAAAATTTGCAAACTGATTGAGCATGTCTTGAATATTTATAACCCACGAAATGGTTGCTCCTGTGGGAGAAATGAAATGGTGAAAAATGATTTTTTTTTTAAAAATATTCCTTCACTAAAAAGGGTTCTCTCGCTAAAAAGAATTCCTTTACTAATTTTAAAAAATACAGAAGTTGATATAGATAAATTCCCTTACCGCCTTTTAGAAAAAAGAAAAAAAAAATTAACGAATAAAAGCTATCACTACAGGATGATGAAGTTACATGCACTCAGGATGTGCAGCATAAGGAGAAATGTAAAAATGGCGAATTTAAAAATGTTAGATCCAAATATAGGAGGAAACGTGTTCAGAAATATGGAAATTTTACATGAGCAAGTAGGAAGAAATGGTTCCGGAAGAATACTCGAGAATAATACTTGCATGCACATTAGGAAGTGTAACAAGACAAATAAATCATTCATGCAAGATAAGTTGGAACATGAGAATGTTTTAAACAAAAATGTTTTCTGCTTAAAAAACCAACCGGTTGAAGAATCCTCTAAAATGATGAAAACAACATGCTCATGTGAGTTGAAGAATTTATCTGATGGATGGGGGATGAAGAAGAAACTTAGTGTAAATAATATCCATACGGATTCATCGTGGCCCATTCGACTCAGCAAAAGAAGAACAACAATGATGACACAGCATGTGCAATTACAGAAGGAGAAGAAGAAGGAGAAGGAGGAGAAGAAGGAGGAGAAGAAGGAGAAGAAGGAGGAGAAGAAGGAGAAGAAGGAGGAGAAGAAGGAGAAGAAGGAGGAGAAGAAGGAGAAGAAGGAGGAGAAAAAGTTGGTAGACAATGGGAAGGACAATTCTATGAATAAAGCCACAATTTCTAAGGAAGAAAAAACAAATTGGAACCCTTTGGGGAGGGAAATTATCTATAAGATTGGAAGTATAGGAAATGATCGTAGTGTTTCATCTGATGGTACAACATCAAACAGTGCGATAAGAAACATGGGAAAGTCACACCAAAGGGTAGGAAGCATACATCATGAGAAATTCATAAAATTTCATTGCAATGACACATACTTTATTCACGAGCTGAAAATAATCATAAATGATAATACAATGAAAAAAAGGAAATTACCATGCTATAAGATAGACATGTGGTACAATAACTACTATTTTAACAACATATTCAATTATAAGGAAACGCATGAATTGGTTACAAAAAAAAAAAAGGTTTCTGACATTATACTTTGCAATAGAAAGGATCTCAAAAATGAGAAAACATATTTAACGTTAATAAAAAGTACAACGAACTTATCGAATTGTAAAAAAAAAGGATTAAGAACACATGCTGATTTATTTTACACTAATAGAAGAAGAGAATTTAGCAAAATTATTAGAGGAAAGAGAACTATAGTGCAGTATGGTTATGATATAAATGGAAGAATATCAATGCCTTTTGAGAAAAAGAAGACGAAAAATCTGAGTAAGGGTTATTACTACCACAACAAAATGATGGATACCCACATGTTAGAACCATTTTTGGAAAAGAAAGAACATATAAATAGCAAGACAAAGCAGAGAAGAAAAAATGGCAAGAACGAATCTTTCAACAGCAAGGAGAAGATAACGCAGAAGAATTGTCACTCGCATAGGACCTCTTCTAAGGGATACAACAAAATGGAGAACCATAGTGATGAGATGAATGAAGAGATATATAAAAAACAGAGGAAACAATCTCCCAAGTGGAGTAGCAAACATTTCTCCAAATACTTTAAGAGAAAGAGCCCACATCTGTTTACAATTCTTACGAATGGTAATAGGAAGAGCAAGATTGTTGACAGGAAGAACTGCAAACAATTGAAAGGGAATATGCATTACAGAGAGAAAAGCACTGTCACAAAGGATCTCAACAGAAACGGAACAATGGTATTTTCATCATTTCCAAAAATGGAAAATTACATGGGATGTTATAGTGGCAGCGTCAAGGGCATGTGTGATGGTAGCATAATAACCAGTAGAGATCGAGGTTGCGAAGTAAGAAGTGGCGTGAGAAGTGGGAGAAGGGAAGAACCAAGTGGCATCAATTACTGCAACTGGAACTGCTATTATTACGACTGTGCAAGAAAGGTTTTCATTTTTTTACTTGTGGGAAGGAGAAAAGTGACAAATCCTCACACACATTCAGAAGACCAAATGGGTGTTGAAAACAGTGGGAGAGGAGAGAGAAACCTTTTTCTGTACACAAATGTCGACTCATTTGAGAGAAGCATGCGAAGGAGCTGCCCTATATACTCAGATAGTAGTTACAATATGAACGTGAAGAAGAGCAATAGGAAGAGCAGTAGGAAGAGCAGTAGTATGAGCAATAGGAAGAGCAGTAGGAAGAGCAGTAGGATGAGCAGTAGCATGAGCAGTAGGAAGAGCAGTAGGAAGAGCAGTAAGACCGCTAATTTTAGGTCTGTTGGCAGAAGTAGGAAAATATTTCACAGGTATTATTCGCTCTATTTTTGGAAATGGATAAAGGTTTTTATATTTTGGAATGAACAAATGAGGAGGAGGAGAATCCTTAACAAGACGACACTGCAACATATCATTAGTGAGACATATCGAAAAATAACCATATCAACATATTTGCTAAGAATTAGGAGAGCAGAAAATATATATGGAAATGCACATTTTCTAGATTTGTATATTTCTCGTAGCGTTAGAAAGGGAAGAGAAAGAGAATTCATACCTTTTGTAAAAATAACAAGACAAAATTGTTACTACAGTGGCAGAAGTGTAAAAAACAATTATTTTGTAAGGAACAAGGCCTTTTATTACTACATGCTTAGCTGTTTGTGCAAGGTAAAAAACAATTGGTATTTCTCCAGCGATTGTGAATGTAACAATTACAACACTTTGCTAAGAACTGTACGGGTGAAGTTATACCGTTTTGGAATTTACACAGATATTCTTGTCATTTGCACTTTGAAGTTTTTTAGGGGATTTTACGTGTTCAACAAAGCGTTTAAGAGGCATTTCCAGAGGAAGGAATCTCGCACAAAGGGGGGAAGAAGCGAAAATAGATTCAAAAGTAGAGGCGAATGTAGATTCAAAAGTAGATTCGAATGTAGACGCGAGAGTGCATGCAGGATCGAGTGCGGTGGTGTGCACCGGTGCAGGCACGACGACTGCAAACGAAGCGCCCAGTTTTTTCTGTGCTGTGTGAAGTGCTGTAAGATATTCACCTCGAAGTTTTACACTCTCCTTCTGACCAAAGTGAAGAGTCTGCAAGCAGAATTAATGAAGTTACTAAGTACAATGGAGAAAAAATATTTGAACAAGTTAAAACACGATGAAAATAGATATTTTAGGAACTTTTTTAAGCAAAATTTATACTGTTTCATGAGGGATGAAAATTTTTTGAAAAATAAAAAAGATTTGTTAAGTTTGTGCAGAACATTTTACAGTAGAAATGCTAACATTGCTTTGATGGAGGAGCTGAAGAATTTTTCTAATTCAACTATACACGTTTGCAATTACTTCGAAATTGTAGATATAGTTAATGAAGTAGTTACAGGAATAGGAGACACCGAGAGAAAGGGAGATCACTCTCCTTATGCCTTTCTCTCAATTTCTCCACTGGTTGTAAGGAAAGAAAAAAGAACACAATTGGGGTACAGTAGAGGTATACACATTCCAAACAGGATTGTAAGAAGAGGAAGAAGTTGGATTTCGAAGGGATTTGAATCAACTTATTTCTCAAAACAATATAATAATAACATGCATGAAACCAAAATTGAAAGAGGAAATCATATTTTTTTTATTGAAAACATAATTAACTTTCTTAATTGCATCAGTCTCCTGAGAAAGGTACCTTCTGAAGAGAAGAAAACTCTTATAGTTGACGTAACATCTACAGAGGAAGAAATAATAAATAACTGTTTTGTACATAATTTTTGTAATTATTTTATATACTTTTTATATTATGTAACAAAAATAAGATGGAAAAAAATTTACCATGTAGATGCAGCTACTTTGCTACAGTTAGTGAATGTAGACATTGTTAGAAGAACAAGCACGGATATTTCCTTTAGTATTACATCTATAAGCACCTCTATGTTCAGATTCAATTTGTACTTATTGTTTAAGAAGTTCCTTCAGAAGGAATTGCATTTTTATGAAAATCCTTATTCTCAGAGATCAAAGGGAGGAGAAGAGGGGGGGATCATGGAGTACCTAGGCAACAAGAGGAACAAAATTAACCATACGAAGAAAGAAGTAAATTATGATTCTTGTAAAATTATCTTAAAGTTTAGAAGCGTCCTTTACATTTATCACTACAATGCCATCGTTGAATATTCCCGTGCATCTAGAAGCACCATAAGCTTGCTTCTGGAACATTGTCCCTTGGTATTTGAGCACCGTGTCAGGTTCCTTAAAGGTGAAAAAGATACCCAGAACGGTGGTTCAAGAAGTAGAAGCAGAATCGGAAGCAGAATGGGAAACAGAATCGGAAACAGAATCGGAAGTAGAGTCAGAAGCAGAGTCAGAAGCAGAGTCAGAAGCAGAGTCAGAAGCAGAGTCAGAAGTAGTGACACTGGCGTTGGGTTAGATAATAAACCGAGTGGTGGGCACCCCCAAATTTGGAATAAAATTTCGACAGGAAGAATAATTGGCGAAGACCCCATAAGGTTAAACGAAAGCGTTTGTAGAGTAACAAAAAACTATGACCAATTTAAACAGAGTAAATGTAAAAAGAAATGTCTTTTGAAAAAAAAACAGAAAAGATTAGAAGATGCACGCTTTGTACACAGCATTATACAAATACCTACGTGTCGTCTTCTGCATCTAACTGTTGCAAGAATGATCTACAAAAATGGTAGAAATTATATTATCTTAGTTATTTTGAAAAGAGAAAAACATGCCTTTCAATGTGTCCATTTACCGCAAATAAATCGAACATGTCTGCCAATACTGAAAGCATACAATATAGAAAAAAGTAAAAGAAATGACAGAAAAGGAATGGTTACTTGGGAATGCTGTACAAATAGATGCAATGATCATGTGGATACTCTCATGAAGTATTCACATATTGATGTGATGCGTTGTCCAAGAGGTTTTACTTGGAAGAAACTAAGGAGTGTGCTTTTTGCAAAATTTCTCCTTATTCAAATGGAATCCTCCAAATGTATGTGTTCTTGCAGGGGTGGAGAAGTGGGTAGAGAAAGGGGTGGAGAAGTGGGTAAAGAAAGGGGTGAAGAAATAGATGAAGAAAGGGGCGACAAAATGGATGACGTGGTGGATGGCTTGGTCAATGTCCACCCCAAGAAGGGCGGGCCGCATAATGTTGAAAGGAAAAAACGAGAATTCTTAAAGAACAATATGGCATATTTAAAAAAGAGGAAAAATGAAAGAACGAGGAGAGAAGCGTTTCAAAAGTTTTTCGATAACATTGAGTATTCATCAGAAAGTGAGGATTTCAAAATTGTCTTTCAAAGTAGTAGTAATGACAAAGAAAACAAACCTGCGAAGGTAACCAACACGAAGAAGAGAATTAATGAGCAATTAAAAATGGACTGTATGCTGAAGAGTAAGAAGAAGAGGAAACAAAGGAAGGAAGAAAAAAAAAACGTCACAAAATCCAAGTGCCGAATGGGTAAAATATTATTACAAAGAAAAGAAATTAAAAAATGTGTACGAGAAAAAAATTGTAACACTGAGTTTACTATTAGTAAGAGAAACAAAAGTGATTCATGCTTATGTCACTTCTTGAAGTGCCCAAACCAGAAACATAGATACAGCATCATCTACTCAGGGTTTCCGAAGAAATGGATTCATAGTAAAGGTGATATATCATATGATTCGTGTTGTTCATGTGAAGGAGTACGCTGTTACAACACACCAAAGGAATGTAATACAAGGGTTTACAGAGCTAATAACACACACATGGTGATAACAAGCACCCATAATCACAACATGCATGGTTGTGAAGAGAATAAATTAGTAAGACAAGCAAAAGTTTTCAATTACTTCGATAATTTTCACAGGGATTGGGTTCTTGAAAATGAACTAGCGAAATTTTCACGTAATTGGAAGAATGGGCAGCACATTGAGCGTCATAATGGGCAGCACTGTAGGCACGTCTGGCACCAGAGCCCACATTTTTGTTTCAAAGGAAAATCTTTCCATTTAGAAGAAATAAGAAGAAGACATCTGGGTGATGCATTAGAGCCCATCAACAGACAACAACTTTCAACGCAGTTACAAAGTCTTTACACAGTTAGAGTAAATAACAAAGCATGTCGATGTTGCACAGGAAGAAGGCATCATAACATTTGTTGTGACAACAAATGTGCAAATGAGAAAGAACTACATCATGCGAACATGTACAATTTGTCTGCATCTTTGGAGGAGGAGCAGGATAAATGGATAAAAATTAGCCTGAACAGTTCATGCGATTCAACATATAATGCAGAAAATACAGAAAGGAATTGTACTAGTGTGGATTATCACCTTTCATGTGTAGACAATAGTATGCCAAGAAGCCGCAATCCTGAATTGGACTCTTTAGATAATCCAAATTCGGAGAGGAGAGAATATCAAATGAGTCATCAGAACACGCACTTTTACGATGATTCCATAAGAGATCGCATAAGAAGAAAAGGAGTGAAAGAAAAAAATAAAAAGAGAATGAAGGATGAAATGATTATTGCAGATCGACACGTATCAGTGGTAGAAAGAGAGAATTTGTCCTTTCCTAACAAAAGCAGGAACCTTGTCAAATTTTTAAAAAAAAGAAAAATAATTAAAAAAGTATGCGAAGTAAAAAAGACAGGTTCAGATTCTAGGTTGGCACGCGGGGATTATATACACAAAGCAGATGTAACAAAATGGATACCATTAAGCATGAGTGGCTTGGATGAAGAGGAGTTCTACGACATCGAAGAGACGTACTTCCACCGTGGAAGAATAACACACGTGAAGAGGATGCAAGAAATGAAAAGAAAAAACCAAACGACCACTCCGGTGCAAATTCGAAGGGGTGGAGAAACACAGAAGAGAACTAAGCGAATTTACAAAATGGAGGAAGACAAAACAGGAGAGTACAAAACGGGAGAGGACCAAACAGGAGAGGACAAAACGGGAGAGGACCAAACAGGAGAAGACAAATCATGGTTGCATAAAATCGTCTACCAGAAGACGCTGGATGTAGGTTCATACGTGGAGGACACAGATAGTGAAAATTCATGTAGTGAGGGAGAGGTGGTAGAAGAAGCGAGGAAAGAAAGATCACATACTATGCAGTTCCATGAAAGGGAAAAAGGAAGAAAAAATAAAGAATATTCAAAAAATAACATTCATAAAAATGATTTTGTGAAAAATATTTCGGCACGTATAGGAAGAATGGAATTTTTAAAAAATTTAATAAATACATTCACAATTTTTTATGAGGGACTTAAAATGTGTAAAATGAATGGATTATTATTTCATTGCAAGTTTGTAACATGTGAAATGGTGCATTCCTCATTCCCTTTTCCCGTTTTGCGCGGAGAGACTTATTTGAAGTATTCTTCTTTCAAAAATGGAACATTTGCGCGATCTAATCATTGTAGAAAATTTTTAATAAAGAATGAATATGGTACAGGTGAGACGGAGTATAACTTTTTTTTGGACAGTTTTATGAACGATAAGTTTGGATCCGATGGTTATGAAACTATTGTTATCATGAATAACTTGAATTATGAGAGAAAAGTAAATCGTTCTTATAATGACAGATTTGAAGACAAAAGTTGGAACACATCACTGTCACCATCACCTCTTTGGAGATATAACTATCGTTACAACAACACGTATGGTAGATGCAGAATCTGTGATGAGATAAATACAGTAGAAATCATGATCCCGTATGTGATGTATGATAAAAGTAAAATCATTGCTAAGAATCAACATACATTAAAAAAAATAATTTGCAAAAAAAGCAAGACTCATATGGAAAAGACAAGAATGAGGAATCGAATGCAACATAGATCTGACATGAATAAAAAAACACATGCACCATTTCTATCTAAATGTGCAGCAGACACTTTACTCAAGGGAGGACTAGGACGTGGACGTCATAATCGAAAGGAACAGCATCACACTAAATTTTGGATTTACAAAATGATGGGGAAGACAAAAAGTAGTAGTACCTCCATCATGTTATGCAGAAAAGGCTATTATCAATGGGTGAAGAAGGGTGGTGTCCCATTAAATATATCAAGTTATACATATCATTATTTGCATTCCTGGTATTTCTTGAAAAGATACATTTATTATTTGAAAAGCAGATCTTTTACATGCAATCGCCCATCCATCATATATTGGAATTCTACAAGGAATTGCTCGGTTCGCTCATTAAGAATCTTTTTCTCTCGTGCTGTTATTCATCACCATGTGGGTCCGAATTATTTCACTGCAATGGAATATGATGATAGTGAAGAAGAAAGGGGGAGGGATATTGGAACAGTAACAAAAGTTGCCCTCACTTCAAATCATCATAAGCATGTTATTAGTGATGATCGATGCATGATGAATGGTGATTTATCGAATGAGACACAATTTGAAGAACTGTTTAACCAGCAACATTTGATTGAATGTAATTTAAATCCATTTGATAGGAAGATAAGAAATATATTACATAAAGTGAAAAGGAAGAATACTACTTGTAGAAGGGAAGTTAATCAGGAGAGACAAAGACATACCCAAGAGAAAAAATTCAAAAATTTTGGGAAAAATCAAAATGTTGGAGAGTTTTGTATAAAAATAAATAAAAAAGAGAGAAAGAAATGTACTATGAAGGGGAGGGAAAAGGAGAGAAAGAAATGCACTATGAAGGGGAGGGAAAAGGAGAGAAAGAAATGTACGATGAAGGGGAGGAAAAAATACAAATTCAATTTATACATAAGAATGGAATATTGTAACAAAACCCTGGAAAATTACATAAGCAAAAGATCGTACATAAATTTTAATAGAAATAAAGAAATTATACATATGATTATTATAGGATTACATTACATTCATAAGAACAATATCATGCATCGAGATTTGAAGCCATCGAATATATTCATATGTGATAATAACATTGTAAAAATTGGTGATTTTGGATTGGCATCTTATGATAGTTTCGAAGGGAATCGCAAGTGGGATATTCATTCACCAGACAGTTTAGATCCTAAAGATCCTGTCGATGTGAAGGTACATGTGAGAGGAAGCCAAATGAATGAACCAATAATTTATGAGCAGAAATCGAGAAAAGCTATGAAACCATGTGATAATCAAAATATCTCAAAAGTGAAAGAAGACGTTCAAAAAACTGGTTCTTTTTCTGAGGACAAAAAGGTAGATACACACTGTGAGTCAAATTTTTACACTACTAGAGAAATAGACATGAAAGATGTAGCACGAAATTGGGTAAAAATTTCCAAACCTAAAGAGGCAAAAGTAAGGAAGAAAGATAATTTTATATTCACAAGATTAGAAACAAAAAGAAAAATGTACGACGAATATATAGATGTACAAGTACAAGAAGCTGAGGCGAAGAAGATAAATATCTTCCTGAAAGGTGAATCCAGTAGCGATACTGTGTTGCCACCACACACGGAGATCCCTACTCAGAAGTGCAATTTGCCAAACAAAGTAGAGAATAGAATATTGTGCAAACTTGAGAACATCGAGGGAGTACTTTCCTTGTGCCAAACTGAGCGGTTTGTTGCGGGTCCCCCGAGCGAGATGAGTTCAGGCAGGAGTAACCAACAGAAGGGCGGAGCAAAAATGGAGATGGGAACGGGAAAGATACCACAAACGAGAGAACAATCGCAAACGGGAGAGAGGTCACAAACGAGAGAAAAATCACAAACGAGAGAACAATCACAAACGAGAGAACAATCACAAACGAGAGAACAATCACGGACGAGAGGGAAGAACCCTATTTTTGATGACCAGACTGATGATTTAAAGAAGGCAACAGATTTTACTCCCACACTTGAACACACGTCTGATGCAAAAAGGAAGAGTGAGACACATTATGATTCTATCCTTAATAATAACGCTTTGTTATTGACAGATGGTGCGAAAAAACAAGTGGATCGTCACCAAGAGATGCCACTTGACACCGCTCCTAAAGGCACCACTCCAAAAAAAGGGAAGATTTGTCTTCCATCAAGTGAAACATATTTGGGTAATAGCAAAGAGCAGTTTCAGAGTCTTAACGCCGTTACTTCTAAAGATCACCCTCTTTGCAAAGAGACTAAATTGGAGAAAGATACAAATAGAGAAAAGTTCCTTTTTGGAGATCAGCACCACTGTCAGAAGAATGGAAGCACGTATGGGAGGAGTCTATCCAATGCTCTATTATGGAGCACTACGAGCGGTTCTAAAAGTGGCCACAAAAGGGTCAATAGAAGCAACCATAGAAGCGGCTCTACTATCACACCTGATGGAGAGAAGGAAAGACAAAATAGCCAACTGAATGGAAATCCAAAGGTGAAAGTGCAAGGCGACAACAAGCACACTCGTGTCTGCATCCATGAGGGAATATCCTTTACCAATCTGATGAAGAGACTTCTTTTTTTACCTCACCTAAAGTGGGAATGGAATATTCTCTGTAATAAGAAGGTAATGAACATACAAACAGCGAATGAAACAGATTTGAAAAGTAGAAAAACCAGAAAATATAGATCCATGTTTCGAAGGAACCATTTGAAGAATACATCTGATGATGGTTATCACCTCACAAATGATAAAGACAAAAAGGAATGGAAGCGAAAAGAAAAAAAAAGAAAAAAAAAAAAATTCGAAAATTATAGCTATGGAAAGGAAAAACTGGACTATGAATCAAATAACAGTAGTAATCACACAAGAAATGAGAGAGAATCATGTTACCACACCTTTGGCATAGGAACAAAAATGTATTCAGCCCCAGAACAACTGATGGGATACAAATATAACAAAGCTGTCGATATGTTTTCTCTTGGGTTGATAATAGTGGACTTATTCACGTGGACAGGAACAAATATGGAAAGAACTGAAATTCTTTGTAAGGCAAGACAGAGAATTTTACCTGACCTGTTAATAAAGAAACATCCAAATGTAGCCAAATTGTGTAAGAATCTGTTATCTCCAGATTATAAATTCCGTTTTACATCAGAAGATTTGTATAATCAAATTATATCTACAGGGGATGTATTTTCCGCTACACCACGAGGTTTGTAAACACGTCTGGAGTACGGGGAGGAGGGGGGGGAGAAAAAAAAAAAACAAAAAAGAACACATTTAAGAATACATTTAAGAACACATTTAAGAACACATTTAAGAACACATTTAAGAACACATTTAAGAACACATTTAAGAACACATTTAAGAATACACTTTTGTGTTTCATTTTTCAATACAACCCGGAGATTTCACACAAGACGTTCCTGTACACAAGAACGCAGCAATGTAGTAATACAAAAACAGATGCAGAGTAACAGACACAACACGTGTAAAGCGGAGCTCATGAGAGCAATCTGTAATTTTGAATTCCCTGCAAGTGATAATTTTTTTTTTTTTTTAATCCACCGTTTATAAACATGAATGGGTGGTACATACGGTATGCATATATATATATATATATCCCACTACACCTTTATGATATTATACACTTTTTTTTTTTTTTAATTTTTTGAAAATAAACTTTTTATTCTTTTTTCGAGGGAAGAAAAAGGAAAAGAGGGGGGGTGGGGGGGGGGTAGGGGTGTTTCATTCTCTTTTCTCAGTTTTGAACATTAGTTGAACATCTTCACATGCTATAATTACTGATTTACCATGTGAGATTAGAAGTCGTTTGGGTGAGAGTAGATGTAAGAGAGAGTAAACTTTTTTTCTGTGTACAAGAATTTTTAACTAGCAAAGTGTGAAAAAAAGTTTTTCCAGATTAAATGTATAGATAACATAAAATCCAGTGTAACTAAATAGGAAGAACGAATAAACCAAAACGGTATAAAAATGGCACATGAAAAAATTACAAAAAAGGAAAAAAAAAAAAAAAAAAAAAAAAAAAAAAAGTATCCAGATATTGTCATAAAAAATGCGATACATATGGCACAACTTGTGTGAAAATGCTCCAGTAGATATCCAAGTTTTGTTGGGAGAGAAAGAAAAAAAAAAAAAAAAAAAAAAATTGCATGTTTGAAATGAATAATTTTTTAAGATGCTACTATCCCTTGGTCCTCATTTTTGAATACAACAACATTTTTAAGATAAAAAAAAAAAAAAGAAGCAGCGGGAGTGGAAGTGCAATGTACTGGAAAAACGCCATAAATTCTTGCACATGGAAACTATTGAGATTGGAATTTGAAGATTTTTCAGTTTTGTCCCATTATAAGCCTAGGTGAGTTAAAATAAAACACTTTTTTTTTTTTTTTCTTCTTTTTTTTCTCCTTCTTTTTCTCCTTTTTTTTCCTCCTTTTTCCCCCCAATTTCCCTTGGCTTCTTTACCGGGGCGGACACCGACAAGTTCCAATAAGGACATTTCTTTACATGTCTAATTGAACGAGATGATAATGAACTCGCTTGGGTGGGAAGCAGATGTGGATAAACACATGGACAGATAGATTCATAATATTATGATATGGATGTAAAATGACTTACAGAAAGTCTCTGAGAGGTACACCTCTTCTTCTGTCGCTATCTCTGCTGCAGCTGTCATTGTTGCTTGTAGTGCTTATACTGGTAGTGCGACATTCAGAGTGCCATTATGGCATATTCGATGAGGAGGAATCAAAATTGGCAAAACTAAAAAAACTGATAAACAAGAAAATCAAATTCGACATTAATGACAAGCATCGAAAAATAGAAGAAAACGAGAGCGAAAACGAGAAGGAAAATGAGAAGGATCACATTTCATTCATATATATACACGAACTAACTCTTAACGATTATGTTGATTATGTCTTGAATAAGGCGAAGAATTATGATTGTGTCTTATTTTTAATAGATGTCGAGAGTTCTAATGGAGTTGCCAAGTTTGATAGGAGAAGCCTCATCTTACTAGAGTTATTTAACCGGGTTGCAAGAGAATACACTTGGGAGAATTTTCCTCTGTACAATGAGGGAGAAGTTGCAGATGGTACCTACTCGAGAGATGCTACCAATTCGAGAGATGCTACCAATTCGAGAGATGCTACCAATTCGAGAGATGCTACCAAATCGAGAGATACTCCGTTATACAGAAAAGGGAAAACTGCAGCTGTATGGGAGACTATTACAATTGCCAAGTCAACGATGAGAGACACGAACCCGAATGGATACGTGGATGTGAAAAGAGGAGGATACAAGCACAGATTGGCATTGCCCATTTTCTTTTTTTATGTGAATTTTCATAAACAAAACATGATCCCGTTGAAATATATGCACGGAGTCGACAGCATTCCAGAATTTGTATACATAGGGGAGAAGACATTCGAACATTCAGATCATTATGCAAGAATTCAACAGAATTTTATGTTGCAATATTATTTAAAGAATGTGAAACGGTTGAGTGAAAAAGAGAAAGGAAAACTAACCAACAAAGAGATTGAAGAATATTTTAAAGAATTTATATATGTGCATAATAATGACAAAACGGAGATGAAATATTTAGAAGGGTATTATTTTCAAAATATAAATATGTATCTCCTAATGGTTATTCTAATTGTGATATTTTCCATTTTGTATCTACTCTTACAATTATTGCAGAAATGGAACTGTTTTATGTTTATCTGTTCTTATATTTTGTATTTAACTTGCCTTAGTGGTATTTTCCATTGTTTAATTAACAAATCTGAGCTTTACAACACAACGAAAGATTTAGATTCTCTGCTTCATAAGTATGTCTATCGCTCTACTAGTGCACAGTATGTGTACGAAGGTGTTGCTTTTTCTCTTTTCATTTTTATTATTACTTTTGCATTTTTTCTCATATTTAAGTGTTCTACCAATAAATTTATGACACGTACCGGTAGAAATTTGTTTATTACCCTCCTTCTTCTTCTTACTTATGTTTCCCTCGACGTCATTCATGAAATTAATCTATACAAAGTATATTACTCAACTTATTTTTTCATCCCACCCGTGAAGTTTTTTCACAAGTAGTAAAAAGGTACTTATGCGAGGGAATTTTCCCTCAAATGTGTATTCCTTTTTTTTTTTTTTTTTTTTTTTTAAATACTCAATTTTTCATGCATATAACTGTGCATTGTGTTTTAAAAAAAAAAAAAAAAAAAAAAAAAAAAAGAAATCTGAACAAAAGATAATATGTAATAATATGTACAACCTCTTACACACATTTCCGTTATGACCAATTTTGAAAAAGAAAAAAATAATATTTGTAACAGATTATTTCCAGTGAGATCTTATCAATGTTTTGAAGAAATACAGTTGATCTGTTTTCACTTCTTCCTCTACATTTTTTTTATCACTTCCACATTTTTTATGCGAATGGAAAATGTGACGTGAATATTAACCCTACCTGAGTAAGTTTTTTTTTTTTTTTTTTCCTTTTTTAATTTCCAATCTCATTCCCACCTCAAGCCATACTACTGGTTTTTGCTCCCAAGGAAACATGTACTCTTTTCGCTTTAAAACGAAAATTTGCATTTGTCTTAGAGTGCAATAGTTGGCCATTGATCATATCATTTCACTGCATGCCGTGTGTTAAGCGGGGGTGAGTGTATCACTCATCATAGCTCATGCACAAGTGTAGTTAGAAGCAAAAGTGTAGTTTGAAGCAAAAGTGTAGTTTGAAGCAAAAGTGTAGTTTGAAGCAAAAGTGTAGTTTGAAGCAAAAGTGTAGTTAGAAGTAAAAGTGTAGTTTGAAGTAAAAGTGTAGTTAGAAGCAAAAGTGTAGTTAGAAGCAAAAGTGTAGTTAGAAGAACATGTGTGTGCATGACTTTTGCGCTTTCTTTTCTTCTCTCCTTTTTCTTCTCTCCTTTTTCTTCTCTCCTTTTTCTTCTCTCCTTTTTCTTCTCTCTTTTTTTTCATTTTCGCCATGTATAAGAACCCCCTTGGGGGAGGACGTACGAAAGTGTCTGCGATTACCCCACTAGTTACATTGGCAATTTCTCAATTTGTATTACGTTCGATTGAATGCTTACTTTTTTTTTTTTTTTTTCTGTTTGTAAAGAACACAGGTATAAAGGATGCATATCCTGCCACTACAGACGGTGTGATACGAATTGCATTCTCAGATGTGTGATTTTGGTTCACACCAAAAAAAATAAATAAAAAAATAAAATAAATAAGTAAATAAATAAGTAAATAAATAAGTAAAAGGAATAGCAGCTCCAAATGAAACATGAAAAAGGGAAAAACACGAAAGTGGTATCTCTTAAAAGTCTGTATAGTAACTTTCACAAAACGAGTGAATTACTTTTGAAAGAGAAAGATAAGAAACATTTTGAAGATAAAAACTGTGAACATGCAGATAATAGTCAAGAGGATAAAGAGAATCAGGAGACCCATTCGCAAGGATGCACATTTCAGCATGAACTCGATTCTGAAGATCATTTTTTGATTGAAGGAAAAGCTCAGAAGAAATCAAACTCGAGAAGAGGACACAAGAAGGATCAAACTATATTGCCCAAGCAAGGTATGAAGCAAGAAAGGGAGATTCATTATGACATGAAAAAGAATTATGGATATTCTTACGACATAAGGAAATATTTCATGCAGGAAGAGACACATAATTTATCATCGAAGGAGAAGGTGAAGGAAAACACATCTTCAAAAGTAGAACCCAAAAGTAGAACCCATTTTTCAGAGATAACACAAAAGAAGGGAAAAACAAAGGATAAGCGTAATCTTAGTGAGGAAAAAAGTTATTCGGGAAGTGCTTCTTGTCATGTGAATAACACAGCAAGTGTTTATGATAATATCAATTCGATTGAACATTTGATAAAAGAAAATAGATTAGAGAGAGAAGAATCTTATGGTAGCTTATGTAGGACTACAGATGAGGAGAAGCAAAATGGAAATGAGCAGATTACAAGCGATGAAGACAGATTAAGCGTGAGATTTGATTTCAAAAATGAGACTAACAATAATGAAATGCTAAATTCCCCATTAAATACAAAAATGGAAAAGAACATGGAAAAGAAGAAACAAAGTTTATTGTTAGAAGAATTGACAAAGCAAAGGAATAATTCCAATGTTAAGAAAGATGTTTTCAATTGTCCAGAGTTTCACGAAAAAGATAAGAACACCACAGTGATTATGCAAACACAAGGGAATTACAACATAGGAGAAGAGAAAGAAAAAAAATACAATAAAATAACCGAGAAAGAAGAGAGTGTAAATTTCAAAAGTATGAAAATTGAAGACATAAAATGTACCCTATCTAAAAATGAACCAGATACGCTAAAAATTTTATTATGCACAGATAACCACTTAGGGTATAAAGAAAATAATTCAGTACAAAGAAAAGATACTTTCAACTCTTTTGAAGAAATTTTATTCATTGCAAACAAGTTAAATGTCGATATGATTCTAAACAGTGGTGATTTATTTCATAAAAATAAAGTGTCTGAATATACACTTTTTAAATCCATGGCAATTATAAGGAACTACTGTCATGTTAGTGCTCATGAAGAGGAGGACTCTGTTTCTTCACCCATGACGCAACCAGCTAATTTTTCCAAAACAGAAATATCTTCCCATAGATCTGCACAAAGATTCAGTGTTAGCGTGAAGGAAGTGCAGAATTGTAACTATACATACTATGAGGATGGAAGTACAAAGAGTGAGGGCTCGTGTAGGGAGAACCCAAAGTTGCATCACACTCGGAGGGAACAGATTAAGCAGAATGAGCCGAGTAAGAAATGTGAGCAACCTGGTGGGGAAAGCAGAAGTAGACACATTGCTGGGAGGAGACAAAAAAATGGATGCAGGGTTGTGCGGTTTGATAGTGATAGAAGCGGAGGAGGCAGAAGGGGATCTAGCAGTAGTGGCAGTAGTAGAAGCGGATCTAGCAGAAGTGGACGTGGGGAGGAGGGAACTGCTTACGATATGTGCGACTCCGTGAGGATGTGTTCAGTAAGGGAGAAGGTCGAAATGTGCATTCCATTTTTCACGATACACGGGAATCATGATTACCCATACAGCTGCGACTATATCTGCCCCTTGGACATATTGAATGTATGTAACCTAATTAATTACATAGGAAAAAGCAACCTGAACTATCTTGTGGTGAAACCAATTCTTTTAAACAAAGGGAATACAAAAATAGCTATTTATGCAATCGGATGGATCAAGGATGAACGGTTGTATAGAGCCTTTGATAACAAAAGAATAAAGTTTATGTTATCAGATGATTATAAGAAGCGAATAAATATTCTCGTTCTACATCAAAATCGATATGTCAGATGTGCACATGGAAATAATTTAAAAAATTATATTAAAGAATCTTTTATCCCCAAATTCATTGATTTGGTTATATGGGGACATGAGCATTACTCGAAACCCTACTTAGAGGAAAGTTTATACAATTCATTTTATAATTTACAATTAGGTTCTTCTGTTAGAACATCTTTATGTACAAATGAATGTGGGGATAAGTATATTGGTTTACTGGAAATTAGAAATGAGAGATTTCGCTTTTTAAAAATTCAATTAGAAACAGTGAGACCATTTGAATTTAAAGAAATTCGACTAGCTAATTACAATTTAAATTTCAAAGATGAATCCATATTGAAGCAATTTTTGCATGAACAGACAAATAATATTTTAACTAATTTTCAACAAAATCTATTTGAACAAGTGAAAAAATATTACTTGTTCAGAAAAATTTTCTTTCTTTCACCTGAGTCTTCTAAAATGGAAAACAAATACACTCATGTTGTAGCTCTGCAAAAGGGCACAGCAGTGGATAAAGAAATGTGCAAACAAATGGGAAAACAAATCTGTGATGGGAAGAATGTCGAAGCAAAAGGTACACTCGTAAGTGATGCCAATCTGAAGAACTCTTTGGCTAGCGAAATTTACACAAATAAGGAACTGTTGGATGAATATTTTGATTCCATAATATCTAAGCGAGATATAAATGATTTTATGCAGAATTTGCAAAATGATGAATTCTATTCAACTACATTTATTCATGTTGCTTTTTCAAATCCTAGTGATACATTTGATCTCTTAAAAATAAAAAAAGGTATTTATGATAAACCCCTAGTGAAATTAAAAGTCGAATATGATGACATTAACATAATAAATACACAATTGTTCGGTTCAATATTTACAAATAATATAGCAAATCCATCGGAGTTCTTATCTTTTTGTAGAAAAAAAAGAAAAAACAACAGTGGAATTCAAACAGGAGGAGATACTTGCACAAATGGAAATAACACCAATGTAGCACATGCATTCGTTTCTCTCACCAATAATTCGATGCACCATCCACAGATGGATGCTGCTGCTGATGACGATAAAGATATACTTAACATGGAACATATAAATGAATACAACAAAGTCTTTGATATTCTTTTTGATTACTGCCACCTCAGAGAAGACCTCTCAATCCTCAATAATAAAACAATAATGGAAACGGTTATAAATTACATGCGTAATTCGAACTCATCTTTTAATTCTGAATCCAATGGCACATCTGATTTCTGCAGCATCATTTCGATGGTTGAACACTCCGCTAGAAATAAAATAGATCTCCTCGAGGGACGTCTCATGGATATTCCAGTGGAAAACATAACGGATGATTACCTGACTGAGCTAACCAAAAATCTTCCTCGGTCTTAAATGATGCCTTCAAAATGGGTTCGTCTTTTAAGAAGTCCACCCAGAAGTAGCCACCCAGAAGTAGCCACCCAGAAGTAGCCACCCAGAAGTAGCCACCCAGAAGTAGCCACTCAGAAGTAGCCACTCAGAAGTAGCTACCCCAATGAACAATGCACCTACACAAATAGGCCTCACTCAATTTAGGGAAGTTTCACATACAATTCCTCCCGCTCCTTATCGAAGCAATCAATTTTAACAAGAATATCATTTCCAGATTTGAATCTTTCGATGCGTTCGCCTCCATGTGGAAGGGGCAATTTGGCGTGTATTTTTGGAGCCAAGTAAAGTAACAAGTGATTTCCTTTAACATCCAATATTCTTGCGTTAATTAAATTATAGTCATTTTTAAAAGATGATAATATTTCATCGTAAGAATATTTCTGAATATGTACCGTAATTTTTTGATGAATTTTTTGAATATATTTAATTTTCACTCTAATAATGTTATGTATCTTTAGCAACACAAATATATATTTATGTAAAATAGGAGAACGAAAATATTCTGACGTGTTTAAATATGCTTTTCTATCACATAAAATGTCCAACTTTACATTTTTTTTATTCATACTTAATATTCTTCCATAAAACAAATCACCGATATTGTATTTTCTAAAGGGATAATCTCTTTCTGTAATTTGCTTAAAAATCACATTGCTCTGTGTATGTGTAGCACTATTGTTGCTCTGAAAATGTTTTTTCCGCCTCCTCCTGCTCTGAAATCTTGTGCATTTTAAAACATTTTCAAAACTGCCGTTTATGAACGAATTCTTATGAGCTACATTTAAGCTAACTGAGGAGACCAAATGAAGTACAAAGAAAATGGTAAATGGGGATAACATATATATGTATATATATATGTATATATATATATATATATTGTACATTAAATGGGCGGGAATGGAGAGAGTCGTAACACCGGCTCGAGTAAGTCCCCTCAGATATAATTAAGTAACATTTGGAAGCATGATTTATTAGTATATATTTCATATAGAGTTTTATTATAGATTCATATTTGTGCAGACATTAAATGTTGGCTGAAAAATCCTTCCATTCCTGCATGAATATTTTTTTTTTTTTTTTAGTGAATTAAATTTGTTTTCGCCTGAACGGAATGCAAAAAAAAAAATAATAAAGAATAAAAAATAAAAATAATAAAGAATAAAAAATAAAAATAATAAAGAATAAAAAATAAAAATAATAAAATAATAATAATAAAGCTAGGAATGTGCTGCCTGAACAAACCACAATTACTATTTTTTTTTTTTTTTTTTTTTAACTACACTTGCACAGGTTTACACCCTATTTAATGCGCTGTGTATTTATAAATGCATATGCATGTGTATGTTCACACAATTTGTTCCATTTTGCAGGCTGAAGCGCGTTTTTAAAATGTATAGTAGTATGCCATTCTGTAGAAATGGGGAAAAAAAAAGAACACCTCACGCGCGTACTGTCTGAACAATGCAGGCAAAATAGGGAAACACAATAAAATGAACGCTTATATAGCCTGAACGGTGCAGGCAAAAAAGGGGAAACACAAATGCACTAGCTTGAATATATACATATAGGCACTCAGGACAAAAACAAGGAAGAAAGCATTAGAATAACTCTCGCCAGCACTATAGATCACATTTTTTTTTTTTTTTTTAATTTTTAGAGAAAAATAAATATACACACTGGAAGGAGGATACATATATTCCTCATTCGTTCTAAGCATGAAAATAAGGAATTGAAATTTTTGAGTATGAAAAATGATGTGGGTAAAAAAAATATGTTTTGGAAATTTTTGTTTATAAAGGGCCTTTTCTTTGAAAGGACTTCTGACATTGCGAGCGTAAACAGAAATTACAAAAGCGTTAACATATAGGGTTACATATTACACTTTTGCTTGTGCGTTACAAGTGTTTAAGACGTATGCACTTGTGTATGCATGTATATATGTTATTTTTTGGAGCGAAAAAAAAAAAAAAAAAAAAGCAGACATTTGTGTCCCCCGTTTTGTTAATTCTTTTCCACATTAGGAATTAAAAAATGGGAAGTAATATACATCTCCATAGAAAAAACCTTAATTAATGTGCTAAAAAAATATACCTATTTTGACGACATTTCAAAACTGCCTGAGCAGGACGACAGGTAAATAAAAGGGCAGACTTGTTAAAAGTGCTAAAATTTTGCATCATTTGAAACAACAAAGGCATGAACATTGCGAATAAAGTAAAGGGGGCAATTGCTCCACAAAAACTTGTAATATCTCAGACCCATTCATTCGTGCCTTCTACCCCTGGACAAAGAAAAAAAAAATAAAATAAAATAAAATAAAAACTATTTTCACCCGTTAAAACCAGAAAAACGATTAAGATCTCATTTGGAAGATCACTTTTTTTTTTTTTTTTTTTTTTTCTTCTTCTTCATCTTTTTATATTAACATTATGCACATATTCCCACTTTAATGGAGTTTTTCTGTTTTTTTTTTTTTTTTGGTATTGTGTTCGTCTCTCCAAGATATGTAAACAGGGGAATACACATGTGGCCCAAGAATATTCTATCACAAGTGCACACAGGGTACGCTACGGTATTGTGATTTACTTTGTTTTATTTTGAGGATTAAAAAAAAGAAAAATATATATACATACATGCATATGTACATACATATATATACGTATGTATAATCAGTTTGTGCTTCCTTCCGAGGTTAATGAATGGGGTTGTTCTTTTGTCACACTTTTTAAAAAAAAAAAAAAACTTGAAAAATGATCTATGCATTGACAATCGCGCAGGTGTTTAATGCAACTGAAACACATCCATGCATAAGGGGGGGATGAGGTTATAATTCATTGGGTGTACATGTAAATACAACTGTGAAAGCAAACGATTAAACACGCATAGGATCATAGCACAATAGGATTCATAAGATCATACATCTACGAGATCATACATGAATACCACATATGTTTACATACATAGCACATGCCGAAGATACTCCCTTTTGATTTCAATACCTACTCTCTCTTTTGTTCATAATTTTTTAATATATCGTCTATGAACTAGGCTAGACAGAAAGTAATCACAAAAACGGGGGTGTCATATTTTTTTTTTTTTTTTTCCATGCCATAATGATATATCTGTGTGTTCAGCGTTTAGTCCATTCTTGCTTTTAATTTCTTTTTCATAATATTATGAGGAGTTCTGAAAAAAAAAGTTGGAAATGGGATGTAAGTAAGAAGTGCAGTATAGTAAAATGTATAGGGGGGTATGAACAAGTGCGATTTTTTTTTTTTTTTTTTTTTTTTTTTTTTTTTTTTTTTGTGATGATGTAAAAGAAGACCATTCTAGATGACATGAAATCGTCCACAGAAGCACTGCGAGTGGACGAATTCTAGGGAAATTAACTCAAGAAAATATTCAACAGAACGAAACCCATCGCATGGCTTCCCATTCGAGACAAAAAAAAAAAAAAAATAAAAATAAAATAAATACACAATGCAAATACAATGAAAATAAAAAAACTAATGTTTGGTTCCACTTACAAAACATAAACTTCGGCTCCCCATCCAGATAAGCAATCTCTATCTAAAGCACTTAATAAACACTGAGAAATTGTCTCGAATAGTCCATCTTCATCCTACAAGGGGGGTTAAAAGTGGGAATGTGTGGAACGTGCATTTCTACCTGTACACATAGATGCACACATAGATACACACGCAGGTGCACACGTAGATACACACACAGGTGCACACGTAGATACACACGCAGGTGCATGTGCATATATACATATAAAACATATGAACAGAAAGGACGGAAGCACACACCTGATCCTTTATGTACAAAGATTCACACATCCCATATAACTGTTCACTTGTAACCCCATTAACAACAAAATCATTCGTTTCACATTTGGCACCAATGAAATCGTACGCATTAAGATAAGGCTCATATATACAAGATTTATTTCCGTTATCATCAATGGTATGTTTGACTCTGAACCCAACAACAATTGGATTCACAAAATAGGGAGAAAATCGGTTAGAGTATAGTATACTTGATAACATATTTGAGAAGCAGTCTATGTCCATTTGTGTCTCTTGTCTTATTTCATATAAATTTGTCCTATATCTTAACAGTTCATACAATGTTTGAATATCTGTAGCAAGGCCACTTAAACCTACATATACATGATCGTTCATTTTGAATATTTTTGTAAAATTTGTACTCACTGTTGTGAAGTTATTGGATCCGAGTCTCAAGTCACACGCGATGGCAACACACTGGGCCCCGCTCATTCCAAGCACACAGCCACCATTGTAGTTGAATATGGATCCCTGCAAGAGGGGGAGGGGAGAGATGTGGTGTAATGGTGAACACATGTAACAGTGAACAGATGTAACGGTGAACAGATGTAACGGTGAACAGATGTAACGGTGAACAGATGTAACGGTGAACAGATGTAACGGTGAACAGATGTAACGGTGAACAGATGTAACGGTGAACAGATGTAACGGTGAACAGATGTAACGGTGAACAGATGTAACGGTGAACAGATGTAACAGTGAACAGATGTAACGGTGAACAGATGTAACGGTGAAGCTACATTGTAACGACGTGGTAAAGTATCCACACGGTAATGAATTCACATTATCATTTCAACAATGCTTAGAATAATTATTTCCTTTAAAAAAAAAAAAATTTATAGATATTTCTTTTGGGTGCAAAAGAATATCTCTCCTATATGGAAAGGGGATAATAATAGGGATATTGTTTAATTCTATCACTTTTTTTTTTTTTTTTTTTTTTTTTTCTCATCTGAAGAGGAAAGAGTGGGGGATTGGAATTTACCATTTTTGTTGATTCCTCTGTAGGTGTGTATTTGGTAGGCTCACGAATTGTTGCCTAGCTAGTCTTTCGCTGGGGTGTTCCCAAAAAAAAAAAAAAAAAAAAGAATTATTTCCTTTCTCCTTTATACACAAATGTAAATAAACGATGAAAACTTCCCGGGAAAGGAGAGCTGAGAGGTGACACAAATTATTTATTGTGTTGGTTTTCTTCTTGCTTTTTATCAAAATTGTTGATGAGGAGAGATTGTATCCTTTTCTCTTTCTTAAAAAAGAAGCAATAAATTTAGTCATACGCTCCTAACATAACGAAAAATGTGCTGGGAGAAAGAAAAAAAAATTTTTCTTGCTCGTGTAACTTTTTTAAAATTAAAGTTGTTGCTATACATGCAAGTGTTTCGGTTAGGTGTATTTATATATTACATGTAGTACATATATGTACTGCTAACTGTTTATGCTGTGTGTTTTTTTTTTTTTTTTTTTTTTTTTTTTACATTTTTGCATTCTTAGAGGTTTTTATACTTGTTCGGCATTGGTAAAACATTTTTCTTGCGTCCTTGGTTCCTCCTCTTGGCTTTTTCACACATTCACATTTTTGCATTTCAGAACATTTTATATTGTTTTTTTTTTTTTTTTTTTTTTTTTTTTTTTTTTTACTCTCAGCCCCGCTTCACCCAATCCAATCACTACTTTTTACTGCTGTGGTTATATATATGTAGTATGCTGCAGGGAAAGGAACCGTCCTATACTCAGAGTGATAATTTTTTTTATTTCTTCTTTTTTTTTTTGCTCTTTTTTGTTCCTCTTTTTTTTGCTCTTTTTTTTGCTCCTTTTTATTTCTTCCTTTTTTTTCTCCCATTTTGTGCTCCTCCAAATTGCGTGCTTGAAATATTCTTAAAAAATTTGAAATCATCGTGTGCGGTAGTAAGGAAAAGGCAGCATCGTATCTCAAGAGCCAATCGCTTTATATTTTTAAGTATACAGTTGGAAGAGAAAATTTTTAAAAATAAACAAGTTATTTATATATATTTGCATTTATTTATGTATTTGCCTGATGCATACTTAACACATTAGCGTGTAAAAACACCATGCAGATTCTATTATTTCCCACAAAAAGGACATAATTTTTCACCTCATTTTTATTATAATAATATTACCCTATTTTTATGCACATTATTGCTAGTGCAAAACTAGTTTCTAAAACTGTTAGCCATTGCTGAGTTCGACAAACCATATGAAAACATACCTGATATGAGAAAAAAAATAAAATAAAAATAAGATGAAATGATGTAATGGTGTAATGGTGAGGTGATGAAAAGATGAAAAATCTTGTGCATAAGAAACACACTAGATCCCTACCCATCATTGCTCATTATAGTATAAACTTGTTTCGAAAAGGGAGGATTTTACATTACGTTAAATATTTTAACAGCATACAGTCAAAGGATATAAATGGCTTCATAACACAAGAGAAAGAAGCAGAGGATCCCATAATTTCACAAAATAGTAAAAAAGTTATTGAAAGATATAAAAATTTTATAGATGAAAAAAGGAGGAGTAATAAACAAAACAGCAGCACATATTTTACAGACAAAGGGGAATTGCACAATGAGATAAGCACCGATAGGGGCAGAAAAGTGCACAACGAGATAGAATCTTCCAAAGCAGATGCTACCATACCTACAAAGGATGAAAAGTATGTTATTCTGAAAAAGCAGATCACGAAGGAATTCATATATCAGGTATTCCTCCCACATGTTGAATCACAAATAATGTACCATTTAAAAACATACACACCGAATCAAATAGTAAACATTTTTAACATTTACTCTTATTTGTATTACTATGATAAGAAAAAAGAAATGGTAGATGCACTTTTGGAATATCTGGAATATAGGCTTGACTGCTTTAGTGTACAAGATATCCTACTGATATTAGAACCATTATACATTTTAAACAAAACAAATAATATTTACATATATCGTTTAATTATCAATTATTTGGATACAATAAAAGAGAAATTAAACATATATAATTATATAGGAATATCGAGAGTATTCACAAAAATATTAATCGATATAACATTTGAAGAAAATGAAAAAAAAAAAAATAATTTTTTCATGTCACGATTGTGGCATTATTTAAAGCAAAGTAAATTTAGAAAAAGTATTCCTTCAGATCAGAGAAAAATTTCTCATCAAGATTTTCTTATTCAATTTATGTCAACAGTTGTTAATCATATCGAAGAACAGTTGCATTTACTTTCTCCAATCGAATTGACTGACCTTCTGAGTGTCATATCGAATTATTCCTTTAAAAGTGGATATTCTCGATATGATGTCCCGGGAGAACAGAACCAAGAAACAAATAGATCTAATCAAAATGATCTAAATAATTCAAAACGAGCTAAGACAGAATCTTGCAGCAATGATTTTTCTGCATATCCAAGCAGTAGTATATCATCTCTGCATGTGCATGACTTGACTAAAGACAATGCTTACTTCTTTAAGGAAAATATAATGTCTTTCATAATCGCAAGTGAAATTAAAAAAAAATATCAAGAATTGAGCACATTGCATAAAATAACTAATTTTTATAACATGTCTAAGTTATGCATGTACGACGAGGAGTATATTAATCTAGTCGAAAATGACATGAAGAATTATCATTATATAAATAATATTCATCACAAATATTTGTGTCTCTTAGTGTGGTGCTTATTCAAATATAAAATATTACATAAACATTTGGAAATTTTGAGGCCAATAATTATCCAAAATATTGCAAATTTTAATGGTAAAGATTTATCAAGATTATGTCATGCCATTTTTAACGAAAAAAAAATTCTGAACAGTGTAGCAAACAATTTAATCAGTCAAATTGCAAACATGTCCGTTAATGAATTTTTATGCTACTTTTATGCAGTTGTTTGTCTAGATTTATTACCCTATGATGTCAAATCATCATCGAGTGAATCCTACCAAAAGAGTATTCAAAATGGACCTCAATGTATGGAGGCAAATACATCTAATGAAGAGAAAAATTTGTCATTGCAAAAATTACGCAATCGAGTGGAAACGCAAAAAGAGATGACATTATCCCTCTTTAATAAAAGTGAGATATTACAAAAGTGCACAAAGTTTATTAACGACAATAAAAAAGATATAGGCAAGAACGAAATGACGAAAATTATCCTTCTTCTAAAAAAAAAAAAAAATGACAAATATTTTTACGTATTGGACATGCTACCTGACGAATGGAAGAATATCGTTCATTTGGTTAATTGAATTCGAACCGCGTGTTGGAAGTTAACAAGTTTGACAAGTTTTTGATAATTTTGTTAAATTGTCTGACCCGTTCAGGCGAATTTACCATGTTGAGAAGTTTTGGATAATTTTGTTCAATTGTCTGCCCCGTTCAGGCGAAATGATCATATTGACAAGTTTTTGATAATTTTTTTAAATTGTCTGACCCGTTCAGGCGAATTTACCATGTTGACAAGTTATGTGATCATTTGACTGGTCATTTGGGAAGAGAGCAAAATCAAACGTGTGCTTCTTAATAAGAGTACCCAATGCAATCAGCTTTGACTCATTTTACAAGGAATACCAGACTGAGTCAGTGGGAGAAAAAAAAAAAAAAAAAAAAAAAAAAAAAAAGTAAAAAAATAAATAAACAACAAGAAGAACAATAAATAAATAACATGCAAATCACGAACACAATTTTATGACATTTGTTTGCATGTTTTGCAAATATATCCATTTGGTAACATATCCCATGTGCAGGCAAAATTCATAACGTGGGATAGAAAAACTCCATATTCCTTTCGGTGACCAATCGTTGTGTTGATTAAATTGAACGAGGAGCATTAGTGGTGGTGATTGAGAACTGCTTAGGGATCATATCACTCCAGTAGAAGCACAAAAAATGACGCAAAATGTCACGAAAACATACAAACTTGCACCGATAATTACTAAATAAACGCTAAGATAAATATCTATATGTGCTCATAAGGAAGAACATTTTTCGACAGATGTAAAACGAATGGGGTCTCTCACCCGAGTTCGACGCTCTCTTTGGGGAAATTACTTTCACAAAGAACATATTAGAACAAACACATGAAATTTCTTGAGCATGATTTGTCTACAAGAATATACATCGGGATTAGGAACGGAATAACATCATATATATGTACTTGAAAAATAGTTAATGGTGTGTCCCCCTTCTCCCCCCTCCCCTATGTGAACAAAAATTAATTCAACTTTTTTTTTTTTTTTTTTTTTTTTTTTTTTGTTTACACATGCAATTATATTGGTATGCATGTACTTGTTGGGTTAGGATAAACATGCTACGCCATTGTCGAGGAGTGTGTGTGTGTGTGTGTGTACATTTATTTGTTTATTTATAGATTGTTTTATTTTTATTATTTTATTTTTTTTTTTTTACATATCCGTAAGACACTGAAAATACCTTTTTTAAAACAGATATATGTACACATGAAAAAGGTCACACACGTACAACACTATAATGTGTAGGTGTAGTGTTTTGCATTGCATTTTTTTGTGCTATTTTTTTTTTTTTTTTTTTTTTTTTTTTTTTTTTTTTTTTTTTTTTTTTTTTTTTTTTTTTTTTTTTTTTTTGTTTTCATTTACACGTCGTTACATTCCATATGGTTTATTATGGTGCAACCCAATAGAATCGACTAAACGTTAGAAGACCTGCTATACATGCACAATTCGTGTAAGTGAAATTAATATTTTGCACAATACACGGGATATAAACCAATTGAAAAACAAAATTAAGTAAAATTATATCATATAAACGTTTAAAGAATAATTCGCCATGAAAATTTGTGCTACAATGCGAATAATATGTTGACGTGTAATTAATGTAAGATACCGCTTGGGGAAAAAAAAAAAAAAAAAAAAAAAAAACTAATAGCAATAGGAACAGCAATAACAGTAACAGTGACAATATGTGAATTCAATTAAAGCTAACCTACATGGTAGATAATTTTTCATTTCCATTAAATGTAAAAAAGAAAGGCAAGGAAGACAACAGGCCAAACGAGTACAAACATTTTCACATCGTACGGTTATATAAAAGATAAAAGGTAGGATAAAATGTATTAGCCAAAGACAAACAAATGAATGACAGATATGTGTGTGTGCGGATAGGGCCATAGGCAAATATGCGAGTATGCATATATGCAAATATGTGTGTCGGGTGTACATGTATGAATATCTCTCTAACACATTTGTATATGCTTGCATACGTGCAAACAACAAATGAAACAATTATAGATTCGAAACAGTTACAGATTCGAAACAGTTACAGATTCGAAACAGTTACAGATTCGAAACAGTTATAGATTCGAAACAGTTACAGATTCGAAACAGTTACAGATTCGAAACAGTTACAGATTCGAAACAGTTACAGATTCGAAACAGTTACAGATTCGAAACAGTTACAGATTCGAAACAGTTATAGATTCGAAACAATTATAGATTCGAAACAATTATAGATTCGAAACAATTATAGATTCGAAACAATTATAGATTCGAAACAATTACAGATTCGAGACAATTACAGATTCGAAACAATTACAGATTCGAGACAATTACAGATTCGAAACAATTATAGATTCGAAACAGTTATAGATTCCCTTTAAAGGGTCTATAATAAAGTACGTGTTCATATAAAAACCATTTCCCCTGAAAACAGTAAAATAAGAAATTAATCTACTGTCGCGTAGCCCCACGTTCTGCGAACATTCGATTTAAAGTTGCTGTCTCGGTACGAGGGTGCGTTAAATGCCCGAAATGCCAACTTTGTGTGTGCATTAAACATATATGTACATTAGCACGAACATTCATGGGCACTCGGTTTGCAGAATTATAGAAATCCAACTGAACATATACAGTAGACCCTAAGCATATTGAGTTGTATGTGCTTCCCCATATACATACACAGTTATCCTCCACAAGGATAAAAAAAATAACCACGTCGTTTTTCTCCCCCTTTATCACACGTGTTCTAGCATTTCTAACCTGTTACAACTTTTCATCTAGTCCAAAATTCCCCTTTTTTTTTTTTTTTTTTTTTTTTATTTTTTCTCAGGATGCAATTTATTCATAAATGGACGCAACGTTAAATCCAAAAAGCAAATTCATTTGGATTAAGTAAAGGCAGAATGAGATTCTTTCCCCTTTTTTGCAAATCTCTATTAAATATAAAAATATCGTTTCTTTATTTTATTTTTTTTTTCTAGGAGTACACAGAACAGCACACGTCTGTGTCATTTCGTGGGTGTATATATAAACACAAAACGTGTACGTGCATATATTCGTAGGGCTCGAAAGTGTTATATATATATATATATATATATATGTACGTATTTGTGTGTACATGCATATATATACACATGTAACGTTATGCAGGAACGAATAAGACCTCAAATGTTTGGATTATCCCATTAGCTACTTATCTAATTTTACTGGTAAATTCAGTCATCACAAGAAAGAGAAATATAATTACGTCTCTTTCCTAGAGGTTTTTGTGGAAAATTGCATACGTGCGTACACACATAAAATCTGAGTTTGTGCAATATGACCTGCACACGTTCATACAGGAGGGGGGAGAAAAGAGTCATGGTGTATTACGTAGATTTTATAGTATTCATCTTATACATATAGTTCGTTATAAATGTTATATATTTTACTTATCATCAATATTATGCAAATACAAAAAGTAACATGGGGTGGGAGGGAGCAAAAACTTCCCGCTATGCTTTTTTTTTTTTTTTTTTTTTTTTATCATTCTTGGGGTTATATAATACCAACCAACCCCCACGCCGCTTGTACATGTATGAAGTGAATAAAAGGAAGATAGGATGATAAGTCATTAAAAAGTAAATGAAAAAAAAAAAAACAATTTTCCTAAATTTGTAATTTTTTTTTTTTTCACGTCTTTTGTTGGTTTAGAAAAAAAAGTTATAAATGAGAGTCTCAACATGTTCTTGCAGTTTTTTTGTTAACATGTGCACGCATATACATATGAGAGAAAAAGGGCGAACAATATGTACATAAACATTTTTATATATCCATGATACATGTGCATTCAGGTATGCCTATATATATGTATGTATAGTATACATAGTAAATATATGTATGTATAGTATACATAGTAAATATATGTATGTATAGTATACATAGTAAATATATGTATGTATAGTATACATAGTAAATATATGCATGTATAGTATACATAGTAAATATATGTATGTATAGTATACATAGTAAATATATGTATGTATAGTATATATATATATATGTAATAATTTTAGCCGGAATTGCAATTTTGCAGGTATGCAGTAACGTTTTTACAAGTTTCCTGCTTCTTCAGTTTTGGCAAATCTTCAATTTATCGTTTGCCAATTTGCTAATTTTTAAATATCAGTATTTAATTTTTTATTGACCAATTTTTCGCCTTTCATTTTTCAATATTCACTTTTCAATTTTCACTTTTCAGTTTTTCATTCATCTTTTTCACTCTTCATTTTTTACGCTTCATTTTTCATGCTTCATTTTTTACGCTTTATTTTTCATGCTTCATTTTTCATGCTTCATTTTTTACGCTTCAATTTTTGAATTTTTCGTTTTTCCAACTTTTCAATTTTTCATACATACTTTTTTATGCGTACCTTTTTTTACGTACATTTTTATGAGCACATTTTTAAAATTTTATACATTTTACATGTACCTTCTTAATGCCTGCAATTTTAACACCCACCTCTCGTGTCATACATCATTTTGCAGTTTTCATCCCATAACCACAACTAAAAGATTATTTCTTTCCACATTAAAGGAAAAAGAAAACAGAACTCATAAGCCGAGATTAAATCAAAGGGAAAACACCCCAAAAAAAAAAAAAAAAAAAAAAAAAAAAAAAAGTGTTACATGAGTGTTTAAGCGCATGTACATAAACGTTTACATACATACATATGCTTATACATACATATGCTTGTACATACATATGCTTGTACATACATATGCTTGTACATACATATGCTTGTACATACATATGCTTGTACGTCCATATGCCTGCACATGCATATGCTTCTACGTATATATGCCTGAGCATATATATATATATATATATATATGTATATATATTAACCCGAAATTTCTAACCAAGTGTAATACGTAAACCATTCATGCTAAACAGTTTTGATCGGAAAATTAATCAGGATTCCAATTTTGACCTTCAAATTGAACTCTACATTTTTTTTGAGTAAGCGAAAAAATCTAGCCCTTGTATGCATGGATATTACTAGGGGAGGGGTGGACATGCCTTCGCGTGAGTATATGCATATATACACGCACGTCTATATATATATACACCACACACACTTCTATATATGCACACGAAAGACATCTCGAGTGCATCTGGACTATGTTGCATCTTCCCACTCCATGCATCACCAGTTTCACCTAGGAGAAAAAATGTTTCCCTCTCTCCCATACATACTAACCTTATAAACAGTCTCTACATATTCAGTTGTTTATAACAATACTTCATTTTTTTTTTTTTTTTTTTCATTTTTAATGTATCCATATTATATATACATTCTGTGAATGAATCCACGTTGTAGTGGAGAAGACAATCTTCTTCATTGAAATGCCACTTTTGCAATCACAATACATCTTTATTTCTCATCCCCTATACGGATCTTAATTAGTTTAACATTTCTGTTTCGGTGAGAACCCCCGTGCCCGTCTCGCATATGTATGTACGTGCCTATGCATGTATGTATCTATGCATGTATGTTTCTATGCATGTATATTTCTATGCATGTATGTTTCTATGCGTGTATGTTTCTATGCGTGTATGTTTCTATGCATGTATGTTTCTATGCGTGTATGTTTCTATGCGTGTATGTTTCTATGCGTGTATGTTTCTATGCGTGTATGTTTTTTATTTTTTCTCCATTTTTTCTGAACGTTGGCCTCTCTTCTCCCCGACTAGTTTTTTTTTTTCTTTTTCTTTTTCTTTTTTTTCTTTTTCTTTTTTTTTTGATTTCCTGTTTCAATGCTGAACTTGTTAATTGTTCATATGAATTCACCCCACGAATTTCCATAAACCACAACCAACCACCGATCATTTAACGGTTGCGTGAAATTCTCTCCCGAATAGTGTGTACTGTCCTGTGCACAACCTGTGCATGACCTGTGTTTTTACATATCTCTACTTGCAGTGTAAATGTATGTACATGCGCTGTCATATAAGGGTGGAGAAAACATACACACATGCAAATTTGTACACATGCATCTGAAATTACATATGTGTGTATGAGCGCACGTCCAAATGTGCAATTGTTACTCGAGGGAAAATAATATATATACATGCATAATACATGCACAATACATGCGTATAATTAGGAAATAGAAAATTTTCTTCCCCCTCGAGGACCACTTGCTTGTACATGCATTTATGTAGAACTGTTTTAACGATTTTAACAATTTTAACAATTTTAACAATTTTAACAATTTTAACGATTTTTATTTTTTTTTTTATTATTTTTTTTTTTTTTTTTTTTTTTATTTTTACGCCTTACACTCCACTTTTTTTTTTTTTTTTTTTTTTTTTTTTTTTTTTTTTTTTTTTTTTTTTTTTTTTTTTCTCTTTTCTTTCTTTTTTTTTTTTTTTTTTTTTTTTTTTCTTTCCTTACCCATTTATTCCTCTTTGCATTTCCGCGCAATTATGAGCTAAGGTTTTACAAATGTGCACATGTATAATATTTATATTTTCATATATATGATATGATACGTTATTATATATGTACAAATGATTTTAGCATAATTAGTCATCGAAAAGATGAGAAAAAAAAGAGAGGAAAAAAAAGAGAGAAAAAAAAAGAGAGAAAAAAAAGAGAGAGAAAAAAAAGAGAGAGATAAAAAAAGAGAGAGATAAAAAAAGAGAGAGATAAAAAAAAAAAAAAAAAAAATGCTTATAGATATTTCTCGAATCATATTATTAATAAAAGAAAATTGAATTTTTTTTTTTTTTTTTCTCTTTTTTCACACATTCCCCTTGAATTGTTGGTTATACGAACAGAGTTATAAAAGTGAAACGAAGAAATTACAGAGTTATATTTTTTTTTTTGCTATCACCTCTGACGTAAGTAACAGTCTTGACACATAGGACACGCTGCACCGATTCTTTATATTTGGGAAAAAGTTCCCTTCCACACGGTCCCCCCTGAGGGGAAACGTAGGGGAAAAAAAAAAAAAAAAAGGGAAGAAGCGGAGTAGAAGCGGAGTAGAAGCGGAGTAGAAGCGGAGTAGAAGCGGAGTAGAAGCGGAGTAGAATCGGAGTAGAAGCGGAGTAGAAGCGGAGTAGAAGCGGAGTAGAATCGGAGTAGAATCGGAGTAGAATCGGAGTAGAATCGGAGTAGAAGCGGAGTAGAAGCGGAGTAGAATCGGAGTAGAAGCGGAGTAGAAGCGGAGTAGAAGCGGAGTAGAAGCGGACTGTGGCATGAGTGAGCGTGATAGAGGTGGTTTTTACCATTCCGATTGTTTTAGCTCGTAGGAGTTGCAATATATATATATATAACTTTTTTTTTTTTTTTTTTGCTTCTTCCAATTTTTGGGATTACAAAATGGAATCGTACATTCGCGAGAGTAAGAAGCTAACTTATAAGAGTAGCAAAGGAAAGAAACTGCTGAGATATGTGGATATATCACTAAACAATAAATCATTGCATGATAGCCATATCATAGAATTAGTGAAGATTTTAAAAAAGAATATAAAAATTGTTTACAATAATTATTACTGCTTGAATATCGATTTAAGTGAAAATCACATAACGTGCACAGGATTAAAAAGCTTACTGAAATATATTTTAAATTATAATGAGAATATTGGAATTCATATTTTGAAATTGTATAAGAATAATATAAAGGATGATGGTGTATCATTGATTAAACAATTAATATACATTCAGAAAATCCCGATGGAAGAATTACATTTGTCGCATAATTTTATTCAAGATAATACATGTAAAGAGTTATTGTTAAGTTTTGTTCAGGCAAAAAAAGAAAGTAATTATGTATACCCGAGATATGAGAAATATCAAAACACGTATAAACCTGTACAAATACCTGTATGGATTAGATTAGAATATAATTGTATTCAAAACCCAAAGGAAATATTAAAAGAAGTGGAAGATTTTGCTAGAAAAAAGAGAGGTTACAAAAGTAATTTAATTATTTGTGCAGCTTTGAGGAGTGATAAAAGGTGCTGTCCGTATAAATGTTTGAATGCTACTGTTAGAAATACTCCTATTATGCATGTATACATGTTTATACATCAAAAGGAGAATCCTTGCCTTCAATTGTTATCATCTACCAATGGAAAATTCATAAAAGAAGAAAAAAAGAGAGAATTTCATTCTCCATCGGATGTTGCAGTAGTGGATTCTGATCGATCCCATCAAATCTCCAAATTGGATAATAAGAACCTCGATTCAGACATTCCACCTAAGAATGAACAAACTGTTGAAACGAGAAGTAATACTGTAACTGCAGGAGGGGAAGCAGCAACAGCAGCAGCAGGAGGAGGAGGAGGGGTGAAATGTGTACAATCCAAAAATAACTCTGTCATCAAAAATGGATTAAAAATTAATACAAAAAGTAGCACCACCAAATCAGGTGATCTTCATACAGGAATTGTTTCTAAAAAAAACAAATCGAAGGGCCATGGGAATGATAGAAGTGGAAGCAAAATTGGTAAGAAAAGAGGAGCAATGAAGACATCAAAACGGAGAATCGAAGCGGATCTTCTGAATGACATGAGTCTCGATGAGGAGGAAGACGAAGAAGAGGAGCAGGAAGAAGAAGAAGATGAAGAGGAGGAGGAGGAGGAGGAGGAGGAAGATGAAGAGGATGAGAACGACGATGATGAAAACGACGATGATGAGGATGACGACGATGAGGACGACGATGATGATTATTCAGATGAGGAAGAAGACGATGACGATGATGAAGATGATGACGATGACGAAGAAGATGACGAGGATGAATACAATTATAAAGGTCGTAAAACATTTATGACAGATCTTAGTAAAATTCACAAAGAAAAAGGGAAGAAAAGTGAAAAGGTTCTAGATTCTTCCACCCATTATGTAAAGAAAAAGGGAACCCCACAAGGGGTAGATCCAAATATAGGTCAGGGAAAGCTTGAAGACGAGGATGAAGGAGGAGAAGGAGGAAAGCTTGGTATACTAGGCCGTAGTAAGAAGAAGAAAAAGAAAAAAAAGAAAAAGGAAAAAGGGGAAAATTATAAGAAAGATGTGAGAAACTTGGACAATAATAATGATAATGGTGTGAATGAGAAAAATAAGATCGAAAACAATAAGGATATTTCAAAAAGGAAAAACAGTCATGAGGAGAAAGAAACTCTGAGCAGTTGCAACAATCGCGACAGCCCAGCTAGCGAATCTGTTAATTTCGATGGAGTACTTAGTGATCCTGCATCTGCCATGTACGGCAAAGAAAAGGAACACGTGGATTTATTAAATGATAGTGTTAGTAATTTACCACTTTACATTATTTTGGATTGTAGTGCAGTATTGGATATGAAGGAGCTTTGGAAAGATAAGTTATTTCTACCGTTCAGTTTCCCAGGCCTTCTTTATATGTACAATAATAAATTGTTGAAAAGTAACATCGAGAGGGCTAAGGAAAGTGCACGAGGAAGAGATATTTCAGAAGAAGTTGAGGAAATGGAAGAAGGGGAAAATGCAAAGCAGGTTGAGATGGACGAAGTGCTGAAAGAATCTCAAAATGGCCACATCAGAAAACATTCCAAAGGGAGAAGAATCGGAGCAGGAGGAAATGTTTTTTCCCCCTGTGTTAGTGGTGGTGACAGCAGCGTTAGGAGCGAGGTATGTGAAAATGACACGTTCATCTGCTTAATGTGCAGTTATGTAGCGAATGAACTAAAGATGGTATGTCAGAAAAGTGAAATTATAAGACAGAAAATGGTTAGTCTGAAGCTGAATATATGGGATAAGCTATCCGAATTGGGAATAATTGAATTTTTAAGTGTACCAAAAGATTTTAAGGAAAAAAAGAAAAATTTTTTAAATTCCTCTTTTTTAACAGAAGCACAAATAAAACTAGCAAATGAATATTATGATATTTCACAAGAAACATTACAAATGATTCAATTTGCAATTCTGTGGTCAACGTATATTTACAAAATTGGAAATAAAGAAATCATAATTAAAAGTGATGCAAAAGAAATAAACAAGACAGATGTGAAGAAAAGTAAAAAAACAATTTTTACAGAAGTTCTATATTTGACATCTTCTCCAAATATTTATTCATACTTTGAACATTTGTATGAAGAGGATATCAATTTGATTCTCCCTCTCTGTGTAACTGTTAATCAGATAAATAATTATATACAAAATGAACATGGTTACATCGTTGATTTATTAACAAATGATAAAGCAGCAGTAGATCCTAAGAATGTTAACTTTAATTTGAATAAATCCTTTTTTAAAAAATTTGTAAAAGACAAATATTCCAAATATTTGACAGATGATAGTAATGCGTACGACACATCAATTAGAGGACAGGTAGTAGCACCTTCAGGGATGGTGGTAGCATCTGGTGCTGGTAATGCAACACCGATTGCTGTGGGCACTGCAATACCTGGTTGCATGGAAGAACAAAGTAAGAAAAAAAAAGTGACAGATGTGTTAGGAGAAAATGGAAGAAAAAAAAAGGATTATGAATTTAGTTCGTCCATGAGGAAGAACACAGAGAAATCAAAATATGGAATGACAATAATGCATGAAAATAATACCTCAGAGCACTTCATGATTCATAGTGTTGATGCAAAAGTGAAAAAGAAAAAAAATTCCATAGGTGGTGGTGGTGGGGGAAGCATCAGTAGCAATCGAAGCGGTCATCAAAGTGGGAATAAAAAAGGAATTTCATCTGGAGATGTTCATAAAAATGGAAAGTTTATTCCAGAACGGAATAGAAATGGAAACGAGTATATTATGAACAATTGTCCCAGTGATAGACTTGTCTCAGGAGTAGTGGGGGTTCCTGATGAACCCTACATGAAGAATAACACAAGTGACATCTTTGACATTAAATCTGTGAAATCTTTTTCTAATGAAAATATCCTTAAATTATGTCAATTGGAGAATAATACTATATCTATTATGAAACCTCCTCATATCGGGATTATGATGGGAAAAGGAGAGGATGAACTTGAAAAGAAGAGGTTGGAGGAATCATGTTCATATCACAAGATGGAGGAGGAATATAAAAATGAACCAATGTTAAACACTCTAGAAGGAAATGTAATAAAAGAAGAAGGAATTGGGAATGCAAAACAGCAGCATTTTAATCTCCCTCAGAGAGGAGCAGATGGTAATAATGATAGAAGCAATGATGACAATGCTGCTGTGTGCATGTCGAACATAGGAATGAAGAACAATAATGATGATATGGATTGTAATGTCGAGAGGGATGATGGCCGCATCCATGGTGATGGCTTAAAAAATGGTAAAAAAAGTAATGTCTCTATTATGTATGCATCTACCATTGAAAATAAGCTTATGAATGATGTTAATATGGTGAAGAATAACTTTCCCAATGCTGTTGTTTCCACAGCATCACATATTGAAAGTTGCATAGAGAAGGATGGTGCAAATGTAACTAATCTACAAAAATCCAAAGGAGGAAAATTGAGTATTTATAATATGTTGGTTAATGCATTTAATGGGAAGAAAAAAAATGTGCAAAGAGAAATTGATATGGAAAACACTACAATCGATAGGAGTAATAATAATCATAGTCTGAATTCACATAACGGAGGAACTACTACTAATAACGGTAAGGATAGCGGTTATCTTGTTTGCAACAATGCTAGTGCAGCATCTACCAATTTTCAACCAGGACCCATGGGTTCAAGGGTGGCAAACAATAGCAATGATGAAAGCATCAGTGAAACGGGACTTATGCATGCACAGATGTTAAATAATGACAAATCAAATATGGCAAGCGATAAGCACAAGGACAAGCTGATTAACGATGGTAGTAACATCAACATGGGTAACAACAATAATAATGGCAGGAGCAGTAAAAAGATACTGGTAGATGAGGGAGAATTCCCCAATGAAACAGTGACTGGTTGTGGTGGTGCAGTGACGACACATGTTTCGAACCTTACAAATGACAAAAGGGTGCACGCAAACAATAACAGTGGCAGTAACAGTGGCAGTAACAGTGGCAGTAACAGTGGCAGTAACAGTGGCAATAACAGTGGCAATAACAGTGGCAATAACAGTGGCAATAACAGTGGCATTAATTTTAATAGGAACAATTTTAATAAGAATAAGAAGAGTGGAAATTCTATTCATGTCGAATCCAATTTGTTATTAAATCACAACAAGGCTATGCTGAACGGTTCACTGCCAGGCGAAAAGGGTGACCTATCCTATTCCTCCCAAATGGGTATTGGAGGGATTGGCAATGGAAAAATCAATGAACCCAAAAGGAGTGAACCCCAAACCAGTGAATCTAAAATAAATGAATCCAGAACCAAAGATGGAGGAATAGCTACAATCATGAAGAGGAACGACGAAATTGATACAAATGTTTTGGTTGGTGGAAATTTCCTTTTTAATGCCTCAAGTGTGGGAGCAGAAGGCAGTGTTGGAAATGCTGGAAGTGCTGGAAATGTTGGAAGTGCTGGAAATGTTGGAAGTGCTGGAAATGTTGGAAGTGTTGGAAATGTTGGAAGTGTTGGAAGTGTTGGAAATGTTGAAAGTGTTGGAAATGTTGGAAGTGTTGGAAATGTTGGAAGTGTTGGAAATGTTGGAAATATTGGAAGTGCCGGAAATTGCAAAGAAACATCGAAAAAAAAAGGAATAGAGAGCACACAAATGGGTTATGAGTCCTTAAATGCAAATGAAATGGAATTAAACACCTTGAGAGGTAGTATGCCAAAGAGCTTCAATGACAGTCTAAGTATGTATCTTGAGAGTAGTAATAAGAACAATAGCTGCTATGAAAATATGATTCCATTTTTTAATCAGAATTTGTTGAAAGACGAATTCGAAAACAATTTTATAACCTCTAGTAATAACAAGGCATCAGAAAGTGAGCAAGAAAATAAATTCAATCAATTAAAAAATATATACGACAAGTACAAAGTAGATATCATGAACACTTCTCTCTTGCTGGAAGAAATGATTTTGAATCAAAATGTATGCAAGTATATCCCATCCGAATTGTATAACAAAATTTTGAAGTGTTATGAGAGACTGGATTGTCTCTTGTCTGGCCTCAATGGGATTGGAACAACAGGACCTTTTGGAGGGATTGGCGCTGCGAGGGAGTTGAGTACTGTGGGTAACCTGAACGGGTTGAGCGATCTGAACGGGTTCAGTAATTTGAACGGGATGAGTGACCTGAACGGGATGAGTGACCTGAACGGGATGAGCGATATGAACGGATTGGCTGGTTTGAATGGATTGGCTGGTTTGAACGGATTGGCTGGTTTGAACGGATTGGCTGGTTTGAACGGATTGGCTGGTTTGAACGGATTGGCTGGTTTGAACGGATTGATTGATCTGAACGGTTTGAGCAACTTGAATGGACCGAATGGACCGAATCAAGATGTTTTATACGAAGATTTCAAAAATTATTGGGACGATGCTTTTTCAAAGGATGAATCTAACACAAAGACCTTAGGAGGCAGAGATCGATTGATGAATGGGAGCTCGAAAATGAACTTTAGAGGAGCAGATGTTAGCGAAGCAGGAGGTGCATACACGGGTTCAGGTTCAGGCGCACTTATGACGCATCCAGATTTTCTGGAAAAGACAACGAATGGAAGTAGCAATAAAAATAACACAGCTGTGAATAGCATGTTTTACAACACGATAAATGGAAATAGAGGAATTAACTCCGTTAGGGGATTGAATTGTAGTGCATTGAAGAGTGGCCTTATGAGTGCCAGCAGTAGTGACGCAATCAGTGGAGCTGGCACAATCAGTGGCAGTGGAGTTAATATGTCAAGTCTTCTGAACTGTCAGAACAACGGAACCGATAGTCCCGAGAAATCAGGGAAAATGGCATCCATGAATATGAACATTGGAAGTACTAGCAATAATGGTGACATAAGTTTCAGCACCATGAAGAACAATTCATCACAGAAGAAATACATAGCCAATGTTGCAGATGGTATGGTAGACAACCCAGGTTATAAGAACATGTGTAGTGGCCAAATGAACACAAACAGCAATGCTGGAAGCCATAACATGATTACGAACAGGAATGTGCAGTTGAGCGGAATGACAAATTACAACATGAACCACGGGGTAATAACTACAAACCTAAACATGTGTGGATCTATGAATATTGGGAAAGTGAAAGACCTAAAGAACCTCAATACAGTGTGCAAGGGAAAGGAAGGGATTCCAAAAAATATAGAATTGGATGTGGATGATTACAAGCACGTAAATAAAGTGCTAAATGCAAATAATAACATATTAAACATGAAAATGGGTGGAGAAAAAAATGTACTTGATTTTTGCAACAATGATAGAAGTGCTAATAGCATGGGTAATAACATAAACCATACACCCAACAAGGAGCAGCATTATGCACATAAAATGAACACATACAATGATATCAACAGTGGAGGAGGAGGAGGAGGTACCTGTGATTCCAATTTACTTGCGTTAATCAACATGAAAAAAAATAACAAGAGTGGTGCTGCTGCTGGTGTTGCTGGCTGTGCTACTGGTTCTGCAGGCGGTGCTACTGGTGCCTCTACCTTGATGAATCAGCAGAAGAATTTTGGAAATATCAACAGTGTGAATGAGCCAAATGGACTTAGGAACAGCAGTTATAAAAAGCTAGTGGATAATGAAAAGATTAACATGTATAACAATTCTGTGAGTAAGAATGTCGTGAATGAAATGAACCTGAAATATTTGGAAGTGTTAAACAGCCAATTAAATATTGCTACAAGAGAAAACAGAAAAAATGACTGTGACTCAAATGTTATGAACAAAAGCATGCGAATTTTCCAAAATGATCTTGATAAAAAACACAAAAATCCTCTAATCAATTTGTGTGAGAAGGGGGGAAACATAAAGAAGTTATAAATTTCTGTTTTTTTTTTTTTTTTTTCTTTATTTCTATATATGAAAGTTGGAACGTTTAAGGTGTTACTTTCTTCAGGATATTCTCCCCCTTCCAACTTCCAAATAAATTGCTCATTTCTCTTTTTTTTATAATTAAAAAAAGTTTACGTATGTTTCGAAACAGATCATTCGAAGAATTAGCTGTAGATAAAATGTTTTCCAAATTAAAAAAAAAAAAAAAAACAGCCAAAAAGTGGACTATATATATATGTATACATATATGTGCATGCAAATTTATTATTGCCTGTTCAGGTGAAATTGTTAAAATAAAAAAAAAAAAAAAAAAAAAAAGAGCTAGTCGGATCAAAATAAATAGCAACAGCATAAAAGTTGCATTTATACCACCTACCTGAATAGCAAACAAAACCGAGGAAAGTTCTAGATAAATGAAGACTGTACGAACACAATACAGTAGTGTGTATATATATATATTTAACCATGTTTCCTGAGTATCCCATTTTTTCATCCCTCCCCCCCTTCTTGGCATATTTTATGTATAACTATTGTTCGGAGAAAAGTTGGTGGTGGGAAGGGGAGAAAGGATTCATATTTTTGCATTTAAATAGTGTTAAACTTTATTTGCATGGGACTTTACGAATTGTTAAAAATTGTGAATTTGTGACAAATAATTTATTACACCCACGTAGGGTGTGTGTGTGGGGAATAATAGGCTGTATACACAAACATATTTACATGTACTACACATGTTAATACATGAATACAAAAAATGGCACCATATTTTGGGTACCCAAGTAAATGTAAAAACAAAAATGAGTACTAAGTATTTATTGTGAGATGTCCAGATGAGTAAATATGCATATATCCACTTTTTTTTTTTTTTTTTTTTTTTCCCCCCCTTTTTATTTAAATGATATAAGAACAAATTTTGAGTTTACAACTTTATCGGGACTTTTATGAAATGAATTAATAATTAGTAGATCACGATATTGCATTGTAACAAAAAAGAATAGATGAAGGAGAAAATATCACTTTGTTTTTAACTCCCTGTCGAGAAGGAAAAAGGGGGGGGGGGATTTTGTTGGATGATTATGTAAATATGATTGGTGTTTTTGTGTATGTACATGTACTTTTACAAAAAAAGAATTCAAGATGGATTTGTTAGGTTGTTTAATCTTACATCCCCAATACAGTTTTTAGCATTAAAAAGGAGAAAAGCGAATGGTGGTATGTGTGTTAAATGGGATATACATGCAAATGAAATACATCCCGTAACGATACTATGGCTTTTACTTCTTTTTCTTCCATTTTTTTCTTTCTTTTTTTTTTTGTTCTTTCTTTTTGTTTCTCTATTACTGTGTCTTCTTGCAGTAGGTATAACGGTTTTGTCTGACTCTCGCATAGTATACCATACAAAAACCAGGAGAAGGGACTTGTATAAGAACAAGCAATTTTGCATTTAGGAAAGCTTCTTATAAAGGTCAATGATCGTAACGTTCATGGCCATACTGAGACATACTAAGGAACACCGATAAAAATTTCCTTTGAATAAATTAAAAAATTTCCCGCTTTCTTCGGCCCATAACTTTTTAATTCCCTGTTGGACGTGGGGGAGGAGAAGTTACGCATCCGTGCATGTGCTTGTTAGAATGTGAGTGTTAGCACATGTGAAGTGTGCACGATAGTGTGTGCAATGGATGGATGTGTGTATATCGATTGATGGAGACATGGAATGAACTTTTTTCCTTTCTCATTTTTGCTTTATAACATCAACAGAGTTAGTGTAAAAAAAGGGGGTTTTATTTTTCTCCTGCAGTTGAAATCTGTGTTAGCAAGAGAAAAAAAAAAAACAAAAAAAAAAAAAAAAAGAGCTTATGTGTGTAAGTTAGAAATAGGAATATGCCTCAGATGAACACGTGCAAAATGACGACAGGGAAAATGAAATCCTCTCTCTCTCTCTCTCTATATATATATATATATATACATAAAAAAAGAAAGGCAAGGTAACATATAAGAGAGTGGGCATATCATATAGAAAAATTTATATCATGTGACAACAGAGCACAAACATAGAATACAAATATATGGACTGATAAAATGAAGCGGGCAAAATCTGATACCTTATTCTAACTACTTCAAGGGGAGATGTAATAATTCCAGACAACAACGAACAAATGAGGTTTAATTTGAGGTTATTAAAATTTGATGATTCCATTTCGAATTTTTTCATAAGATCCATTCCAAACTGATGAATCAATGTAAAGTAGAAAATGAATATTAAAAAGGAGGAATGGAAATTGAATTATATCTATTTGGTTGCGTGAAGGATGGAAGTAAGGCACGTATCATCCGACAGGGTAATCAAAAATGGAAAAAAAATTCACTTGATGAAATTTTTTTTTTTTTTTTTTTTTTTCTTTCGTTCTTTCGTTCTTTCGTTCTTCATTTGTTCTTTTCATGCGTCCCTTTTTTCGCTTCTTACATTTTGAAGAAAAAAAAAAGATCCTCCAAATATTCCATATGTTAAGCACGTGGAAATGTAACCTCTGTAAAGCTACTCATTCAGCAGAAAAGGTGGTAAATGCAAAAAAAAAGAAAAGTAATACACACGGTCTGTACTTTATTGATAAAAGGAGAATAGGAGTATAAAATTGCCAGTTGGCATAGATAGAATTGAATGTAGGGATAATGTATCTACTTTTTTATACAGCTATTCAGAATTACTCTAAAAAATCCATCTTTATAAATAAAATCCTTCAAAAGATGATAAGATGTCTTGTGTTCTTTGAGTTTTAAATATCGTTGTGCCTTCAGAGATGATAAGAAAAAAAAAAAAAAAAAAAAAAAAAAAAAGTTACAATAATGTATAAAGGAGAAACATGATTAGAAATTAAAAAAAAAAAAAAAAAAAAAAAAAAAATTCAATATTGCATGATTGTATAATCACCTGTAATCTCTCTTTAATTATGTCAATTGGGACAAACAAAATGCAAGAAATAGCCTCTGCCAAGAAAGCTGCAAGATGGGGTTAACATGCAATGTGTTCATATATTCGATTGTGTAACAATATAAAAAAAAAAAAAAAAAAAAAAAGGAGTAGATGTAGATCTGCATGGGGATATGTGTGATGACTTGATAACTGCATGAGAAAATCTCAATTTTGCAAAACACAATGAGGTTGCGAGGGGGATGCACGATATTCACGTTTATATAAATGTTCATGGAGAAGAGGTACCTGACAAGAAAAGTGAAAAAGTGAACGTGTAAGTAAAATAAACAGTGAAAGGAAGAAAAAAAAAAAAAAAGAAACTTAAATGTGTTGCTTTAAGAACTTATTGAATTTAAAAATGCCAACTCCAGAAATGATTCACAATGGAAAGACAGCTTCTCCTCGCAAGTTTGGTTTTTTATTATTTTATTTTTTGTTTCATTTTGTTTTGTTTTGTTTCATATTGTTTTGTTTTGTTTCATATTGTTTTGTTTTATTTATTTTTTTTTTTTGATAAGCGCCTTAGCGATCGAAGTGACCGACGTAAGACAATGGGGAAAAGCACAAGTGGAAAATAGACCCTACCTATGGAGAAGTAATTTATAGAATTCATTGAATTGGCATTCTGTTCAGGAGGGGGGTCTTTTTCATTCTCCAATTTTTTATTGCAATTTATTTTTATCGATTTTAAATATTCGAAGCAGCAAAAGTACAAACTGGTTGCCGGTATGGTTGTTATGGAGGAAAATCTACAAGAGGCATTGAAATGGAGAAACTTGTCTATTTTTAGTGGCAGAAATGAGATGGCTGTTGGTGTGTGGCCATGGTAATCCATTTTATGCAGCGATTGGTTCTAGAGGTGTTCTGGTATGAGGCATGCTCTTCCATCGTGCTGTGAACTATCTCTCCAAGCTCACAGGGATTCCCACATGCATATTATTTTTGTCAAAGTTCTGTTCATAAGTAACTTCCGCACACCATCTCACATCACGATGCACTTACACGAAACCACTATAGAGATTTTTATATCCAAATTTTCTAATAAATGAGGGGAGGAAAAATAAATTATGCCTTATCTTAAAAGGCTTGCTGCTGCCATGGTTGGGAATCCTACAAGTGGTTTCATTAACATTAGCAATGCTTCTACAAATTGCAGTGTTACTTGATGGACAAATTTTTGTGCATTTGGTAAAACTTCCCGTGTAACTTCCCATATGAACTTGCTTATTTGTTTTCATTGTGTCCAAAGGGTAGAGCAGAATTCTACTAACGGTAGAGGCTATAAGAGCCCCATAAAAGGTTTGTACTATCGATGATTCTACCATCGATATTAGCGTTGCATGGTAAATGTGCATAAATATGAAATCTCACATGTGATGAAACCCAAAGACCATAGGATGAAATTCAACTCCTTTTTGTACGAATTGTATGCATTGATTTGTGTGGTTCATCTGCTTTTTTGTGTTTTTTTTATTTTTATATATGTTCTGTCACATAACTGTATATGCATGCTTATTTACTACTATGTTGGGGTGGTAATAAAATACAAGTATAAAGTTATTACTTTTGTGATATTCATGAAAAATGGGGTTAGGCATACAGGGTGCTTATTTTATGAGACACAGTGTCCACAATCTAACACTATCATACATACATAAATACATACATACATACATAAATACATACATACATAAATACATACATACATAAATACATACATACATAAATACATACATACATACATACATAAATACATACATACATACATATGTGTGTGTGATCTGCGTTGATGATAGGGGAACTACAAAACATTCTTTCCATGTTTGAAGCTACTATGGGTGTCCATTTTTGACACAATTTCAATTCCATTTATTGAACTTCACCCATGATGGCTATTTTGGAACTCATATGACGTGCGTTACCAAAACCACATTTTGTGAATATAAAAGAAAAATATCTTACAAAAAATAGCAACACCATGGAGGAAATAATTAATGTTAGCAAAAAAAAAAAAAAAAAAAAAAACACTGTGCTGCAGGGGTGGAGAGGGGGAACGGGATTCTCACATTTGGAGACGAAGCTGGCATGGATATATACATATTTATATTGACATATGTGAGGTATGATGTACCTAACTCCCCATTGCAGTTGCTCTCGTTTTGTTATTATTATTATTATTATTATTATTATTATTATTTTTTTTTTTTTTTAACAAATCAGTGCTGTGTATGTATAAATGAACGGAAAGATTTCTACAAGTTTACTATTTGGAAAGTGCTGCAAAAATTGCACCGCTGTTTTTGATAAAAAATCGATTCCACGTATGTGCCATACTTGTATGAACACATGCATGTGTATATAGAGAGAATGAGGGTGGGATGGTTAAAGGTCAGAGGATCATTATTTTTTACTAATTTGTGCGCATTTACCTTCTGCTTTACATTTTGCTTTGCATTTTCTATGGTAATTTTGGAACAAGTCCTTCTCACCTATCTTTGCAGGTGCATGTAGTTGTAAATTCCTTATGTGAGGAACAAGGTGCCGCGCGCGTGAATAATTTGTGTGGCCTCATACACACGGGTTGTATATCCAATATGCATGCACATGTATATCTATATATATACACATAGATATAGATATATATTGGTATAGATATATATTGGTATAGATATATATTGGTATAGATATATATTGGTATAGATATATATTGGTATAGATATATACTGGTATAGATATATATATGGAACGGGTATAGAGAGTGAGCATATTTTTTTTTCCTGTTGAAGGGGGTGAGAGCATTATGTAGTCGATTAATTTTTTTTTTTTTTTTTTTTCACTTTGCAGCACATTATTTTATTTTGTTTTTCTCCTCTTTGTTTTTTCTTTACTTTTATTTTTGGATGTGTTTTTATCGATGGCAGTTTCCTGCGCCAAATGTTACCCTTCTAGCACATTGACCAGTTTTTTTTTTCGAGGTGTCATTTTTTTTTTTTTTTTTTTTCTTATATTTTGAAATATTTGGTACAATGATATATATTTACTTCCCACGAACTACATCCCCCCCAAATCAGGTTGACACTAATTGTCCACAACTTTGATGTCCCAGAAGAAAAAACAAAATGGAAGCACTCGAGATATAATACGTACAAAAATATACATTTATACATGATTGTACATACGTATATATATATAGACGCATGTAGAAAAAAAAAAAAATATATTTTTTTAAATTCCTAATTGAAAAGCGCACGTAAGTTCTGCCAACTCTTTCGCTCAACTCATTTTTAAAAAAAGGAAAAAATATAAGCCTACATTTTCTTTTTTACAACATGGAGTTTTGTCGGAACTGGCACGTCCACATTGTACGTACATATGTAAATATATATTGCTGTTCATACGTATTGCTGTTCATAATTTATTGCTGTTCATAGGTATTGCTGTTCATAATTATTGCTGTTCATACGTATTGCTGGTTCATACGTATTGCTGGTTCATACGTATTGCTGGTTCATACGTATAGCTGTTCATACGTATAGCTGTTCATACGTATAGCTGTTCATACGTATAGCTGTTCATACGTATAGCTGTTCATAATTTATTGCTGTTCATACGTATTGCTGGTTCATACGTATAGCTGTTCATACGTATAGCTGTTCATACGTATAGCTGTTCATAATTTATTGCTGTTCATACGTATTGCTCTTCATATGAATCGCGCGCATATGGGACATATTACGTATACATGAACATATTCACTTTTTTTACGCATACGTAGAATAATGCAGTATTGATGCATGCATACAGCACCGATAGGCAACATGTAAAAAAAAAAAAAAAACCATGGGGCTCGTTTAAAAAAACAAAACTAAAATATGCATGAGAAGACCCTGCCCCATCAGTTCAAGGGGACATGTAGGTATTACGACAGGGTTAAGTGCGTGAAGCAAAACAAATTGACAAAAAAACGTGGAAGGCAATGAATATAAGAGTAAAAGTACCGGCAATGGTAGTGGAAAGGGCGGGGCAAAAAACAGCTTTAACAAAATTGCAACAAAATTACAACAAAATTACAACGATGTACAGCACGAGATTACGACGATATTTTTTTTTTTACCACAATATGCTACAAGAAAGAGGAGAAAAAATATATAAATAAAAAAAAAAAAAAAATGAAAAAACAACAAAATGAATAAATACAATTAAACGAATAAATTAACAACTTTTTAGCTTTTTAACATTTGATATTCTCGCGTCGCCCCCGCTTCTTTCAACCTGCAATTTTAATTTATTATTTTTTTTTAATACATATTAAAGCTCAGTTTTAAGAGACAATTTTGAAAAACAGTTTAAAATAAAATTTTTAAAAAACATTTTCGAAAAACAATTTCAGAAAACATTCAAAAAACAGCCTTAAAAAAGCAGCTTTAAAAAAACAGTTTTAAGAAAACATCTTTAAAAAACGACTTTAAAAAAAACGACTTTAAAAAATGACTTTAAAAAATGACTTTAAAAAACTTTAAAAAATAACTTTTAAGAGATAATTCTAGCAGATCAATTTTACCTTTTTAATTTTTACCTTCTTTAAACATCCGAATTTTTTTTAACCTCGTAACCCTGTATAAACCATCTAACACTTTATCCATTCATTTGATTTGCCTCTACCAGCAGAAAGGTACTACGAAACTCCTGCTAACCCCACATTCCTATAACATTTTTTTTCCCGATCTATCCTGAGACGCACGAATTCCATCTTTTGTTTTGTCCGTAATCATAGAATAACACTCTCCAAGTAAGCAACAAATATGAAAGCATATGAAGCATGAAAATATCAAAATTGCTACAAAGCCTGCACCCAAACCAATATTATACATTAACACGTGCATGCCATAATATATATATATATATATATATATATATATATATACCATATCAACACTGACTTTGTTCTGTTTTCAAAAACTGATATTAACCGATTTTTCTTTCTCCCCAAGAATTCATTGTATATATCTTTTTAAAAACGTCTCCTTGATTTTTGACACCACTTTCGATATTGATTTTTTCTTTTTTTCATTTTTAAAAAAAATATTTATTACCATTACTTTTTTAATATATTCGGCAACGCGAAGAAGCTTAAACTAACGCCCCATCATATCTCCCAATATATTATAACCATTTAACGAGGATCAATTTTTTTTTTTTTTTTTTTTTTTTCCCCCTGTGTGTGTGTGTGTCCGCACTTCTCAATCCTTCGATTCTCACGGCTTACGCTGAACAACCTAACTTTTTACTATTCACACGATGGCAAAAAGAAAGTACATGTCCAAAGTTGATGGAAAAATAAATGTTGGAGAAAAGCATCAAGCTAAAATTCCAGATTTAGTTGTGACAGATGAAAATGGAAATGATGTAATAAACAATGAAATTCATGAAAATGGAAATGATGATATTGTAAATGATATTAGAGGAAATAAAAAAGCTAGAATTGAAGATGATGTTGTTTCTAACGGAGAAGGAAGTAGAAGAGGTGATATCATAAATGATGAAGTAGAATCCGAAATTGTAGATGCATCATCATCATCAGTTGCTGTGAATGAAAATACTGAGAATGATATTATCTCATCAAATGATAACAAAAATGAAGATGCAGCAGAAACTACGCAGGATACCAATGTAGAAGAGACAATGACTAATGACATTACTGAAAATGCAAATACTTTAAATGGTGACAACCAGGAGGATGCTGTAGATAACAATTCCACAAAAGAGCCTGAACCTGAGGGAAATACAAATCTAGAAGAAGCAGTAGCATCTGCTGAAAATGACGCAACTGCTGAAACTGCTGAAACTGCTGAAACTGCCGAAACTGTCGAAACTGCTGAAATTGCCGAAACTGCAGAAACTGCTGCAACTGCAGAAGAGGAAAAGAACGAAGAAAATAACTAATGATTGATTCTTACTCTATTATTGCAGAGAGGAAAAAATAAGCATATGAGGTGAAGGACTAATTGAGAAGTTTGGGAAGAATCTGGGTAACATGCAATGAATATGAGAAAAAATAAAATAAAATAAAAATAAAAAAAACGTCACGTTGAAAAAGGGAGATACTAAAGGTGAAATGGAAATAAATATGATGTTCCAAAAAACTGACGAATTCGCAAATTATATGTCAGAGAATCCTGCTATATTTATACAAAGAGTATACAAGAGAAGAGGAGAGAGACACGGCCCGTGTATATATATATGTTCGTATGTACATACGTACAGGTGGCATATGTCACCGATTTTCATAAACCGATAGATGATGCATCCGTTTAGGAGTTCCTAGAGCTTATGATTTAACATAATGGCATATGGAATGATATATGTTGGTGTGTGTAGGGGCTTCTGTGTATATGCGTGTGTGCGAAGAACACACGAAAAGCACTACATCCAAGAGTACACAGCCTACTTTATTATCCCTTGATTATTAAATTGGATTACCATTTTTAGCCATATTGTATATTATCCCTTCTTATGTTGGCAAAATTTGCTTTACGAAACATGATTCACGAAATGTAATTTATGAGATATAATTCACGAAATGTAATTTATGAGATATAATTCACGAAATGTAATTTGTGAGATATAAATTTAACTTTTTTTTTTTTTTTTCATTTCTTCACGTGTTCATTTGTTCATTTCTTCGTCCGTGTCTCGCTGTATACCATTTTACACAAAAATGATTCTTTTTTATTTTTTGTCTTTTAAGTTTATATCCATTATTCCATTTCTCCATCCCTTTTTTTTTTTCTTAAAAAAATTAGTTCGTTTGTCTTTAAGTCATATACAAGCCTGCATTTCTTTGCACGATTTTTTGGCAACTGTGCATATAGGGAAAAAGGGTAATAATGAAAAATTCGATCATGTTAAAAATTGAAATGTGAGTAAGACCCAGTGGGTGGTGGCGATGTTAATCTAGAAGTAGTGGTGTGTGTGTAGTGCTGATCTAATAGTAGTGATGTGTGGTACTGATGCAATAGTGAACAGCACGGAGAGGCGGGTAGAGATTGGTATCCTCATTTCATTTGCAGGGTTGATTAAGAAAGAACAAAACCATATTAATATAAACGTACATTTTACACATGCCATGGCGCTGTCCAAATTAAAGATATCGGAATGGCAAAAACGAGGTGTATGGATCAAGTATCCATTGTCCAATCTTTCTACTCGATGTTTTTTTTTTTTTTTTTTTTTTTTTTTTTTTTTTTTTTTTTTCTCCTAACGGGGAACATATTTTGATTTTAATTTACCTGAACGATTTCGAAACGGTTTAACTTGAGGATATCGTCATCCACAAATAAATCGGGGAAATTATTTTTGTAAAACTTTAAAAAATGGAAATAAAACGGGGAAGGGAAAAGGATATAAATGAAACGTAAAATTAATGTGCTTTCATACTATATGGGTACATACAGCAAGGATAAGAATATTCCCATGCAGAAGGGTGTTTTTTTTTTTGTTATTATTTAATCTACTCGTTCTCACTCTAGCTTCTTTTATGTGTTTTTTTTTATTTTTTTTTTTTCATTTTCGATGGTTCATATTTTTAAATTTTACATAATGCAACTGGTGTGGGTGAGGGGGGATGTAATCACCAGATAAGTATTCGTATCTCTTCATAACAGGATTGTAAAAACATGAAACCACCTCGGCATTTTCCCCATTTTCTGTGCTGTCGTATAATCTGAAAAGGGTGAATATGTTTAGAACAACAATGAAAGTTGAGAAAAACTGTGAAAATAAATAATTAAATAAAGCAGAATTTTATATATATTGCCTGTCTTTTCCCCTTTTTTTTTTTTTTTTTTTTTTTTTTTTTCTCTCTTTCTTTTCAATCTTACTCATCATGTACGGTGTTTATGTTAAATGGTAGGTATATACATATTAAGAGGACTAGACCAAATGTTAACAAAATACTTATTAAAATGTAAACTTCAGAATACTTAATGTTGTGGAGAATGTCGTTCCTTTTCCCTTCTGAATATCTTTTGTATCTTTCGAGTCTTTCACCTTAAAAGAAAGGGAAAAATATGAACAAATGTAGTTAACTAGCCATTCAACTAGCTAACTTAGCTGCTTTTTTTTTTTTTTTTATTATTTTTTTTTTTTTTTTTTTTTTTTATTTTATTTTTTTAACTTTTTTCCTCTTCGCTTTCGTAAATTGTCTCATCAATAATTTCTGACTTGTGCATGTGGTCATACTGTTTACTAAAATTTTTGTATTGAGTATAAATCTTCCGAAATATTTCTTCCTTATGCTTTTTACGTTGTTCGTTCTTTTCATTTATATAAGTGTCTGGGTGATGTTGCCTAAGAAGTTTCAGATATTTCTGGAGGGGAAAAAGTATATCGGTTATGAGATATACATGCACATCGTGATATATTTTTGTGAAAAAAACACTTACCACTTGAGAAAAATGTGCAAAAGGGTATATATACACCCTGAGCGCGTACATATTTAAATGTTCAATATTGGCAGTTTTTGTGTTTCATTTGTGATGGTATATGGGGGTTGTGCAGAACTTGCCAAGGTATTCCACACGTGCACACAAAAATACACGTGAAACAAGTAGAATACGTAAAACACGTAAACGTTTAAAACACGTAAACGTTTAAAACACGTAAAACACAAGTTAACATATTCTTCACACACTCAATTTTATCACACCTTTTTAATTTTTAACGCATCCTTATGATCAGCTATGTGGGTTAAATCCTCTAGTTTGTCATTTTCCAGCCTTTTCAATAATTCACAGTCTTCATTATAATCAAAATAGTTGCTGTTCTTATTACCATTCGCACTTTCCTTATGGAAACTGTTGTGGTGTATAACACAAAAAAAGTTATTTTTTATCTTATTATTAAGGGTTGTGCATTTTCGGAAAGTTACTAAGTGCCTACAATGCCGCTTCACAGGTAACAACAGCATTTTTTCATTATAACCTTTCAAAATATATTCTTCCTCTTAGCCACTATTCATAACATTTTGTAACGTTTTGCCTGACATGTTAATAAAAATAAGAAAAGAATACGAAAAAAAAAAAAAAAAAAAAAAAAAAAAAAATTGGAAACGGGGTTGGGATAAATAAAAGGGGGAAAAAGCGCTCTGCTACTAACTTGTGAAACACATAAAATTGAAAAACTTATTTTTATAAAGTTAAAGAAAAAGTTGTTGTGTTGGTTATTTGTGACACGAAAAAAAAAAAAAAAAAAAAAAAAAGAATGAAAAAAAGAAAGGGGGGAAAATAAACAAAATTGGCGAACACAAAATGGGTAAAAATATAAAAGAGAACATGGTAGGGTACAAAAACGTATGCAAAGAGGGTGTCATGCATATTTTTTTTCTTTCTTACGTGTACATATATATATATATATATAGGTACGCAAATAATTTGCAAATGTGCATAAATGTTTACATTAGTAATTTTTTTTATTTAAAAAAAAAAAAAAAAAGCGCTAGGAACATATAAAGCATACTTAAATAAAAGTACTGGGTGATAAGATGATAAAAGGGAAACATCCCAACATGTAATGGGATGTAGAACAAAAGTACAGAAGGGGGTAGAGGTTCAAATATATGGTTAAATGCCTCTATATGGAGGAGTGACTATGTGTAAAACTGAGATGGGAGAGAGATTTGTGGGTTTAGGGGTTCAGGGTGTGAAAACATTGCCCGAGAAAAAAAAAAAAGAGAAGGGGGTTCAATATTTGTTAATTAAAGGGGGATTTTGTTGCAACAATTTTTTGGCGTTCCCTAAGAAAAAAAAAAAAAAAAAAAAAAAAAAAAAAGTGTTACTGTTTTGAGCTCGTGCTAATTTTAGTGCCTGTGTGTATAAAATACCCATGGGGTGGGGGTTTCCGCACGGTGTCAGCTTGTACACAAAAATGTTGACATCATAAGAAATGATTGCGTTATACATAAACATCACTGCATGGATGTTTGAATTCGCACGCAACCACATTGTGCAATCCAGTTATGAATTTCCATTTTTGTCTGAGTTCATACTTTCTCTGCGTAAGATATTTCTGGTTTCGGTTACTCGAACTTTCCATTACTTTATGGGCTGGAGGCATTTGCGAAAAGGGTTCTTCAATGGGGGTGGAAGTGTGAGGGAATAGGTATGTGTGGTCAAGCACAGAGAACGGTGGGGTTTTCCCACTCTGTCTGTCTGTCTGTCTCTCTCTCTCTCTCTATATATATATATATATATGTGTATATATGCTTCTGCTTGCTGTGGTCGTTGCACAAACGTGTGGATATGCTCGTGCATGTATACACCTCCCACCCATCCCCTTATACGGGCGTGAGAGGGAGGATCTGTGATGGTCCTTACGAGGGGCGTAGTTCGGAAGAGAGTCGTTCCTTGGTGGGGGGGAGATCGCACCCCCAGCTTTCGAATCATCAAAAAGTGGAATGTTGGGGTTAACTAAATTATTCGTTATTTTGTCATTGGTTTCTGTATGCTCATTCTTTTTGTTTTCGAAGGAGTTGTCCTTCATCAAATTCGCGCTCATCCGTAAATCGTCCTTTTTCTGCAATGGGATCAAAAAAAAAAGGAATCAAAAAGAATGAGGAGTTTAATGTGCATGCATCTCCACGGGGGGTTGGCAGCAACAGATGTGCCAAAAAATGGAATAAAATAGAGTGAGCCACACAAACGGATGCAGCGAGAAAAGCAGATGATGAAATGGTAACAGAACGGTTCGATGTACTCAACGCATAATAAGCGTGTGTTCCTTCTAGTCAGTTTTTTATTTTTATATGTACAAAAACTCACCACATTTTTTATGCTATCATCAGAGGGCAACTTCATCCTGTTTATATTACCATGTACAGGAAAATTATTATGCTCGGTTACGTTACTCTTTTCTGGAATAACTGTATTTAACCCTGCCGATGATTTCTTCTTTGGAATTAGTTCATTTACATATTTTTTATTCTGAACATTGTTATTGAGGTGCATAAGATTATTGTTTAAATCAGGAATGAAATTGCCCATAGGAGAGGTCGAGAGGAGGGAACTTTTATTTTGGATGTTTTTCATGTCGGATTTCATCTCATGAATATGCTGTTCATTGGGAACATACATCATGGCATGAATGGGATGATCACTCTGTTTGGGCGATTGATTTGCACGGCTTCTTGCATGCATGCCTTTGATTCCATCTTCACTTGTTATCTCGCTTGGTGCGTCGTTTGGTATCTCGCTTGGTGCACCGTTTGGTATCTCGCTTGGTGCACCGTTTGGTATCTCGCTTGGTGCACCGTTTGGTATCTCGCTTGGTGCACCGTTTGGTATCTCGCTTGGTGCACCATTTGGTATCTCGCTTGGTGCACCGTTTGGTATCTCACTAGGTATATCACTTGGAACACAGCTTTGTGCACCAGTTGGAACACCCCTTGATGCACCAATTGTCGAGTCCTCTCCGTTCATAGGGTTGAACATTTTAGACATGTGCGAAAAACCATTTCCACTATCCATGTCACCCTTTGGAAATTCATCTCCAAATTTCACGTACTCAGGAGGGGGGCCCAAATTGGAGAAGTTAGCAGCGTTCACCACGGTACTTGCGATATTCGGAGTGTTCAACCTATTGGTCTTCTTCGTCATATTTGGAGTGTTCAATCCATTTGAAACTTGATCTATGTCGCTTAAATTTTGAAGGTTTATCATGTTGACGTTAAAGTTAGGATTGTTTCTACAATTGTCATCTTGCGTATTCTGATACGTAGGTTGTTCCAGACTGTATAAATAGATATCACTCTTTCCATTTTCATTACTAATTCCATTGTATATAAAATTGTTTCCTCCATTATTTACACATAGGTTATCACTGACAAGACCATAGCTTGTAGATGTTTTTTTTAGTGAAAACAAATGATCTCCTTCTTCATATGCATCGTTATGCTGCTGCTGTTGCTGTTGCTGCTGCAATAGGCTATATCTCAATTTACCGCTTCCACTGTTTTCTTCAAATCCACGTTCATTTATGTAATTATTTTGTAATTTGTTCATGTTGAAATTATCATCCAAGTTTCTTCCTCGTCCTTCTATCCCCACTCCTCCGGGTGGTGCTAATGTTGGCCGTAGAGATGTCCCCATCGCAGGTCCAATCCCTGATCCCAAATTCGTGGCTTGTCCATTTGCTCCCAACACATCTAAATCTAAATCCAAATCTAAATTCATTTCCATATCAATTGATCTCATCCTGGCCGCGTTGACACCGTCACCTGATAATTCACTTAAAATGACATTGGATTTTTGGTTAATACTTTTTAAAGCTTGTGTAGAAAGGTATGTAAAGATACCAAGATTGTTTATATTCGATATAATGTCATTGTAAATTTGTTTATTTTCTTTATTTATTACAGCACTGTTAGCCAATAATGTTTCTGTATTTTCTAAAACATCTTGTATGACATTTTCATAATTAGACATTGTTTTTTTATTTTCAACAAAGTATAAAATTCTTTTTAATAGATTTTCCACATATATATCATCTGATTGTTTATTTTTATTTTCTTGTTCACTTTTCCTTTTTTCATTCTTAAATATATATTTTTTTATAAAATATCTTAACACGTATAAGAGAACCATTATCACTCCTAGTCCATACACATCTCTGTATTTATGGCTACCAATTCTATGAATCGATAGCACGGTCATAAGTATCACTTCAATTTGATGAAGTGTTTTAGAAACTATTAAATTTTTCAACGGAATTAGAAAATGAGTATATCTATACATCACTCCCAATTTCACAATGATACATATTTCACTTAACAGTTCGAAAAAATATTTTATCGATTCTGGCTTGTTAATCAGCAAATCGTCGTACTCATCCTCTGTCTCATGTTCATCTTTTGTGTTTTTTTCCCTCGGATCATTCTCCTCCATTACATCTATTGAGGCATATGTCGTAGCGTCTGCTTGCCAAGAGTCACTTTTCCTCCTTTTCTTCTTCATCTTCTTCTCCTTATGATTTGCATTTTTTTTTATTCCCTTTTTTTTTTTCCTTTGGGTGCTTGCACTGCCATCTGATTTACTGTTCATTCGGTCATTCCAGTTGTGGCTCGAACTATCCGTTTCTCCCTGAGTCTTGTTTGTTTTCCCTGCGTTAGTTTCGTTTGGGTAGTTCTTATCTTGTGACAATTCTTCCATTTTCATAAAATCCTTTTCGAAGCTGAGAAAGCTCTCCGAATTTTCTTCTTCGCTTGGATCAATTCCATCTTTGCTCCTCCCTCCACTGGCACTTGATTTGTTTTCATCACCACCATCATAAGCAGCATTATCATAAGAAGCATTTTCCTCATCAACATTATCATAAGAAGCATTATCATAAGCAGCATTGTCATCATCAACATTATCATAAGAAGCATTATCATAAGCAGCATTGTCATCATCAACATTATCATAAGAAGCATTTTCATCATCACCATTTTCTGCCCCTTGCTCCACATTTTCTGCCTCTCCTTCTGCCCCTTGCTTTGGCATCTTCTCACCCTTCATGTAATTGTCTGCACCATGGTTCTGATTCTCTTCCAACCATCTGTCTAACATTGTTTTCTTCATCATCACATATCCGAATGGTGAGTAGATAATATAATTCCATTGTGCTTCTACTTTTCCACTATATGCAATTAGTTTATCAGCAATGGTAGCGAGGTGTTGGCCACATTTCGAAGATTTCAAAATTGTAATAATATTCATTTTCACACGCAAAGACATTTCATCATGACGGGGGATATGGTTTATTATATTTCTATAATATGTCATTATACATTCTCTTATAAAATGCAATACTCTTCCAATCATGATGCTTGGATTCGGATAAAACATTTCTTTATGAGCACTTTGGATTTCATCATTTGGGTTCTCATGGTCATCTTTCCTAGGTGCAGAATCTAAGGTGCCATCCAACAGATCATCCAACATATTATTCAACATATGATTCAACATATCAGCATTTAATTTTTCTTCTTTTGTCTTTTGCTCCATTCCACTTACGCTTCCCTTGCTATTTTTCCTTCCATTGGGTTCATCCGTTGTGTGATTCCTTTCTGATTCTATATAATTCTCCCGCTCACCATTGTTGTTTTCATTGATTTCCTTTTTTTTCTGTGTCTTTCTCGAAGTGCTCTTTCTATCGCTATCGCTCCTGTGCGATGATATTGCAATTAAAGAGCTAATCAGAAGGATTCTAAAAATTTTCATTTTTCTTTACCGTTTCATGTTTGTCTCAGTCTCTTCTTCCCTGTTAATGCTACACCTTTTTTCCTTTTCTTGGATTTTTCCCCTGCACCCTTTTTTTTTTTTCAGCTCGGGTCGATAAGTATACAAAATTGTTCTATTTCTACGAGATTGTTTTTTTTTTTTTGGTATTTTTCCCTTTTTTCTCTTTTTTATTATTTATTTATTTATTTATTTTTTTTTTTTTTGGAATCACACATTTCTGTGTTTTTTGCCTATGTTCACCTGTGCGGAAAAAAAAGTATCTCGGATGAGTAATTATAATCTCTGAAAAGTGGCATACGAATAAATAATCGAGAAGACAATCCGTGGGGTTACGTAGATATTCAGGTTTTGTATGAACATGTGCATTCTAATGTAAGGCTGAGTGTGTGTTTCAAAGAGGTTCTTAACTTTTTGGTTCTCCTTAAACGCTTGTCCCTCTGGGGAGAGCGATGGATATTTCATGCGTGCCTGCTTTTCGAGCCGAATGCAAAAAGCAAAAGTGAAATAAAGCCACGTGAAATGGTGTTACTTGCACTTTCACTAGTATGATAGCTTAAAGCGATTACACAAAATCTGGGTAATGCTGTATGCAAAAGAAAAAATGGGTGAAAGTAAGATCACAAAAAAAGGAGAGGAAAAAAAAAAAAAAAAAAAAATTACACCAGAGTTGGATACACTAAATTTGAAAAATTAAGAAAATTGTACATCGAGTGGGTTATAAATTTCCAACCTGTTTTTGTACCAGGATGAGTATTTGCTTTTTTTTTTTTACGTAGTTTAAAAAAATGTATTTGTATATATATATATATATATATATATATATACACTACAATTGGGTTTTTTTTTTTTTTTTTTTTACTGTTAGGCCAAAAAAGAAAAAAAAAAAAAAGGGGTCGCGGTGATGCAATAGCAATGCTGGTGTATGAAGTTGGGAGATGTATAAAAAATACACATAATATACAACATATATGTACATGTATTTATTAATGTGATATTTTTTTTTTTTTTTTTCGTTTTCACCATCCGTTGGAGGAGCATTATTTTCGATTAGGCTTTGCCCTTTTTTTTTTGTCATCCCTTTGAATTGCCAGCTTGTGATGTGCATTTTGACTGCTATATGTATTATTTTCACCTTTACATTTTTTTTCGTTTCTTCACTGTGATTTTTTTTGTTTTCTTCACTGTCGTTTTTTCGTTTTTCCACTAATATTTTTTCGTTGTATTTTTTCATTTTTTCCACGGGCCAATGGGTGGTGTTACCGATGGCCGAATCTGATGAACTTATGGTTTACCATCCCACTCCCTCATAACTTATGTACATTAGGAAAACAATAAAAAAAAATCATTAAAAGGCTTTTGGCTAAGTTTTTTCCTCTTATTTCCATCTCACGTTTGTATTCTCATTTGGTTTCATTATTTGATACATTCGCTTTGCTTACCCCTACAAGGGAATTTATTCTATGAGAGTAATTCTCCCTTACACATTTACTCATCCTTATATGTTTTTTTTTTTTTTTTTTCTTTTTTTTTTCACATTTTCTCCCTGACTGTTCATACACTTTTACCCTTTTTACAATTTAAAAAAAAAAAAAAAAAAAATTAATAAATGTATATAGCATACCCCTGCGATAGCTAGAGAAAAGGAAAGAAAAAAAAAAAAAAAAAAATCCGATCTACAATTTAAACAAACATTTTATAAAATGCTAATAGAGAAATGTAATACATAAATATCTCTCGTGTGTCTATTTCAAAACATGTGAAATTGGAAAATTCTCCTGAGCCGTTCACAGAGCACGGCTGAAACGGGGCGAAGTGCAACCGAAAAGAAAAACAAAAAAGAAAAACAAAACAAAACAAAACACGTGCATGTGCCATGTGAGCACACGAAACAATGTAACATATCGAATTACATCGCAATACACACCACAAAAGAAATTCCACTTTTTTAACAGATGACGAGAAACCAAAGTTCGAGATAGGATTTTCTCCATTCTATTTTATTTCGTATCCCTTATATAATGTTAAAAAAAAAAAAAAAATTAAAAAAAATGTACAACTACAAATCTGCATTTTTAGACAACACCAGAAGCAGTTTTTTTTTTTTTTTTTTTTTTTTTTTAAAACCCATTTCATCCTATATATTCCTGCACTTCTTTTGTTTCCCTATATTCCGCGTTTGCAGATTCAATGCAGAAGCATATTATATAAATATCTAAACCATTATGATGAGAATGTCAAATATAGTCCCTTGGTTAACATCAACAATTTAAATATAAAAACGTATGTCCTTTATATATTTAAAAGCTTGCACCAGGTACTGCACCTTTGTCTTCTCCGTCTCTTTCTTCATCTTGTTTTCTTCATCTTGTTTTCTTCATCTTGTTTTTCTTCTCATATTTTTCTTCTCTTATTTTTCTTCTCTTATTTTTCTTCCCTTATTTTTCTTCTCTTATTTTTCTTCTCTTCTTTTTCTTCTCTTCTTTTTCTTCTCATCTTTTTCTTCTCTTCTTTTTCCGTATGAGTTTGACCACATAGAGTAATCGCTTAGTGCTTAGGATGAGATGGCCTTGCCATTCTCTCACGATTTCCCATTTCCCTCTGTTTATATATTTCATGTTTCATATTCACGTCTTGTTAACATTACCATTCCAGATTTATGACGATGAGGGAATAAGCGGATTATACAAAGGGTTAATACCCATGTTGGCTCATATAATATCCAAGTAAAAAAAAAAAAAAAAAAAAAAAAAAAAAAAACATGTCTATTCATATGAGGAAAGAATAAAAAATATATAATGTGTATGAACAGTCAGAAGAATAGGATTGAGGAGTGAGGAAAAAAAAAAAAAAAATTCTCTCAACAGTTTATTTCATCCTATTCCATTTTGTTTTCTTTCTTTTTTCTTTTTTTTTTTTTTTTTTGTTTACATTTTACAGGAAGTCGATTTACTATTTGCTAGAAAAAATACACTTTATCATAAGGAAAAGAAAAAGTAGTTAAAATGAGAAAAGAAACTAAAACGGGAAACATATATTATACATATCCATTTGGTACATTTTTTTTTTTTTTTTTGATAAAACATGGCCATCCCTTGTAGTGTCTTTTTTATATGATTTAATCTACTCCACTAACTTTTTTCCTAACCTTCTATCCTTCCAAATCACCCATATTATAGTTAGAGATTTACAGAGAAATCAATACAATAGTAGAAAGGAATCATCAAAATATGGAAATGGATTTACAAATGAGAATGAATTCGAGAATGAATGCGAAAATGAATGCGAAAATGAATGCGAAAATGAATACGAAAATACAAGCAATTTCATTGGAGATGCAATAAATTTGCGAGTTGTTAAACAACTGAATTTTGTTAATGACGAAAATGATTTCATAAAAAAAAAAAAAAACAAGAAATATTTCCATTTATCATTTTATCACAGCTTTTACGAGTACCTTAGTTGCATTTTATCCTATCCCCTCTTGAATATATCAACCAAGTTGATTATTTTTCAGAACAATTCCATGTCACTCATAAATAGTAAAAATATATGCCTGAGCGCATGCCACGTCCCGAGATTTTATCACAGCATGCGCATGTATGAGCTCGTGACGAACGGGCCTAGCGTGGCATGTGTGTGTGTGTGTGTCTACCAATGTGCTACCCGCTCAGTTATAACATCTTCGTTTTGGCTTTTTTTTTTTTTTTTTTTTTAAACCTTTAACAGATCTGAAAAGTATTGTTCACTTGACTTACACATACGACGGAATCTATGGGTTCTTCAAAGGATTACATAACTACCTACTGATACTATCTATGGAGAAAATACTCAATTGTTTTTTGTACAGAACCTTTTCTGACACCTGTTCCTATGACAAGGTGCTTACTATTAAGGTGGTCTTATCAAGTTCGTGAAAAAATTATCAGGAAAATATGAAGTGACAAGTGTTCTACTTTTGTGACCCGTGGTGGGAATGACGTCTCTTTTTTGTTAGATTTTCCTCCCCTTACCACCCACGGGTACTCCCTCTTATGCTTGATGATTTAACATGTATTCATTTTTCCATTTTATCACTTTTTTTTTTTTAATTTCTTAGCATGCTTAAATACCATCATGGCTCCCTACATTCAGTACTCCATCCTCAACAGATCTCAGTCGCTTGTTCCGGTATAACCCCTCTATTTTCGATTTTAATTTTTCTTTTGCCAAATCGCTAGCTTTTTTCCCTGTTGATAAGCAGTTTCTGCAGATATGCAGCTCACCACATATACATACAAAATACCTACATGTTCAATATATCCCCATCGTCTCTCCCCCTGCAGGGACTTTGCAAAGGTACAACTTTTAACACCTTTTTTTGCAACTTCCATTGGAAAGTAAGTCTCATTTTACGCATGTACACTGTGGTCTTTTTTTTTTTTTTTTTTTTTTTTTCATTCAATTATATGATCACAATGGTGTTTCATTTTTTTTTTTTTTTTTTTTCATTCAATTATATGATCACAATGGTGTTTCATTTTTTTTTTTTTTTTTTTTTCTTTTTTTTGGTGTCCCCATCCTATATCTGCAGAGTCATCTATCGAATGTATCCATTGGTTTAGCAGTAGCTGGGATTCAGCTAATAGTAAGATAAAACGGGAACCCAAATTGTGTGTATACCACAAAAAATGTGGAATATTTGTCTTCCAAGGGGGTGGGGTGGGGGGTTCATATAAACACACGTTATGAAGTTATGCACATTATGTATCTTATGATTTATGCATCCTATCCTTTTTTTTATTATTTTGTAGATTATAGCGTTTATACCAAAGGATTCTTCAAAAACCGATGAAGTTATGGACCAAGAAAAAGATGAATATTTTTGAGTAGAATATTTACCTCAAATGGATTTCATTGAGAACATATGGGAGAAAGTGAAAGTGGTGGTAAAACTAAGGGAAATAAACAGAGAAAAGAGAAAAAAAAAAAATAAAATAAAAAAAAAAAGGGGAAGAAACGATGTTTTCCCCATTTTTTATACCATAAGTTTCATTTTTAATTTTTCATGAACCGCAGCCTATAAAAAAACATTTGAATTTTTCTTCCGCGTCTTCATTTTTAACCCCCTTCCCCCCCCCCCCCCCCCTTTGTGCTCCTTAAAAATGCACATGCTCACTGCTCCGTTTCTCTTTTAAAGCTCATATGGTTCCATTTTTTTTGGGACGTATAACTATATGTGTGTACATGCTTGGTACTGTCTCATTGAAGCAAGGATAAAACACCCTAGTGTTTAAAATATACATACATACATACATACATACATACATACATACATACATACATACATACATACATACATACATACATACATACATACATACATACATACATACATACATACATACATACATACATACATACATACATATATATATATATATACACGTGTACGTACACGCCTACCCATATGGTTTGAAACTTTTACTCTGTGATAAAAAAACAAAAAAAAAAAAAGAAAACGGAGACGACAACTTCATGTCTTGTTAATATTTTCCCCAAGGGGGTAGTACATGCTTAAATAGAACATTCCATTTGATCAAGCACATATGTGCAGAACACCCGTTTTAGAAGTTCTTCAGAATTTTCTTCTATTATCTTGGAACTTATTCGAGATTTTGTTTACATTTCGGTTTTTTCTTTTTTTTATTTCGTTTATAGTTAAGCTTTCTATACGTTCAGTGAGTTGATTGGTTGATTATGCTTATCCAGAATATGAAATTAAAAAAAAAAAAAAAATGCTTCTAATGTGCTACTTTCCAACCAATTATAGAAACATTCAGAGATGCGGGTAGCACTTCTCTTGTTGTTATTTCAAAGTTCCCATTTAAATACGGGAAATTTGAAAAAAAAAAAAAAAAAAACTGTGCTTATCCTTTATTTGCGCACAATGTGCTTTTTGCAATTTTTACGCCTTGCCGTGCAGGTGATGTCCACTCCGGTATTAAGCTATTGGAGTAAATTTCTCGGTCCCATTAAGCAATTGATATTTTAGTGACAAAATTGAGTTAATATGATGTAATGGGTCACTTTTTTTGTTTCCTCCATTTCTCGACCAACCAGTGGTACACACACACAATCATATATATATGAATATGTACATATATATACGAATATTTACATATATATACGAATATGTACATATATATACACATTATTTTCCGCATCGGGGCACTAACCACTCCGTTTCATGAATAAGTCAGGTTAAAAATTCATGATTTGGTTTTTCTAGGCCTGTTTTTTTTTTTTTTTTTTTTTTTTTTTTTTTTTTCCCCCTTCCCCTTCCTCTCTGTTACATCCAGTTCACGTAAAGTGAATAGGAAATATGGCATAGTGTGGGAATTCACTTTTTGCAGGAAAAATATGATAACTTGTATGCTTGCCTCTTCTCGTGAATTTACAACAGAGGGACACACTAATTTCCATTTGGTGTGTCTTAAGGAAAGATGGTGTTAATAATGTTCTTTTATTAACACATACATAGAAATGGACAGTTTTGAGAAATGAATTTTGTTAGCGTTCAATTTTGCTAGTGTTCAATTTTGTTAGCGTTCAATTTTGTTAGCGTTCAATTTTGTTAGCGTTCAATTTTGTTAGCGTTCAATTTTGTTAGCGTTCAATTTTGTTAGCGTTCAATTTTGTTAGCGTTCAATTTTGCTAGTGTTCAATTTTGTTAGCGTTCAATTTTGTTAGCGTTCAATTTTGTTAGCGTTCAATTTTGTTAGCGTTCAATTTTGTTAGCGTTCAATTTTGTCATAGTGTTCAATTTTGTTAGCGTTCAATTTTTCTAGTGTTCAATTTTGCTCGTCCTTTTCACTGTTTTTAAAAAATTGGAATGTGGAAATAAACGAGTGGGACGGATGGTCATGGATGAAGGAGCCATGTCATCCCTTTTGTCCCAAAGGGGTTAATTCACAAAAATCCTGTTGTAGAGAATTAGCAATGTCGCGCACACATGTACACATACTTAGGAGTATTTGTACAAAGTGCAACTTATTTATCGCGAGAAACTTAAAAAAAAAAAAAAAAAATGCAAGGATGCTAAAAGAAATGGAAAAGAGGAAAAGCGGAAAAACGAACAAGTGTATACCTCACACGAACGCGAAGCATGACATTGTCTATGCGCATGTAAAAAAAAAAAAAAAAAAAACTCCATCAAGATGTCCATCACCAAAGTTTCGTAATCATGTAGTGGCACACTCATCTTCTGCTCGGTCTCCCTCAATTTTTGTGTCTTATTTTTATTGAACATTTATGTACACATAAAATTAATTTCTTAAATGTTGGAATATATAATCCAAGTGTGTACACACAAGGGTTTGTAACTCATTCGATATTTTTACCTGACCCGTTCATAATTTTTTTTTTCATGATTTATGTTTACCAAAAAATTGAAAAATCTTCTACATCATACTGGTAAAAGTTGAAAGAAGAGAAGTTTTTTTTTTTTTTTTTTTTTTTTTTTTCCTTTTATAAAATATTTATCTTACGTATAAAATTTAAACCAACTTCCCTGCTTTATATGTCATCATATTTACAATTTCATAACCAGAGTATGAACATAGCGAGGTACAATTTCAGTTATATACATAATTGGTGAAGGTCTGTGTTTTAGTAAGAACTAATAATTTCGTACATTTCCTGTTTTGTGTGATTTTTTGTTTTCCATACAGACATTTTTTTTTTTTTTTTTACCACTTGTTTCAATTTCTTATTCAATATTACTCACCACACAGGAATATATTGTGATATCCCCATTTGAGTAACAAATTGTGTGGTTCCTCAAACAAATTGTCAAACGGTCTAATCATTCTTACAATTAAATATGAAAAGCTAGAATTTCATTTCATGTTGTTGTAAGTGGGTATACGCGCATATGAAAGCTTATGTGGGTGTAGATACGACCGTGTAAGTATTTTTAAAAAGTGAACACTATGATTATCATTTTATAAGCATATATGTATATCAGAAACGCACACCCTTCTTCTTCTTCCTCCATCCCTTATTCTTGTTTTATTTTATTTTATTTTGCTTATTCGTAGTAGTGCTTTCCTGGCTCGAGAAGCTTGCACCTACTTTTTTAAGATATTACAAACAGCCAAATTTTTTTTTTTTTTTTTTTTTTTTTTTTGATAATACATTTTCAAAGCTCGCTCAAAAATAAAAATATATATTTGTCAGGAAATTCAGGATTTTTTTTTTTTTTTATCTTGACTTTTATCTTATACATATATATATATATATATTTTTTTGCATCATTGCTTAATGTTTCTATTTTGTTCTGTTTTCTTTTTTTTTTTTTTTTTTATACTTACTAAACAAGTCTACACAAATTAGAAGACAGAAAAAAGTATAATAAAAGAGGAAAAAAATAGAGTAAAATAGGATAAAATAGGATAAAATAGGATAAAATAGGATAAATAGAATAGCACAAAATAGAATAAAATAAAGTAGAATAAAATAGAATAGAATAAAATAGGATAAAATTACATGACTAATGTTGTAAGAAAAAAGTAACATGTTCACATGCACACACATAACACCCGTAATTTTATGCATACTGCTAAACTGTACTAGCTATTTTTTTTTTTTTTTTTTTTTTTTTTTTTTTTTATTTGATTGCCTAAATTTTTGTTGTTTACACACTTTTCTGTTACACCACATGGCACATCATATTGTTAAACATTTTTTCCTTATTTTTTTTTTTTATTTTATTTATTTTTTTTAATATTATTTCATTATTTATTTAATTTTATTTTATTTTGATTCTCCCCCTTTTTTTTTTTTTTTTTTTTTTTTTTTTTTTACTCCCTTAATTATTCGCTTTCCCGTGTGCATTTTTTTTTTTTTTTTTTTTTTTTTTTTTTTTTCCCTTTCTTTTTTTTTTTTTACCTGTGGTACAACAGTACCTTTTTTTTTTATAGTTGTACATTTTGAAAATTTGACTTTCGTTTTCTCGCTTCTTTTTTCTTTTTCATTTTGCTCTTTTTTTTTTACCGTTTTTTTGTTTTATTTTTTTTTTTTTTTTTTTTTTTTTTTTTTTCTTTTTTTTTTTTTTTTTTTTTTTTTTTTTTTTTTTTTTTTTTTATTTTTTTTTTTTCTTTTTTTTTTTTTTTTTTTTTTTTTTTTTTTTTATTGTTTCCCTGTCGTTCTTAATTTTTCACCTGTGGTACAACAGTACCTATTTTACTTATAGTTGTACATTTTGAAAATTTGACTTTCGTTTTCTCGCTTCGTTTTTCATTTTCAATTTGCTCTTCTTGTTCTACCGTTTATTTGTTTTATTTTATTTTTTTTATTATATTTAATTATTTATTTATTTGTGTATTTATTTGTTTATTTATTTTCTTTTTCGTCACGCATTAAACACTCAGAAACCGCCGTGTTCATTCTCGCAATTCTTAATTGCGTGCCCTGTTACACCACACTATTTGCACCCTACTTCTCTTCTCTCCCACGTTAGATGCTTTCCTCTTCAATTCCCAAAAGATACATTTTTGAAAAAAAGGGAAACGCAACAGAAGCAAATTTTCTTGGTTGTAAAAGTATCATTTTCGCCCAGAATTACGTTGCCTCGAAGAAACATTTCTCTTGCACCACGAGAGTAGTACCAGATTTACACGAAACAGCGTATGATAGCAAAATTTTAAAAATGGCAATGTCACAGGATAACATTTTTGAAGTTGATGCGATGAATGCGAATGCCTATACCCATGGAAGTCCATCTTTACACAACATTAGCATGATGAACAATGTCAATTGTGATAATGGCATGAACGGCATGATCGGTATGAACAGTATGAGCGGTGGACTTGACGCAAACCAGTATACAGCTAATCCATGCAACAACATGATGACAATAAGTATAAATGGACAAGAGCTGAAAAACAATCCATTAATTTTTGTAGATGGCGACCAATATACCCCAGACACACCAGTGCAAGGAATAGATCCAGGAGTTGTAGCAGTTTCGAATGCTCTATTTGCATATAACAGTGCTTTTCAATGCATACCAATTAAAACTTCACCAAATGTGTTTAGACGAAGGACAAGAGGAGAAGCAAATTCAGAATGGTCAAATGCATTCGTCACCAGAATTGATCCATGTGAATGTGGAGAACCGAACGAAGAGTTTAAGCCTTATGAAGTAACCAAATATTATGACGAAGGCAAGGTCAAAACTGTGTTCAATTTCGACCAAGACTCTTCTTCTCCCCAAGAGTAAATCATCCCCGTCTGGTGACCCTCCTCTGATTATGCTGTCATATCATGTTTCATCTGTCATCCATATTGGGACGCTGCTGCTGGAGAGAAGAAATTTCGCACAATGCGAACTGTCGAAATTCAGAAGTTTTATTATGATCGCCTTGTTTCATTCGTCTGCTTCACCAGTTTGCGCCACCGATTTGCTGCACTAATTTGCTGCACTAATTTGCTGCACCAATTTGACTACGCCCGTTTTATCCATCTTTTCTGACACATTCCAAATTCATACCCTCATAGAATTGTGTCTATCTGTATGACAACGCACTCCAAAACATGGATATGCCCCCCCCCCCCCTCTTCTTACAGTTTCTTTGCACCTCTCGTGTAGTATTTTCTTTTAAAAAAAATTTTGTAATTTCTTCACCCACCATAGTGTTCGTTTCATTCTTATTCGTCTCGTCCGTCCTAAGTCTTAGTATATTCCACTTTTTTTTTTTTTTTTTTTTTTTTTCCTCATATTATATAAGTGCTTATTGTACCAATTTCCGTTTAAGCAGAAAAGAAATCATCTCCATTGTGTTACAATTGATATATGCAACTTGATTAAGCTTATCCTTTTTTTTTTTTTTTTTTTTTTTTTTTTCATTTTTTCCCATTATTTTATACCTATCATCAGAATCAACGTTTTCTTATGAAGTTATGTTTGTGTGTGTATATGTATATTGTCTAATCCATGAAGCAAATTCTATGTATCCGAAATGTTTTACATCTACATACTCATATATTTTATTTTTCGATGTCACACATTCTCTGCAGCAGCCTTTTTTTTTTTTTTTTTTTTTTTTTTAAATGTTTGATGAATTTTTAAAACCATGAGGAGAAGTAGAAAGAAACTCCAACTTTATAACACACATCATTTTTAAAGAAAGAGAATTTCAGCTAAAAAGAAAAAATGTGCCATTTCAAAGGGGTTGGGGGTGGGGGTATATACACGCATGTATGTTTATCTAAGCGTGTGTAAATGAAGGTACGTGGTTGGGAGGAGCACACACACACACACATACCGTCTCTCTTCTTGTGTCAAAGGAGAAATGGAAATGTAGAAAGGAAGAAGGGTGAAAATAAAGCAAAATGGTAAACCAATAGGGAAAAGCACAGTTGTCATTTGCAGCACTATCGTGTAAACTAGCACGATGTCGAGAAATCCACAAGAAGGATAGCTTCTATATGACATTGTATCACACACCTTTCATTTCAGAACTTAAACATGGTTGAAGGAGATTGCACTCCCTTTGTCTCCCTAAGAGGATGTTGTGTGTAGATTATTTTAAAAAAAAAAAAAAATTAGAATTAAGGTATATCTAAGATGGGCATTTTTTTTTTTTTTTTTTTTTCATTGCTTTTTGACCTTGGCTTTTCTTCTCACTTTTCTGATACGAGTAGACTGTAGATACACAACCTTTGCAATAACGCAAAAAAAAAAAAAAAAAAAAAAAATATATATATATATATATATATATATACACATATACATATAATGAAAAATACAAAATAAAAGCACTAATGCGGATGCCTATTTAAGCGTCTCACGAATCCTGCAAAAGAGGATGCAAACCAAAACAGAAAAGAAAAAAGAAAAAGAAGAAAAAAAAAGGCAAAAAAGCAGAAAAGTAAATGATGCGAATTTTCGAAATGATATGTTTCCATGTATACTGATATGTCATTCACCCCTTTGTTCATCTCCAATTTGTCTTTCTATTTACATTTTTATTTTCCCTTTTAAAATTTTTTTTTTTTTTTTAAATGATTTACATAAATTACACAACACTGTTACATGTGTGAAAAAAAAAAGACGTCTACAAAAAAAATTGTACTAAAACTGAGATTGGCGTGTTTACTGTTTTTTTTTTTTTTTTTTTTTTTTTTTTTTTTTTTTTTACTACTCTTTTGCACTCTCATAACTGCATGAAAAATAGACATGCCAGACTCTATGTGGTAGAGAAGTAGTATCAAAAGGTTGTTTTATACAATACATTTGTGTGTCAAGAGGTATATGAATGTATACTTCGCGTATTTTTTTTTTTTTTTTTTTTTTTTTGGTACAAATTCGCATTATGAGCGGGTAAGTTCAAAGGTAACTCTTATCTGCACTTGTTCATAAGAAAACATCTCAAAAGAAGAGTCCGTATAACATCAAAAAGGCATAATGAAAAAAAAAGCCACATATTTGACATTGATTTGTTTCATCCTTAAAAACCTTTTAGTCTTTTCAAAAGATGCAACAAGAACCTCACTAGAAGGGATAACGGAATTTAGACAACAACACAGAAAAACACTTGATGGCAGGCTATGTGCTGCTGCTTTTCTGCACGATGATCAAACGTACACAAATTGTACCAATGCCACATCTCCAGATGGGACTACTGGTTTGTTTTACGCTGGATCAGTAGTGGGGTCACACCGTATCCTTGCGAATCACTTCACATATGAGCTGCTTCACATATGAGCTGCTTCACATATGAGCTGCTTCACATCTGATCCGCTTCACATCTTAGCCGCTTCACATCTTAGCCGCTTTTACATATGAACCGCTTCACATCTTAGCCGCTTCACATTTCTCTTACACCACTTCACAGGAAGAGAATGGTGCTATGTCGAGGTGCAACTGCTGGGGAAAGGTTCCCGAGATTGGGACTACTGCACCAATGGGATCAATTACGACAAACTGAGACTACACGCGAAGAGGGTTTTTGAAGAGAAATCTCTAGAAGCAGATCGTCTGAAGGATAGACTTTACGTTTTGAATAGTCGTGTACAAAGCATGTTGCAAAAATTTGATTCCGTTTGTGGAAAAAGGCATGAAGTTGTAAATTCTCGAATTGAAAAAATAAATCAGTGGCTTCACAAAAGTGCAGAATCGGTGAAAAAAATTGAAATAAATTCTACAGACTTAGATGCAACAAAAAATATAATTGATAAGGTACAAGTGGAAATAAAAAGAGAAAGTGATGGATTCAAAGAAGCAGATGAAAATTGTGAAAATTTAGATGGGTATGAAAATGAGCCTCATAGCGATGGACTCAAAGTATCTTATTATAATAATTCTCTGTTTGAGGGATTTCCAATTCAAACGAGATTCGAAAAGGAAATTAATTTCACTTACAATAATAAAGGGCCTTCAGAAAATATTTCTCCCTATAGATATTCCATGCGTTATGAAGGCTACATAATGATTCCACATAATGGCACGTACACTTTTACAACAAAAACCAATTGTTACTTCCGTTTATTTATAAACAATAAAGCTATCTTGATTCATGGTCTCGTGCAATCAAATGAAAAAGAAGACGCTACAGATGAACATTCGCATGTAGTAGAACAGACAAATAACGAATCATCTTCTTTTAATTTATCTCGAAAAATGGCTATTACATATGCTGATTTGAATGACGAATCGAATTATGTGGTTAAGATGTCCAAACCGATTGAATTGGTTGGAGGTGATAAATACAAATTTGTTTTAGAAGTGTCTCATTCATCTCATTTGAAATTTGAAAGTGGTGAATCATCGCTGTCTGGAAACGCAGCTTCTTCTGCGTCGTTTCAACTGTTTTGGAAATCCAGCAGAATAGAGAAGCAGCCAATTCAGAGTAATTATCTCTTCCGAGATAATGTGATTCCACCTGTGAGATTTTCTAGATTAGATGCAGACCTCTTTGACATTGGAATAGTGAACACAAATGAGCAAATATTTAAGAATGATAAGAATTGGGTGTTTACAAATGTTCCTAATAGGTATATAGGATTACATGTACTCAAAACGGATTCAAATCCTCTATTTGATCACTTTTCTGCATCTATAAATACGGGTTCTAATTTGTACATCGCTACACCTGCTAAGGAAATGTTCCCATTGAACCCATCCAAAGATAGTAATATGTGGAAAGCATACGATACAGATGATAAAATAGAAGTAACTCACAATTTAACAAAGGAAAAGAAATTATATAAACTGAAATTTATTCCTTTAAAAAATAAAATGGTTTTAAAATTTAATGTACTAGTTGGTATACCATTTATGATTTTTTCAGAAAATAGAAAAATATTACCAACAGTGTGTAATGGAGATGAAGGAATTTTATCTAACCCACAAAACCAGGTATTCAAAGAGTGCACAGAATCATCTAGTATTTCTTCCGAATTTAATTGCATTGCTGGATTGAGTACATATCATAGAGATAAAAAATACAATATCTGGAAAACATCTAATGGAACAATTGGTGAATATATAGAAATTTTTTTCAAGAAACCAGTATATATTAATAAATTTAAATTCAAACCTGGAGATGATATACTAACATGGCCTTCCGAAATTTTGCTTCGCTTTGATGATGAGGAGGAGGAGGTTGTCATTCCTATTTTGCACACATCTAATATGGAACAGAATACAACTCGATTAGAATCCCCAGTTATAACTACATCTGTTAAAATTGAAATAAGAGATATGTATGAAAATGAGAAGAAAAGTACTGGTGGTTCTTTTGAATTAATTGGAAATTCATGTAATTTATTGGATGAAGATTATATAAATCATCATGCATCTATCGAAATTACCCAATGTAACAGTACGTTATCTAATGTGCCAGATGTAATGCCGTTATTGAAAGGAGACAAATTTTTAGCTAGCTGTGATTATCATTGCTTAGATAATGTAAACGCAGAAATGGTTTATGGGTCCGATTTTTATTCTATCGACTCAGCTATATGCAAAGCATCTGTTCATGCAGGTGTGTGCAACATTAAGATGAAACAAAATTGTAAATTTTTAATTCTTATAAATGATGGAAAAGAAAATTATGTAGGAAATTTACAAAACAATATCATGTCGCTAAGTAAGAGTTCCACTTCTAATTTTTCATTTTCCCTCTCGAGTGAGTTTATTAAACAGAATAATATTAACACATCATACACAGAATCTACACCAAATAGCTATTCCATAGTCTTTAAACGAAATGATGATACTTATTTTCCAAATAAATTTTTAGTTGATTCAGGGAAAGTGTTTACAAATTATGGAAATTTTGCATATGGATGGAAGAATCCGATAAGCTTCTTAAGTCCTGTTATTTCTCCTCAATCGTTTCCCAATGACAAAAATACATTTTCATCAAATGGAATATACTCTGGTGGGATCGACTTTCCCCCTGCCTCAGCTAGCCAAAATTGTATTACCGAACTAGATTGTCAAACTAACTTTTGGAAATTTCAAACTCATGAAAATGGAGTCTATTCTGTTCAAGTGCTAGTTGGAAATAAAAGCTCGTCAAGTAAGCAGAAAGTTTTTATTGAAGTTAATGGAATTCCTTTCATAAAAAATGTAGGACTTGATAAGGATGAACTTTTCGTTGCCACTAATGATATCCACGTTACAAATAGATCCATTGTATTTACATCTACTTGTCTTGGAAATGACAATGATTGCTCTCATTCAAAAGTTACCATAATGGCTGTCCAAATTTTGAAGATTTAGTCTTACAAATGGTATCATAAAGTATGAGAAAAATGTTCTTTACATGCAAAAGTACACGATTGCAAAGTTAACATCGAGCAGAAGCTTCTTTTTTTTTTTTTTTTTCTTTTTCACGTTTCCAATTTTGTCTTCCACCTATGTGGTGCTCCTCAAAGGAGGGAGTGTGGCCTTGTGTTTAGGGTTCGCTTCATCAGTGAAGTGATTCATTGCATCATACAAATTTCATTGCATCATACAAATTTCATTGCATCATACAAATTTCATTGCAACTTTTTTTTTTTTTTTTTTTTCTAAATAACCATTTTGATAGTACGGCAAAAGAGTCATATATATAAGGCTTGTCCAAAAAAAAAAAAAAAAACGTAAGAAGTTAAACACAGGGAAGATGTGTGTGTTATATGCACATTCATATCTCATGCTCTCTAATTTGTTTCCTCTTCATCTGGTATGATCCAATTCTATTGGATTTTTTTATTTTTTATTTTTTATTTTTTATTTTTATTTTTTATTTTTATTTTTTATTTTATTTTATTTTTTTTTTTTATTTTTTATTTTTATTTTTTATTTTATTTTATTTTTTTGTTCGCCCTCCTTTGTTTACACATCTTGCTGGTCTTCTTCCTGCACCATGCAGTGCAACTTAAATCTGGAAAGTATACTAGTAAGTCCACCGATTGCAATTCCACAAGTGGTGAGATCAAAAAGTGGTAATGCTTTAAGTGTGAATCCTGGTGGTAGATGAAAAATACATTTAGATGTTATAGTAACTTGATACAATCGTATATATTCTTTTGGCCTTGTTATATGAGCAGGTAGATATGGTAGATAAACAGAATTAAATTGAGTTCTCCACCATTCACCTAAAAATTCTCCAACTTCGATAGTTTCTTCACGTTCATCTTGTTCATCATTTAATTGGCTTGTTGTTGTTGCAAAATGCATATCCTTATTTGTGTTAACATACTTTTGTAATTTTTTTTTTAAAACTTCCTTTGGTTTTTCCCAAGATTTATATTTTCCACTTAATAAGTAGTATGATTGATTTTCTAAATTTTGCAAAAGTAGTAAATGGGGATAGTCATATCTATGACATAATATTATGGCTAGTGCTGAATTCCTAATTCCATTCTTATTATATGAACTTATGCGCTTTTTACATTTTTCAGTATCTAAAATAAATTTATTTTTCAGCTTTTCATCAATGTTAAATTCGTAATTAGATTGTGGATATATTAGCCATTCTGATTTGTTTTCTCGCAAAGTCATGACAACCGAGTTCACCTGACTCGCCGGAGGTGTGCTATCATTTGGTACTATCATGCCTTATGAGGCTATATGCCAAGGGTTGAGAAGTTTGCTAAGGGTTGAGAAGTTTGCCAAGGGTTGAGAAGTTTGCTAAGGGTTGAGAAGTTTGGCAGGGGTTGAGAAGTTTGGCAAGGGTTGAGAAGTTTGGCAGGGGTTGAGAAGTTTGGCAGGGGTTGAGAAGTTTGGCAGGGGTTGAGAAGTTTGGCAGGGGTTGAGAAGTTTGGCTATATTTTCTAAATCTGGGTGCTGCTTCAACGAAGGGATAGTGTTCCCAATGGGTTCTTCTTGATAGATGCATTTATTCAGCTTATAAGCTGCAGGGTTCGTCATTTTCTCGTTTTTTCATCCTGCCGATTTGTCAGCTCATTTCCATGATTTCTGCTTTCCTTAGCTTCCAGAGTTACGCATATCTACATAAGAAATTTTGCACGAAAATGCATTACCCGTAAGTGTTTTAAGGGCACTGGTTTGTTCGCTTCATCTGACATCTCTACCTCTCCCAACGCTAGTCATGCGCGCGCACTTGATGTATATACATATATACAGTTTCTATCTTGTGTATATTTTCCAATGGTTTAGCGAGAAGTGGTTATAAATAATAGATGTAAAATAATTTGCAAAACCAAAAAAAAAAAAAAAAAAAAAATTTTAAGTAGGTTGTTATAAGGGTGCGAGGAGCGAAGTGTAAACAATTTGTAGTAAACTTTTTTTTTTTTTTTTTTTTTCAAAACTCATTTTGGTTGACTATTTCATGTTTATAGAAATAATAATATGTTTCCTTTGAAATGATGAGAGAGACTTGTATCTGTTTGTTTCGGTAATGCAACCTATGAACTCTCACCACACACACACACACACCCCTTTGGGTTTATTCCTTTGCCTCTCCCTTTTTCTTCTCCACGTTTTTAAAAATTGAACCCCTCTGCTTTCAACGCATGCGAGAAGCTTCTGCGTGCGTTCTCAAATTGGTTGTCACTGATTGTCACTGATTGTCACTGATTGTCACTGATTGTCACTGGTTGTCACTGATTGTCACTGATTGTCACTGATTGCTTTCAATGTTTAGAGGTGAATGCTCCTCAGCTTTAAATGAAACGGAACGCATACCACATGCTACCCCATCAAACCATAGCATATGCTTCTTTTCTTTTTCATCATATTTCCATCTTAGTGATTTCTCAGGGAGAAGGTCTGAAGAATCGATTCGATATTCTTAACACTGATTATCTGTACACGTGTATGTGGTGGATGTGTGGCATGAAACATGCATGCACCAGTTAAATGTTACCCACCCCATGGTTGTATCTTTCCACATAATTTCACAGGGACAATCATACAAAAGGACAAGTCTGCGACAGGGAGAGGGAGAGAAACTAGGTTCAATAAGTTCCAAGATCATAGATGTACGTTTATGAAGAAAATCTTTGCTATGCGTGAGGACGGTTGAGGGAAAAAGGAAAAGCTTCTCTCCCTGTAGTGTAAACCCTGATTTAACAAAAGTTCATTTTATTTAGTCCCTGTAGAAGCAGTGCTAAAGAAGCAGCGCGGCAGGAACGCTGGGTTAAATGAGTTTCTACCAAAGAATTGGGTTCAGAAAATGGCGAAAGAAGAAACTGTTTCAAAACGTTGGTTCGTTATTAGCATGAACAAGCGAAAGATGGATGGGAGAAAATTCAACTAGCTGTCCCATCTTTCCCTCAGATGGAACCAGAACCGGAACCGGAAATGGAACCATTTTAGAGGTAATGTCCTTTTTCAAGGATTTTTCCAAAAGGTAAAAAAATTTTAAAAGTTGAAAAAAAAAAAAAAAAAAAAAACGTTGTAAATGGTTTCATTGACGTGTGATTAGTTAGTAGGGTGAATACGAATAACAGTATGGGCAGTAAATTCGAAAAGTGGATGTGTAAACAAAATGGGGATCTCATTCTGAATTCTGTTCCTGCTTCTGTTCCTGCTTCTGTTCCTGCTTCTGTTCCTGCTTCTGTTCCTGCTTCTACTCCTGCTTCTGCTCCTGCTTCTGTCCCTGCTTCTGTCCCTGCTTCTGCTCCTGCTTCTGTCCCTGCTTCTGCTCCTGATTTGGTGCAGCACGAACGTACCTGTCGCAGAAGTACTTCACAAACAAGAATATATAGGATAGATACATGAGAGAGGCGCAGACAAGGTTGGTTCTGTTGATGTAATGGCCTCGGTCGAATGTAAATTTGTGTTGGAGTTTTCGAATAGAACGCAAATCCCAATAGTTGCTAAATTTATATGCGTAAGTTATATATAAGCAATATAATGTTATAGTTATTCCTAGGATCATTTGAAAAATCTGTAGCACCGTTACAAAAATACTCCATGTAAGTGGTTTATTATATAAAGTGGCCAAAAAATAATAGAAATACATAATAGTATGAACGAATGCATTTATAATTATAAATATAAAACCTGCTGATACTTCAGCAGAGTAGGTATCCCATGTGTATAGTAAGACTGTGGCATGATGAAACCAGTGCAGTAGGGTAATTTTTTTTTTTCTTAAAATTAAAAAAAATGTATCTATTAGTTCAATGTATTTTGAAATAATAAATAAACATACCCATAAACCAGGAGTTCCAAAAGCGTACGTGTAAATTGGAGGAATAATTAATAATCCATTAAAAGTATAATTTAAAATTGTATACAATAAAACAGGTATAAGTTTTATTACTACTATAAAATTGAATAGGAAAAGGGACAAATTCCATGTGATAATAACTTTCCTTAAATTTAATTCTTCCCGCTTTTTCATAAAGGAGACTCCATACTTGCATATCATGAGGTAGAAGATAACGACGATGGTGGACGCTAGGTACTTGTCGTGTACGAGTTGGATGAACCAAAATGGTTTGAAGCTTCTTTCCCTATGGTGCAGAAGTTGGGGTGTGAAGAACGGTTGCATGAAAAAAGGAGGGTGCTTCTGTGAAGAGGAATGACACAATACACTTTAACATGTATCGTCAAAAAAAAACGGGGATGAGTGTTCCCCTCCAATAAAATAACAGGGAATGGAGGAAACATGCTGAGGTGGAGAAGTGGAGGAAATATGCTGAGGTGGAGAAATGCACTTGTCCACTTGTCTGTGAGAAATTCTGTGTGTTTGTGTGTGTGCAAACCATTGGGAGCTGATCCAGGCATAGAGGGGCGAAACTTCCTCAATTCTAAATGCTGGTCGCGTGGGGTAATCTCGAACATTCCCTAGGATTCTAAAGTATCCGGCGTGGTTTGTTTTCATCACCATGTCGATTGTCAGTATGAGATAGGACTAGTATTTAAGTGTTCATTCGTTTTCCTGTGTATTTATATATATGTGTATTTATTTTTTTTTTTTCTTTCCCCAAAGGCTTAGCCCATAAACCTTCGTCTAATACTTGACTTTTAACTTCTTTGCAATTTTTTTGTAGTTTTTTCCAGTTATGCACACACAAGTCTACAGGGTTCAAATAAAATGACGTAAATTCTTTTCGTGCATGTAATGAAGAGGCATGCAAGGAAAGAAAAAAAAAAAAAAAAAAAAAAAAAAAGTAATCTATGAAAAGTGTAACGAAAAAAGTGAAATGAACTCATGAAAGAGAAATAAAAATCATCCAATGGACGGAGGAGTAAAATGAACTAAACATGCGAGATCCTAGTTAAGTCCATTTAATTTATTAAATTAAGCTTATCATGTACACATACAAGCATACAGACAGAAATACATACAGGCACGCACATACATACACACGTTTATACTGTAACATTTTTCTTTCTTAAAAAGTGTGGGAAAATTAAGAGGGGGGAGAGGGAGAGGAGGAAGAATAAAATATATATATATATATATATATATATATATATATATATATATACATACAAATGTATGAATGCATGAATGTGTCCGAAGTGTACGTTTAAGAGAAGAAATGAACGGTCACCTTTTTCTAGGACGAGTGTATATGTGCATATTTTAGATAAACAGGATAGGTGGATTACATGTAAGTGTCCATCTGCTCCGTTGTACTTGCGCATTTCCACTTCTACACGTATGTATATGTGTATATATGTGAATAAATGCGTCTGGGTGATACCGATTCCAATGGGGACAGTGTGTAAGTGTGCCTTATACGAAGTTCGCGCGAGAAACCGTCAGCATTCGGTGCAATTCAATGGGTGCACTAAGCCGCTGCTGCAATGTGCGCCGATTTACGGTGGTATCAATGAGAATCTCTTCGCACGCCTGGGTGTGTGTATGCAGCAGAAAGGAAAAATGAAATAAAAAATAAAGCAAACAAAGAATGGAAACAAAGAATGGAAACAAAGAATGGAAACAAAGAATGGAAACAAAGAATGGAAACAAAGAATGGAAACAAAGAATGGAAACAAAAGGGATGTTGCTTCTTGCCAACAAGGAAATCACTTCTTTGGACATTTCTATGATAATGTGAAGAGGGAAAAGGATAGACCATCCCTCAGAGATTATAATTTTTTTTTTTTTTTTTTTTTTTTTTTTGGATATTAACACCATCTGGGGAGATGAAAACGCACAAGGAATCCTCTAATTTTTAGCATTTTTTCGAATTTACCACTAGGGCTGATAAACTCGTTATATACATATGTACATGTTAATCCAAATTGAATTTGCAGCAGCAGATACCTTCAACATACACATGCACAATGGAAAATTCACCCTACTTTTTCACGCATTGTTACTGCTCTTTTATATAAATATAAGGAAGGTAGGATCTATGTTCCAATTACCCAATGGGGAAACAAGTCTAGGTAGTCTCAATCTCAAGTGTGTGCAAAAAATTGGGAGTTCTATTCTATTCCATTCTATTGTACTTTATTCCATTCCATTGTACTTTATTCCATTCCATTGTACTTTATTCCATTCTATTTGATTTTTTTTTTTTTTTTTTTTTTTTTTTTCGTTTTGCGCATGTGCTATTGTTGGAATGGCGTGGTTAAGTTTAAGGGTTGCATTTTTTAAAAAAATACAGAAAAAGGAAAGACTTCTAAATAAGTGTACATAAACAATTGAAAATACAGTCAAGGAAAATGAGAGTCATGAAACGAAAAAAAAAAAAAAAAATGAGAATCATGAATAGTCCCCACTAATCATAATGACGTGGGAATATGTATATAATACGTGTGTACATGTTTGTACATGTGTGTATAAACACGTATGAATCAAGTTCATGGAGTGGTGCTTGCCACCATTTTCCGCTTTTATATATCTACGCATTCCTCGTGCGGTATAAGAGGGTCTCTGCTGTGTAGAGGGTTGCATGTTGGGAGATCGTCTTCCTTCATGTGGAGAAGAACTTTTGCTAATGTGTTGTTCAAGTCTTCTACTTCTTTACAAAACTCTTCATAATGTGTAGAAAGGATTTGCTTTAAATTTTCTTCAGAAAATTTTGCACAAAACTGAACCTTCTTATCACTGATTTCGAGTATTGGGGAGAAATGTTCATGAATTATTTCACACAGTTTCTTTACACTACTTTGCAGGGATGTTTTTATGTGTGGTACGACTCGTACTGTTTCTTGAAGAATTTCTTCTGCTCTTGCAATTTCCATTTCGGTTTTATTTTGGTTCTGCAGAAGGGGGTGAAGTGTTACATGTACATGCATTTGGTGACAAATGGGTAGAGAGTGGTAATGGGATAGAAAAATATATTTTTACGCATTTGTTGCTGCGGCTGAATGTGCATATTTTTGTTATGACCCATCAAAAGATTATGAGCGTTACACAAAGGTGTGTAAAACAAAGTGGATGAAGTTTCTTTTCCTTTCTTTTTTTTCGCTTTTTCCTTTCTCTCTTTTTTTTCGCTTTTTCCGTTTTTTCCGTTTTTTCCGTTTTTTCCGTTTTTTCCGTTTTTTCCTTTTCTTTTGTGTAAAGGTAGAAATCTGCTTCCCCCCACATCATCACCACCAATGTGTAAATGCATGCTAGAGTAGTCCCTACCTTGAGATTGTTAACTTTTTCCCTGAGTTCATTTTCCTCTTTCTCGTAATAGTTCAATTCTTTGAAAAGTCTACGAACAGCACCATGGTTGATTTTCAGGAGCCGAAAATGCACAGCAGTGTTTTCCATTGTTCGGTTTGCTAATGGGATTGAATTTTATCTCAGTCTACGTCAAACAAAATGGGGTAAAAAGAAGCGTGCACATATGTATTTATATATATATATATATATATATATATATATATATATATATATATATATATATATATATATATATATACATATATGTATATAAATACATATGCAAACATATGCATACACCTACATATATGTATTTATGCATGAGCAGGAACATTTACGTGTATATATATGTGCTTAAGCTAGGGTAGAGAAGTATACTTGCAAAAAGACCTACAGCTTCTTTCTCTTTTTTTTTAATTTTCCTGAAATAGAATTTCTGACTGTTCAGGTAAAAAATGTCCTAAATTGTTAACCTGTAAGGTGTAAATTTTGTTTTTTCACTTATTTATATATATATATATATATATATATATATATATATATTTTTTTTTTTTTTTTTGTACCTATTTCAGCTGGGCTTAAGTAGTGAATTTTTTTTTTTTTTTTTTTTTTTTTTCGCAAAATTTAAAAAGAGGGAATATGTTTTGATACATTTTTGCAAATACTATGATGACATCTCCACATTATCGAGTATCGATTTCGCTGGAGAAAATGTCACAAAAATTGGAACCTTTATTTTTGTATTTATAGTTTAAATATGTATGTGGTATAGCACAATTGGCTTTACACCGCGATATGCGGATATTTCTACCTTCCTTCTTTCCTACTTTCTTTTTTTTTTTAAATATTTGCATGAATGTACATTATACTCCACACAAGAGTAAATTCTCACATGGAACTATTAGCTGGCTAAACACACACATACATGATATATATATATATATATATATATATATTTTTTTTTATTTCATCTTTTTTGTCTTTCCATCAGTTTTTCATTCATTAAAATGTGTAGTTGTGTAGATGTGTAGCTGTGTATTTGTTCTTGCAGGATGACTTTGCCAATTTTTCTTTTCCTTATCAGTGGAAAAAAAAAAAAAAAAAAAAAAGATGGATCCATATTTCAATTATGTTTCCAAGGTTGGTAAGGACACACAAAAAATTGACATAAGATGTGGGCGATGATGGTGCTAAAAGGTCTCGTTGAGAAGGTTTCGAATGAATACCCTTTATCTGTTGCCAGTTTGTTCTTCTCTATAGCAACAGCTTACTAAATTACATTCATTTATGTAAAGTGTGTTATGACCGAGTCACGAAAAGTTTTAAAACAAAAATACAGTGCCGTGAAAATGGTAAGAAAATGGCATAAAAACGACGTGAAAACGACGTGAAAACGACGTAAAAACGACGTAAAAACGACGTGAAAACGACGTAAAAACGACGTGAAAATACAAAAATGGGGTGCATGACCTTGGCAAGCACTGCTGCTTATGTATTATATCATGCCAAAAAAAAAATTATCAATTTTGCCAAACATATATGGTTGTTATTAATTGTACATAAAAAAGGGCACAAACATATGCATGTGTGCATGCACGTATAGGTGTTTGAAGGGGGTGGCAAAAAACATGGATTATTTATTTTTGAATACGCAAAAAGGTGTGTTTCGTAGGGATATAAAATGTATGGATGTGTATGTGCATATGGATGTGTACATATATACATATATATATAAATATACATGCATGTTCGTACCTGTTTGGCAGATCCCAACCGCCTGAACACGTTCATACATTTCAGGTGAACTTCACTTCACACATGCCCCTGTGCGTAAATTTATATACTTACGCATATCGAGGGCACTTTCATTACCACAGTAGTAACTTACAATTTCTTCATTAATTATGTATCCCAATTTTTTATACATGTTAATTGCTGGATCATTTGTAATACGGACGAACAAATCCACAAAATTCGCAATGTGAACATCCCTTGATATCTTTTCAAACTCATTCATAAGATCCACTCCCTTTCCTGTTCTTCTACTGTCTTCCTCAATAGACAGGGCGGTAACATGACCGTGGTACTCCTTCCCCAGTCCTTCTTCTTTTCCTGCACACGATTTTTTGGGGCCGCACACGGGCCAAATAAATAAATGCCAAAGTGAAGAAGTAAATATATTTCGAAATGTATAAGCAAATGGATAGCGAAATGTATAAGCAAATGGATAGCGAAATGTATAAGCAAATGGATAGCGAAATGTATAAGCAAATGGATAGCGAAATGTATAAGCAAATGGATAGCGAAATGTATAAGCAAAGGGGTAGATGAAATAGCCTAATTCAATTTTCCACTTGTTGCATTGTTTTATCCCGTGCGATGCATGTATGGGTTATGAATGTGTGCGAGCCAAGTGTATGTCAACCCCCTCCCTCTTTGCTTATGCACATGGTTGGTGTCGTTGGAGTAGTATTATTCCACTCTTAGCTAGAGAATGTTCACTCACCTATGATGTAACCGCTTATATGATCATCCATTTCTTTGGTAACTATGTTCATGTGTGGCCATTTATAAATATATCTCAAGTAGAATTTATCGTTGAACACTTCGGTGAATGGGTCCAAATTCACGCTGTTGATTTTGTACAGATCTACATAGCTAAAATATTGGTAACTAGCCATTTTTTTCTTGTTGCCCTATTCAGGCGTTTGGCCCAAGCAATGTGGGCTTGCCTTGAAAAGAAGGGGGAAGCGAGAAGTGAGAAGTGGAGGAAGTAAAAAAAAGCCAAATCGTAAACAAAGAAGGGAGAAAAGGAAGAAAAAGAAAGAAATAGAAGAAAAAGAAGAAGAAATAGAAGAAGAAAAAGAAGAAGAAAAAGAAAAAAAAGAAGAAAAAAAAAAGTTATTACCAGTCAGGTAAAATAATCTACAAAACATTTCTTAAATAAAAAATACGTATTTTTTTTTTTTTTTTTTTTTTTTTTTTTAGCTTTACAACAAATTCTGCATAATATCATTTTGTTAGGCACCTTTTCCCAGCCCCACCCACAAAGGTATTATATTATGCTAACGTTAAAAAAGATGAGAAAAAAAAAAAAAAAAAAAAAAAAAAGAAAAAAAAAAAAAAAAATAAAAAAAAAAAAAAAAAAAGAAAAAAAAATAAAAAAAAAAAAAGAAAAAAAAAAAAAAAAAAAAAAAAAAAAAAAAAAAAAAAAAAGAAAAAAAAAAAAAAAAAAAAAAAAAAAAAAAAAAATGCCTTTTTGACAAAGCAGAAGAAGAGTTTTTCCCCCCCACCACCCCCCTTCTCATTTGACACAAATTCGTCTACGTGTGATGTAAAATGGAAAAAAAAATAAAACAGGTGTTCAGGTAATATATTGTAATTTTAACGTTAGTCTATATATGTGTGGGAAGAATATATTCAGAGCAACATTCGCCATGCGTCTATTCAAAGTAAGAGAAAAAAAAAAAAAAAAAAAAAAAAAAAAACATAATACTAACTACTCTCTCTCTCTCTCTCTCTATATATATATATATATATATATATATATATATATATATGTATATACTTCTTCTCTCCATCCCACCTACTTCAAAGGCTATGCAAAAGCTCAGTTACCGTTTACATACGTTTTGTTCACACATTTAGATATATATATTCACGCTGGTTTGTGGAAATATATATCTATTCATCTCTGGACAAAGAGGTGATGGCCCACTGCTAGTCTAGGTACTCCACACATATGGCTTTACTTGAATGGTTTTGCTCATCATATATAACAGAAAATTTCACCCTTTCTCCTGGTATCAAATATTTAAATTCTCTCTTTATTTCTTCTTTCCTTCCTACATGCTCATTCTCAAAATCGAAATCCTCTTTGCTAATACGCAAATTTATGTTCGAATTCCAACTTAGTTTTTTTTTCTCCTCACTTGTTAATGATAAACTTCTGTCTGTATGAATGGACGTTTGAAAAAAAAAAAAAAAAAAATGGGCATACGTCTAACTTGAATATATGTGTAATAGGAGTGTTTCTGGTTTTGCGACAGAGTATGTAGATTGACTCAAAGGTGTTACCGTGACAAATATCTGTGTAGTGAACGAAGATTTCGGGTCCACCATCATTTGGCCCTACGAAAGGGGGTGAAGAAAAAATAAAAAAAATGAAATAAAATAAATAAATAAATATATATATATATATATATATATATATATATATATATATATATATATATATATATAAAGTAAAATCAAATAGCGCAGTAATATGAAGACCATGTGGACCGATTAAATTTTGTCAAGTCCTCCCCAGCCCCCTCCTCTCTATCTGTGAGATTCATCAGGTGCCAAACTGACGCAGGCACTTGATTCGTGCCACATATATACACACTCTTATTTATACACAAGTGTGCAGGCACATAAGCACATTATGAGAAAGTAGTATTACTAACTTATAAAACCATATCCCTTGTACTTGTCAAATTTTGTGACACATCCAGTAATTCGGGAGGCCTTTTCTTTATCCATTAGATCTGAAATATGTCTCCTTCTTCCGAAAAAGGGGAAGAAAATCCTATCGAGTTTTTTTCTTATAAGCATTTTTAAAAAAAAAAATAATAATAAAATTTTATTTTTATGGAGGCTTCTTAATCAGATTTCCTCCTTCATTTGACACCTCAACATGACATGTCGTTACATTTGTAGAATATATTCTTGTGGTCATGCAGTTCCAGTGAAGAGGATCATTCGTTACATATGTTAGTTTATCTGCCTCAACAGTAGCATGTACGTACGTATACATATGCACATATATATATATATATATATATATGTGCATATCCATGCTGTAGTATTTGCATGCATTGCTAAGGAATATTTTAAAACCCGTTAACGTGAACCTCGTGTTGGGGATAGATATAATTCATCTATTCAAATTTAAAAAATAAGCAAATGTGACGAAACGGTAGGTAATGCATTCGGGTCGCTTTAAATCGATCTGCCAATATGCACATGCGTGCCTGCATGCTTGCGTGGCATAATTTCCAGATGCACTTTTTTGTGAAAAAAACATGTTCACGTGGGCGTGTATGCAGGAAGCGAATTTTGGAGGGATATGTTTAAAAAAAAGCAGAAGCGAAAAAGTAAAAAATCGACACAAGCATGGTACACGAATGGTACACGAATGGTACACGAATGGTACACGAATGGTACACGAATGGTACACGAATGGTACACGAATGGTACACGAATGGTACACGAATGACCACACAAACGACCACACGAAAAAAGGCTAAACCAGCATGGAGGTGAAACGTGCAGAATACCTATAACACTGCAAACATTGTGCACCGTTTTATATATGAAGAGAGGCACTTATATTTGATGCAAGGAGCAAAAAGCACAATGGAGAGGAGTGAGAAAAAATGATACAAAAATAACAAAAAAAAAAAAAAAATTCTGTTTTCAATCTGTAATTTTAGTCAAAGGTGTTTTAAAACTACTCTTCACCCGCTCTGGCTTCCACCGGGTTCTCTTCTCGTGGGGATCATGTTTCTTTTTCTCTCTTTTTGAACAACTTTTTTCTCCTTCTTAACAACCTTTTTAACACTACTTTTATTTTCCATTTGCTCATGTACCATCTTTTTAATTTTTCTATCACTATAATAAAAGGGCTTTTTATTTTTACATAAGATATTTTTTTTTTCCTCTCGAACAAGCTCTTGTTTTAATTTTCTTTCTTCTTCTTTCTTTTGTAACAATCGTTCTGTATTCTTATAAGTATGAAATTTTTTTTTTAATTCTTCCTTTTCTTCCTTTGTTAAATTTTTACTTTTAAGCTTATCTTCAATTAATTTCTTTTCTTCTTCTCTCCTTTCGTATATAAATTTATATGCCTTTTTGAAAAAATTCGGGTTAAATGTACCTACAAAAAAAGGCAAGAAATGTATACGTATGAGGGGTAAAAAAAAAAAAAACACACACACACAATTATGCACATGCAGGGATAGGGAATAATCTAAGATATGTTTTTTTTTTTTTTTTTTTCTCTCATTTTTGTATTGTCAGCATAATATATAACTTTGCTCTTCTGAATATATTTACGTAGGAATTATTTTTATAGATATTGTGTATGCATATGTCACAACATATATGTAATGGACGAATGGAAATAGTTACATATCTCCATTCCCCCTTTCTTTTGTGTTTGTGTATGTTTTAAAACTGTAACAAAGGAACAGGGATAAGTGATTAGGGGGGGAGGACGTACAGAAAAAAGAGATATACGAAGCAACATGGAATAGGTTTTCGTATGAACGCGTTCATACATTTGTGAACTAATTTTTCAGACAGTATTGGTCATATATCCCCCGCTTGTTAATGCAAAATGGAAGGTGTCATAGGGTTAAAAAAGGGGGGAGAAATAAAATAAAAACTCACCGAGCGAAACATGACACAGCATGTAACACACACACAGACATAGATAGGTAGACATATTGGCAGGAAAATTGGCAAACAGATTGACAGACAGATTGGCAGAAAGATTGGCAAACAGATTGACAGAAAGATTGACAGAAAGATTGGCAGAAAGATTGGCAGAAAGATTGGAAGAAAGATTGTCAGGCAGATTGGCAGAAAGATTGTCAGGCAGATGGATAGCCACATTTCGGACCACGGTCTGGATACATATGTATAAAACTGCTGCATTAGTTTTTTTTTTTTTTTTTTTTTTTCCTTCATTTTTGTATACCTGAAAAGTTTGAAAATCTTGGATCTCGGGCTATCGGTTTGGCTGTTTTCTTCTTCTCAGAAAAAACATTGAATGGCTTTCTGTTACTTACAACCAGAGGCTTCTGACTTTTTTTAATTTTTTTTTCTTTTTTCTTTACGTGTTCACTTCCTTCTTCCATTGTTCCCCACAGTTGGTTTTTATATGGTCCTTCCTATCCGTCTCAACATTTCAAAATTAAGTGTAATCTTTGCTGTGCAGCAAAATATGTACGTATAATGCATATGCAATTATCTGTATAGGGAAAGATGTGCTCTTTTTACATTCACACGTTCTTGATATTAATTGGCTTATTTTTGCATCTTAAGTTGTTTTAAATTTGTATTTCCATTAGACGTTTTTCTTAACACTTTAAAAAAAAAAAATCGTTCGGCTAGACGACATAACAAAGTTGGTGTTTTGTATAACTTCCTTCTCATTCGTTAGGTTTGATCATTGGGTAAAACATATGAGACTAAGGAAACATCGTGAAGAGTAAATTTTTCTCCTTCTAATAATATGATGTAATTTTTTCTTCTAGAATATCAAGCGTTTGTTTAGAGTACCACAACATGTCATATATAATATCGTCTTACTTTTTTTTTTTTTTTTTTTTTTTTTTTTTTGTTTCCTTAAAAGTTATACCTATTCTGTTACATTTGTCGCTCGTTTTTTTTTTTTTTTTTTTTTTTTTTTTTATATTTAAGCAGCGTTGTTTTACCTGAACAGTTCAGGTAGGGGAAGAAAAAAAAAAAAAAAAAAGCTAGCTGAGGGAACAAATTCTGCGTTACTCCACGTGTTTTAAGCAGCAGAATGGGAACACAAAGAAAGGAAGAAGAAAGAAGAACAGAACCGAACGAAACAGAGATGGAGGTGCGAATAGGGAATCTCCTTTTTTCGCAGAGTCCCCAAGTGCATTCAAAATGGATGCAAAATCCCAAAGCAGCTTCTCGTCATGAGTCAGCAAAAAAAAATAAAGTGCAATGGAACAAACCGGGTTGAAGCAAAACAAGGTGAAGTAAAACAAAGGAAGCAAAGTATAATAAAATAAAACAAAAACCACATTTAAACCCCTTTACTCATATAGTGAGAGAGATAGAAAAAAAAAAAAAAAAAAATCCTCTGAGATATCCATATGGGAGCATTCACAGGAGGATGGCACACTGATTTTGTTATTTCTCAATATGCATGTTTTAATTTCATTATATTCCTCCGTGGTTCCAGTAGGAAACATGGTTATATATGTATATCCCACAACAGCATAGTATGACAATGTGCATAATTTTAGTTTGATCAAGGGTGGGGGGAACGCAAACATATATGCATATATATACATATGGCATATACATGTATATATTTGTATGACTTTTTTTTTTTTTTTTTTTTTTTTTTTCCTTTTCAGTTATATCTATTCTGATACATTTGTCGCTCCTTTTTTTTTGGTGAACTCTTTAGGTGAGAAATTCCAACACGTACAAATACAAATGCGTCATCAGTTATGCCCACTTTATGATTTCCCGTGATATTTTTACATATGCTTACAATACAGAATAGACTAACGTGCATAGGTCGAGAGCACATCGCTTGAATGAGGTGTTGTAAGTACACTTTGTCTGTACCTGTTTGAGGCATTCTCACGAAACAGAAGAGTTATACACCTACATATACGTATGTACATATGCATGCTTCTTTCGAAGGAGTGAAGCATCAGCTAAGCATTTGTACATGCACTTCACACACACACACAGGGCATGATAGCGCAGATATAAATTTATCATCAAGTTGACAAAATGAACAAGAAGGAAAAGGGGAATCAAAATGTCGAGAAAAATGAAAATACGTTTGAAGAACAAAAGGAAGATGAAATGAACCATTTCCTGAAGGTGCTGGAGGAGGAGTTTGGCTTATGTCGAGAGAAGTATGAGAAGAAAGAAGATGTTCAGATGAACGAATTTGGAATTGACGTGGCATCACATCGAAGCTACTATCTGCAACTGAAGGATGAGAAAAATATTGAAGTGTTGGAAAATGAACACACGACATCTCTTTGTGTGAGCGAAAAGCATAACCTTGAACACAGCAAAGTACTTGGAATGGTGAAGAAGTTAGAAACATTATATTATGTGATTAATCATGTTAAGAGTTTTAACAAGTATCAGCTGACAGAAGAGGGGGAAGAGTACCTGAAGAGTGGGTCCCCAGAATATGTAACATTAAAATTCGTTGTGGAAAATGAAAAGTGCACTTTGGATCATTTGAAAAAAATGTTTGGAAAAAAAGGAGAAATAGGATTGAATATCAATTTAAAAAATAAAAAAATTGAACTGAATAAGAATGATAAAAGCTTGATTCCTCGTGTATCCACTACCGGATGCGACATAGTGGACGACACAAGAAAACTCTTAAATGTGATAAAAGCAGAAGGACATGATGAACACATGCTTTTTACACATTTGAAAGAGACTTTATTTTCCAAGCTTGATTCAGATGTAAACAATTTGATAGCAAATTTGAAAAAGAGAAAATTGATGGAAGTTAAAAAAGTATCGTACAGTTACATCATACGAACTAGCCGTTTTGAAAAAAAAATAAAAAAACAAATAACTGATATGAATTATCAGCTTATGAAAAATGAAGAATATAAAAAGTATGACATAAAAAAATACAACTTTTTTTCTAGTGGCAAAAAAATAAACAAAGGTAATATACATTTGTTAACAAAACAGATGAGAACTTTTAAAGAAATTTTTATTTCACTCGGTTTTGAAGAAATGGAAACTCACAATTATGTAGAATCATCTTTTTGGTGTTTTGATGCATTGTATATTCCTCAACAGCATCCAAGTAGGGATTTACAAGATACTTTTTTTATTAAAATTCCCGAATTGTGTAATGAGAATTTCATAGATTCTGAATATATTGAGAATGTGAAACGGGTTCATTCAGTTGGAGATTATGGAAGTTTTGGTTGGAATTATAATTGGGAATTACGAGAAAGTAAAAAAAATGTTTTGCGAACTCATACCACTGCAAATTCATGTAGAGCTTTATTTAAGCTAGCTAAAGAGTATAAAAAAACGGGTTCTATAATTCCTAAAAAATATTTCAGTATAGATAGAGTATTCAGAAATGAAAATCTAGATAGTACACATCTAGCTGAATTTCATCAAGTGGAAGGATTAATCATTGATAAAAATTTGGGATTGTCTCATTTAATAGCAACGCTAGCTTCCTTTTATAAATACATAGGAATACATAAATTGCGATTCAAACCAACCTTCAATCCGTATACAGAACCTTCTATGGAGGTATATGGGTATCATGAGCAAAACAAAAAGTGGATAGAAGTAGGCAATAGCGGAATTTTCCGGCCAGAGATGTTACAAGCAATGGGCTTCTCAGATGAAGTTTCTGTTATTGCTTGGGGCCTCAGTTTGGAAAGACCAACTATGATCAAGTACAACATTCGCAATATACGAGATCTGTTTGGTTATCGAAGTTTGATCGCGTGATGGTTGGCCTGGCCCTCAAGTGGTCAACCGGATTGCATACAGAGGGTCCTCACTTTCTTCCACACCCCGTTTTCCATTCGAGTTTGCACTTGAATTTGCATTAGAATGCCCATTAGAATTTTCGTTCGAGTTTGCATTTGAATTTCCATTCGAGTTTGCATTTGAATTTCCATTCGAGTTTGCATTTGAATGCCCATTAGAATTCCCATTTTTTTTATTTTATTTTTTACACCCCTTTCGCTTCCTCCCCCGTGCACACAACGCAGAATGGAGCTTTTTTGTAAAAATGTTAAAAATTAAAAAAAAAAAAAAAAAAAATGAAAACGGGAACGGGAACGGGAACGGGAACGGAAACAGTAACGGAAAGTCGAGAGCCTTGCACGTTTTTTTTTTTTTCCCTGGGGAGGGAGGGGAACCTTGGCACGACCAGCTAAAATATGAGATCCATTTTGCTGTCACTTTTTTGCCATTTTGCTGTCACTTTTTTGCCACTTTGCTGTCACTTTTTTGCCACTTTGCTATAACTTTGATGGCGAGAACTGGGCCCCTCCCCTCTTATGTTATGCATATGGCCAACATATGTACGGCCCCCTCGAGTACCTTTTTTTTTTTTTTTTTTTTTTTAACAATGAACAGTGAACTATAACAAATGGGTAAAAGAAGAGAAATCGGGAAAACTTCAAATGAAAGCAGGACGATCTCAACCATGCATAAATTTATTAATACTCCCGTGGCACGTGTGCATATGTGACGAGGAGGTGTACATATATCAAACATTTATTAATTTAGCATGTTGGAGGAGTAGAAGAAAAACAGATTCTGTTATACTCACTAACATGTGGTGTGTAAAAATTAGCTGAATGTATTTTATACATATTTATAAACACATGTTCCCGTATGAGCAAATGTGTGCATCAAAAAAAAAAAAAAAAAAAAAAGATCTAACCCAAATAATATGTATATATATAAGTATACACATGTATATGCATACATGTGTGTATGTAATAACCATCACCCCTAGACAACTGAAACTCAAAAGCGGAAAAATTTCGAACTTGGAAATGATAAAAGTTATATTAATACTGCTGATCATAGCTACAGAAGTACGGAGGCATATTTTGTTTTCCAACTATGGAACCTACGTGTGGATATTCATGACGATTCTGTGTAGTGTGTTGGTCGCCTTCTGCTTGGTGCACAAAAAAGGAGTAGATAAAGAAAAGGAACGGGACGAGAGCTTATCGAATGGGCTTCGAGAAAGCTTATCGAATGGGCTGCGAGAGATCTTATCGAATGGGCTGCGAGAGATCTTATCGAATGGGCGACGAGAAAGCTTATCGAATGGGCGACGAGAAAGCTTATCGAATAGAACGGGTGAACGATCGATCGCTGGAAAAAGAACTTGTCAACAGAAAGGCAACCTTTCATTTTGGAACTCTCTTTTAACAATCGGTGGTTATCACCATCGGGAAAAATCTCCAATGTTCTTGAACAAGACAGAAAATAATTTATTTATCAGTTTATACGAGAAGGGAGTTCTTGGGAGATGGCATCTCTTCTTACACACATACGTGATGAACCTTTTCTCTGCATTTTTTTTCCCATTTTTTTCTATCCTTTTGATTGAGAAATATGATATCTTGAGTAATGGTTTGTTTTGAAATGAGAACTCATATTATTCCACTGTTGTGTTTTCTTTGTTCCATGCGTGTACCTCATTTATGAATTTCTTTCAACTAGTTGATGCACTTTTTTTTTTTTTTTTTTTTTTTTTTTTTCATATCTTAACATCTAACCAAGTGTATACGCAAGTCTTCTTTCCTCGCTTCCATCATGTCTGCTATCCTTTTCCTCTACATTCACTTCTCCCTCTTTGTTTTGGATCCCATCTCATCTTTTTTTTTTTTTTTTTTTTTCTCCTCCCCTTCAGACATGGCGAAACTATCTCTTGTCCTCGTGAACGAGTTCATTCTATGTAGCATTTTCCTGCGCTATGTGCAAGTGAACCTATGGGTGTACCTGCTTTTCCATTGGTTTCTGTTTCTCATAACGCTTGGTATGGGTTCTATCTATCAGTTAGCTAGTTAGCCAGTCGGTTGGTCAGCCAGTTAGCCAGTCAGTTGGTCAGCCAGTTAGCCAGTCGGTTGGTCATCCAGATAGATGTCATCACATGGAGTCAACATGTAGACGGAGTTAAACGTGTCTCCACTGCTCCTCGATCCTGACTTCTGACTTATGAACAGTACTGTATGACTGAGCCACATTGGTACAATTGTCTATTTCCTTCTTGTATCATTAAATATGTATCACGTGCATTTTTTTTTTTTTTTTTTTTTTTCTTCAAAACAAAAACAGGTTCAATGGAAATTCGAGAAAGTATGCCCATCTGTTTTCTCTGCTTTATGATTAATTTCGGCCTTTACCACACGTTTTCCATATCTGTCTTTCAGCTAACGAATGGGTAAAAATGAAAGTTACATTTTTGAAATAGTGGTTTGAAGTGGCTGCTGAAGGAGAAACTTTTACCACTTTTGATTGGATACTCGCGAGAATTCGTTCATGCATATTTATTTGCATATGTTCATGTGTATGAATGTTTATGCTTAAGTCATTGGTTGTGCTACTGGTTATGCTACTGCTTATGCTACTGGTTATGCTACTGCTTATGCTACTGGTTATGCTATTGGTGACGCTTGTGCCCCCACAAGATTCTTCCGTTTTTTCCTTTTCCTCAGGGTGTTTTCTTTCTTAGAGGGAATAACGGTCAGCATCCTAGGGACTCTTCTACTGGATGGTTGTATTTATGGTCTTTTCTACATGAAGCTGAATGAGAATATTGTTCCAAATGTGGTATTCACATTTTTCAGTAAAGTGGTAAGTCCAAGAGGAAGCGGGGATAGGGGTAACGCTAGCACTGGAGATCTGCAGTGAATTGAGTACACTGGGTGATGAGCACGTTCTACTTGGTTTCATCACATATCTCCAACCCTCTCTCCTACACACACACATACATATGCACGTACATACAGACATACACACATACATATGCACATACAGACAGACATACACACATACATATGCACATACAGACAGACATACACACATACATATGCACATACAGACAGACATACACACATACATATGCACATACAGACAGACATACACACATACATATGCACATACAGACAGACACTTGTCGATTTTCTTATCCGACCTACTTCTTCCTTATCCATCTTCTTTCCATTTTCCACCAGGCTGTGAGTTTCGCTCTCTATGCTACATGCTGCATCTACTTCATACATCGGAGAAATATAAATAAGGAGAAAATTATTATGAGTACTCTGATGTTTTTTTCGTACAATCTATTCAATCTAGGCTCAAGACAACACGACGTTCTTAGAGATGCAGGTAAGCAAACAATACAGATGTGACATAGCACATGTTTCGCTGTCATCACCATTATTCTGATTCGATTCACCATTTTTCTGACTCGACTCACCATTTTTCTGACTCGACTCACCACTGAAGAAACAAGCGCGCTCGGAATTTTAACACACCTGATATGGAATCAAAAGAATTACGTTTTAATACTGCTATGGTTGGCTGTAACTACTCTGTATATATTTTACATTATCAAGTTGTTGAAGAAAAATGAAAACTTATCATACCTGAGGAAGCATTACCATTTCCTTCTTTACTTAAATGTGCAGTTGTCGTTCTTCTCGAATATGGTAAATAAAAATTACATCCTGTGCTGGTTCGATGCGTACAAACTTGTCTGCTTCCAAACATGTTCACAAGTTTTGATCATGTCTATACATATGTTTGATTACTCTTTTACCTCCTCCTCCTCCCCACTGCCACCACCGTTCCTAACTGCAAATCGCTGAAATTTCACAGATTCAACTTCTCATCATAACCCTATCTTTCGGATTCCTGCTGTTGCTACTATTGGAAGTTATAAGAAAAAGTGTAGAAGCTTTGACTCCTGATCCCAATCCATTCAATAGTTTCTTCACAGGGTTTGTACGAAAAAAAATAAAATAAATACTCAACATTAAGCAGTTTTCACGCATCCACGAGCATTTTTACCTGTCCGTTCAGGCAACTATTTCTTCATTGCACCGATTTTTGGCTTCATATTTTATGTCATCCCTTCGAGCCACGCACCCACCCACACATATATATATCTAATTTTTTGAAAACATTTTAATTACACATACCGATCAGATTTATAGATGAACGGGACAAGAAGGGGTTAATCGTTACACATATTTACCTTTTAGCAGGGTAATTCCTGAGGGGGAAAAATTCTCATTCGTGGGTTTACAATCTTGTTTTGATGCTGTCCGAGCGTTGTAGTGTGAACTATTTTGTTTATCAATATGTACATCTTTATATGTGCATCTTTATATGTACAGGTAGACGTTTCTCTTTTTTTTCACTTCCGCACAGGGCTTACATCCCAATCCTCACAGACGTGATGCTGAACAAGAAGAATTTCATTCGCAGGGGAAACCAAAGCGTGTATTCTTTTCGAGAAGTAGATTTGGTTTTGTGCAGTTCTGGACTTAGCGCCATTTGCATAGGGGATTCATTTGTTAGATTTGCTCTGCTTGTACTGCTTTCCTGCACCTTGAAGTGTCTAATGGGTGTCCATTTTTTTGCTGTATTCCCTATGAATAATATCTCCCTTTTTTTTTTTTTTTGCACTATGAGGTTTTAAAATGTGTTCATATATATTTTTTCATCCTCGATCATAATTTGTTGTGTCCCCTTCACCACATTTGAAACTTCCTCTTTTTAGGCTGCCATAGGAGGGCTTTTGTTTCCAAATCCAAAGATGAAAAATACGAACAATAAGTCATATGCTGGTAAGCGAGAAAAAAAAAAAAAAAAAAAAAAAAAAAAGGACGATGACTACTGTGTATGCGTAATTTTTTTATGTGTTCGTTTATTTGTATTCCATACATTTCCCTTACAACGTCAGAGTAAGGAAAATGACAAAGCAGAATAAATAGATCTTGGCTTTGCTTACTTGAGCTATAAAGTTACATGTTTCTTTTTTTTTTTTTTTTTTTTTTTCATTTATTTGTAATTCTATGAGCATGTAGTTTTATTGTATCATTGTTATTTTCCCATTCTTATTCAATTTCCATGTCCGTTCCCTTTTTTGAGTAGGTTTTCTTTTTTTTTTCTGTTCAACCTTTTTGTCACTTTGGCTTGAGAGATATCTTTTTCAAGTAGAGAGAAAAAAAAACTGTTATGAAAAAATGTGGCGATGTTGGAAATCAATTCCACATGAGTCCACTTTTTCTTCCCTGCATGTGGTGGTAGTGGGGGAAGAATATATATATATATATATATATATATATATATAATGTACATATATGTGTAATACATACACACGCACACACAAAAAAAAAAAAAAAAAAGAAAAAACATATGAGAAAAACTCATTTCTTATTTGTTCCACATGTGCAAATATTCACATCCCGTGTCATTATAACCGAACTCACAGTGCACTACAAAAAGTTGCATATATTATTCCAATTTTGTCACATTTTAGAAAGGAGAACACTTAACTGGTTTAACCTCCATTTTTATGACAGCCATCTTTGGTGCTTTATTCGAGGTGAGAATAAGAAGAGAGAAGCAGTGAGAGGAAAAAAAAAAAAAAAAAAAAAATTTTTTTTTGCCTGACTCTGCAAGGCATAATGTGCTTTTTTAAGTAAAATGTATATGACCTGTTCATGCAACATTTTTTTTTTTTTTTTTTTTTAAAGGCATACCTCTACGACATAGATAATTTAATATTGCCCATATTCACATTTTGTGTTTACCTATGTTTTGAGAAGTGAAAGCTAAATTGTTGTGTTGCATTGTTTGGAAGAAAATGATAGGAAATTTTGGGAACTAAACTTTGAGAAGAACATGTTAACATACATATATACATATACGTGTATGTATGTATGTATATGTATATATGTATGTACATATATATATATATATATATATATATTATTTTTTCCCCCATTTCACTGCAACTTTTTTTCCATTTTTAACCAAAAATGTCCTATGTAAAGGTAAGAATAAGTTGGAAAGCAGAATAGGAGAAGAAAAGCACGTAATAGAGTTGTGTCATAGCTGATTCAGTGTATTCCTGCGCTTACACATAAAAGTTGTTATAACATATGTGTATATACTTTTAATGTTCGATCGTGATGTATCCCCTTCCGCTCGATCATGTACCTATGCAACCAAAGTGTACACTTTTTTTTTTTTTTTTTTTTAACCAAAACATCGGCTTTTTCCCATGACAGGTTCCATCGGACATTGCAATTCTGGAACACAAGTACGCGAAAAAGAATGAGAAAAGAAGAATTAATTTATTAAAAAGGATTTTTATTCATTTTTCCTTTTTTAAAATTGGAAACAACTGTAACAAATTGAACAGTTACGATGTCATTAAGGTCCTTTCGAATGTGTATGCAGGTAAGGGTGGTAAGAGTCCATAAAGTTAGCAGAATAAGAGAGTCCTCCTTACGTTCTTTCCATAAATACGTGCTTGCTAACTTGATATATATATATATGTATATATATATGTACCTTTCCTCGTTTTATATTCCAATCCACCTGATCACCATTAGTAGCAGCAGTGAAAACGATGAGAATCAGCCATTTCATCACTTCACTGTTAAGTTTTCCTTTTTCCCTTTCCCTCTCCCCCTCTGCAGATGCAGATTCAAATGCAGATGCAAATGCAGATGAACCAAATGAAAATAAAAATTTGAATTCAGTTAATATTCTCAACATCCTGAACACAAGGCAAAGGGATATCGAAAAACAGGTAATTTTATAAAATAGTAGAAAATGAACGAATAACCACTCACGCGGAACACACTTGTGTGGATCGTCTTACCATGTGATTGTTTTGTTACTTTACCATTGTACCATTTTATCTTTTCTCATTTTTATTTTCCCATCACTACCATTGCCACGTCCACATCCACTTCCACTTCCACTACTACAACAAAATAAACAAGGTTAAGTGCAAGATGTACTCCTTTATTGGTAAGATATCCCTATTCGGAGGAAGAGAGAGAATGTGTTACTACACACATTTCGTGAGTATTTCGTTGCAGCGTGTTGAGATTTATAAGTTTTTTTTTTTTTTTTTTTTTTTTTTTTTTTTTTTTGTTGTGTTTTCGCCCCATCACACCCGTTCGAAATATTTTTATCCCTTCTACAATCATTGTCAAATTGTTTAGGCTGTTTACTACTGCCCTTGTATAGTCTGAACAAGTTCAGGTACTACGACGCAAAGAGTAAAATCATTATTGTTCCCTTTTTTTCAATTGCTGGCATTTATCTTGGTTCTTTTGTTGGAAATTTAGCTACTGGGAGGTAGGAAACAGAGCGCCTATGATCGTGTGCATATCTAGTAGACAAAGTACAATTTTTTTTGTCTGGATTTCACATTGTATATTTTTTGAACACATATGTGTACATATTTGACGACTTCCATATGTTCTCGTTAAACTGGCTTCAAATTGTCTTTAAATATATGCTTTACTTTCTAGTTTTTTTTTTTTTTTTTTTTTTTTTTTTTTTTTCCCATGCACCCCTTCCCCCTCCGTTGTATAGTTGCGAATTTGTGTGTATGTACACATTAATCTCACCCTCACTCCTTCTCCTTTACATTTCTCATTTCAATCACATTCACAGATTTTCTGATTACAAAAGATCGAAGTTTTTAGGAACACTCCCAGCAAACGTTTTTTTGAAAGAGTGAAAATTGTACAATAATTTCCTGCTCTCCAGACGATATATTGGTTGTGCAGGTATTTTTGTATCCCATTGCAAATTTAGAAGCAACTTCGACACAGATATATCAGCTTAAGGATCCTTTCAAATGTATATACACCTTAACCAAAACATATTGGGAATGAGAAAGACCATTCGAAAAGGAAAAAAAAAAAAAAAAAAAAAAAAAACATACACGCACATGAGTATGTATGTATGTAAAGAAATAAAAAGCTCCAACGGATGTCAACAATCTGCTTTGTGTGTAGAAACATGTTACATTAAAACGCTGGACGATTTTTTTTTTTCCCCGTTTCATCATTGCAGATTTTACGTACGATAGTGTGTAGATGTTTTATGTATTGTACAAAGACACTACACTGCACAGGATTTTTTTTTTTTTTTTTTGTGCATTTACAGTCCCCAACAAACAGACACACATGTACATCCATTTTGTTGATCTCATTATATCAGAATTGATAAATATAAGTGAGCAGAAGTGAGCAGAGGTGAACAGACTTGAAGAGGTATAAGAGGAACGAAGAAGAAGAAGAAGAAGTTATCCCTTTTTTAAATACTGTACTCCAAATTCGACAGTAAAACCAGTTTGGAAGAAACAGCCATCTTTAAAACAGTTCTCTCAAGCAACTATCGTGGTATTATCAGCTATCCTCTCCCTCCTGATAGAATGAAATTCATCAGAAGGATCTTCTCCTACTTGAGTGTGATCATTTGCTTTTTCTTATACGTTAAGGCATATGAAGTGGCATACGACCTTAGCAATTTGGGAACGGCTGAGAAAAGAATGGCCCTCAGCTTGATTCAGATATATGAAGATACAAGAAATACTGAAAGGAATTTTTATGAAAAGTTCAAAAATTCCCATAAGATATTTGACGAGATAGGAAGGGGAAGAGGTACTATCAGTAAGACATCTCCTCTGAGTAAGACATCTCCTCTGAGTAAGACATCCCCTCAGAGTAAGACATCCCCTCAGAGTAAGACATCCCCTCAGAGTAAGACATCCCCTCAGAGTAAGACATTTCCTCTGAGTGTAAATCTCCCGAGTAGTGAAAAATCAAACGGAGGGGTAGAGGAGGAGAGGCCATTATTTCCCACATCTTTTGTGCAAGTGACATCAAAGGGACCTGTGGAAGAGGATACAATTTGGAGGGCCCTGTACGACACCCAGCTGAGAAGATCCCCACCGAATGAACACGTTCATATTTTTTCTTTAGAAAATGAAGAAAGAGAATTTGAGGACGCAAAGGCAGATGCGTTGTATGCACAAATACAAATGATGAAAAATCAGTTTGAGAGGAATTTAAGTTACATGGATACGGAACTTTCTCGTCAAAAGAGGATACGAGAGGTGATAAAACAAGCTAGCTATCTGCAGGAGCGAGCGGGGAAAACGGAAGAAACAGGGAAAATACATAAAACCATTTCAGCTGATCAAGCCGATCCAATGAAACGAGGTAACAATAATGGGCCCCTCACAGGTAGAGTACCACTTAGGGGGACATACGGGACGAAGACTCTCTGCTAAATTGTTTAGACACTTCCCTTCAGTATCTTCTTATATGCGTGAGAATTTTTTTTTTTTTTTTTTTTTTTTTTTTTTTTGTATCTACTTTAGCTGTTTCCTATTATTTTCGACTTTTTCACTATTCTGTCTTTTTTCTGCACAAGTGTTTAAAGAATTTTTTCTGTTTTGCACTCAGAATATATCACGTAAACGTGGTAAGTTAATATATCGATTGAATTTGTCCATGTGTGTGTTGATGGAATACATGCCTCTCTTATTGTGATTCACGTTTCTCCTTCATCCATGTAGGAACTTCCATCTGAATACTGTTCAGGTGAAATGTCCCTCGTTCAGGTGAAATGTCCCTCGTTCAGGTGAAATGTCCCTCGTTCAGGTGAAATGTCCCTCGTTCAGGTGAAATGTCCCTTGTTCAGGTGAAATGTCCCTTGTTCAGGTGAAATGTTCCTCGTTCTGGTGAAATGTCCCTTGTTCAGGTGAAATGTCCCTTGTTCAGGTGAAATGTTCCTCGTTCAGGTGAAATGTCCCTCGTTCTGGTGAAATGTCCCTCGTTCTGGTGAAATGTCCCTTGTTCAGGTGAAATGTCCCTCGTTCTGGTGAAATGTCCCTTGTTCAGGTGAAATACCTCTTTTAGGAGAGATGTTTGGAAAAAAGGTGCGCAAAAAAAAAAAAAAAAAAAAAAAATATAGTGCCTCGTGAAGGGGACACTGTCCTACAAGAAAACATTCCGTTTGGAAAACACATCCTTGTAGTACTTAATAACTACAAGAAACGATTTGTAATTTTTCTGAACAGTGGATATATCATCGTCAAAGTAGGCAAGAAATTTTCCACTTTTTGCAAAGGGTGTTGTTATAGTACCAACGTGTCGTATATGTATATCTTTCTTATTCTCCATATAACTTGCATCGGTTATGTAAACTTTTTGGTTTAAATAAGGAATAACTTGGCTAGGTGAATTGAATACATTTCTACATACAATGGTATGGTTGTCTTGCTGCACCCTTTCAATTATCCCAACCTTTTCCTTTTCTCTCAAAATTTTGAAATGATTAAAATCTGAGTATTCACTTAGTGTCGGTTTTTTGTTTACATTGAATGGAACATTTTGTTGGGGATAACCATCATCGATTATTTCCACAATGATACCGTGCAAGCATATCCTGCAGTTTAGACTGTCATCATTTTTTAAAAAAATGCACATTTCATTTCTATAGCAATGTATCTTCTTCTTCATAACAACAAAGAAGTAAACATCATCTTCTCCTTCCTCCTTCTTCTCGTGTTCTGAGTCATCTCCTCCCTCTGTCCTACAGTTGTGATTGTAAGCCTTGCCAGAATTAGTGACTTTCCCATCGGTATCCATTGTTCCTTGCTTAGAACTGAGCTGATCGATCAGCACATAATTCCTGTTTTTGTCAAATGGGGGCGTGGATGTCGGTGCGTCTCTGTGCAGTGATGTTTCTGTGCATCTGTGCAGTGATGCTTCTGTGCATCTGTGCAGTGATGCTTCTGTGCATCTGTGCAATGATTCTGCTGTGCATCTGTGCAGTGATGCTTCTGTGCATCTGTGCAGTGATGCTTCTGTGCATCTGTGCAATGATTCTGTTGTGCATCTGTGCAATGATTCTGCTGTGCATCTGTGCAACGATCCTGCGGACTGTATTCCTTGGGGGGTAGGAAAGGTGTCGCTGTTAGACCCTTTCATCGGTTTGAAAAAGTAGCCGTAACATGGAGAAGAGGAAAAGCCAATGATACATGTCAATAACTCTGCATTGTTTATAGATTTTCCATAAAAGTGGACTAATTTTACACGACATATGAACAAAGAAAAGTGAGATATGGATGATTTCTCAAAAATAATAATACCCCTTTCAACCTTTTTTTTCACATTCTTTGTACTGCCCTTACATATTAAAAGGGACAATCGATTTCCCTTTGTGCCTCGATCAACTTTTTGTTTAAAACTTTGGATTTCTTTTATTTTTCCTTTTTCACTTAATGGTAAAATGACAACATTACAGTTGTTTTTAATAACTCCATTAATTACAGTTCCTGTGTATACAGTTCCTTTACCTTTGATGTCGAATGTGTGATCATACAGGAAGTAAAAATCTTCTAAATTTCCTTCTCCTCGTTGTGGTATTTCGATGATATCCCTCAAGAGGTTTATCAGTTCGCTTATGTTTTCTGTTCCTTCAGTACCCATTCGTTCAGTACCCATTCGTGTAGTGCTCATTTGTGTGGTGCCCATTCGTTTCGATTCTGTGGCAGATTGCTTCTGTTTGGTCGTTTCACCATTTTGCACTCTGTCCTCGGGGTGTATCTCATTACTGTTGTGCGTAAATCGATCAGAGGTGTAGTCTAACCTCTTCACACGAGTCGATAGTGCAATTATGTAATACTTTAAGTTCCTTAAGCTAGATTTAGTCCTGAATGCATTTTGTATCTTTTTTTTCATAATTTTTATCTTCTTTTCTCTTTCTTCAAATGGTATAAGATCGATTTTGTTAAGAATGATGATAACGCTGCGCTGAACTATTTCGCACAAAACAAGACATTCGATTGTCTGCTTCTGTATTCCTTTGTTAATGTCTATTAGTAAAAATATCATATCTGTTATTTCTACTCCCATTATTATGCAATTAAGGAGTGAGTGGTGCCCAGGACAGTCTACTAGGCATACCTGAATCGTGTCTCCGGTGTGATCATCTGGAGTGGGTACATCTAACGTGAGTGCATCTGGAGTGGGTAAATCTAACATGGGTACACCCATCTGTTCACTTCCCGAGACGAGACAGAAACCTTGATGTGCAACCACTTGGGAACCATTTTCTCCTTCATCTGTGTTGATGTAATTCTGATTTCCAGATCTTTGACATAAGCGCTGACCCACGCATTTCAAGTCAGCGTTGTTAAACCCTTCATCCTCACGCTTAGTATTCGTTTTCCCTTTTCTTTTGAGATAAAAACAAGAAAATCCTAAATCTATAGTTATTCCTTTCTCTTGACTTTGCTTATGCTTATCCAATGCACACGTACTTAAGACCTCACTTAGGCACCTACACAAGCTTGTTTTGCCTGAGTCTACATGTCCCAACACTCCAACGTTTATGTTCATCATTCACGTGTAGAAGGCGGGAGAGGTACGGTTTACAGAATTGAACGGAGTTGAGAAATGAGATCAAAGAGTGGATCGATGGAGAAATTCCGTTTGTGCATATAAATCCACGTGATAGAAAAGTGGCAGATATGTATATTCCCTCTTACTGATGTGGAAGAGTGCGCATTAAAAAAAAAAATGCTCATCTGCAAAATGTTACAAGAGTAAATGAGAATGTGCATACATATGTGCATACATATGTGCATATATATGTGCATACATATGTACATATATATATATATATATATATATATATATATATATATATATATGTATATGTACTACATGCCACCACGTCACAATCCATACAAAAGTTGCGGATTACCCTAAACCCGGAAAATACCATTCGTACCTGAGCATTATCTGCAACATGAGGAGATATAAAATATCCCCGTTAATTTGTTTTTTTTTTTAATCATAATGTTTGTGTCATATTTTACATCGGTTCGTAAGCCATGAAATGCATGCATGCCTCGCCTCTCTTCTTTTCCTCTTTTCTTCTGGAGGATAAGAAATGTTCCCCTTGGATGTTGGATATACTTAGCTCAGGGGTGTATTTTACAGGCAACACGAGTGAAGGCAAAATAGGAGAGCTAGCAAAGCGGGAGAATGGGAGCGCGGGGGAAGAACAAAAAAGAAAAAAAAAAAAAAATCGTAAAAAATTGGTCAAAAATTAGCCAAATATTAGCCAAAAATTAGCCAAATATTAGCCAAATATTAGCCAAGTATTAGCCAAGTATTAGCCAAATATTAGCCAAATATTAGCCAAGTATTAGCCAAATATTAGCCAAATATTAGCCAAAAATGTAAAAATAAAAAAGCATCCAAGTTAACAAACAAAACGAGAATATGACATGCCACATGAATCTCACTAGCACAAGGATCCTCAGAAGAAAAAAAAAAAAAAAAAAGAACACTCTTGGATCCACAAAATTTACCTCCAATCGATATAAACATATAAATTAAAAAATATACCAAAATTTCTGCCAAAATTTTTGCTAGGATTTCACACTATCGAGTTAAGCGGTAGCTATAACGATGGCGCAGAAGAATATAGATGTCGAAAAATGCTATGAACAATCATGTAAGGAAAGAGGAGAAAAACTAAGATTTTATGAAAACATAAATGAAAAAAATGTAAAAATATACCCACCTGATAGGGAAGAGATAGGAAGAGCATCATGGCTAATCTTACATACCATTTCAGCAAATTACCCAGAGAAACCAACAGATGAAGATAAAAAAAAACATACTAATTTCTTCTATGCTTTTGCAAATTTGTATCCTTGTCATATATGTAAACTCGATCTGTTTGATAACTTAAAGAATTACCAGATGACCTGCCAAAACAGAAATGATTTCTCATCCTTTATTTATAATCTGCATAACAAGGTCAATGAAGACATCGGTAAGCCCCTCTTCCCCTGTTCCAATATACAGGAGGTAATCAACCTCTACAAGACAGCAGAGTGAGTGAAGTTGACCAAATTGGCAAAGTTGGCAAAATCGATAGACTTGGTGGACTCGGCAATTTTATGCCTTCCATCCGTGGTATGGCCCGTGGAGCAACATGAGATAACGTTTTTTTTTTTTTCCTCTTTCTGTTATTTTTGGTGCTCTTTCTGCTCGCTCAGCTTGTTCCATTCTAAATTAAACACATTCGTGGACGAGAAAAAAAACGTTTTTGTAACCCATAAGGGGTGTGTGTGTGTGTGTGTGCTGCTCATGGCAAAGCGGTAGAATCACTAGCAAGAGCATTTACATTCATTGCAGATGAACTCGAAAAGTTGGATTGGCTTGTCAAAAGTGCTAGATCGTCTGGGGATTTTTCTCACTGCACCTTTGCATGGTCGCGGTCTATTCGCAGAAATAGTCTTCGACATCACTTTCATTTTCATCTCCAAAGTCACTAGGTGCACTATGGTGCTGCTCCTCCTTTGGGTTTATCAATTCGTGGAGTTCTTGTTTGAGTTTGTCTCCCTCTTGTTCTTCATCAACATCGTGATTATTAACTCTTTTGATTTCTTTTCGATTTCTTTTTACCCGTTCATCGATATAATTATGTTTCCCCTCTTCATGAGAAGAAGTATTCGTTTGTTCTTTTACTGAAGTGTTCATATGATCATCCTTATATGATGCTTCAGATGATGTTCCACTTTTATTTAATGCATCTACATCTGCATCTTCATTCTTACCTTGTATTTCCTTTTCCCAATAACGACAATTTTTACCTGTACATACATAAATTAATGCCATGGGATTGTAACTAATTCTTTCTGGTAACTGTAAAAATACAGCTTCATTATTTCCGCAATTTTTGCACATCCAATCTCGCACACGTCCAAGGGCAGGATCATTCTTCGTTTCTGGGTGGATATATATGTCTTCTCTGCAAGTGGAGGAATGGAAAAATGGAAAAATGAACTATTTTATTTTTTTTTTTTAAGACAACTGCTTCTGTGCTACTCACTTTCTAACACTATACATTTGTGCAGTGTTTTATCAAAAATATCACGGTTGCTTAAATTTTCGGAAGGGGTATAACGAACGAAGAGGTGTTTCCCTCTACAGTTAAGTTGCTTTTCTAATGAGATCTTCGTGAAGGCCACACCTCTTAGTTGCCCTGTCTCAAACTTACTTTCTGTTGTAATTGTAGTTTATCCTAGTCACAATGTTGTGTTGATCATTCAGTTTGTGCGATATGTATTCGCAACTCCTACACACATATAAAAGTTTTTTACTCTTACGATCACTTCGAGCATACAAGATGTTGTTACATTCTTCGCAAAAGGTTACTTCTGCCATGGTCTCTTCATATCGAGAAGTATATATGTCTGTACATATACCTATACATATGACTATTTCTGCAAAATGTACTTCTTTTCAAAATCAATGGATTCTTCTTATGCTATTCTCATGATGTATATGCAGAGCACATGGTCACTGCAAGGGGAAGGGGGCGATGGTGGAAAAAAGAAAAAAAAAAAAAAAAAGGGAACTGTATTTCAGTTAACTTCAAAATGAAAAAGAGATTATCGAAGAGGCAAAATGAATTGAGTATGTGCCTTAGTAGTATACAACCCGTGGTGCAGCTGAATGCAAAAAAAAAAAAAAAAAAAAAAAAAAAAGGAGTTTCAACGGGAGGAAAAAAAATGACTATCGAAGTTGGCGAAGCCGTTGAAGTTGTTGCAGTTTTGAACTTGTCAAATATGAATCTTTTCAAACTTTTATATCACTTCCAGGCCCTAAAAATTTGTTAATGCAGAAAAAATTGGGTATTCACGCAAGGCTCGTAACGGTTTTGACACTTGTCAAGAGGACGAAACGCAAAAAAAAAAAAAAAAATTAACATTTCCTTTTTGTAGTCACCAGCAAACCGTGAGAAATTGGGCACAAAATTGGGCATGCAATTTTACGAACATTTCGAAACGCATCATGTAAATTATGTAAAAATATAAATGCAGTAGGGTGTATGTTGGGTAGGTAGCTAGTTGATAGGATAATGCAACAAAAGGTTTCTCCTCCACCAAGTGGCTAATCGTACGCGCGTAATCAAATAAAAGCCTTTTTTTTTTTTTTTTTGTAATTTACCCCCACGCCCCTATTGTATGTATGGATAACATTTGCATTGCGAAAGAGGGGTAATATTTTTTCATACTTTTTTTTTTTTTTTTTTTTTTTTACATGAATAATGCCTGAACATGTTCATGCAAAAAAATAGGGTGAAGCAATTCGCAAAAGAGAAAAAAAAAAAAAAAAAAAAAAAAAAAAAAAGTACACGAAGGAATACAGAATGGGGTGTTGGGAAATAAAAATACATTACTTTCTGTCTCTTTGAGAAAATGGGGGAACCCTTGAGAAAATGTTTATAACTATTTTTTTTTTTTTCTTTTTTGGTACACCTGCGTCCTTTCACAAATGCATATATTACGTACTTGTCAGAGAGAATAGGCTGAGGGTGTAGATTGAATGAATTTTCCACGCTTCAGCAGACAAGCGGGTTTCACCAACCAGGAGCTTTTGTTAACAACAAACTCGTTAAGGAAAAAAACCAAATGGGAAGTAAAACCTACGAAGCAACAAAAAGTATAATTAACTGCAACGGTGACACACCATGCATTGCGTATGCTATCTATATGAACATATACATATGAGGAGGAAAGAATACGGATGAAGAAGCAGTATATCTCCAGACCTGTTAACTCTAGGAGTATGTAGAGACATGTACTTTCAATATTAGAAGAGGCATGCCGAAAGAGATATTCATCTTTTCTTTTCCCTACTTTTCTCTTTTCATATGCATAATTGATATATCCATGTGTATAATGTTTTCTTTAAAAAATGATTATTATGCTTCTCATTACTTTCTACCCGATTTAGTTTCCCTTTTTTTTTTTTTTTTTTTTCATTTTTCCATACCGTTATATTTGTATAACCCATATTTTGTGTTCTACCAGTTTTGCATAGACATTCATGTTGAGGAGTGAATACAAATACAACACTTATTTGGATCTCTCCTTTTGAGTAGAAGTAAATTTCACGGATTACCCATTTGGTAAACCGTTACATTAGATCCGTCTTTCAGGAAGAGACAAAAAGGGGTAACAGGTGTCTATAAAAAGAGCCTATAAAAAAAAACAGTTTTACCTTGCCTGTTCAGGTAAAAACGAACATATTGTAAATCGGCTTATAATCCAATTGGGTAGATATTTGCTCACACTGTATATGTAACTAAGCATACACATTTCCAACTGTGTAAGCGCTTCCCCTCTCCGTGGACGCTACTGACATAAGTACATGAATTTTGTTATGTCCGTGTATGAAAATGGAAACAAGATGGAGTTTGAGAAGGAGAGGAAATCCCCCGAATGAGCTTGGCTTGGGGAGCAACGAAACCAAAGAGAAGGAGGATATAAGCACCAACAGAGGAAGCACCAACGAAGAGAGTATGAACAAAGGAAGTATGACCAAGGCAAGCACGAAAAAGGAGAATGCAAACAGCAAAGAGGGCGTGGCCAGCAGGAAATGCGTAAAGGAGCAGAATACAGTTCAGCCTAAGGGAGAAAGGAACAAGAAGAACATCCAGAGTGAGAAGAATAGGAAGAATTTAAAAGGTCACGTTACATCTAAACATGAAAATGAGGAAGGTGGAGTGGAAACTGAAGTAGAGGCTGAAGTAGAAGCTGAAGTAGAAGCTGACGTGGAAGCCGAACCCGTAGAGCCGGATAAATCTCCCAAAAAAGGAAATAAGACAACTAAGGAAAATGGAAAGGGCAAGAGCAAAATAATTTCAGTGAGAAAATCGTGCGAAGAAATGACTTCAAATACATTGGAAGATGCAGAAAGTGAATACACAGATGCAACTTTGTTGTGTAATAGAAGAAATAAGAATAAAACAAAAACAAACTCAATGTCTTTGAGGAGGCAAAGAAGTAGTAGTACTTATGAGAATATTTTTGCAAATTATACGAATCAATCTTCTGAGGGAAATACAAGAATGAGAAGCAGAAGGGTTCAAAATGTGACAGGAGGAACATCTGAAAGTATGCCTGAACGTGTAAAGGATGAGGAGGAGGAGGAGGAGGGTGACATAGATGATAACATACATCGAAAGGGAAATCAAAGTAAATTAAACGAATCTACACATTCAAGCACAACCGTTAAAAAAGAAAACGATAAGGACAGTAATAGAGATATTCCAAGACGACTCGATGGAAGAAGTAGAAAAGGAAGTATTGTAAAGGGAAAAAGCGTACAGATGGAAACGGAATCAAATGTGAATTCTCCAGATGCACGCAAGGCCAAGGGGCATAATGATTCATCTTTTGTAGACTTGACAAATGCAAACGGAAGAGAGAAAAATGTGACAGTTTTGAAAAAAACAAAAAGGACGAATCAATCAGTGAAGTTGAAAATGGACAAGGATATACAAATAAATCTGCTACATAAGAAGAGTGAAAGCATGGCATCTTCAATTGGTGTTCCAAGCAGTTCCATTTTGGAGGATACTACTTCCTATCCGATGGGCCTGAAGGGGGAGGTAACAATGGAAGAAGAAGAAGAAGAAGAAGAAGCAGATCCAGAAGCAGATGTAGAAGCAGATGCAGATGTAGAAGCAGATGCAGATGTAGAAGCAGATGTAGAAGCAGATGCAGACGCAGATGCAGAAGCAGATGTAGAAGAAGGGGGAGAAAAAAGAAAAAACAGTGAATCGAAGTGCAAAAGGAAAAAAGCATGCAACAGTAGCAGTAGTAGCAATGTCGAAGGGAAGAATCGTTTTGATACAATCCCACGTGGAAGAGACAAGAATATACAAGGGGAAAGAAGAGGAAGTAATATCTCAATGAATAGAAGTGTCAAAAGAAGGTTGTCTCAAATACTAGATGTGATGAAGAAGAAGGAGATATTTCAGTTTATTGTTGATAAAGATGAGGAAGATGTGAGAATTTGTTATGAAGGAGAGTTGATAGGAGTCCCGAATATCCAAACTGTGGATGATAGTAAAGGGTTACGTAGGAGGAAGAAGGATGAAGAAACTATTGATATGAACCAAGACAAGCATAAGAATACTCCATTTTTACAAAAAGTGAACATAGAAGTGATTTACAACAAACTGCACTATGATATGTACAAAGATGAAGATGAGTACCACAAAGATATGTTCCTAATTTTTGAAAGAATTAAAGAAGAAATTGAATCTGAGAAAGATCTTAAGACAAAACAGAACATGTTTGAAAAAAGACGTAACGCTTTAAAGATATACGAAGGTGAATTTTACAAATTTCTATTATCTATGAGAGGAACAAAAGAGGCTAAAAAATTTTGTAGCACTCAGAAGGTTTTGCGTATGAAGGAGGAGAAGTATTTTTCACAACTTTTTATGCAGATGAAGAAAAAAAAGATGAAGGAGGGCGAGAAGAAGGAAGATAAGACGAAAGAAGGTAAGACAAAAGAAGATAAGTGTTCTTTCATATCACAACCTGATGTGAGTGCAAGTAGAGCAAATTGTATGAAAAATAGAAAGGAAGGAAAAAACAAAAAGGGTGATAAGAAGCTTTCCCGGTCAAGAGAAACTATCCGATCTGTTGAGGAGGATGGTGAGTGTTCGCTGAACAGCAGTATTGAGGAGAAGACATTACTTAATGAAGTATCATCATCACTTGTAACCGCATCAAACGAACATGCCTTTTCGAATAAGGAACGGAATTCATCTCTCAGCATTTGTGAAAGAGAAGATGACGATGGTAAGAAGAAACCCATTAAAAGGATTAATTCTCCACTCAAGTTGAGATTGCGTTTGAGTAGTATTTCTTTAGAAGACGATGTGTCAGTAAGTAAAGGGAATGAGGATATGCGAATAGCAGATACAAACCTAAAGATGATTGGTAAAAGTTGTGAAAATTCTTCAGAAATGGATGGAAGACAAACAGGTTCTGCTGCACAGAAGAGAATGCAACTACCTATTGTTCAGGAGATGGGGGTGGAACATTTAATGAGGAGAGAGAACAAAACGAAATTGAATAATGGAGAAACGGAGCAGAACTTATCAGATTGGAGGAAGAACTTACCTGATTCGAAGAAGAACTTATCTGATTCGAAGAAAGGATGGAACAGTAGAGACCAAAAGGAGTGGGAAAAAACAGCAAGAGATAAGATCTTGAAGGTTCTGATAGGAGATAACAAGAACGCATTTTATTTTATGAAACCAGTTCTGGAAGATAAGAATTTAAGCGACAAAATAAAGAATGAATATAAAATAAAAATTAAAAAACCCATGGATTACAGGACAATATCGAAAAATCTATCTCAGGGTATTTACAAAAAGCCTATAGAATTTTATCAGGATATGAAATTAATTTATCAAAATTGCTTTGAATTCAATCCGGACATATCTCAGAATCAGTACATAATAGATGCAGCAAAATATAGCCAAGAAAAATTTGAAACTTTGTGGGCAAAATGGAAGAAATTTTTTTTCCAAAATTTGAATGAAGACAACTTGTTGAATCAGAAAAATTTGGAGAAAAACAATGAAACTGAAATTCGTCCATTTAATGTAGCAAATTATGTAGATTTTTTCAAAAAAATCATAAAGAAAAAAAAAAAAAAAAAAAAATTCAGTTCCATTTATTGTCTCTGGATTGATTATCTTATAAAGAACCAAGTGAGCTTTAAGCAGTTTTGCGTGGAGAGAAACATAAACTGGGAGGTTCTAAATGCAAAATCAAAGTCGAAGGTCCTGAATGTGCAAAATGTCAATTTTCAAAGATTTAAGAAGTTTAATAAAAGCACTTTGCTGTTTCATGTGTTCAAGGAGGATTACAGTGCTGTGTTGAGGGATCGCCCCAAGGAGGTGAAGAGGTTGGCCAAGAAAAAGGTAGAAGTGGAAAAGTTAGATGTGGAGAAGATAGAAGCAGAGAAGATAGAAGCAGAGAAGGTAGAGACGGAGAAGATAGAAGCAGAGAAGGTAGAAGCAGAGAAGGTAGAGACGGAGAAGATAGAAGCAGAGAAGGTAGAGACTGAGGAGGTAGATGCAATATCGGACGAAGGGCACATGTTGGAGGAAGTTGCTTGGGGAGGAAATGCAGCTACAGGAGAGGAACTAACTGTACTCGATAAGAAGGAATCGAAATTAAAAATTGTCTTGAGGAGGAGGAGGGATTATGGTAAGAGCAAGCAGGAGCAACACAAAGGCAAGATGCAGGAAAAAAAGGAGTCGTTGAAGAAACAGCCATTCAAGCCATTTATAAGGAAGAAGAGGAGAATTGACAACGTTATTTTTTTTTATGAAAATGTATTTGATAGTTATTTGCATGGAAAAAGGAGTTGCATGGTAAAGTGTGCGAGGAATGTGTTTCTGACCGATTGTGTTTACTATCGAAATGTTTTACAAAGCCTGGAAGAGTTCATGCAAGACTCCTCCGGTGGTGTGAAAGCGGCGAGAGTGAACTCATCAGTAGATGCAGTGAGGGTAGATTCAGCAATAGATGCAGTGAGGGTAGATTCAGCAATAGATGCAGTGAGGGTAGATTCAGCAATAGATGCAGTGAGGGTAGATTCAGCAATAGATGCAGTGAGGGTAGATTCAGCAATAGATGCAGTGAGGGTAGATTCAGCAATAGATGCAGTGAGGGTAGATTCATCAGTAGATGCAGTGAGGGTAGATTCAGTAGTAGATGCAGTGAGGGTATATTCAGCAATAGATGCAGTGAGGGTAGACTCATCAGTAGATGCAGTGAGGGTAGACTCATCAGTAGATGCAGTGAGGGTAGACTCATCAGTAGATGCAGTAATGGTGAACGGGTTGGAGGTGAAGCCCACGCCAAGACTAAACAAAATAAACATCGATCTGCGTAAGGGTAACGAGAAAAAGGGGAATCATGGAATCACATGGAAATATTTTGAAGACGAAGAAGAAGGAGGAGAAAAGGAAAGCGAGACGTTATTGTGTAACACAAGAAGAGAAGGAAAATTACATCCTAGGGAAGAAAGCAAATTGGTAGAGGTAGTAGTAGACATGAATACTCAGCATGAGAATAAGAAAATACACATGTGGTGTAGTGACAAACCCAGTGTAAAATTAAAATGCTCGTTGGGAAGGAGCATTTGCATTTGCGAGAGGAGAGAAGCTGAAGATATGAACAGCAGGAATTGTGAACATGTGGGAGAAGTTTACCATGGCATTGGAAATCGTACCGAGGGTAGAAGCGTGAGCAAAAGCACAGAGAGTCGTCTATCCCTTGTGCGAAACAGACATTCAGAGGAAGAACACGACAGTGGCATTTGCTGGAGTAGGAAGAGTTTGTTTGGTGATGGCACCCATTTTCCACTCCATGAAAAAAAACAAAAAATAAGAAAAAGGAAAGCGCTAAAAGGGAAAGAAGTAAAAGGGAAAGAAGTAAAAAGTAAGGAAGTAAAAAGTAAGGAAGTAAAAGGGAAAGAAGTAAAAATCAAATTTTGGAGCAAAAAAAACGGACAAAGTGCAGAGAAAAAGGAGGTATATAAAAGGGTTATAATGGATAATCAAATGAAAAATAAAACTCTCGTGTTAAACCTGAAGGTGAATTACAGTGAGATAATGCAGGATAGATGTTTTTTCGAGGTAAAGGAAAGACACATGTACAAACATCAAGTGGATTTTTTTTTTTTCTTTGTTTTACATTCCTCCATCAAGTTAAATCTGTGTGTAAAGGTTGAACGCAGAAGTTTTCTCTTAATCCAAGGGGCCTCCTTTGAGCATATAAAAATATATATAATGAATAAATGCAAGAAAAACTCGAACATTACATTTTACTTGTGCAATGATATGCCCAGCACTGATTCTACCTTACTGCAAGTGCTGCATCATTACTTTTCGAGCTTTAATTCCACAGACCACACGTCTGGCTCGCTTGGGCTATATGAAGCTGCAAATGAACTCTCCCGTGTCCTCTCGACAGTTCGAGTGTACATACCGGTTCGTGAGAGTGAGAGTGTTCATGCGATTGTTAGTGTTCATGCGATTGTTAGTGTTCATGCGATTGTTAGTGTTCATGCGATTGTTAGTGTTCGTGAGAGTGCTAGTGTTCGTGAGAGTGCTAGTGTTCATGCGATTGTTAGTGTCCCTCCTTGATTGCCATTCCCTCTACCGGCATGCCACCTCGACATGCCACCACCTCATGCCACCTTTCAGGAAGTGGACGTTCTGATGAGAATCCAAAATGAAGTTTCAACAAACATGGTAATCATAAGTATTCTAAAGAAGAAGACCATCTAACATGTTCAGCTTAACTGGAACGATTCGCTTTTTCACACAAAAATATATGGATGTGTATGGATATATGCATGTATGTATATGCAAGCAAGCAAACTTTGATTCTAGCTTGTTTTGACAGGTATGTATAGTACACGAGTGCTTACACGTGCACATATATAATGGCACGTCATTCATGTGTGTACTTAATGGACGAGGTGGGGTTAAAGCTCGTTGCGTGTTCATTTTCCCATTCAGCTGTTCATCACTGACCACATTAATCATTTACCGCTTCACCATTTTGTGAGTTTTTTTTTTTTTTTTTTTTTTTTTTTTTTTTGTTTCTTTACCACCGTTGGTGTAAATGCATACGCACTGAGATAAAATGTTGTAATCATGTCTTAAGCACCAACACACAGGGACATATTCACATCTTGTCCTTATCTCTGCTGATTATATATGACATACTTATAACATTTGAAATGAAAGAAGAATGAATAAGAATCTCATTGTGTCTATTTTGTGTATGCTTAACAGGATGTAAAATTTCGAATAATATATATTTTTCCTGTTTTGATGTTTTGTTTTTTTTAGCGTAATTTTTGGTAAAGGTGTACAGTAATTACACATTAACCACAGTGGAGGGGAAGGTGTGGGTATGCTCAATTTTGAATGCGCTCGATTTTGCATTTGCCTGTCCTCATCACACACATAATGTAAATTATTATGTAAATAAAATCCATTAAGACGAATAGACTTTGTCTCTTTGCATAAACCCTTTTGGATATGGAGTTCACAGAAGAACAGGAAAACGTGGGAAAGTGTGGAGGTTAATATCAAAAAAAAAAAAAAAAAAAAAAAAAAAAAAAAAAAGAAAAAAAAAAAAAAAAAAAAAAAAAAAAAAAAAAAAAAAAGGGTAGGAGAAATATAGTACATGAAAATTGTGTGTAAAAAAGAACAAAAGTGGTAGGAGAAATATGGTACATGAAAATTGTGTGTAAAAAAGAAAAAAAGTGATAGGAGAAATATACCAGATGAGGATTATATGTGTATACACGTGTTAACGTCAATGTAAAACTCTGGGATTGAAATTATTTCACAAAATGAAGCGAAGCAAAAAAACACTGATTTGATTTGATTTAATTTGATCTGATTTAATTTGATTTAACTTGATTTGATTTAACTTGATTTGATTTAAATTGATTTGATTTAACTTGATTTGATTTTTTTTTTTTTTTTTTGCATATCTGTGTGGTAAAAATGTGAATTCAGTGTCAGACCAAACATTTGTTGTTGCCTATTTGGGGTTATAATTTATTTAAAGCAGCAATTGGAGGTTGAAAAAATTAGAGGAAAAAAATTAGAGGAAAAAAATTAGAAGAAAAAAATTAGAGGAAAAAAATTAGAGGAAAAAAATTAGAAGAAAAAAATTAGAGGAAAAAAATTAGAGGAAAAAAAAAAAAAAAAAAAGTCAACCAGAGTGAACATTTAGAAATAAGTTTTTTTTTTCCCCCATTTTTTTTGCTTCTCATTTTTTTCCACTTATTTTTTGTTTCATATTTTTTCCTCTTATTTTTTGCTTCTTTTTTTTTTGCTTCTTTCTTTTTGCTTCTTTTTTTTTTGCTTCTTTTTTTTTGCTTCTTTTTTTTTGCTTCTTTTTTTTTGCTTCTTTTTTTTTGCTTCTTTTTTTTTGCTTCTTTTTTTTCCTCTCCTTTTAAACGCGCCTCTTCCTCCCAATCCTGTGGGAAAATGAATAATGACACATGCACTTGTTTTTTGAGGGGAATCCTTGCTCTTATTGCTTATTTTGATGTTCATGCAAAAATTAGTAAATGAAGAGTGAAAAAAAAAAAAAAATAAACATCAGAGAAGAAAGTATAGTATAAAAGCATAAGCAAAAAAAAAAAAAAAAAAAAAAAAACACAATAAATCTACAACTGATTGGATGAATAATTGACAGATTGATGAATACATTTGACTATGTTTTAACAATTGGAATTGAAGTTTTTTTTTTTTTTTTTTTATAATTTTGTTCCACATTTATCGTTTCCTTGACCCCGTGGGCACAATGCCATACTTTTCAAAAACATTGTAAAACTCCAAAGGATTTCTTCATTTTCACATTTAATGACATATACTCACAAATATCCAACTCACGCGACCTTACACATGCAATTATAGAACATGTAAACTGCTAATTTATCGAAGAGGAAAAGGAGCAATTTGTGTGTGTGTGTGTGTGTTTTTTTTTTTTTTTTTTTTTTTTTTTTTTTTTTTTTTTTTTTTTTTTGATTTTTTTTTTTTTTTTTTTTTTTTGTTTTTTTTTTTTTTTTTTTTTTTTTTTTTTTTTTTTTTTTTTTTTTTTTTTTTTTTTTTTTTTTTTTTTTTCTTTTTTTTTTTTTTTTTTTTTTTTTTTTTTTTTTTTTTTTTTTTTTTTTTTTTTTTTTTTTTTTTTTTTTTGCAACGCTTTTCCTTCTGACCAGTTTGAGAGGATCACTCCTTAGCTCAGTAATCATTTATTCGTTTGTTTATTTTTATATTTTTTTTTTCTTCTTTTTGTTCCCCCATTTTGATACGACGTTGTTTTTTTCCATTTTGCCTTTTCTTTTTTGTGTTATAATACATATGTGCTTATCAAAGAACAGAGAGTTGTGAATTTGGAACCTGGCCGATCCGAATTCCACACCTGTGAGAAATGGTAGATGAGTTGCGATAGATCAGAGTGGGAAGATCAAAGGTAATGGACGAGGGATATACTTATCATTCATATCAATCGATTCACATTTATTGAAATATGCACACGGTGGAAAAGCAACACGACTTGTCACCCTAGTTACGCTGGTTAACAATCAATATAGATAGACGTGTAGAAAGAAAGGAAATATAACTTATAAAGACCTACATATTTGAATTAGTGTTCAAATTTACACACCTCCTTACCTTCGCACACGCACGACTCTAACATATCCATATTTTGTTCAGTTTTTTTTGTTTACTTTCATTTTGTTTTGTTTTGTTTTCTTCTGTTTTGTTTTCTTCTGTTTTGTTTTCTTCTGTTTTGTTTTCTTCTGTTTTGTTTTCTTCTGTTTTGTTTTCTTCTGTTTTGTTTTCTTCTGTTTTGTTTTCTTCTGTTTTGTTTTCTTCTGTTTTGTTTACTTCTGTTTTGTTTTCTTCTGTTCTGTTTTCTTCTGTTCTGTTTTCTTCTGTTCTGTTTTCTTCTGTTCTGTTTACTTCAGTTCTGTTCTGCTCTGCTTTCATTTTATTTTACCATAAGCAGGAGTGCCCATTTTGTGCATCCACAGAATGGAACTAAGAGAGCAGAAACAGACAATATTGTAACATTTCGATAGAACATTCTTGTGATTAAATATGCACTCAATTCTTCGACTCATAGGAAATTTATTTCATAATGCATATTTGGCTATTTTTCCTTTTTTTTTTCCTTTTTTTTTGATAGTGCACCCTAATGCGTGTTAGCTGAGTTGGCTTTCTTATTCGCGCTCATTTTGTTTCACTCTTATTCTTATTCTTGCTTTTGTTGTTGTTGTTTCAATTTCTGTTTTTGCTTCTGCTTCATGTGCTATTATTTTGCTAGCTCACGTTTCCAATTAAGTGTATCAAATCTAAAGCACAGAAAAAGAGGCTTCTCCAAAGAGAGAAAAAAGCTTTGTACGTCTTTTTTTTTTTTTTTTTTTTTTTTTGGGACTAATATTTATCTTTCCGATTTGCATGATATGATTATAATCCGAGATTTGGAAATTTGTCAAAAGGTCGAACTGACATAATGTATCCAATCTGGGATTTATCGTTACTTTTTTTTTTTTTTTTTTTTTTTTTTTGAGATAAACCAGAGAAGGAGAAAATAATTTTCCAACTTTTGTCTGAAGTTTCTTAGCTGGACATTTCTGTTTAGTTCTCTGCTTCTGCGCTAGTTCCCTTTATAACCCAATTGATAGAATCCATTTGGGAGATCTCAATTGATAGATCCATTTGGGAGATCTCAATTGATAGATCCAATTGGTAGATCCAATTGGTAGATCCAATTGGTAGATCCAATTGGTAGATCCAATTGGTAGATCCAATTGATAGAACCCATTTTTGCATGGAAAAAGACGTAGATCCAAATGATATGCACGAGTGGACACGCACGTAATGCACTACACTGGAATTTGATAAAGGAAATAAAAGAAATCACACATCTAAGCGATGAAGAAATTGCAATTATTCATAAGCGATTCAATTCGATCAGTAACAAGGGGAGATTAAATTATGAGAATTTTGAGAAAAGTTTAGGAATTCTGGGAACCATTAAAAATGCATATCTTTACAGTTCTATATTTAAAGCATTCGATACAAATGAAGATGGGTATTTAGATTTTTATGAATTCTGTGTTGCAATTAATACTATGCTGAAAGGAAGTAAAAGAGAAAAAGTGAAATTATCTTATCGCATAGTTCACGCAGGAATAGTTGAAGATTCTTGCAGTAATGATGCAGAGGAATTTAATATATTTCAAAATAATTCACCTAGATATCACAAAGAGAATGATCATAATTCTTACTTAGGAATAATCCCCACAAGAGGAGGAGCACGGGGAAGAGGAGGTCGTACATCTATGTACCCTTCCATTGTTAAGATAAACTCAAGTAATAAACCATTGAAGAAGACTACAAATGAGAGTTCATCTAAGAATATTATTCCATTTAAAAGTAATAGCAATAATGAATCGAGTAACCCTTCCCATTTTAGGAAGACACAAAGAAAAGATCTATCATCTGATGTAATTAGGGATTATTCAGATTACATATCGTATGAACAATTTGAAAAAATGGTTCTAAGTATTAATGACATTAAAAAACAGCTACTTGGAACAGAGGAGAAGATAATGGTTAGTCAAATAAAATATACGTTTAAATCCTTGGGTATTTTGTGTGAAGATGGTAAGTATAGAATGAATTTAAAATGCTACAGGAAGGCCGTTAAATGTAATGAATTTTTGAAACTCCTAGGAATTCATGATAGAGTAGCTGATGCGTTTGTTCATGGGGAGATTCAAAAGAAGAAGAAGAAAAAAATAAAATCTGTCAAAGAATTCGAGACAAGGGATCATCAGGAATGGAAGGAGGAGGAAGGAAATGCACAAAGAATAGCTAGTTCGAATGACCAATTGAATCCATCATTACATCTGGCCAACAATTATGACACCCATTCAAGGGATACCACATCGGAGCAATTCATGAAAAATAAAAAAAAAATAAAAAAAACTTACCATGCTGGAGGAGAAGGAGCAGTGACAGTAGAAGCTGGAGAAGGAGGAGTTGCCAATCGAAGGAGACCAGCATACAGAGGAGATGATCACCCAAGTGGTGATGTCAACCATGAAAGCAGCTGTGACAGAAGGGAGGTTGCATATATCACTCGGATCAACAAAGTTGGTGATAAGAAATGCACAGAACAAGTGAATGAGAGGATGAAAGACGTGAAGGAAAATGGCATGGAAAAAATCTCCTCATCGCTTCTAATGTTAAACGGAAATTGTAAAAGTTGTATACCTCTAGAAAGTGTCTTAGTTCAAGAAGTGTGTGTAGTTAGAGACGAAAAAAATACAAACAACAAGTTATTTGAGTCTTCATTAAGAAAATTTCATAATGAAAGAAATGGCAAAATGCACCATTTGGATGTGTCGTCCCTAGGAGGGGTGAAACCGAAAAAAAGTTCTTCTTGTGAAAGTGCTGAAGGAAATATCTCTCAATCAGATGAAGAAAGAATGAACATAACAACGAGGAAGAAGTTAAAAAAAACGGATGACAACTGTGATGGTAAGATGAATGATAATTTTCATATATCGAAAGGGGAGGATTATCAAAAAAAGGACTCATCTGAGAAGAAAAAAAAAAAAAAAAAAAAAAAAGAAGAAAAAGAAGAAAAAAAAGAAGAAAAAAAAAAAGGGATCAACATAAACGGAAGTCTGAATAGCATAACTAATTCGAGTGTGCATCTAGGAAGAAACAATTATAATGAGAATAACAGTGCATCTGAAGATTGGTCCTCACCATCCCAGAGCTTTCAAATCAGTGCAAGGAGGAACAATATCTCGATAGAAAATAAGAACCGCTTAAATGTCGAGAAAGAAGCTGATAATCCCATTAATTGTGCAACATCGGACAGCAGCTCACTCACCTCAGATTATAACTCATATGTGGAAATGGTAAAACTTGACAAAATGAATCAAGAAGAAAAGAAAACTTCAAATGGAATTACACAAACGGGAGGAAAATGCAACAAAAGGAATTCTCAATCTAGTGAAGTTGTCATTAACGGAAAGGTGGTAATCCCCCAAATTAGCAGGTCATTCGAAAATGCTAATTCTAATAATTACAAATGTATAATAACCCATGCAGGAAATTATGATTATTTTGAAGAAAGCAATTCATTGATAGATGGAATCAATGATGGAAAAAAATGTAATAATAAAGAACAACACGAAAGTGATATTATGATAGCTATATCTGAATTCGAAAAAAAAGAAGAAAATAAAAAGTATGTAGAAGAGTACAATGAATACATGAAGCGTTATAGAAAATTCGCAGAAGAACAGGAAGAGTGTTATCTTCTCGACCAGGATACTTATTCAGATGGCAGAGAAGAACCTCAAAAAGATTTTGAGGGAATACAAAATTCGCACACTAATGATATGGGGAATAGTAGTGCTTATGAGGATCCATACGCAGACAATGGTGCATGCATCCTTGGGAATGAAGATATGGATGGTGATAATGCACTCCATTATGCAGCAGGTGGGAGAAGGAAATCGTGTGGGAAGAACACATTCGGTAGAAGTATCCGATTGAGCCATGTGAGGAATCAGAGCCGAGACTCCGATGTGATGAATCCCAAAGCAGGTGCAGCGACAAAGGTAGATGCAGTGACAGATGCAGTGGCAGATGGAGTGGCAGATGGAGTGGCAGATGGAGTGGCAGATGGAGTGGCAGATGGAGTGGCAGATGGAGTGGCAGATGTGGCGCAAAATGGGGAGGCGAACAAAGTGGAGAGCGCAAAATACCTGTGCAGAAAATTTCAAGAGTATAAGGAATTCATAGAACATTCCAGATGCCCAATCTCGCATAACCACAATGGACTTATGCTGAGTAGCAATGATTCTCGAATTCTCGACCAGACAAATTGTGAGGAGAGGAAAGCTGCAAGTGGAAACAGCCATTGTGTTGAAAAAGTGAAGGCTCATAAATGTTCTACAGGGAATGTAGCGAATGTAGCGAATGCAATCAATGCTTCCAAGCTGAGCACGGTAAACGGATTTAGTGACGACGTAATTAACAAAAAGTTTTACATTCCAACGAACAAGGACCATTACGTTATGGTTAATAAGAATTTGACAAAGGAACAGGTTCTGTATCATGTAAGAAATATCGTGCTAGCCATTGAAGAGTTCCTCAAGAAGGAGAGGAGAAATAGTATTGGGGATTATAACAAAATTTTCTTCTTTTTTTTCTACGTCTTCAGTTACCACATGGGGGGGGGAGGTGAACAGAATCATCATACGCAGGACCGGATGCAGGCCCAGATGCAGGACCGGATGCAGGCCCAGATGCAGGACCGGATGCAGAACCAGATGCAGAACCAGATGCAGGCCCAGATGCAGGCCCAGATGCAGAACCAGATGCAGGCCCAGATGCAGGCCCAGATGCAGGCCCAGATGCAGAACCAGATGCAGAACCAGATGCAGAACCAGATGCAGAACCATAATAATGCGCGACAATGCAGAGATGAAATGAACCCTGTGTTGACGGAGCACCACCCATTGAGAGATGAACCGAGTAACGAATCTCAAATGAGTATAAAGAACCTGAAATCGAATATTTTTGAAAACATTTTGCTAATGGCTCAGATAGTTAAGTACTTTCTGCACACAATCACGATCTCACACAAATGGTCCTCATCCTATGAATCCATCGAGGAAACGCATCAAATGAATAATAACCAGAATTCACTGAGGCAAAATGATGTGAATATTCTTCTGAGTCACACTAGTAATCTTCTGGAAATATATTCCAAAGGGACATGTAAAAATAGAAAAATTTACATTAACAAATCAAACTATCACCATAAACTTAAGAGAAAAGGGAAATTATCTGTTTCTTTACGTCAAAAGAAAAAAAAAAGAAATTTTCAGAAAATTTTAGCTGTTTATTTCGGACATGAACGATGGGATCTTGTAATGAATATGATGATTGGGATTCGTTTATCAGCTATAAAAAAATACAACACTAATAATATTGACAATTATTTTAAACACAAAGACATTTTAGAATTACCTACATCTAATGCAAAGCACAAAGTTGTTTTTAAGAATTATGCACCCATTATCTTTAAACAAATTCGTAACTTTTATGGAATCAAATCCAGAGAATACATATCTTCTGTGGGTCCTGAACAAGTCATAAGCAACATGGTCTTGGGAAACCTCTCCACGCTCAGCGAGTTACTTTCGGAGGGGAAGAGTGGTTCTTTATTTTACTTCACTAGCAATGGAAAGTACATAATCAAGACGGTAAGTTCTAGAGGCGAGAGAGATTTCGAAGTTTGGAACTACTCTGTGTGATAATTTGAAAAAGAAAAGATGACTGAGGGAATTCTACCATCCAATCGATTCGAAATATTTCATTTTTATAATCAACCCCCCTCTCTCCATAACAATAGCAAACTATATATATTAATGATGAACACTCATATCTTACTCCATCATTCCCTGAAAATTCACAGGTATGCAAAAACATACACAATTTGTCCAAGGCCCTTCTTCCTAAGTATTATGAACATGTGAAGAAGAACCCTGACTCTCTGTTAACACGACTGTATGGAATTCATTGCATAAAGTACAAAAGCGAATCTGGAAGTAAGTCTCCTTTTTTACTCGTTTGCACCGTTGCACCGTTGCGCCATTGCACTGCTGCACCATGTTCTGGAACTAATGACATTTGTTTCTGTTGTGATAAATGGGGATTCCTCGTCCCTACTTTCTATCTCTCGCATCGTGTTCACCATTATTCCATTTCTATTTACCACCACCCCATCTTCCCTCAGGAGGCACGAAAAAAATATACTTCATTGTAATGAACAATTTTTTCTCTTCGGCTGTGGAAATACACAGAAGGTATGACCTTAAAGGAAGTTTAGTAGGGCGATCAGTTCCTCAAGAGAAGAGAGAAGACTACACAATTGCATTGAAAGATGTAGACATAGATGAATTGGGTGATAAAATAAATGTAGGATTAGAAAATAAAGAAAAGTTACTGAAGGTTTTAAAATCCGATTCAGATTTTTTAAGGGAAAACTACTTGCTCGATTATTCACTTCTTTTTGGAATTCACTACAAAGATTTATCACGCGATTTGGTTAATTGGAACTCAAGTAGAACAAGTGAGGTTCGTCACATTTTTGATGAAGACGGAAAATGTGTAGAAGCTAGACCGTTCCACCAAGTAAGGATTCAGAAAAGTTGTGCACTTGCTCTTCTGAAGCAGTGTTCTAGCATTTGCATGTGTGAGAGAGATCACTCAATCGTGTTTTTGAATCTCCCTTTTTGACAGAGTCAAACGCAAACCACCCACACGTGCATAGCACACGCATTGAACCATAAGTCTCCTTTATCCACCACATGTGAATATATGGTCATGTGCACGTTAATGTGATCTTCTAACGTTTCCTCATCATAACCCCATCTCTGTACCTCCATCATCACATCTCTGTACTGTCATATCACCCCATCTCTGTATCACCAGGGCGATCACGGAGGCATGCTAAGCATTGACAGGAATAAAATTTTCTTTTTTGGGATCATTGATATTTTCACCAAGTGGACGTAAGTGCCTAGGAGCATCAGCTAGCTGCTGCAGCGCTGCATGTATGTGCATACGTACGTGCATATAAGTGAAGAAGTGCATATAAGTGAAGATGTGCATATAAGTGAAGATGTGCAACAACATACACGTACTAATTTTATGCCGCACCCCCTTTTTTACCTGACCAATTTTAGATTAAAAAAAAAATTCGAGCACACCTTAAGAACTATACAGTATGTGATGAAAAGTGGAAAAACTGGAAAAACACACCCAAATGTGCACATGAAAAAAAAAAAAAAAAAAAAAGGCACAACTGATTTTACATATAAATCGATATGTTTCGATGAGAGAAAGTGGGTATAATGTGTGTTAGTGCACACACACGTTTAAATCCTGTTCGTATTTTTCTCACTAATTCATATATATTTACTTTTTCTTTTTTTTCAGAAAACTTGATCGACAGAATATTTCTTGTATCCATCCCAAGGCTTATGCAAGTACAGTTTTAATTTTTTTTTTTTTTTTTTTTTTTTGAGAAAAAATATTTTTCCATTGTTCTTCCACCCCCTCTCTCTCTCACACTCTCTTTACACCAAGTGCCTAGGGGACACTCTCAAAACATTTTATATATTACTTCATCCCCTACACTGTACCATGAGACAAACATGGTAGAATAACTAATACTTTTTATACATTCCTCTAATTCACCTTTTCCACACCTCCCGACCCGCAGAACGATTCGCAACTTTTATAGAGAACCACATGGAGTAGTTTTTCCAACTTTTCCGAGCTTTACATTTTTTGTGGCTTTTCCAACATTTCCACCTTTTTCACCTTTTTCACCTTTTCCACCTTTTTCACCTTTTCCACCTTTTCCACCTTTTGTAGTTTTTAATTTTGCGAGTTTTTTTTTTTTTTTTTTTTTACCTGACCCTGTTAAGGTAATTAATTGAGTCAATTTGGAAATTAGCCTTAGAGTTACCAACCTGGGCACCAAAAAATACCTACACAAATGTGTATCAATCTATACATATATCTGAATGGACAACATCGCCCCCTCTCTCCCACATTCTATACATATGCATCATATTTTAATCGCACCATTATCTCGTGGTTGGTCTCGCTTCTTCCATGTTTTTAAAATTTTGTCGAATGAGCTAATAAAAAAGAATAATGAATTTTTTTTTTTTCTTTTTTTTTTTTTTTTTATTTTCCATGTTGTGCTGCACCGATTTGACATGTACATACAATATAAAGCATTTTACAAAAAAAAAAAAAAAAAAAAAATTAGCATACCTTTTGAACTTTTGAAGTGACTAAAATATGAAGTTTCCTTATATTCTGTTAATTCTATTTTTCATTGATAGCAACGAACCGTTTATTAGTTGTAATGATATGGATGAAGATAATTGTGATTGATTGGATGGGGATAAACAGAATTGCCTCATATACGTGAAAAATATTCTAGGGAAAGAAATGGGGTGTACCGGTAATGTGTGTGCAGCAAGTGCCCTATTTTTTTTTTTTTTTTTTTTTCACTTCCACTGTTCTTGCTTTTGTAAGAATTTCTTTTTATTTTTGCATTTCACATGGTTGGAAGAAAAAATATTCGAAGCACGATTTTGTCATAACGGTGTGAGTTCATTTTTTTTGCCTCTAAAAGGTGGGAGACGATAAAATGGGGAAAAAAACGGGGAAAAAAACGGGGAAAAAATGGGGAAAAAAAAATGGGGAAAAAGTATAAGGATGACACCCGTTCCGAGATGTGTCCTAAATTTTACATTCCTATTGCATTCACATGTGTTATAATGTGATATGCCATGGTGATGAATAAACATATAGAGATGTAGAGAGGATAAAAGAAAAAAAAAAAAAAAAAAAAAATCCTCACTCGACATCTGTATTAGATGTGGGAACTGTATTGGTTTCGTCTAGAAGCTCTGTTTTGAGTTGCCAGAACTGCAAAGTGTTATCTTCGCCAGTAGATCCTATAAACATTTTGAGTTGCTTATGATGATTCCAGTTGAAATCTGTAATGGGCTGAGTATGTCCACCATGGGAGAAAATTAATTCAGATGGCCCATCGGATAAATCAATAGCATCAAGTTCTTCTCCAATTTTTGCCAAATTGTAAATATTTATAAAACGGCTATTACTTGCTGAGGCGAGAATTGAAGAATCATTTGGAGAGAAATTTAATCTAATAATAGGTTCTTTATGTGCATTAATAATATGTTGAGGTTCATTTAATTTTTTAATATCCCATATTTTTATTTTTCCATTATCACTACCAGATGCAAAATGTCCCGTGAATTTATTCAGGGAAATACAATTCACAGGTACTTGTTGTCCTAGAACCTGTTGAACGGGTTCTTCTGATTTGATTCTTATATCGTACATTAAAATATATCCATTATCTGCACAAGCTAAAATTAAGTTAGGATCATTGGTTGAAGAGACATCATTAAGTGGAGATTTATATTTAATTCCATAGAATGGGTTTGCACTTTTTTTACTCAAGTCATTGTAATCATAAAGGTTTAGTACGCCATCATTTCCACATGTTAAGACATATTTTTTCTCTGAATTGAAATCTAAGCCGAATCCATCAGATGAATTTCCTATGAATGACACTTCTGGATTCATTTTATCTTCATTCGTTTCGATTCCATGTTTATTTATATCAAAAAGGTGAAGATTTCCATCTGTTGCTTTCGTTACAACAATGTTTTTCTTTTCAAGAGGCAAAAATTTTATTCTATTTACTTCTCCTTTGTGAGCAATTTTCGATTTTATTGTAAATTTTTTTTTTTCTGAACAAAAATCGAATCCCTCATAATTATCATTCGTTTTGTAGATGCAATTTTCTTGTGGTAGTTGTTCCAGAGGGAAAAGTACATCACAAACGTATAGGAAATTGGGTTCTTTATTAGATGTATGGGTTCCTACACATACTATTTGATTAAATACATTATCTTCACTATTTTCATTGTGGAAATCACCAAAGTCGATAGATAACGATGGCCACTCCAGCTCTTTTCTACTCACAAAATCGTACAACAACCCACTGTTAACTTTCCAGTTATTGAATTGTGTTTCAATATCCTCTTCTTCGATCTGTTCATTCTTTTTCACAATTTCTTCAGCATTTTCTACTTCTTCACTGAGTTCTAAGCAAGCCTGGTCAAGGGCATTTGATTTGCGCTTCTTACTTTCCTTTTCAGAACTCATCTTTGTCTTTATCATCCAACTCAATTTTTGACAAGACGGAGAGATGTGGGAATAATGAAGGGGAAAATAATATAAACATGTAGAAATGGGTGAGCTTGGTGAGACGGAATTTGTGGAGATATAAAATGACATGGAGTGCCCTTTCCACGGTTATGATGTGTACATAAGTTGTCCCTAAAAAGGGTGGATGCATTCTTTTTTTTCTTCACTTTTTTTTCGCACACTCAAATGGGAGTTGTAAGAATTTCATAATATGAACTTACTAAGTTTATCCTTTTGTCAAAATGATAATACAATCTAATGTGAAAAGTCGAAAGTGTCTTGAAAATGTATGTTCCTAGAAGGACGGGTTATATAACAAAATGTAGAATTAACTAGCTCCCTTGAGTTCAGCAATGAAAAAAAAAAAAAAAAAAAAAAAAAGCAGAATTAACTCTTAAAATGGTAGATAACGTGGTGTACAAAAGGTGGGGTAGCAAATATACACACATACATGCATGAGCATATTGTATATGTAATGTATTTTTTTTTATATTTTTTTTTTAAAAAATGGATAATCTGTGTGCATGTAAATTCTTTCTTTTGTGTCGCTTTGTTGAACTGGTGTTCAGTATTTTTACATGGTGTGGTATAGAAGGCTGTTCATAATTTTTTTTTTTTTTTTTTTTTTTTTTTTGGAGTTAATTTTTTGGGTAAGGAACTTACTGATCAGTAAGGTACAGATACTTAGCTAATTCGAGAAAAAAAAAAAAAAAAAAAAAAAGCGTCGAACAATTTATGGAACCAGTAACGACAAGATATGGGGAAAGGGTGGGGGAGCAAAAAAAAAAAAAAAAAAAAAAAAAAAAAAGGTATTTGCCTTTTATAATAATTGTTCAGTGCACTAGGTGGTAAAGTTGAATATGTATCTTACAATCTTGCTATTTCCCTGTTTCGTTATTTTATTTTCTCTTTTTCTGCACTTAAAATTTTTCCCTTTTTTGCAATGTTGTAGCGCCTCTGTTTTTGTTAAGTAGCCTTCTATTGCAAGAGAACTCAAAAAATAAAGTTCAAGGTGGGAGGGGGTGTAGAATGCACGTGAATGTATAAGTACACGTAAGAGATTCACTCCAGGGTGGATCAAGAACGATTTAGAATAACGTAGAGGTGAGGAGGTGAAAAAATTAAAATAAAATAAGGAAGAAGGGGTAAAATACGATACTTTCAAGGTGTGGCAAAGAAAAAAAAAAAAAAAAAAAAGGAATATAATACACACATAACATAGGCATGCTTACACACACGCATATATATTTATATGCCTACCTCAACTGTACTTTTAAAAGCGAACACACGAATTATTCAATAAGTGTATAAGTAATCAGTTTCTCTCTATGTGGGAAGTGAGTCCGGGCTCGGGGATATGGAAGGGAATGTTATTTTGATGTTGTTCGTCGTGGACCCAATTTTTAATCACACAGAAAGTGAGAAATGTTTTTCCAAACGTACGTCAAAATTGTAGGAGCTCAAAAAAGAAAAAAAAAAAAAAAAAAAAGCAGAAAAGGAGAAAAGGAGAAAAGGAGAAGAGAAAAGAAAAGAAAAGAAGACGAGAAAAGGGGAAAAATATTTTTTGCACGTCGCAAAAAGTGTGCCTATATGTCTCGGTGCTTATGTGCCCGTGGGCTTGTTACGCATTTTTGTATCGTTATATATATATATATATATATATATATATATATATATATGCAATATCAATTAGTGCATTTCTTGGGAGGTGAGCCAAAGCTAACAATGTGCTCATTGAAAGACATGGTATCACTTCTTCATTTTTCATTTTTGATTTCTCTTTTTATTTAACCATTCGAACTTTTACCACAAATGTATAGCACTAAATACAGTAGCTAACCAATTTAATACATGCACTGAGATAATTCTCGCATAGTCAGAAAAAAAAAAAAAAAAGCTTTACATGCCCCTAGGGGGGAGATGGATATGCAAAAAGACATAATAGCTTGGTAAGAATTTTTTTTTTTTTTTTTTTTCTCTGCACAAATGTGTAATGATATTTATACGAATTTAATTAATGAACAAGACCCCAAGTGAACGTTTCTTTTCCTTCTATTCCGCTTTTATGGTAGAGTTAGTTGTCTTTACTCTCAAGCTGGCATAAGCAGTTACCTGTGCAGCTAGGCATTATATGTCCCCCTATTAATGCACACACACATCCATTTATGTATGGTATGTATATATGTGTGCATTTTCCCCAATTCCCCTCTCCTCTATCTCTCTATCTCTAAATTCGCCCCTAACCACATTCACAACAATTTTATGCAAACTGTAAACAGCATAACATGTCTGAGGAATGAAATTGTGGATATTTATAATCTTCTTATTCGTCCATTATATATGTATAAACATGTATATAGTATCATCCTTTCGAGTACACAAAAATTTTAGCTAGCTACTTAATTTTTTTTTTTTTTTTTTTTCCCTCCAAAATTTTACCTTGCCGTTCATGCGAAAATATGTTTTCCATTTTTCAAAAATTTGAAATGGAAGTATATTTTATTATGTTATTGATCATGTCCAAAATTTTATACAAAAAAGGTTCTCCCCCCCATGGGTTATGTTTGTTCATGAAAACATGTGAATAAATTCTCTCAAGTATGGTCACTTTTACGGATTATGAAGTGCACGTCGATGATTGGTTAAATCCTCGTGTGTGCGCATGATAAGCGTATTGGCATGCAACCCATAGGTTGTTGTATGAGCACAATATATATATATATATATATGCATACACATATGGACACAAATTCCCAACTCATACGAACCCTGTTTTGAAAAAAAAAAAAAAAAACTCAACGCCATTATGATTAGTAAGTGCCAAATTTCATCGTGGAGAAAAAACGAGCCCTGGTGGAGAATGAGCTAACTTTACACGTATGATGTCAAAATATAATGTGACTCCTCTAGTTGAAAACTTTTTCCCTTTTGGTATCATCCTCTGGAGTCCCCTTCCCCCTCTCTTCACATATTTTTTCTCATGAATTCTTGTAAAATTAGATAACATTTCAATTGGTAAGATAATACCCTCAGTTCAAGTACTTTTTTTTTTTTTTTTTTTTTTTTTTTTTTTTTTGTGTGAACATTTGGCGAATGACCCCAGACGTCTTTGAAAGTTTGAACAGCTGGGGACATCACTGAGAACCTAATGTCCGTTCCTTTGTTCGTCATTAATCCGTTCGGGTGGGGAGGCATATATGTATATATGTGTACATGAGTATATTGTGTGGACACATAGGAATAAACGTAAGTTGTGTATGCACAGAAGTAATCAATACGTCCTTACACGCAGGTACTAGATACTACGGTTAGGATTAACAATAGGATCACCATCTTATTTGTATTCACAAGGAATGATATGTGGTAGTGAATCATTATGATATATTCTTATTTGAGCTTGGTGAAAAAAAAAACTGTTCATACATGTTATGTTTTTGTGACGAATAACACATCTCAAAAAAAAAAAAAAAAAAAAAAAAAAAAAAACGCTCTGGACACATGAACACTGTGAGGCCTGTCCTAAACTGGGTTAGATGAATTGAATCAATTTCAAAAGACGTTCGTGTCGTATCATCCCCTTACAGTTACTAAACTCTCTTCATCCAAAGAAATGGAACCTTCTCAATGTTTCAATCCAGTTGCTTGCACGACAACACACTTAAGTGATGCTTTTCCCCAAATATATATGTAAAAAAGTGCAAGCATTAAGCTTACACACATATAAATGTTATATCCATTGTATGCATCATATGCATTTACACATCAGGGTGCTCCCCCCCACTTTCCCCATTGGTGACCCCATTTTAAGAGGGAAAAAAATTGATGCAAAATTTTATACGAGGAATTAATAAGTTATAACATATAACCAAACGTAGTAAAATTGATATGTGTGATATATGGTTATGCAACTTTTTTTTTTTTTTTCTTTTTTGCTATATAAATTTTACCATTTTATTGGAGCATTTTTTTTTTTTCACAATTTATTCATTTTTTATTACTTCTTCTCGCCGCTTGCCCCCCCACCTTTACTCTTTTTTTTTTTTTTTTTTTTTTTTTTTGTTCTCATCTCCACTTCGACCCTTCCCTTCTCTTCTGCCCTCTCCTCCTTCCCAACGAATTTTGTCAAAATAAAAAGTTGCGAAACGTTCTTCTATATGTATAATGTACATATGTATTTATAATATACCCCTATATGTGTATATGTAACATATTGCGTATAATTTATATGTACATTTTATTACATGTATATATTTATTTTTATTTTATTTTTTTTTTTTTTTAATGATACACAAAAGAGAGTTGGAAAAAAATCCACTTTTGTGTTTTTGACCCCCCCTCCCCCCCCCATTTCCATTTCCATTTTTTTTTTTTTTTTTTTTTTTTTTTTTTCCCTTCCCCCTATTCGTCCCACGCTCTCTCTCACATAATTGAAGTTCATTTGATGAATAATTTTTTTAACAATCTTTGTAGGAACGTGATATATATTTTTTTTATGATTTATCTGTTTATTTATTTGTTATACTAATTTGTTATACTAATTTGTTATACGTATTTGTTATACGTATTTGTTATACTTATTTGATTTACTTATTTGCTGCACTTATTTGCTGCACTTATTTGCTGTACTTATTTGATTTACGTATTTGTTTGACCCCTTTATTTATTTGTGTATGTTATTTTTTTATTTTTTCCCTATTTTTGCCATTTTTGCAAAGTGGCAAATATAAAAAACATCACACAAAACTGCAAAAATTGACAACATCCGTTTTGCAACAGCAGAAGGGGAGAAAGCTGTCTACAAATATCACGACACACTGGAACATTTTCTCCCGATTTGGTTTATTCACAAGTAGACGTGTGAAAACGAGCTGAAGTGGTAACGCAAAAAAAAAGAATGTTGTGGGGAGAAAAAGGATCCAAATTGTTGACGAAAAAAAAAATTGAAAGAGGGAAAAAGAAACATCGTTTCTCCCATCATCAAGTTCGTCCCATCAAACATTGCGCAAACACTACCATTTTTGTAAAGGATCTGAATTTGCAACTTTCTCTTGTGAGAGATTCGTCACAGAAAGATAACAAAAGTAGCAGTCCTGCAATATAGCTAAAGAGAACACAAAAGGACGAATAAAAAAAAAAAAAAAAAAAAAAAAAAAATGAATATCTAGAAATGTCACCACTGCATAATAAAAAGCTGGCTCTAAGTTCCCACCATGGAAAGCCGACCCCTCTGAACTTAAGTAATTCTCTCTTCCTATACTCTGCAATTTGTGAATATGTTTGAATACATGACCTCTCTAGTGTGAGACACGTGCATTCATAGCTTCACCATGGAAAGAAAAAAAAAAAAAAAAAAAAAAAAAAAAACTATAGAACGTACGAGTTATGCCTCACTATAACGTACGAATTATGCCTCACTATAACGTGCAAATTATGCCTCACTATAACGTACGAATTATGCGAAAAAGTGTGTTCTTAACTGCCCCAACGCATGTACCCCCCCCTGCCCCTGCCCCCCGTAGGCACAAACAGCGAACGGCATAATGGGAAACGAAAGGCGATTCGATCGTTTAGGAGTTCTCGAAGCGACACTTGCCCAGATTGTAAAGAAAAAGGAATAATAATTTGTGACAATAGTGAAGGTACACAAGTATGCAATAATTGTGGACTTGTGGTAGAAAGCCGTATCTTATCAGAAGAACAAGAATGGCGAAATTTTCAAAATGATGGGCAACATAAGTCTAATGATAGAAACAGAGTTGGTGAGGTTAGTGATATATGGTTTGAAAATAATTTCACGAGCACCACTTTTATTAGGTCAAGTAAAAAATTGCAACACTTGAATATGATGACTCAAATTAATAAAAGTGACCAGATACTTTTATCTGCCTTTAACATTTTGAAGTTGATTTGTGAAAATTTTTTTCTCCGTAGTAATGTGATTGAGCGGGCTAAGGAGATAACCAAAGAATTGCAGGTAGGTGTATATATATATATATATATATGTATGTATGTATATATATGGGGTTGCATCTACATTGTGAGAGAGACTGTATAAGATTTGGTTCTCGCACGTTTCTGAGCCCATGAGTGAGTCGCACTAATTTTTTCTCCCCCGTAACGTCTAAGCGAAAGTTATCTCTATAAAGCCATGTCTAACTGAAATTTGTCCGAGTCAACTTCACGTCTAACTGAAATTTGTCCGAGTCAACTTCACGTCTAACTGAAATTTATCTGAGTCGACTTCACCTTTAATGGAAATCTCCCTTTCTACCCCACTCACGTATGCACGCCGCTCTCTCGTGCAGGAAATGGAGCAGCTGAAAAACCGAATCAACAATCTGAACATGCTAGCCGTGGTGTACCTAGCATGCAGAGAAGCAGGTCATATCAAAAGCATCAAAGAGTTAATAACATTCGACAGATCGTATAAAGAAACTGATTTAGGAAAAACAATAAATAAATTAAAAAAAATACTTCCATCAAGAGCTTTTGTATATAATGAAAACATTTCTCATTTAATATTTACCTTGTCGAATAGACTACAATTGTCCATAGATGTAATAGAGGCAATTGAATATGTAGTAAAAAAAGCTACCACATTAATAACGACATCTCATCGATTAAATTCCTTGTGTGGTGGCTCGATTCATTTAATAGTTGAATTAAATACAACTGATGAAAAAAATTTGAAACTTCCCAACATTTCACAAATTGCAACTGTTTGTGGTGTTACAACGAATACTTTAAAAACAACCTTTAAGGAATTATTGAATGCAGCTGATTATATTTTACCACCATATTATTTGACAGGAAATAATTCTAAATTGGGCATGCTGAAGGAAAAGTATTTGAGTGATGACAGACGCAGAAAGGCAAAGTCATAAATCTATATCATTCTTTTCTTCAATCACTTTTATTTTAAAACAATTTTTTAGGAAATCCTCAATTCCTGGAAAAATCTCCAGCCCCCCGACGTTGTAACTTGTGGATTTTCCACTCCCTGTGGCTAAAAGGGGGGGGGGGAGAAACCCTAAACCCTAAACCCTAAACCCTAAACCCTGAACCCTAAACCCTGAACCCTAAACCCTGAACCCTAAACCCTAAACCCTAAACCCTGAACACAGGAAAAATTCCTACATCTGATTGCCCACTGCTCAAGGCCTCCTACCGATGGCCCCACTGTTCATCCTTTTGAAATTCTCCCCCCACCCCCCAGGCATGACCCCAACTGACATATACGGGGAAAGGGATATCAAGTGTCTGTACCCATATTACTCTCCCTTCGTAGTGACATCTCTCGTTTTCTACCAATATATCATCTTTACACGTTCGTATAAATAATTATGTACACCAGGATGTTCTCTTATCGTGCAGAGACTCATTTTAATAGGTTTGTTAAGTATCGAGAGTGTGAAGAAGTGAAAATAACTCGATGGAAAAAAAAAAAAAAGTACAGAACTTGTTTTTACCTTTTTTTTTTTTTTTTTTATTATTATATCATATACACCCGCACCCCCTTTGAATGAATAAAAGTCGACTTTTTTTTTTTTTTTTTTTTTTTTTCCTTTTTGTAACGAAAAATTTACCATTTGAGAATAGCTTCAAAATTTTGGTTTTAATTTAAGTTTTAGTAGAGAGAAGGAGAAAGAAAAAAAATGCTTCCTAATCTACAGAAAAAAAAAAAAAAGGTACCGTACAAAAAAAAAAAAAAAAAAAAAAAAAAAAAAAAAAAAAAAAAAAAAAAAAAAAAAAAAAGCAAGAAAAGTTAAATGCAGAAAACGGGATTGCGGAGTGAGGAATAAAAAGGGATCGTGATTCGAATTTCTTTTTTTACATGCACGTGTACAGGTAAATTTTGTCTTTACCTCCGATCTATCACTATAGACAAGCACATACGATAAAAACAAAACTGACGTACAAACGTAAAGCCATTTTGTGCCATGGTTAGTGTACACTATTTCATATCGAGTATGTTGTGGATATAATTAAGGAGGAATGGGAGATCTGATGGTGAATGCTTAATAGAGGGTGAAAGTATAAAAGAAGTAGTAAACACAGTCACTTTTGTATTTGATCAGATTTTTCCCCAGGAGAGTATCCATGATTTGATGATGTGAATATTTTTTTCATACTGTTGCATGTCATTATTTTCCAATTCATGAAATATAGATGGGTCATCGAAATATGTCAAAATGTCTTCCTTTATGACTTGAAATATTTCACATTCGACATTATTTTTAATTTTTTCCTTTGTGTAATTCCTTTTTTCTAATCGTTCATATAACTTATTTGTGGATATTGTTAATAAAAAAATATGATCAATTAATTGTTTTTTGTCTATAAATTCAACATCATGGAAATCTATTATATATCCCCCGTTTTCCATTTTTAATTTTTCCAATTTTTCATTTACCATTTCGTTGCTATAAATGCTTGCATCTAATTGGTCATCAAATTCTTCGTACAACCTTTCTTCTTTTATCACTTTCGACAGGTTCAGGTGAGTCATTTGACTAGCTGATTCAAACTTTTGGTTTTCTCTTAATTCTTTGTTTATTATTTCTACTAACTCTTCACATAGAGTTGTCTTCCCAACACCAGGAACACCTGTCACGATAATGTTGGGTAAGTTCTTCATCATTCAATAGAGAAAACTTGTGTGTAATGGGATGCGTCTTCTGTTTTGTTCTCTTTTACCTCCTTCTAAAACTTGTATTTATAACCCTTTTTTTTTTTTTAAGTTAGGTCTCGTTTCACACACAATCAATACATCCGAAAAAGCACATACTTTTGGTGTGTTTTATATTGTTTTCTCAGTTGTTCCATCGATTTGAACTCTCCTCCTTGCAGTGGCATATCGCGTTGGCCTTCTGCCTTGCCTCGATTTTCGCTGATTTTCGCTGATTTTCGCTGATTTTTGCTGATTTTTGCTGATTTTCGCTGATTTTTGCTGATTTTTGCTGATTTTTGCTGATTTTTAAATTTGTTGCACTAAGCTGGTCGCAGCAAACTAGTTGTTGTTTCTATTTTTTCAAGAAGGATTACGGGTGGAAAAAAATTAGGTCAGAAAAAAAGGAAAAAAAAAATTACATGCATACGTGCATATATATATATTCACCCATGTATGTATTTATCGCATTAAACACTTGCGCCTCTTTTTTTTTTTTTTTTTTTTAAAAACTGAAAAAAAATGAAAACAATTAAAAAAACAGCTTTTTTTTCCCCCCCTCCTATGTACCAGTAGTTAGGGCGTGATCAGTTCCCGCTCTGAACATTTGCACGTTTCTCTTCAAAAAAGGTGCAGAAACGGTTTGTAAGCGGTTTGAAAATGGATTGAAAAAGTCTTGAAAATGGATTGAAAATGGCTTGAAAATGGCTTGAAAATGGATTGAAAATGGATTGAAAATGGCTTGTGAACGGTTTAAAAACTACTCATAAACGACGCAGAAAGAACGTCGAAGCAGGCCTCAACAAAAACCAACACACCATTAACAGAACTAGAGTTGTGAATGCAAAACAAAAACATGTGCAAAAGGCAGGTCTGTCATGATGCATATGGAGAGGAGTAGTAAAAGCAGGGTCTTGCCACGTCTCCCCCAATCCCTTTTTTTTTTTTTTTTTTTTTTTTTTTACTGCGTGGATCCATTTCGAAGACTACATCAATTGGAGGCTTATTTATTTTATACTAATTTCATGTTCCTTTTTATATCCATTTAGAAAGACATTTGCTCTTATGGTTTTCCCCTTAAAATGGTGAACCCATATTCCATTGTTTCGTCTCATTTCTTCTTTCTGGTGGGATTAGGGAGAGAGCCCCTCCTCGGATAGAAGCAAAGATCACATCTTCAACAGTGTGCACGTATCAAGCATTTTAAGTTGACCCTTGATATTATTAATTTGTTCTTCTTTTTGACTAATTATTGTAGATGATAACTCAAAATATTCCTGTAAACATTTCATTTAAAAGTTCATGTTTTTGATGATATGCATTTCTCCTTTTTTTTTTTTTTTTTTTTTTTTGTTGTTGTTGTCTTTCTTGAAGTGAACATATGTACTACAATTGAAAGAATCATTTTCTGATTTCACGACTAGCCACTTATACAAAAGTATATCCATTTTTTTTTTTTTTTTTTTTTTTTTTTTTTTTTTTTTTCTCGGAATTACCTGAAGTTCCTCCTTTTCCTGTAACAAAACCTTGTTTGTGTAGAATAAGTACAAGAAGTTCTTTGTCTTTTCATCTTTTATCTTGAGGGAAAGTTCTTTTAGTAGTTCATTGGTTTTAAGAATGTTATATTGGAAATCTCTATCCATCTTGTTTTTCTGTGGAAAGGGAATCCATGTGCTGTCAAATATTGGGATAAAAATTGCTATTGTGGAAATGATCCATGTAGTAAAACCATGTTTACAAATCCTTGGTGGCTATTCCTCCCGGGAGAACACTCAGTAAATACGAATGAACATAAGCAATCAAGAAATTACCTTTTCTTGAATCTCTTGAATATTTTCCTGGGAAAATCTATCCGCTTTAATTTTCTTATTCTCAATCAACTCCCTCTCAACACTCAGAATTGCTGATTTGATTTTTNNCCCCCTCTCATTTAGCACCTTCATGAGGAGAAGAAAAGGAAAGAGATCAAAGAGGAAAAAGAAAAATGAAATCAAAAAAAAAAAAAAAAATATCAAATAATGAATAGTACAATGGAAAAAAAAAAAAAAAAAAAAAAAAACGATTCATAAGAATGACTAAAAACGGGGTCGAAGAATTGACATGTTGTGAAGGGCGGAGGCAACTCGTGGATAACATTTCCTCCTTGATGCGGATTATTGTGTTTTATATAGACGTGTTGTGGGTTCTATCTAGACGAGTTGCGGGTTCTATCTAGATGCGATATTGACTGTCCCCTAGATGCAGTGCGGATGTCAGCAGAAACGCCCACCAAAGGGGAAATATGAAAAAATGGAAGTGTGCAAAAATGAAAAAAAAAAAAAAACGACTTGCTATATTACTTTGGTTAATTCGTTTTTCCATTTATCAAAATCTTCTTGGTTTTCTTTGTCCACTGTGCTTTCCTGTGGGGAAAAAAGTTGTGTTTAATTCGGCTTGTTAAAATGAAAATGGGTTCTTAAAAGGTGCAACATGTTTTGAGTCTTTACGGTAGATGCAAAATGTGATATGTAGGAAGAACCGACATTTTGTCAAGTGCATACTATTTCTCTACACGGCAAAACAGAATGGTGCAGCAAAGTGGCAAAACAAGCATCGCTTAACCACGGCACCTCTCAATCTAAACCTTCAACTGATCGTACTTCTTCTTCAAGTCATCAAGTTTCTTCTTAATTTGATCATGGTTGACATCATTGTTGTGCATCATGGCCTTGAACCCATCGATCTGACGCTTGTACTCCTCATTGAGAATGCGTAAATTCTGAGAAACTTGGAAATATTCCTGTAGCTTCTCGTGGAACTTTTTATTATCAATGAAGAGTTTCTCATTCACAGTTTTTAAATCGGACAGCTGTTGTTTGCATCTGGCTAATTCTTCTTCCTGTTGCGAACATTGTTCAATATGTGTACTGCATCTTTCTTTCTGTGCACTGCTGTTTTCTATCTGGGAACTGCTACTTTCTATGTGTGCATTTTTGTCCGTGTTTGAAAATTCTGCTGAAGCTGTTGGAGGAAACACTTCTTGCAATTCTCCAGTTTCATACATTCGAAGACGTTGATTTTCTTTTTTCAAAACGCAGATTATGTTTATGAGTTCCTCTTTGGAATAATTTTTCTCGTAGTCTTTCAATTGTTCATAATAATCATAATTTGTAGAAGTAGTACTCATGTATTCATTTGCCTTTTCCTTCTCGTTGAGTTGTTCTTTTAAAAGTTCGATTTCATTTTTTAATTTTTCTATAACATCAATGTACATGGTAAGATGTTGTTTCACAACAACTACGTTAGATGTAACTATATTTTTAATATTTTTTGCTCGATTTGCATATTTCAATGTGTTATGCGTATCTTCATATGATAGATGCGATGGACTTATATTAGCAATCATCACAGTTTTGCAGTTTCCTCCAAGAGAATCTTTTAATAATCTTGTAAGTTTACTGTCTCTAAATGGAATGAAATTTGATTTACTTGTTCCTTTGCTTCTTGAGACTAATGCATTAATGACATTTCCCAATGCTAGTAATGATCGATTAATATTCGCTCCTTCTAACAGTCTCATTCCTTTATTATTTGTTTGGCTAGCTCTTTCACTTCCTGCTAGATCGATTACACATAATTTTCCTCTTTTTGTGTGTTGATATATACCTTGTCCTTTTTCTGTTTCTTCTACAATTACTTGTAGAACTCCATGACTTCTAGAACTCGTTTTGTTTGCATCTGTGGGTTCTTGGGTTCTGTTTTTATTCCCTGTATGTATTAATTCCATAATTTCTTCTACAGATGTAGTGCACACTTCAAAAATGTTAGATACAGTTACTCCTTTAATTGGATCTTCTCTTACATCTAGATATTCATCTGATGGGTTCAATAAATCACAAATATTTTCATTATATATTTCGATAAAAGAACATTTTACTTTGTATTCATTCATAACTTGCATTTTTTTAATCCTTTCAAATAAGTCTATTAATATCATGTTCATAATTCCAGGTTCATTCTTGTGTCCTATGATTGTGTGCGTTTTTCCTGCACCCGTAGCCCCATATGCAAAAACTGTAGAATTATATCCATTTATAACTGCATCTATTAAACATTTTACACTATTATTGTATACGTCTTCTTGAGAACTACTTTCATCGAATACATAATCGAACACATATTTTTTTTCTCTGCTTCTATTTTGTCTCAATACATTATCTGAGTTATCTGAGGGGTCCAGCAGTACTATCATTTTGTTGTCTAAAATCTTTATTACATTTTTTGCTCCTTCATTTTTTTCGCTAGCACTCATTGGTCTGCATCTAATAACTACGTTCATGTTGTATGTGATGTCTTTTTCTCCTGAACCGATTTTCTCACTTTTGTTGTTCTGTTTTGCACAAATCGGAACATTCTGGTGAGTTGGAGAACCAGCATTATGTCCGCTATTCGGGTGAACACAACCAAGCTGGATCCCTGTGTTTGTGCATGTAGAAGTGGCAGAAGTAGAAGCAGTAGTAGCAGAAGCAGCAGAAGTAGTAGCACTAGCCGGTGAGCCAAATTTCCCATCCGATTTGATTCCTCCATTAGAACCTCCCACACTATTTCGCTTGGCCACTTTTGGCGTTTTTGTACCTTCACTTGGTACCTTATTCTTAATTTTCACAATTTTCGACACATTCATTATTGCTTTGTTAGAGGCTCCCCTGCCCATATTTCTTGGTGATTTTATTTTCATCATTGTGTGTATTCCTTTTCCAACTTCCGCTTTCGTTTGTTCATTCTTTAATGATATTTTCACATTGGCTACCTCATCTTCCTTCGAGAACCCATGATTCTGTGAGTTGACAGATTTTCTAAGGTTCAGTTTCGTTAATTTGGTTCTAGTTTGTGGCACCAGGGGAGAATCAGGAGTTAGGGATGACCCCTTCAAGGCCCCTACATCGGTGGGTATCCCCTTCGGAAGTCCTACATCTGTATGGGATTCCTTCTGAACTTCTGCATCTGTATGGGATTCCTTCTGAACTTCTACATCTGTATGAGACTCCACCTGAACTTCTGCATCTGTATGGGACTCCTTCTGAACTTCTACATCTGTATGGGACTCCTTCTGAACTTCTACATCTGTATGAGACTCCACCTGAACTTCTGCATCTGTATGGGACTCCTTCTGAACTTCTGCATCTGTATGGGACTTCATCTGAACTTCTGCATCTGCGTGGAGCTGATAAGAACAAGCTTCGTCTAAACCTATGTGCTTAGATTGAACAATTGTGTAATCCATAATGGGAAAGGATTCACTTGATGAATTCCACTTTTTTAAGTCTATAGATGCATATGTGAGATTTGGAGTGCATGGGTTGCTATCTGCGCCAAAATATCCACTTTCTACATCTATTCCGGTAGAACACATTTCATTAGAACCCAATTCTTTACCATTCATACTTGTTCTGCTCAAGTACATCAAATTATTTTCAATGTCACAAAAGCTCCTTTTCATCATTTCCCATTGATTGGATGATATACAACTGCTGTCACCTCTTCTAAGATTGAGAGGACTAATCTCACTGATAGAATACTTTTTACTTTGCATATCTTCCTCAAGTTGTTTTATTTGATTTTCTTCTTTACTTACATCATCCTGTATAGGTATTTTACTTTCATCTACACTGTTCGTTTGTGTAATCCAATCGTTTGGATGTACGAACCCATCATTATTCCCTTCATTATTCACTTTTGTGTGTATGTTTTTTTCCTTTTCTGTGTCGTTTATTACTGTATGAGGAGGGGTACGTACGAAATTTTTTTCGTCTTTGTGTGAGGTTCCTTTATGGCTAGAATCTTCATAGAATTCACTCAGCGATTCTAAATTTTTAGTAGATGCAAGTTCGGAATAAATTTTTGATAAATTTTGCTGAAAATTTGTATCCTTAGTAGATGATATAGATTGCATAGAATCATTAAACTGTTTTATGTTTTTCATTAATTCGTTGACTGCATTTATTTTCTCCTCTTCCCTCGTGTTGCTCACTTGGGTGTTCGAACGGGAGGAAGCGCTCTGGTTGGCATTGGTGCTAGCGTTTGCTCTTGCATCTGAGTTTGTGTTCGGGTATGGGTTCTGGTTCGGGTTCGAATTTGGGTTCGAATTTAGGCTTTGGTTCGGACTGTGGTTCTCGTACACGTGTGGGGAGCCATACCTTTCCTCCCTTTTATACACAGGAGATAGCATCCTCTCATCATAACACTTCGTGTAGCTATCCGCATCAAGAACATGCAGGATGGAATCATTAGCAACTTCATTAATGTTGTTAATACATATTTTGATCACCCCATCGTTTTGGAGATCCTTGTTGGGGTACCCATCATGGACTTGATCATAGCAAATGTCTAAATCTGTGTGAATTTTTATGCCATTGGAAGGGTTGTGTGTCTTGGCAGAGCTGCATATCTTGTTAGAGCTGCTTATCTTGTCAGAGCTGCTTATCTTGTCAGAGCTGCTTATCTTGTCAGAGCTGCATAGCTTGTCAGAGTTGCATGTTTTGATATGATCTCTTTCCAGTTCAATCTCTTCGTTGACACTTAGAAAAAGGTTCCCCCTCACTTGGCATTCCCTTGTGGATATGTCTGATGAGGAGAGGTATCGTCCAGCAGTTATTTCCTCCTTTTCGTTTTCACTTTCAGTTGTTCTATTTGATATACATATATTTTGAGTCTCTTTAGGGGTGAGAAGAAAACCTCCATTATTCGTTGTGTTACTAATGGTGTTGATATCTTTTGAGAACCAATCATTTTCTTCCATAGAATCCGATCTCTTGTCATATGCATTATTCATTTTTTTTTTTTTTTTTTATTTTCCTCCGTACTTGTGAGTTATGTCTGAGTTTAAAATGTAAACACATTAATTGGTTCGACAGTTAATGTGTAATTTGGTGAGTCATTTGGATGGAACATCACACGGGTAGACTTCCACACGTAGGAGAAGTGAGTGACAAAGTGAGTGATGGAGTGAATACTGGCTTGCTCTGAACCGTTAACATGCACAAAAAAGTGTCTTGTATTGTGGAAAAACCTCAGCAGAAGTGCTGAAGTTAGAGAATGTGCGCGATTTTGTTGAGATGAATTTAAAGTTAAGCTTTTTCTATGGAGATGCTACATACGTATACATACTTACATGCATATATGTGAAGGATCCACAGTAACCGCTTCTATTTAACACAGATCAATCTATTTTTTTTTTTCCTTCTCTGCATGCATGTACGTGGAATGAAGAATCTTACGTGGTAGTTCTGCAGAAGTATAGCAAATATTCCCTTTTCTAACTCATAATTATTTTGCATGTCGTATTCAGTGAGAAACAATCTTAGCATTTTCAGACAAAGAAAATAAACTTAACTAGGAGAGGAAGAAAAAGATGAATCGTTAGCTAACATTCCATAAACATAAAAAGGAGAAGAGGAAAATTTTAAGCATCTAATTGTAGTCAAATGTTAAAAAAAAAAAAAAAAAAAAAAAAAAAAAAAAAAAAAAGAGTATACGCTTGTGTACACAAGTGTATAAACGTACAGTGACATTGGTTTTTCTCTTTTTTTTTTTTTTTTTTTTTTTTTTCCCCTCATTCGAAACTGTTTTAAAGCTAATCCTTTCTGTGAAGGAATTAATCTTGTCGAATGGATGAAGTATTCTTTTTTTTTTTTTTTTATTTATTTTTTTACTTTTTGAGAAAACTGTGCGAAATATTTAAAAAAAAAAAAAAAAAAAAAAAGGGAGCAGTGTGTAAAAGTAGTAGCTTGTCTAAAGAGGTGACAATTAAATATGCTTCTACCTTCACGCGAAGACAAGTGAGATATAAAGAAAAAATGAGAATAATTTCAAATTACGGATTTTATCAAATGTTTATACTGACCAATATGTCAAGTACATGAGAATAACGTTTTCCTACTTAGCCCACTCTCTTTATCGCATATATATATGCACAAATTGAGAAAGGGGAAAAAAAAAAAAAAAAAAAAAAAAAACCTAAACACCCACAATTATGCATGCACACTTGTACATGTGCCATATAGGGATATATGTGTATCGGGATAATTCACCCATATTTTTTTTTCTTTTTTAAATAATTTATATATGAATAATTTAGTAGTGGATCGGAGAGTTCTATTTCCTAAATGCACAAGTTCATTCGTATCTTTTGTTTTTCACTTTTTTCTTTAAGAGAGAAAATATGAACACACATATGACGTGCATTCCTTGTGCATTTTGTAAAATCGGGAAGAAATAATAAAAAAAAAAAAAAAAAAAATAGCACTTTTAAAAAAGGACAATTTTGAGGTCCATTTTTTTATTACCAAAAATAGCTTAACATTATTTCCGGGAGACTTGAACAACGAAATATATATATATATATATATATATATATATATATCTCTTCCCCCATCGCGTGTGTTCACTTAAATGGATGAAGTGGACGAGTGGACGAAATGAACTCGTCGAAAATATGCGAAAGGGGTGAGGGTATGATGTTGTTTAAAATTGTTAGCAAATGGAAGGAGACATTTTATTGCTACACCATGTAAGCACAGTTGAACGGTTCCTCCTATTTTGTTTTATGTGATTCGATTAGTTCCACAATTTTTGTTGCTTCTTCATTTGTTTTTTTTTTTTTTTTTTTTTTTTTTTTTTTCTCTCCTCGACCCGCATGATCCAAATGTTATTTCCGTTCAAGGCTATCTCTATAGGTCTCAAGTTCTTCAAATCGTAAATCTTTTACTTTCATCACACGGCCAAAGCTGACAAAAAAAAAAAAAAAAAAAAAAAAAATGGGAAAAAAAAAAAAAGAGACATGTGCAGAGTGTACCCTCGAAACGATTTTATACAAACGTTGCACGCTGCCTGCGCCATTCGGCAGAAGTTCGTAGCACACACAACCACTTTGCACTTCTTCCTTTTGCACATCTGCCGTTTGCGCATCTGCTTTTTTCGCTTCTCCCTTTTGCACCATTTTGAACAAACCTCTGCAAGGGACACCGGGGCTGAATGGTCATGCCGTGGAAATGCCTCCACATCTGTGGACAAGCATCTTCCATTTTTTCGATGTGATTAGCTGTTATCTTGTTCTGCCAAGGGGATATGCACGTGGAATGGGGTGAGAGTATGAAACCGGTGCTAGGGGAGAGACATGCACCAAAAAAAAAAAAAAAAAATGTGCTAAAAATAGCGTGAAACAAAAAGTAAGCTCCATTTTCTCACAAACTACAGATTGTGATGTAACACTGATGAGACACAACAACAGACATGCATACACAGCTGCAGGTGGCCAATCTAACGGGATCGACCACTCCATTAAGTTCCCTAGAATTACCTTGCACAGGTAACAGACCTTACTGTTTTTATACTTAACGATGTACTGATTCATGAATAAATCAAAAGTGTTCCAAGTTTTATTCAGTTTCGTAATTCTGTGTTCCCCCATTATGTCCCTACCAAACCATACACATGCTCACGCGCATACATAAGTCCATACATCCATACATACATCCATACATACGCATACATACATCCATACATACATCCATACATACACACACACACACGCGCACTCTTGAATCTTCCAATCCAGTGGGGAGGGGTAAGCAACTTTGTATTTTCACCACAAAAAAATTAAAAACAATAAATGGGCAAAAGCAAGAGATCTCCTACCACCACCTTAAGAAAAGCACCAAATTGAGAGAATAAAAAAGAAACATAAGATATAGGAATATGATTCATATAAAAGGTTCAAATTTGTGCTATTATTAAAGTTCAGAATAATTATATATAATTCAAACATATCATTCGTATAAGCATGTACACCGATAAGATTTTTTTTTTTTTTTTCTTTTCTGATTCCCGCTAAAAGGAGTTCTCTCTCTATATTAATCCAACGAACTTATAAAAAAAAAAAAAAAAAAAAAATGCAAATCCATGTTGTCAACCACCCACCTGCCTTTGGATCCTTTGTAAGAGTAAATGTCAATTTTGTTCATATTCCAAGGGTGAAGTCCTAATTGTGGTAATTTTAACAAGTGTGTAGAGAAATTGTGGAAGAGATGATTTTTCAACCCAACTTGAAAAGTTTTTTTTTTTTTTTTTTCCCTCCCCTCCTTGCAGTATTCATAAGAGTATGTGCAGTGAACGATGTGTGAAATATAAATGTGTAGAAGAAGGCATAATAAAAGGAGCAGTAATGTAATGTGTTATAAAATAAGATGAAAATTACACAATGATACTATAATTGTGTAAAAAACATATTTAAATATATCCCCACGCATATCTCTCAGGAAGAGAATATATCTTTCGTGGTGTTTTTGAAAAGGTCCTAAATTGCTTTTATAAGCGGTAGAAGCGTGAAACAAAAAAAAAAAAAAAAAAAAAAAAAAAAGAGGAGGTAATATAATGTGGTGTTATCTTTGCACTGTTGAAAAGTAAGCATATGTTAATTGCTTAATGAGATAATTGCATATGATTGGGAAGAGATGATGCTTCGTTGTTTTTCTACACATAACGGTGTAACTTTTTATATCGTCTATTTTTCGTTTTTGCCACCACCATTTTTTTTTTTTTTTTTTCTTTTTTTTGCACGTTTTCTTCACATTTCAGATCCCCTGGAAGATGTAAAAGTTTAGGGGTTGGAGAACTGCATTGCATCTCTCCTCAATGTTTTTGTAACGCCCCTTGGTTTTGACATATTTTCCTGAGAAGTAAATTTTCGTTTGTTTGTTAATGGTAAGATCCATATATTTTTTTTCAACTTGGATGAGATCAGTAATGGTATGAGCAGAAGTACTATTGTTATGCAAAATTTTGGTTTTTAATATTTTTTGTTCACTTTTCAGATTTTCCAATGATTTAAGCAAAGGTGTGTCTTCACTTTTTCCATGTTGTGCTGTTATTAAATCTCCTTTTGTGTTCATTTTAGAATGTGTAGTATTATTTTTTATTTCTTCATTTTGGAAATACGTATAAAAAGCTTTTTTATAGCCACTATTATATGCAATTAAAATGATATCTGTTAGAGATTTTTCAAAATTTGGAGTGTAATTAATTTCAAACGTTTTTTTGTTAATCTTAGTTGAGGAGGAAGCCTTAATAATTTCCATATGATTTGTATGTTTTTTTTTATCTTCATAGTGTATCGAATGGTTATTAATCCATTTTTTTAATTCATTTAATTTTTCACACACAGTATTTGTGAGAAAAGATTCCAAACTTTTGAAATTAAAAGAGTTCGTTAGTGAGGACACACTCATTGTTGGTTTATTCATTTGTTGAAGTTGTTGTCTATACCCGCTGATTTTCTTCTCTGCATACAGTAGCAGATCATCTACACATGGGTCGAAAATGTATGTCTTCTCAGCATGCCACGAGCTGGTTCCACTTCCAAACCCATGTCCAATTTCACTTCTAACTCCACTTCCAACTCCACTTCCAAACCCACTTCCGTTTGCACTCGCTCCAGGAAGACGCATCTGATTTTGATGAGATCCTCCTCCAAAGGGTTGTGTGAGGAATGTTGAAGATGGGAGAGAAATGTTAGTGAAGGAAATATTAAACAAAGTCATCATATGCAATAATTTTAAGGCGAATAATTTAATTTTGCTGACATTATTAAAGTTATATGGAACTAGGATATACTTGGGAATATCTAATTCTTTGTAATAATTAACATTCCCCCAGAGATGAACATTTTTGTAAAAAAATTCGTTCATATAGAAAAATGAAAAAATATAATTAATCATTTCGAAGAAAAAATGTTTTGAATATACATATTTATATGTTATAACCCCAAATTCGTCTTTTATAAAATTATCTTTAATTTGTTTCATGCTCATTTGTTTAGTTCTGCTAAAATTGGTATGACTATTGTGCATTAATATGTACTGCACATGTGAATTCATATTAAGATGAATTATTAAAATGTACAGAAACACAGCAAAGAATAATGTTTTCTGTAAAGAGTAATTCAAAATCTGCTTTTGTTTATATTCAATTGTATCACAAAAGGTTAAGAAATCAAGACAATAACTAAGTTTGCAGAAATCGAAATCATTAAATGAGATGTTCATCAAATTGTCATAAATGTAGTAATAAGACTGCAGGTAGTTGTATTCATTCGATAAATTGAGATAAAAAAAATTATGGCACTCTTTTAACAATCCCTTTATCATCTTTTTATTTTTATTTTTTACATATATCAGGTTTAATAATTCTATGTAGTTATTGTTTGCGTCCTTGTAAAACAAGTACTCATTGAGAAGGTCTATTCCAATGGTAACCACTTTTCTCTTTTTTTTAATTCCTTTGTGAGATGTCTCCTCCTGAACATTTCTCAGGTTATCAATTTCGCATGTTCTGATGTGCGTATTATGAACAACACTCTTTGCATTGTTACCTTCTGAGGTGGTGGAGACCCCACTACCTATGCTCAGAAAATAAATGGTGTTCAAAATGGATCGTATATCTCCTTTGCATATATCTATCAACTTATTAACAGTTTCGTTAGTTATGGAAATAGATTCCTGATTGCAAATAAAATTGATACGTCCCTTCAAAACTTCAGTATTAACATTGTCCACAATTATAACCTTACTTATCTTTCGAAGTTCCTTAAGACTCTTATGATATATGTCATTGCATATGCATATAATTGGTCTTTTAATGATACTTTTATTTTTTTTGTCTTTTTTGCTTAAAAATTTCATAACTGCATCTATATTCTGTTGTGTGTTTGTTAATCCATCTATTTCATCAATGATACATATATTAGGTTTGGACCCGATTGAATTGTTACATACTATGGATTCTATAAATGGAATTAATGTCTCTTTGTTTCTATCATCACTTCCATTTATTTCTATCACATTAAATTTAAAATGATTTGCAATAACATATGCTAGTGTTGTTTTTCCTTTTCCTGCTGGTCCTCCCAGTAGTAGTATACGTTGAAAATCACTATTCTTCTTTGCTTCCCCTTCTTCTGCATTTTTATCGTTACCTTGAATTGATTCTGCTTTGCTTGGTCCTTTCTGTATTATTTCATTCCACTGCTTTAGCCATAATAGCACTTCTCGATTGATTGATTCGTCTGTCAGTAATTCTGAGAAGTACTTCGCCCTGTACTTTTCAACAAAGTTTACGCACTTGGTCGGCTTCGTAAAGTTTTCTTTCTTGCCTTTTGCCTCGTTCCCTGGGTTCTGCTCCGTTTGGTTAGTCAGACCCTGCTTCTGCTCCTGCTTCTGCTCCTGCTTCTGCTCCTGCTTCTGCTCCTCCTCCCTAATTTCCCGTATTACTTTCTCGAGCGTTTTTCTGAACCCTTCGTTGTTTCGTCTTAAAAAGCAGCTGTTGATCCCATCCGATCCAATTTTCTGATTCCCCTTCTCATTATTCACATTTCTGTTGTACATTCCTCCCACCTCCTGACGAGACTCATCCTCCAACTTTTTCACGTACATGGGTGGATAGATATCATTGCAATCGTATATCTTGATGAAATCATCGAGGTCTTCATTACTGTTAATGAGTTTCTTATTTTCCTTTATGCATCTAATTTCACATTCTTCTTTTTTAAAAAATATATCATCTGATGTTAAATTGTTCTTATAAACATATTCCCTCATAAAATGATAATCGTTAAAAATGTAATGGTTATGAAATTCTCGATCAAATAAAGAAAAACCAGTTCTGTTATCTTGTGCATTGTTATCAGGATATACATTAGCAGAAGACACCCCATTCTTTTCTATGTGAACATTTTTTTTCTTCTTTTTCTTTTTATTAAACAGCAATTCATATTCATCATAAACATCGAATTTTCTTTTATCTCCTGTGTTTTTTGTTTCCTTTTCAATTTCTTCAATTAGGACCTTATCGAGTCCGTTCAGTTCATCAATTCCGTTCACACCGTAGAAGTTCATTTGTGGTTACATGGAGAAAAGTGAAATCAAATCTGGGAAATGAGGTAAATAAAATTTTAACAAAACTGCTGTGTTTACACGTTTCAAATGTTGTGTCTCTTTGTGAAAATACTTAAGCTGAATGTCTTTTTCCTGTATTGTTCTTAACTTGTGGGTGGGTGGGGAGGTATGAAACTAGCCTTATGCAACCATCCGTGTGATCATATAACGAGGAATAAGTGACCCCAGTGATGAGGATAAGGTTTCTTCGAAGTGCTTCGTCCCACTCGTTTGCTTTTCTTCACGTTTTAGAAAAAGTGCAAAATATGTATATACTACACGTGGGGGGAGGGGTAGGAAACCGGCACAGTTAATTACCACAGGCGCTCCGTTCGTTTGTTAAGCTATTTCTCTGCCCGTTTGGTGCCTTGTTTTGTGCCTTGTTTGATGGCCCGTTTGCTTTTTCCAGTTTTTGCACTCCAATTTGGCGCTCCCTTGTAAATCCTATCAAATTTTTAGTCACCCCACATTTCGATCTCTCCTTAGCGGTCTCTCCTGTACGTTTCACCTTGCTGGCATTAAACGTGCAGGAAGGATTCGCGTAGTCTCTAACTCTGTTCGTGTTTGTCTTTCGCTATGTCCTTTCCAAAGAAGAGAAGCAGTGGGGTGGGTGTGTTAAATCGCTGAAGTGTGAAGGGGAAAATGTCACTTCTAAAAAGGGTATACCTCAAAAAAGGGTACCTCAAAAAATGGTAATTCAAAAAAGGTAATTCAAAAAATGTCTCTTCTTTAATTATTCCGTTTTGCAACCTGCATGCCTCTCCAAAAAAGGGACCGCAGCAGGAGAAAATTTACCCAATTGGCTCAATTTTGCGTCATAACAATATGCATTCATCAAGCGTTTTTTTTTTTTTTTTTTTTTTTTTTTTCCTATTTTGCACGCACGCCCGGGTGTGTGTACACTGCAGAAAAAACATATTTCGACATTTCATTTATCCGTTTAAGTGTTACTAAAAAATGTTTAGCATAATAAACAATACACCGCAAAAAAAAAAAAAAAAAAAAAAAAATGTGCGGAATAAATATGCAGAAATAAAAAGAAGAAAAAAGGGCTACATTTTGGAACGCATTTATCATGGAGAATACAGACTTTTCTTTTGTTTTTTCTATGATTTTGCTTGAGTGAAAAAAAAAAAAAAAAAAAAAAAAAAAAAAATGAATAGCGGTAGAATAAGGTAGGGTTTCCTTCTATGGGCAGTTGTAGTTGAGATTTGTTTTGCTGATGTCGATATGTCCATTTATATGTAAGGTGATAAAAATGGGATTGGGGGGGGAGGGGGAGATATGGGCTCAGTGCTACATGCTTTTGTGTGTATGTGTGTGTGTACATACATGTGCGTTTAGAAGTGTCTGAATGTTCATGCAAAAGTGACCGAATGTTCATGCAAAAGTGACCGAATGTTCATGCAAAAGTGACCGAATGTTCATACAAAAGTGACCGAATGTTCATGCAACAGTGACCGAATGTTCATACAAAAGTGACCGAATGTTCATGCAACAGTGACCGAATGTTCATGCAACAGTGACCGAATGTTCATGTGAACAAACTTATGTGTGCATATATTGGGACTTGAAAAAAAAACATAACAAAGGAACCATCAAACGAGCTAATAAAGGGTTGACTAGGAAGATCAGTGAATGGATCTAATTAGACAAAAATCAAAAGGGTAGGTCTAGTCATCATTTACACAGGGGATGAGAAAAAATAAGTATTATATCTCTGTTGAAAAGTAATGCCAAAAAAAAAAAAAAAAAAAAAAAAAAAAAAAAACAATAAAAAGTAATAAAAAGTAATAAATAATGAATAATTAATAATGAGTAATGAATAAACTTAAATAAAAAATATAAATTGGAAAAACATGAAACGCATATGAATCGTGTATACACTTCCCAACTGAATACATTTTTAATTAAAACTTTTGAAGAAAAAGGGAGCAAATATATATAAGGACAAAACAGTGAATTGGCTTAATTTTTTTACTCTTTTTTTTTTTTTTTTTTTTGGGATAAGGGGATAAGCAGAAAGGTATATATTTGTGTTGCATTACATTATATATATTTTTTTTTTTTTTTTTTTTTTTGGGGGGATATTTTTTCGTCACACTTATACGTTCTCATGTGTAAACTTGCTTAATTCCGACATGTCTGTTCTTATCTTCTAGTTGTTTTCTTCCCTTTACAACCATATCCCATTGAATGCACAAAGCTACCTTTTCTCGTGGTTCTGCATTCATTTGAAGCACCACCATGTATGCATGTGCACAACCGCAGCTCCTCACTTGGGAAAAGGCACACACCTTGCGAAGACCTCTGGCACTGAACTTGTTGCAAACTTGTTAAAAAAAAAAAAAAAGAAAAAATAAAACAAGTGCATCGATATGAAGCGAGGTGAAACAAAATAAAATAAATAAAAGTAAATAAAAGTAAAAAAAAAAAAAAAAAAAAAAAAAGCACGAATGTGCAAATTTTGCAACTCGTTTAAAGAATGGAATTTAACGAGTCAGAAAAAAAAAAGAACGATAATAAATTACTCCAAAATATTGAAGCCAACCACAGTTTAACGAAGCCTAACATAAACAGATCAAAAACCCTGGAAGAAAGCTCCCGAAAGGCCATTTGGAGCGATGCGTTTCATTTGTTAAAAAATAAAAACCAAACCGAAAGCGAAACTGAAGGGAAGGCAGAGCAGGAAAATCTAAAGGGGGTCCAAAACTGTGAAAAAAAAATTGAGAAAAACAAAACTTGCATTAATGCGGATCTTCTAACAGACGGACATATCGACACGAACACAAGAAATTCTATTGAAGAAGGCGTAGCTAAAGTGACGATTTTTTCTAACAATCCTTTTATTGCTACCACTCATGGAAATTTAAGTCCTAAGTGGAATGACAAATCGGGAGATAAATTGATAAACCGGACACCTGACAAGCCTGGAAAACATCCTAACGGGGCGAGTGAAAAATACCCAAACGGACCAAGTGAAAAATCGCCAAAGCAGCAAAGTAGAACCCACAAGAGCACTGTACATCTTGAAAACATGAACGCGTGCAATAGTGATAATAAAAAAAATTACTACCTTATGAAGCAAGCTGTGTTTTTCACCCCGAAAAAAAATTCGATAAACGCAAGTAATGAAAAAAAAGAAATTGAAAATAAAATTGTTCAAAATGGGATTGACGAATATTCCTTAAATAATAATTTACGGAACCATAGCACATGGACAGCAAATACTGATCAGAGAAAAATAGGGAATTTCTCTGGAACCATTTGGAAGACACAAGACACTTTGCTTTCTCTTAACAATGGGAAGTCTACCATGAATCAGAACAACGCTAACTTGAGTACGTCCCTTGTCTCTTTCACCAATAACATTGCTGGAGGAGCTGAATATACAGTTGGAGGGACGGATTACAATTCTGGAGAAGTGGATCGTAGCATGTGCGATGCAAACAACTGCATCAGTGCAAGCAATAACCTTGTTAACACTGTGAATAGCTGCTGCAGCGTGAGCAGTAGTCTAACTTTGCAAGGAAACAATTTCAACACTCCGAGCTTAAGTTCTTTGAACCTTCTACAAAATAACAGCATTATGAACGGCAAGGTAGGAGGGAATAATGATAACAGTTTGGAGCATTTGCACATATCATCCCAATGTTTTTCAGAAAAAAAAAAAGATATCGTATATCTATTTCAAGAGCTGTTAAGCTACTGTGAATGTTTAAAAAGAAATCGAAAAAAAAGCACAGAAGAAATAAATAAAATTCGTATTAGCTACAATAAAGTGTCCGATTTGCTAAAAGAGACATTAAAAAGAGAAAAGAATAGTCATATAAAAATTGAAGAATTAAGAAATATTATAATTACATATGATGAAAAATTTGATCGAGTGAAAAATAGTTCTGAAGGAACTATAACAAATTTAAACAAAAATGTGCAGACATTAATTGATTTAAATAATAGCTTAGAAATGGAAATGAATAAAGTTGTAAATGAAAATCAACAATTAAGAAAAATTGCACAAAATGAATTTAATTTAAATAAAGAAATTAATGATTTGAGAAAACAAATTGAAATTTTAAATAATGAAAAAATTGTCTTAGTAAATCAAATTGATGGTTTACGCTTAGAAAATTCAAAAATTGAAAACGAAAAAAATGTTTTGTTAAGTGATAAGACATTATTGCACTGCAAAATTGATGAACTTGAAAATGGATTAAAAAACAAAAACAAAAACAACTTTTTTAATAAGTCACATTCAGATGATCGGGAAAGCAACCCTTTCATAATCAATTCGGATGAAGAAATTAACCAGCAACTCAGCAACTACTTGAATTTAAACCACGAGCAGCGCACTGAGCTTTTTAAAAATTTCCTCTACCATTGGCGCGAGACCAACAAGGCTGGCCAAAAATTTTATGAACAATCCTATGTCTCCGCGCCTCACATATTATGAGCACGTCTCTCCTTTCCCACCTGGGGTTTTTCTGCACCAGAGGTTATCCATCCTAGCAGTTGTTAAGCAGCAATGGTTAAGCAGCATCATCCATCCCATAGTTACGTTAATCAGAACAGGTGAGATGATGTCGAATTGGCCTTTCAAGAAAATGGTCGAGGGTGATGATGAAGGGCAGACCCTTCCGTGTGTTCCCCGAATTTGCTCTGCATGCAAGTACTGCACACATATATACATGTGCTTATATATATATATGAACTTACGTTAATACCCGCTTGCACACACTATTTTTTTTTTTTTTTTTTTTATCCCAAACATTGATCCTTTTATTTTTTCTCTTCACTTTCGATCATCCAAATTAACCCTTTTGTCTGTATGTACATTTGCTTATATATTTTATTGTGCATACAGATCTAAATATCAACAGACATGCATGTGCTTTTACATGCTCATTGTTCCTTTTTTTTTTTTTTTTTTTTTTTTTTTGTTAATCTCGCTGGCCATTATTTTTTGTGCATACAACCTGAACGTAACATTTTTTCACCTGAACAGTTAAGGGAAAAAGAAAAAAAAAATAAAATAAAATAAAATAATATAAAATAATATAAAATAATATAAAGGTTAAAAAAGCTAGCCAAAAAGAAGTCGAAGTTTTCCTAAATTTTGTCTTTTCCTTTTTTCTTTTTTTTTTCTATAATAGCAAGTGGGGGGAAAGAGATATGTGAGGATCCTCATACCCGAAAAGGGGTTTCATTTTTCTATTTACCCTGCTTTAAATTTACTACAAAGTCTGTTACATTTTTGTGAACAATTGCATGTCCACATTTTTATGTGTATCCATTTTTTGTCTGTAAAGAGATAAGATGGGATGAATAAGCTCAGAAACATTTTCTTAATCATTTTACCTTTTTAACAAACTAAAAAGGTAATTAAAAAAAAAAAAAAAAAAAAAAATTGACAAAACTGGTGAGGATAATATATAGGCATATTGGCTACTTGTGTAACATGTGTAGGCACAAAAATATTTTACCATATTTAGAAGTGTATATCCTGCGGAGGGTAAAATTTTGTGTTTATGCGAATGTGCATGATTCTTTTCTTGTAAAAAAAAAAATAATAATAAAAGTGTACATATAAATACAACACACAAGTGTGTAATGCATGTATAAAAACACATCAAATTTAACGTAATCCAAAGTTCGTCACAAAGAAGGGGAAGGGTTAGGGGTAACACACAAATGTATCGGGATAGGTAGTTGAAAAAAAAAAAAAAAAAAAAAAAAAAGCTATAAATTGAAAGATGTAAGCTATTCGAACAACATAACAATAAAATTTAAAGACATAGATATTTATTTTTGAGAAATTAAAAAGTTATTCAAATGTTTTCTCCTTAAGGGGGGGGGGAGGAGATACGTAAAATTGATACGTAAAATTGATACGTAAAATTGATACGTAAAATTGATACGTAAAATTGATACGTAAAATTGATACGTAAAATCGATACGTAAAATTGATACGTAAAATTGATACGTAAAATTGATACGTAAAATTGATACGTAAAATTGATACGTAAAATCGATACGTAAAATTGATACGTAAAATCGATACGTGAACGCACGGAGTGGGGAATGGAAACCTGCAAAGCGCAAGCATGGCAGACACCCCTTGCATGGCTAGAACTGCCTTACATTCCGTCACCAACTGGGGAATATTTTGTTGCTACATATTCGTAAATACATACTGTATGTCCTTCCAAACATCTTCAATGTTTTTATTGGCATTTATGAAGATGCATTTACTTTCATTTATAAAAATATTTATAATGGGCATGCATCCGTTTTTATGTGTTTCAAATCGTTTTCTGAGTGTGTCCATATTGTCGTCTACTCTGCCTGTACGTGCAATAGAAAGGGGCAAGCCGGTTGGAAAAGAAAAACAAAATAGAGTAAAACAAAATAGGGTAAAACAAAATAGAGTAAAACAAAATAGGGTAAAACAAAATAGAGTAAAACAAAATAGAGTAAAACAAAATAGAGTAAAACAAAATAGAGTAAAGCAAAATAGAGTAAAACAAAATAGGGTAAAACAAAATAGAGTAAAACAAAATAGAGTAATAATAAGCCAGCACAACGCCCCACCATCCCGAGTAAACGAGAAAAAAAAAACGAATGAATGAATTAATCGACCCAGTGTCACTCCCTGCTTACCGCACATTAGTCCACGATTCATGCACCTCTTAATCATAGTGTCTTCGTCGCAATAAAGAAAAAGGCACAAATGGACATAAGCATAATTTCCTATCACATTCATCCATCCTTCAAAATTGTCGTAATTTCTTGGGAACCCATCAATTATAAATTTGTATTTTGCCTTTTGTTCGAACTTGTTTTTTTTTAATATTTCTTGTACTTGTTTACTTTCGTATATGCAATTTTCATATCTCAATTTGTCATGACAATGTTCCATATTTGCATTTTTTAACTTGACATTTTCATCCAAGGCGTCAAATGAAAAGCTTTTCTTCCCCACATGTTCAGGCATTTTCTCCGGATCACTTTCTTTTTCTTCTTCTTGTTTCTTTCTTTTTTCAATCTCGTTTTTCATTTTTATTTTCATCAGTTCTAGTGTTATGTGCACCGGAACAATATTTCCTGCAATACGAAGGTGCCACAAGGGGGTGAAACATTTGTGAGTGCAGCATCTTATCTGCAGAACGCCCAAAAATCTCACGAGCTATTTTTTTCTACACAATTATTTCGACACTGTCCCCTTCTTTAAGTGGACATACAACACAGGAAAATCACGAACATGCACATAAATATGAATTTTGCGCATAAAGAAATGAGCACCACATAAAACTCTTTTCTAGAAATAACTCTTATTTTGCTTTCGAACCATTATTTATGCAGTCCTCAACTATGGTCTGGTGTTTTGTGTCTACTTCTCCCTTCTCGCACTTTGTTAAGTATTCCCTCAAGCAATCCCCTTGGAGAAAAAAAAAAAAAAAAAAAAAAATTCGTGCAAATGTGTGAGGAGCAATGTAATGGCGCGAATTAAAAAGGTGATATGAACCGAGAAAGGGGGGGGGGGGATAACAAAGAATCAAACAAATTGGCAAACAAATTGGCAAACAAGTTGGCAAACAAATTGGCAAACAAGTTGGCAAACAAATTGGCAAACAAGTTGGCAAACAAATTGGCAAACAAGTTGGCAAACAAATTGGCAAACAAGTTGGCAAACAAATTGGCAAACAAGTTGGCAAACAAATTGGCAAACAAGTTGGCAAACAAGTTGGCAAACAAATTGGCAAACAAGTTGGCAAAACAAATCCGTAATACAGTAAATAAAAACGAACCAGCGCTAATATGAACAAAGTTAAATTTTTCTTGAATTAATTTGCACTGTGTTCCCTTTCCGCTTCCTGGCCCTCCAAGCATAAATATCTTAAAAAAAAAAATTGGGAAAAATAGGGAAAAAATAACGGATTTTTTTTTTTTTTTTTTTTCTTTAGACATTTTAGGAAACCCCCACGTCGATACGTTACAGGGTCCCGTTGGCTTGCACACCGAATAAATCTATGGACACCTCCTGTGTGTCTTTTCTATATTACCACAAAGGGTTGATCTTTACTCATGGTAAAGGTGTTATTGGCGAAAAAATTCCTTTCTACGACGTGTTTTCGATAAAGGTGTGTTTTTCCTCCAGGAAGATTTAATTTGAAAAAAATGTTCCTCGTTATTCTACGTTTTTGATGTATCGTTTTATAAAGTCCTCTTTCTCCTGTTCTGTAATAAGCACCTGTCCTACACAGACTAAGGGATGTAACTTTTTTGTTTTTTAAAAGAACAAATTCGTCAACGAAGATTTTCGAAAAGTTAGCTACAATCGTGAAAAAAAAGGCCGCGTAAACTGTTTTGTGATTCATATATTTTTATGTGGATGTGCATGTATATATGTACATAAATGTGCATATATATACATATTATACATATTATGTATACATATATATATACATATACATATATATTTTTGTTTTTTTTCTTTCATATACTATACATAACTATTTACAAAATTTGCAGCGATTTTTTGTTTCACCGTTTTTGCATTTTTCACACAGTTTTTTGTACTTTTTTTTTTTTTTTTTTTTCCTTTTTATGCTTTTTTGCATTTTCTAAAACTTTCCCTTCCTATCCTTTCTTCGTATTCTAAAAAGGGAATGAAAGCCAATTATTTCTATGGTTTCCCCCTTTTCGATTCAATATTCTCTTTGATCCCAAATTTTTTTTCTTTTACAGGATATTAATAATTTCATGCCATCTGGAGCTTAAAAAAGGTACTTGCAGCAAGCTCATTTTTGTCGTATGTGTTTATTCTTTATGTGTGCAGCATTCTATCAGGTGCTTTTTTAAAAAAAAAAAAAAAAAAAAAAAAGGAATACATATAATTACATGTGCCCATGAAAACTTGCATGTACATGCAAATGTTTCCTACCCATTATGTATTCGAGGATGTCGTGCAGTACTTTTATGATCTACAATATATGCAAAAGTAAACACATAAATATATATATATGTACATATATATACAATATATTATATATATATGTGCAAAAATATATTGTATAAATATAAATAATATTCATCTGTTGATGCTTCCGCATCCACGCGAGAGCATTTTTTCTCAACTGCATTACAGCAAACTCTTTTATGTTTAAAAGGGAGAAAAAAAAAAAAAAAAAAAAAACTACCAAGAAAAGTAAGCACTTAAAAAAAGAAAAAGCATACATCCAAATAAAGAAACGAACAAGTGAACAGAGCGGAACAGAACGAAACAAATCCTGCGTAGGGAGTTCTATTTTGTAGTAAACCGTTTTTACGAACCCCTTGGGGTGAAAATGTATGTAATAAAGCAGGCGAGACGCGGTGGGAGAGAAATTATATATATTCATATATATATATATATATATATATGTACGTGCATATATATGTACATGCTTAATATATACATATGTGTGCATAAGCAAAAACCCCTCGTCTTGCCATGGAGGGGTATATGAATTAACCCCCACAGTGTTTAACGCCCACCACACAAGAGTCGCAAGGTGAGTGAAGTGAGCTTAAGAAATGTGTCCAATATTCTCCACAAGTTGGTGGAAATGTTCAAAGTGATAATTAAAATAATCAGGGGATGAAAATATATTGAATGAAAAGAAAAAAGGAATTAAATTTTTTGTAATTTCTTCAACAAGTTTTTGACAAAAAAGAATTATATTTTTTGTCAAGGATATATTTAAATTATTTTCCTCATGATTAACATCCTTTTGACGAATTTGTAAATTATTTAATTTTATTTCACTCAGGAGTATTAGGAAAATAATTTTATTCAATCTGGTTTTGCAAAAATGGTTCATATCGGTTAATATGCGATTTTTTATTTTATTAATTGTCTCAATTTTAATGTTTATGTATAATTCCACTGCATTGGGAATTTCTTTTAAAATGTGTAAAATGAATTGCTTGTTATTATTGTTGTTATGGTGTGCTTTAAAATAATAACAGTCATTTTGTTTTTCCTTTTGTTTAATTATTTTTAAATCATCTTCAATGGATTTATAATTCGAATAATTTTTTTTTTTTTTTTTTTTTTTTTTTTTTTCCACCCATTCAAGATTATTTTCCCTGTTCTTACGACAATCCCCTTGTACAAAAGAACCAAATGTGTCGAACTTATTTTGTTCATAAAATAAATGAAATTTAGACCAATTCAGCTGCAATTTTGTTTGTTGTAATTCTGTATTTTTGATTAAATTTATATATTCCTTGTATTCTTCTATTGCAAGTATCCTCAGCTCTTGTATCTCAGCTAGTCTAACTTGTTCGTATGTATTTCCCTGTTCCTTCTTCTCTATATTTTTGTGCATTTTTGTATGATGTATTTTTTTCCCTTGCCGTTCATGCAATTTTCACATTTTTTCCTTAGCTGGTGGTTCAGGTAAAATTTTAGCAAATAATAATTGCTCGAAATATGTGCAAAAAAGGGGCAAGAGAAGAATTGCTTAAAAAAAGTGCAACTATGTGAAAAGTTCTATAAATATTTACACATGTATGCACAGTCTCATATCATTCCTAGCTAGTAAAATTGGCGCGGGTTTTTATAATCAAATGTGTCATTTATTGGATATTTCTCATGAAGGTATTTTTCGTATAAATAAATCTTTGACTTGTTTGATGAATACTTAATTTTAAGACATTTAATTAAATTGTCCAAATTGTCAAACCATACATTCACATAATTATTGTTGGAGTGACTTAAATTTAATAAATTAAAACTACTAATGTTTGAAAATCGAAACGAGTAAAATTCCTCCATGCAGCTAAATATAGCGTTGTCGTCAAGTACATTTTTCATGTTGGGTTTCAGCCCAAACCAGTAGGGATGAAATGGGAAATCGTGCAGGGTCTTGTTCGCCTTTAAAAGCATTTGTGTGTGTGTATGTGCGTAAGTATGCACGTAAGTACTATGTATGCATGTAAGTTCTATGCATGCATGTAAGTTCTATGTATGCATGTATGTACGTATATATGCATGCATTCAACCATACAAACACTTGTAGGTACGTGTGTATATATGCTTACATATGCAAGGGTACATGTTCACTTTTTTTATTCATCACGTTTTTTATGAGCCAAACTTTGCACCATCATGTTAATTCAATCTTGTATGATTTAACAAATATGCATATTGGACTAACTCTCATCATTATGCCTTTTACTATGTCATGCTGTATAAAATCACGTAAACATTGTGATTTTTTTTTTTTTTTTTTTTCTCCCTATACTGTTTTCTCATAGTAGAGTTTCCTTTTTTTTTTTTTTTTTCTCCCTATACTGTTTTCTCATAGTAGAGTTTCCTTTTTTTTTTTTTTTTTTTCCCTATACTTTTTTTTCATAGTAGAGTTTCCTTTTTTTTTTTTTTTTTTTTTTTTTAAGCAAATATATAAACTTACATAAATTTTTTTAGGTTTTTTTTTTTTTTTTTTTTTTTTTTTTTTTTTTTTTTTTTTATTTTTTTTTTTTTTTTTTTTTTTTTTTTTTTTTTTTTTTTTTTTTTTATTTTTTTTTTTTTTTTTTTTTTTTTTTTTTCTCCCTATACTGTTTTCTCATAGTAGAGTTTCCTTTTTTTTTTTTTTTTTCTCTTTATAAGCAAATATATAAACGTACATAAAGTTTTTGAGGCTTTTTTTTTTTTTTTTTTTTTTCTTGCCTTTCCAAATTCTAACATACACGTAACATTTTTGCGTATATCCCTTTCACATTTATTATATCTATTTTATACATTATATATATATATATATATATATAATATGAATGACATCGCTTAAGCACCTTGGCATAATCTACTCGACACATTACACTAAGGCAATTTTGACATGCAAAGTGCAATTGCTTAAGGGCCCTAGAAAGTGTAAAGTGTTAGAGAAGTATGCCTATGAAATGTGGCAATGGAAAAAAGTACGTAAAAAATAAGGAATTGAAAAGTACATAAGAAACGTGCTTTTATGCAACTTACAAATACGTACACTTAGTCGTACAGTGTCACGAACATATGCACCTGCCCTTAATAGTATACCCAATGCAAAACCCAATATTCATGACTTTCCTACTTTTTTACATTTACAGGCGCAGAAATTTTATTTTGTTTCAAACGATTTTTTTTCATAGCATTTTTTTTATACCATTTTGTTTTACATCATTTTGTTTTACATCATTTTGTTTTACATCATTTTGTTTTACATCATTTTGTTTTACATCATTTTGTTTTATACCATTCTATTTCACATCCTTTTATTTCACATTTTGTTTTATACCATTCTATTTCACATCCTTTTATTTCACATTTTGTTTTATACCATTCTATTTCACATCCTTTTATTTCACATCCTTTTATTTCACATCCTTTTATTTCCATCATTTTATACATTTTTTCATTTTTTGTTTTTTAAACTTCTTTAAATTGAATTTTTTTTTTTTTTTTTTTTTTTTTACAAGCCCACGTGTGAATTTTTCATTACACCTCTATGCAAATGTATTTTTATATATCTACGCTACATAAGTGCAATTGAACGTGCTAGAGAACGACTTGCCCAGGGGAAGAATTAACAAACGAACGGACGAACGGACGAACGGACGAACGAACGAACGAACAAAATTACCCTGTATGTGCTATGTAATGTATACATGTTCTTGTAGAGCATTTAACTTTGCTAATATGTGTGGATATATGTAAGCCATATGCACACAACAGGAGTTCATGTCTCCAGAAGCATTTCCAGCCTATGTACATTTTTTATATACACGACAAGAACGCATATACATATGCTTCACCTACATGTTGCCAATTCATATGTTAAAAGAAAATTCGTACTTTAATTCTTTGCAGCTTTTGAAGGTACGTGTTAATTCATGTATGTATCTATGCATGTATATATGCTCCTGTTACTGTTACTGCATATGTACCCACTTATTTTCATAGAAATTCGAAACGTAGGCATTCAACTTCTTATCTTTTACCAGCGGATCAGCTAACTTATGTATCCAATTTTTACAACATTTTTTCACGTGCATAACCATTCACATATATATCGTTTATGAACACAGTTACATAAACATATTTGAAACATAGATTTGTGTTAAAAAAGAGAAAAATATATATATATATATATATTTTCGTTTTAATATTTACCCCCACAGACATCCTTTTTTTTTTTTTTTTTTTGAAGCAACTTAATAAAAGAATTATTCTTTCCTTTTGATCATTTTGTTTATCTCTATTTAAATTCCTTTTTTTTTTTCATCTCCTAATCTACAAAAAATTTCATTGTCTTACATGTTTACACAAGTTGTATGACAAAGATAAAGGGGGGAGCAGAAAAAAAAAAAAAAAAAATCATTTGTAACATACGTCATACACACATTTGAATGTTGCTTAGATATATACTTAGGTGCACAAACACATGTTTATATATTTTATGCTTTTGACAAAAAGTGTACTTTTTCTTGTATTTGTGTATATATTTTTACGTACAGTTTTTGTTTGCATCTCTACATGAGGTAAAATTTATATGCATAAATGTATACTTTTATGTACATGTGAAGAAAAAAAAAAAAAAAAAAAAAAACATGCTAGACAAATATAATACACATTCATAATGTGTACATAAAAATAGCGCTTTGAATAATCTACGCTTCTGAATTTTTTTTCTTGTTTTTTCTTGTTTTGTTTTTCCGTTTTTTTTTGCCTTTTTTTTTGCCTTTTTTTTTGCCTTTTTTTTTGCCGTTTTTTTTTTGCCGTTTTTTTTTTGCCGTTTTTTTTACCGTTTTTTTTCCCTTTTTTTTCACCGTTTTTTTCACCGTTTTTTTTCCTTTTTTTTTCTTGTTTTATTCTGTTCAATCTGTGCACCCTTACTTTTTTACCTTTTTCCTCGTCTGCAATTATTGCGTCTAATTTTTCTTTTGCTGGAGTCTACGTTTATCCATTGCACACGAGACTTTTGAACCCCTCTGTTTTTCTTTTGTTTTTGTTTTTTTTTTTAAATTTAAGCAATATTGGATTGTAAAAAAAAAAAAAAAAAAAAAAAAAAAAAGAATGAAAGAAAATCTTGAATGTATTAACAACATCGAAGTAGCTGAAATTGAAAAAGAAAAAAAACAAAAAGATAAGCAAAAAGATAAACAGAAAGATAAAAAGAAGGGCAAGCAAAGAGAAGGAAAGCCCCAAAATTATGATTTGTCTACTAATGATGAAAATAAGATAGCCAAAAAGGGCGAACGCGTGAAGAATAACAAATCAGGGATTAAGGAAAATAATCCGAAAAATAAAAAAAATATTCAGAAAGAAAATCATATGAATAAAAATAATGATGATGATGTTGATGATGATAATAATAATAACAACAACATTGCACTTAGGGGAAGGTGTAAATTAGTCGAAAAGAATGATATATCCACAATAGAGGGAGAAGGGAAAAGAGAACAAAAGAATAGATGTGATGATTGCAAAGAACCCAAGGGAAGTGATACATATGGATGTGTCACCATTATTGGAAGTGCTACAGGAAATGGAAATGCCAAATATGTGCAGAAAGTAAATGCAGACAATGGAAAAGAAGTGGGAAAAAAAAAAAAGAAATGAATAAGGAAAATAAAAAAGGAAACACAAAAAAAAATACATCAGAGAAAAAAAATGGAACGACTATTAAATTCCAAACAACAACAAGAACGAATTAATAAAAGAAAAAAANNTAACAATCACAAGAAAAATACAAAGGAGTCTTCCAATAGTAATGAAAACAACGTGCGTAACAGTAATAGTGCAGAAAATAAATTAATTAATAGCAATCCACATGGAGAAAATAACACCCAAAAAAAAAATTCTCTGGATCAAAAGATTAAGGCGAATTCCAAAAAGGGTTCTAAGAAGAACAGGCATAAGGTAAAAATAAGAAAAACATTCACATTTTCCGTTACAAAAAAATGAAATAATAAAATGAAAAAGTTAAGATGTACAATTAATATATGTGTCATTCTATATATATATATATATATGTACGATAAGAAATCCCCAGTGTGTTTCTGTATTTGCACCCCTAGTGGCCACCAGTAAATGTAATCAACATGAATAAATTTGTACGCAAAATATATATGCTTGTGGGGTCACATATTACATGGATATGTATGTTTTTTTGTTTTTGTTTTTTTTGTTTTTTTTTTTTTTTCATCCCCCTCCAAAGCAGAATGAAAATTACCTGCAAAATTCGTGGGCATTCTCGTTTGACAAAGAAAATAAAAAATATTGCGAGCAGCACTTGAGCGGTTTGATATCCCTGGAAACCTTTAGCACTATTGAGAAGTTTTACAAGTAAGGGCAGAAAATAAAAAGCCTAAAATGACATCAAAAGGAAGAAATAGAAAAAACTCGCGATGCTGATGGAAGCAAATATACACAACAACACAACCGTACATGTGTATTTATTTTCCCCATCACAGGAACTACAAATATCTGAAATCACCATCGTCTATCAAAGAATATTACAATATCTACCTGTTTAAGCACACCTTCAAGCCCCTCTACGAGGTACAACTCGATGAACGGAAAAAAAAAGAATAGAAACGGAATGAAAAGAACAGAAAACTAAAAAAAAAAATTGGGAAAAAAATTATGAATTTCAAATCCGAAAGGATGCAATGTATATCCTTTATATGCAAAAAAAAAAAAAAAAAAAAAAAAAAAAAAATGTGCAACACATACTTAAAAAAATAAAAAAATTTCCTTCAATTCAGGATTATCCAAACGGCTTTATCTGTATTATAAAAAATGACCACGCCTTTAGAGACAATGTTGTTGATTTGATTTGGGAAAAAATGGTAAAATTCTCATGAGAACAATTGTACTTGTTTTGAGCGTCAACATTTTGTTTGTCGTCTGATTTGCACTACGAGGAGGAGAAGAAGAGAGAGATAGAGCAGAATGGAATAAAAAAGAGAAAAATAAAAAAATAAAGAAACAAACAAATAAATAAATAGAGCAACTAAAAGAAGCAGCTGTTTTTCACCCAACTTTTGTCCTCTAATTTTTGGTGGTCCAAATTTTGTTTTCTAAAATTTCCTTTCCCATTAGGTTCTTTTGGCTATCGGAGAAGAATTCAATCTCATTGATCTATCAGGCATACAGTTGTGCATAAGAGAAAATGAAATTTTCTTCAAAATATGGATGAAAAACTACTCAAATTATATCAAAAATATTTTAACGTAAAAATATAAAGTGTATTTCAAAAATGTATCACGTACATATGTCTTTCTTATCAGTATGAACTATTTAAGAAAAGCTGTGTATATACACACATAATCAAGGAACATAAATGAATCGTTTTTTTTTTTTTTTTTTTTTTTCCCCCCTCTCTCACCACATTATTAGGAAACGATTAAGCGAATTGTTAGATTTACCTCCGAACACATCTTTAATTACTAAGGTTCTTTCGGTATATATATTTCAAAAAAAATAAATAAAAAATGAAAAATAAGAAAAATGGCAATGTATGTGTGATATTTTTATGTAGTAACATAAAGACACCTAAGCACTCCTCATTTTTTTTTTTTTTTTCTTTTTTTTTAAATAACATTTTTTAGAATGTGTTTTATAACAGGAAAAATGCAACCTTAAAGGATAAGAACGAAAAAGGGAAAAAAATGTACAACAAGAATAAACCTGTTGAATATCCAACACCGAGAAAAGATTTTTTCAAAATTAGAAACTACAACACCATGATGCCTCCCCCCAATTACAATATAGGTATACACACCCAATCCGCTCATTGTGTACACATATGTATAGCACATATGTATGTATATATATGTATAGCACATATGTATGTATATATATGAGTGCATTCACGTCTGTTTGCACACGTTTGTAAGAACGCTTTTCCAGACGTGTATTATCATGTAAACATTCGTGTATGAACAAAACCCGTGCATTATCAAAATGGACACCTCTCTCCGTCATCACAAATATGATCATCGCCTTTTTTTTTTTTTTTTTTTTTTTTTTTCCCCTCCATTAATTTCCCCTTTTAAACATTTTCATATTTACGTAGGAAATTACAATTTTTTTAAGAACAACATGGATATGAATTTGTACTATTTATATAACAACCAAACTATTCCAAATAACTTGTATATGTATTACCCGCTAAACATGTTTACCCAGCAACAGTATCATAATGGCTACCCTGATTTTATGTATGAATATAATTTATCACACATTATGGAAAACCATAATAACAATTCTATGGATAATGAAATACACGTAGAAAATAATTTTGGTAATAACTAAATAAACGGGAATACCATTTGCTGATGAAAAAAGTAAATTTGATTACTTGACTAAGAACAAAGATTATAAGAAGAATTTTATATATTCAAATAATTCAAATGAAAATTATGAAGATAGTAAAAACAGTACATGTATATAAATTCACGCACATCGAAGTATCGTAATGATGTAAAAATAGATAAGAAAAAAGAAAAAGAAAAAAAATAAAATTATCATGGGTGAAAAGGGTAGAACAAAACATATAATATAAAAAATAAAAAAGGAAAAGTCTTATTAATTATTAACTAGGAAAATGTTACCATAAGAGAAATATCTCAGAAATAAGTATATATAGAGAAAATATATATACATGTATACAAAGACAAAAAAAAAAACTCTTTTCTCTCTTCTCTCCTCCTCCCATCCCCCATTTGTGTGCATATTTTTGAGAATAAAAAGAAAAAAAAAAAAAGGTCCCTTTCTTTTTTTTCTTTTTAAGCTACATATGAAAATCTGTATTTATAATTAAACAGTTCAAAACAGAGCCGAAAGAGATACATATCCTTTTTGCATTCAGAATTTAAAAAAAAAAAAAAAAAAGAGATCATGAAAATTACGGATCTTTTAACAGTATGTATAGTATTTATTAGTAGACAAAATAAACTTTTTTTTTTTTAAAAAAATTCCTCTATTTTCAAATACACCTATTCTTTTACAATCTCTCTTACTCAAACTCTTTTTCCTCCGTCTTGTTCTTCATCATCATAAACATTGTTATTATATCCTTTTTTTCTTTTTCTTTTTTTATTATAAAGAATTAATTAATTATTTTTTAAATTTTGTGCTTTTTTCTCACCTTTTTTCCTCACCTTTTTCCTCACCTTTTTTTTTTTTAACTAGGCAACCTTGTACATATCTTTGTTTAAATTACTCACGTGAACTCATATTTTTTACAATCTGTTCATTGATTTTGTCTACTTCTCATAGTTTCAGTCCCATCCCTCAGCACCATCACCATGTTTATTTCTGTCTACTCTCATTGATAGTTGTTTATTTCCATTTGTAACTACATGCTTCACTTCCGTTAACATTTATTTTTCCTACCTATGTGTGATTATATTTTTTTAATATATGTAGCTCCTTCATTTTCAAATGTGCACTCATTCATTCAGCTCTTTTTATAGTATATCGTAATTGCAATAATGCGAAAAATATATATATATATATACATACATATACATATACATATGTGAATACTCTGGGCGTGAAGGCCACGAGGGCATGCAGCACCATGTAAAAAGTGTCACCAATGTCGGGCGAACTTCGACATATTTATTTTTCATTCATGAATGCATTTTTAACATTATGAAATTTTATTAAATTAGCCAAATAGTCAAAAAAAAAAAAAAAATATAATAATAATAAAAATAATAAAAAAAAAAAAAAAAAAAAAAAAATCATTGAACTTATTTTATTATTTTTTTTTTTTTTTTAAATAATTTTTGAAGTATGGTAGCTGTATGTAGCTGCCAAAGTTAAAGCAAAAAAAAACAAATGGAGAAAAATAACAAAATAGCAAAAAGATAAAATGGACAAGTGACAAAATAATCAAATGTGTAAAAAGGCTGTGTGGTTAAACATGATAAAAAAAAAAAAAAAAAAAAAAAATATGTATGAGACAAAAAGAATTTAAATTTAGAATTGCAAAAGGTCAAAATTTTTCTGTTCTCTACAAGCATAAATATGTGTAAGAGTAAGAGTTCATATATGTTTTGTATGTGTGCATGGAAAATGTTAAATGTCTGCCGTGATACCTTTTTTCTGTTTATTTCTCCTTTTGCAAATTTGTTAAGTGTCCCAGACCTTTTTTATTAAGATCATTCTGTTGGAAGAAAAAATGAAATGATATTTATCATCATACATACACAATATAAAAGAAAACCTGAAAAAATGGTATACATCATAAGCACATGCATGCATACATACATAAATACATACATATATACATACATATATACATAATAAATTGGTACACAAAAATTGTAGGCACATTTAAAAGATGAACTTTTGAAGTTAGTCTAAGAATTATTACTAGTACACAAATTTGATAATCCTCATAGTAGTCATCGCATGCTTGTGTTAAATCTCCTTTGAGGAAATTATTTTTATACCAATTATTAAAGCATTTCACGTATTTCTCCTTTTTTTCCTTGCATTCTTGAATCTTGGGGAAAGGTTTTTAAATAAATAAGCAATATAGTGGAAGGAATTAAAGTTAAATAAAGAATCAATGATAAGAAAAGGAGATGAGGATATGACAAAACAGTATGTGCAAAGGTGTGTAGCAGTTTATGATCCACGCAAAAGTAAATAACGCTTGAGAAATAATTTAATTCAGGGTGAGCATATATTTACCGCTTCTAAGTGTGCCTTCACTGTATCCTTCGTTGTATCTTTAGTATTCACCATGTTATTCCCTATGACGTGTTCCTTAATGTCTTAAAGGTTTGTTTGTGTTTCGTATGCTATTTTTCTTTTTCTTTCTCTTTTTGTTCCTCTTTTTTTTTCTTTTCCTCCTTTTTGGTTTGTTTTCCTGCTCACGGTATATTACAACTATTTTGTTTCCCCTTGGACAACATAAATGTTTGTATACATCATATTTAAATGAAATATTTTACCGTAGCTTTTTGAACAAATTTAGGGTGTTACATCTGACTCTTTTTAGAGTGATACATGAAAAAAAAAAAAAAAAAAAAAAAAGGTCAAATATGCATATGACATACTGCTCTATATGTAGTTGTGATATATTATTGTATTCCACTCGTAAAAACTCATATTCGCCATTTAAAAAATTAAACTAAATTTAAGCAAAATAAAGAATGACACAAAAAAAAAAAAAAAAAAAAAAAAAAAAAAAATTCCTCAATTGCACAATTTGGCAAATGATCTCGAATATGTTGTTAACATTTATGCGTGTATATATTGTAAACATGTAACCCCAAAATATTCGGTGGAAAATTGCTTACTTGTCACAAAATGCATCGAACGGAATATTGGTCCTTTTAACCTTATATGTGATTTCTGCTATATCTCTGCGAAGGTGAATTTGCAAATTCAGTTCATGTATATATGGCACCTATGTATATATATATATACATCATTTGTTTTTTTTTTTTATGCGTGCTTATCTGTGTATGCAAATAAAAACACATTCATTATATATATAAGAACATCATGTGGAAACAGTGAGAGAATAGCACCAAAAATAAAACAAAGCAAAACATGGCAAAGCAATATAACAAAACGCAAAATAATAAATGTAAATAGAAGATTCGGAGGAATCCAATGCTGATGAAAAAGTACAACGCCACTTTCCTTTTTTTTTTTTTTTTCAGCAATGTATTCACACCAGGAACATTCATTTTTTGAAATGCTTTGTAACTTTTCAAATGACTCGAAGCGTATGAAATAAAATGTACTTTACTAGAAGCAGAACATGTATTTCAATTTTTAATTGTGAACTAAGCCGCAATGAGTATTACATATATATATATATATATATATATATATGTATGCCCCTTCCCAAATGAATGCATATGAAATAATATGCATATAAGAACATTTCTTGGGTTCATTATTATTTTTTTTTTTTAATTACACAATATTATAGGGCTCATTCCTTTCCTTAAATATTGTTTCGTTATCACATTGGATTACATTTTTTATTTTTTTTAAGTTGGTGTAATTCCGTTTTTCATATTTTTCCTTAATGAAGTGATAAGATGCATGGGTTTTTTTTATGGAACACCAAGGAGCGTCGGTTTCTAATAACAAAAGATTTAAGGGTATTTTTTTCACTGCATTTATATTTTCCACAGTTTTTAAGGAACAACCATTTACCCCTATATATACATTTTTGTAAGTGCTTATTTTTTCAATTATCTCCTCCTTGTCTGTAAAGCTATGAACTACTGCTCCTACATCTTCAATTAATGGTTTATATTTTTCCAGAATTTCAAAAAATATATCAGAACAGTTTCTCATATGCAAAAAAATTGGTAGTCTGAACATTTCAACTAATTTCAATTGATATATAAAATATTTAATTTGAATATATTGGGGGCAAAAAAATAACCTGTCAAAATCTAATCCTATTTCACCAATACATACAATTCTCTTGCTATGATTTATTATTTTTTGTTTCAATTTCTCTAAATAATTTTGATCCTTTTTGTCATACAAAAAACCAGGGATTTTAAACACATTCCCTAAAGGTTCACTGGAATTTTTATTTTTTTCGTTGTTTGTCTGAACATTAGTGGAATTTAAAGCATGCCCTTTCGCATCAACAGCATCGTCAGGCTTCTGATTTTCTGGCACTAAATTTTTCCCATTTTTGAAATAGTTAATAAATTGCTCATACTCCTTTTTTGCTTGTTTATCTTTTTCCTGAATAGTATTTTTTTCAGTAAACTCATAGCAGTTAGTTGGGTGTACGCCAGCAGTTAGAAAAAGGAACTTACCCTCAGGATCTGTTTTAAAAATAAATTAAAAAGAAAAACAAATTAGAAAAGAAATTAGAAAACATATTTGAAAACAAATTAGAAAACAAATTAGAAAACAAATTAGCAAAGGATATAATAATATTTTTATTCTGATAGGTATAACAACAGCAAAATTTAACCGTATGTTTCACAAATCTTCAGAGATTTATCAATGTCTTCCAGAGAGCAACATGTTATTATAATCTTCTCAACATTGTTCTTCTTGGCTCTATTCAAAACGCTGTTGCATAGCACATGCGGTTATCAGCAAGGAAAAGGGAGGAAATTGAAATGTAATGTGTAAGCATCGATTTATATATGAAATATGTATTATTTGTTCTTGTATATACATAAACAAGTTACATATATATATGTAACTTATGCACAAACAACGTGCGAATGTGGGCCTATTTTTCCTGTTACTATTGTAGGTCATTCTCATGCTTCTTCTTGTTATAGATTCCATCAAACATCTTATCAGTCAAATTGGATCCTATGTCAATAAATAAATTCTCCTGAACTTCCATTTTCCTTATATTATTATTCTTTTTTAGGCCACGTTTTTTTTCTCTGTGCAACAATGTGTTATTTATAAAGGATATAAAATATCTTATGTTTTTAAATTTTGTAGCAACTTTGGTTTCTAAAAAAATCGCGCACGTATATAATAAAATAACAAAACATTTAAGAAGATAAAAAATCAATTTCATATTTTCATTTTGTTATACATATCCCTTTTTTTTCTTTATATATATTTTCATATCTGTGTTCCTTCATTTATGGAGTATACACAACAAAAACTAGCAACGTCAAATGTTTCATTTGATATATTTAAAAATGTGTTGTGGATTTTTTTTCATCTTTATTCTTAAAGATTGTATATTCGAGAAAAATAAATAATCCATCAATTGACCAATATCTACCACACCTTTGTGGTGTTTTTTTTTTTTTTTTTTATGATAGCGATTAAAATGAAGCGCTCAATTGAAACCTAAAACAATATAAAGAATGTGTGTACGTTTTTAAAAGTGTATGTCAATTTTTGTGTAGTGAATTTTTTTGTCTCAGCATTTCATTTCTTACCATTTAACTGAAAAAAAATTGTTATAGTCATTTCTAAATAATCTAGAACCCAGAGAGTACCGCATTTTCATTTAAGATTTTTAATTCATTCTGTTTCAGTTCTGCAAGTGCTCTATTCTACATATTAGAATGCTTATATAGTATAAGTTAGTGACATTATTTTTTTTTTCTAATAGCAAAAAATATGTGCTTTTTGAATTAGAAAATTTGAAGTGTGGAAAACTAAGAGTTTTATCATTGTTCTAAAGTTTCGTTACATTAAGTTTCCTTATTTTAGTCTTTTTATTTTTACGACATTTTACCTTGACATAATTTTTCAAAATATTTTCAGCCGCGGTAACATACATTTTCAATATTAAAAATGTTTTAAAATAATATATCTTACAAATATAAATGAAAAAAATAATTCCTATTTCAATTACATTATTTTTCATCTGTACTAATGACAGGTTTAAGAAAACAAAACTTCGAAACATAACTGAAAAAGTAATGTAAAAAGTATATCACTGGGTCCATGTGAAAAATTATGAGTTTGTTTCCCACATAAGTATTTTCTTTTATTTAAAGAAAATAAAACATTTGTTTATCACTTGTATAAACGTTCTAAATATCACTGTAATAAACACTTTTCAATAATACTTTTGTCACGTTTTCTGACATGTCTTTTTTTAAGTATTGATGTTAAAATGCGTTTATGTTTAGTGAAGAACAACATTCAAGAGAAGGAAAGCTATGCAAGTGATTTGATACACTGTGCTACATTCAATAGAGATAAGTTAAGACAACCTTTACATTATTTTTAATGGGTTTAAATTGAAAATATTCAAATTTATTTTAAATTCATTTTTTGCTTTCATTATACATCATATAAGATTTGTGTCTTCTTTTTTTTTTTTCGATGAACATTTGAAAGCATTCATAAAAATTTTAAACCTTAAGCCGAAGACTTTTTCTAAACAAGACAAAGTGCCATAGCATTTTTTTTTTTTTAATTTGGCTAATCAAAAAAAAAAAAAAAAAATACATATGTATATATACATATATCTAGCTTTTTCATACTTGGTAAGAAACTCTTTCAAATGCATTTTCATAAAAAGCTGTTTAGCTAGCTGGAAAAAAAAAATGTACGCGTAATAACGGGGTAATTGTTTTAGTTTAATTCTCCTTTTTCAACAACTGTTTTTTTTTTTTTTTTTTTCTTTTCTTAAGTAAATGTTATTGTTTTTTTGTCAAGAACACTTGGTAATTTATAATTTTAAAAGAACAGTATATTCCTCTACATTTCAATTTAAGAAGACGTTCTTTTAAGTCTTTTTTTAAAGAAATATAAAACTTCATTTTTTTCCACAATTTATATATCATTCAACTTCTTGTCGTTCATATATTCCAAGAAAATGAAACTTGTTTCAGCGTCCTCATGTGCTCTATACAAAATGCTATTATTTGTCCTGCTGGTTAGTACTGTACTGGGGGAAAATCATTCGCAAAATCAAGATTTCACTGAAACAGAAAATGCAGCTAAGGCAATTAGGAAGTTATTAAATGGTGAAGTAGACACTATCAAACTAGAAAATGGAAATCAACTGAAAATAAGATCCAGCGAAGAAAAGTATGGTGATTATAACGGAATTAATGATAAAACTAATTATTCATTTGTAAGCAACTCTGAAGAAGAAAGCATTCAAGCAGACTTGTTAGGAAAAAAAGAATCCAAAGAAGTAAAAAGCAAAATAATTCAAGATCAAGAGGATTTCTACATATTGGATGACGAAAGCATTGAAAGCGTAGCAAAAAAATTTACCATGGAACATGGATTTCATGAATCTAAAATTGATTCATTTACACAAAGTCTTAAGGGTATAATTAAATCACTGAATAATTAAGCAGCGAAAATTAATAGGTGCACAGTTAGCTTAATATTATGTGTCACAGCATCTGCATATTTGCATGTATCTAAATTTTTGAGTTCGTTAAAGAAAGTTTTACAGAACTAATACATACCAAATAATCGAAGAGGTTTGGTTTCCTTTTTGTCTTTTTCTGTATTCATTATTAAAATACACAAATTTTTTAAAAAAAATGGAAAAAAACAATTTTTAATAACTACGTCGTATTTTTGCATTTTATGTTTTCGCATTTTTTTATTTTTGTCACTATTTTTTTTGAATATAACTGTGTATAGTTTTTCTTCATGTTTATATGCAAAATAAACAACATATACAAAACTTTAGACATTTGAAAATGCTAATTTTCGTTTTATGTGTATTTTCCTTCAACAAGATATCACTAAACAAATAGTAGCTTAAAAATTTTGAGGGAAAAATTAAAACATGCTCACTTTTTTTAAACTTAACAATTTTTAATTACGATTCTTTTTTCTTTAAAAGGCTGCCTGCCTAATTAAAAGAGTGTGTCTTTAAATGTTTTCTTTTACATATTAACACACATAAGGAAGGGGAGAGGTCAAATTCATTTTTAACTATATTAAATATCACTTGTGCTTAATACGCCTTATGGAATAATGAATATGTCTCTATTATTTTAACACACGTTCAAAAGAAGAAAAAAGTAATAACAAAGTCTCGTCGCTATTGAAAATGATTATAAACAGAATTCTTATTGTAATAAGTTTGTTGCGACATTGTTATTGAAGCTTCAATTAATACTCCGTAAAAAAAAAAAAAGCAAAATAAAAAATATTGGTTATCGTTCTACATACAAAAAGATAAACAAAAATCACAACGGAAAAAGTGCAATGTTAATTTTTTCTAAGGTGTAAAAAATCTAATACACATTCAAAAATTTTCACAAGTGTGCACTATTTGAGATTTATACTTAATCATTTAATTAGAACACCTTTGTGTATTTTTTTGAATAAGACAACACAAAAAGTTTTATGGGTTAAATTTATTTCATATTTACATTCTATATTTTTTTCTTCAATCATTCTTAACTGAATTTATATTCCTCTTGAAAAGAAAAAAATAACTACTAATGAATTAACATATAACATTAATCCTGAAAAGACTCACATTAGGAAAATTTGAGCGCTCTATAGGTACTCTTATTGAATCATGGTAAAACTCTTGCTGAAATATGGGGAAATTATTTCAAGGACATTACAAATATTCAAAAATTTTTCGTTTTTTTCTTCATATTTTATTAGCCACTGTTGAGTACATGAATGTTTAATAAAAGTAGAGTTTAAAAGGGTGTTTATCCTCCATAAATTTATTACTTTAAGAATAATTTTGTTATAAAATTATCTTAACTAAAGAAAGGGGTTCATACATTATAGTTATAGATTAGAAATAGCGAATTATAAGCTGTAATAAATATATTATACATTTTTAAAAATAATTACAGGTGTTACCGTTTATTCAAAAGTCATAAAAGACACGTTACAATTAAAAGGCTTTCTCGTTGTTAAACAAATAAAAAATTTAACATAATACTAGTTCTACATAAAATGTTTGTGCGATGAACGAAAGATTTCATATGAATTACAGTGAAAATTGACAGTGATTAATTCTAAAGAAATTAAACATCATAAATTTGTGCGTAAATTTCCACTTACGACTTTTTTCTGATAAGCAAGTGTATGTACTTAAAATGACAGTCTTAAAATGTGATGAATTGTAAAAACTTTATGAAAAATAAAAAGGGGTTGTCATCATAACTGCCTGTATGCTTTTTAACCTGGAAATGTATCACTTAATAAATATGTTAAATGTAGAGTCAATGATACATAAAATTTACATACACAATGAAGAAATGACATGTTATCTGCACAAAGATTTATGTGCACTTTTAACGGGATTACAAATGATCTAAATATAAATATGAGCTCAGACAAAAAAAAAGACTTCGACAGGAAGCTATAATGGTGTCCAAAAAAAGATTAAGAAGTGTGTCCTATTTTACAAAACATGTTTTTTCCTATTCAATGGAAATATTTGTGTTAATATTGGTACATTCAGTTTAAAAACTATAATAAACATAATTTTTACAAATTTATATAAGCAGAAGTTAAAAAAAATGGGAACTATATGCTCTGTTCCTTATGTGTTCTAGTAGTGGTTTTACATTTGAAATAAACGTTTTCTAAAATTTATTATGTAATTTGCGATAACATATTGCACAATATTATTGTATTAAAATTACTTATAATCGCAAGAAAAAAAAAAAAAGGAATATAATTCACACTTAACATACAATTATATAATTGTTTTTATTGAGTACATATGTATACATATTACCCTTAGATATTAATACAATAAGCCTATTCATTGTTTTATTCTTTCTTATATAAATACATTATTGCATTTTAATTAAAGGAATTTATTAATACTTCGCTAATATTAATTTATTTATAATTACTTTAATTAATTAAATATAAAAATTGATAAACATATTTAATATATATTCTTTCCTTATGTATCTTTTACATTTTAAATCATTATAATATTATTAATTATTTTTATTAAAATGAATTAATTAATTTTATATGATGTTATATAAAATTATTTTCTTTAATTACAGAGCAAAAATATAATTATTTTATTTAATTTTTAAAAAATAACATATAAAATATTTAATAATTGTTTTTTTTATTAATATAACTTTTATTTATAAATTTATTTACATAAATTAAATGTTATTTAAGATATTTATTTTTATTTATATATTTATTTAAAATAATAAATATATATTATATTTATTTAAAATTATGTGAATAATAAATTATTTATTAAAATTTTAAATTAATATTAAGGTATTTTGTTTATTATGTTTAATTTTATACAAATATTTATATATTTAATAAATTAATTAATATACTGTTTTTATATAACTAATTATATTATTTTGCTGAAAATATTATTAATAATTAACTATTTTTACTAAAATAATATAAAAAATATAAATAATATAATGAAACTTAGTTTTATATTGTTTTATAAAATAATTATTATTTTTAGTTAATAATATATATTATTAAATTGCTATTTAATTAAATATACTACTTAATATTATTGGTAATATTTTTATTAAATAATCTCTATATTAAATGCATAAATATTTAACTTAAATATAATATAATTAATTATTTATTTTATTAATTATTCATAGTTTTTTACATTAAATATATATTTATTAAATGTAAATAATTTATAAATTACATAAATAAAATATTAAATATATTATCATTAAATCTTTTTATAAAATATAAAAATATAACGTATATATTTTAAATTATTTATTTTAATCAATATTTTTTTATATAAAATTATATTTATTTTATTTTTAACTAATAATTTATATATATTTTAATTAATATTATTAAAAAAATAAAATTAATTATTTAATTTTTTTTATTTTATTATACTGATAATATTTATTTGTATTAATAATCTTAATTATTATATTACTTTATCTATTTAAATATAAAAAAAGTGAATTTAATAATTAAATGGTAATAAAAATATGTAGTTATATTATAATATTGTATTTTACACAATAAATGTTATAATTTAATTTATTATATTGTATTTACTTTAATATTATTTAATTATTAATTTTTTTTATATATTTTAAATTATAAAAAAATATATATTACTTAAATAAATATTATATAATTGGGCTATAAAAAATAAAATAATTTAAATTTATATTTAATTAATGCTTTATATTTTTGTAATATGATTACTTAAAATTAAATGTACTAATAATTTATTTTTATATAATATATAATTATTATTAAATTAATTTTATTTAATATATAGTTCATTTTAATTAATTTATTTATATATTATTAATATTTATTAATTTATTTATATATTACTATAATATAAATTAATTTATTATATATATTATTTTTAATTTATTTATTATTATATTATATTAATTAATTTAATTATTAATTTATTTTATGTATTATTAATTTTAATTTATTTATTATATTTAATTTAATAACTAATTTATATGCTATTAATTTTAATTTATTTATTATATTTAATTTAATAACTAATTTATTTTATACGCGCCATTAATTTAATTAATTTATTTTATATATTATTTAATTTAATTGTTAATTTGTTTTATATATTATTAATTTTAATTATGACACATATTGTATTTTTTTATTGTTTATTGATAATTAATTTATATACATGTTTAATTCTTATATTTTTTAATTTATATATTATTATTTATTTTTTCTTTTTGTTATTAATATATATTTTTTATTATCCCAAAATTAATATATTCATTTACTAATACTATATTAATGAATTTATTTTTTTAATTAAAAATACTTATGACGTAATAACTTTTATATTTTATTAACTCAACATTATATTTATTTAACACTTTATTTATAAGAAAACAATAAACATATTTTTTTTAATTATGTCTTATGTTTATTTAACAGCATTTTAACGAAAAAAAATTTTTATAACTATTGTTTTTTTATTTTTCACCGCTTTTTACCTTACACATATGGATGATTTGTTTAAAACTATCATTTGTATTATCATTATAATTTATGTATTTTTTTTTGTTTGATTATACTTTTCCGTTTTATATGACTATAACAACGTTTAGTAATATTTATATATCTTTTTTTAATTGTTCGCATGTACCTTATCTTATTAACACATTAGTCTTTTAAGCACTGGAATATGATATATATTATGTAGGTATGACGAAAGCCCCTACGAGTGCATAGTTTAAGAAAATTGTTCAAATATTTGTATTTTCGTATATAGAGAATGTTAAAAAAAATTGTAAATCATTTTTTTTAGTTTTGTTTAAAAAAGTATGCAGTCATTCTATCTTTTATTTTCTTTGTTATATCCTATATTACATTAAATTATATTACTTGGAATCAGAAACTTGTTAACAATTTGAAACGTTTATTTAAAATGAATTTACATGAATATGAATCCTTTAAAAATATATAAATGTAGTCCTTTATTTTGTAAACAGATAAATTTGCATTTATTATTTTTGTCTTTCATCTTACAAATAGAAAGATAATCTTATATACTCTATTCCCTTTATATATTTCACACATAACAATACTTTTTTTATATATATAAAAACATATAATTGAAGGAACATTTTATCATTTTGCAAAAATATATATTGTAGGTACCACAATTTTCTTATAAATATCTAAATGTTTAGCTAAAAAAATTACTGCCCCTTCATTATTATTCATGCCTTGGGGGTAAAAATGAGTAGCAGAAGTTTGGGTTCATATTTATCATGATAACAAAGAGTGTAAATATCATGACAATAAATCTATAAAAAAGGGAACCTCCTTAAATTTACCATCATTCTTGAACACCCTTTTAATTTGGAAATCACAAAAGACATTTCGCGTACCATGTGTGTGTAGTATAATTGAAAAGTCGTCAGTCGTAGTTTCATTACATTCTTTTTTGAACATATATATACTTCTTTTTAGGTTAGCATGGAATTCACAGGCGCGACAATTTTTGTAAAAAAACAAATTATCGGACACTAGCAATTGTTTTCATATGTAATTTGCCATATATTATTTTAAATAAAAATAATAAATAAGCAAATAAGGAAACTTCTGAGTGATAGTATTATGATGAAAGCAAAAACAAAAAGGATATGAAGCATATCATTCAAACATGTTTGTGCTAACGAAGAATTTTTATTTAAATAGATGTTGTTATAATTAAAAAATTAGCCTGAATTCCTTTAACCATAATGATTATGTTATGTTAAACATAACTATAAAATTTTAAATGTTTTCAACACATTTTCATATCAAGCAATGTTAAAAGTTTGCTTACAAGTTACCGATCTTTAAAATTGAAGCAATAGAATCATTCATAATATGCATAAATCAATTTTGAATTCTCACGATGTATTAAGAAGGGGAAAAAGAATATCTGTACATACTCCATTGCACAACATGGAACAGTAGAGACTTAAGTATTCTTAATTCAGTAAGAAATTAAAAAAAGGGAAGAATATTTTGCATTAAAATTTTTTTTTCACATAAATGCGACATACATATTATAGATTACACATTGATGTAATAGCATCTGATAAGTATTGATGCCTATACATAATATTGTCCAACCTTTCCACTTCGAGGAAACCCATATAAAATTAATAAACACAGATTAATAAACATACTTACACTTGTTTACAATTTTATGAATATTTAAACATGCACACTATGCATTTTTAGATGCTATAAAAAGGGTGGGGGATGTTTTTACATAATTAAATCTTTACATGGGTAAAAAAACATGAAGAACAAAAAGAACTTAAATAAATGAAAAAAAAAACACAAAAAATTAAATATAACAAGATTATTTAACTAATTAGAAAATTTTTTGTGTTTTCCAGCATAATGATATTTGTTTTTCTGCAATAATCCTTTACCACTGCATATATAAATGTTAAAACATTTGCCTTAAGATAAAAACAAGACACATACACATAATATCTTAAATTTATGGACAATAAATTAAAGACGTAATTGCAAATGAAATAACACTACATACAAACACATAAAGGTAAAAGTAATTTGTGAAAACATTCTTCACACTCAAAACGGTATTTTATTGCGTAAAACGTGTATGCTATCCTTAAGGTTGTTTTACGTTAGGTCAACTTTGCTGTGAGGAATAAATAAATTTAAGAAATAAAAAATAACAAAGGCAAAAAATGATAGAAGAACGGATGAATTTTTAACTTTTTTATCTATCATGGAACTAAAAAAAAAACAAAGTTCAAGTAATTTTATATATCAGTTGTGCGTTAAACAATGTTGAATATGGAACCAAAAAACAATGCAAATTCTGCACATGGTAAAAGAACAAAAAAACAGTGTTTACTTTTTTTTGGGGGGAAAAGAATAAAAAAAGCTTCGAATATTAGAAAGTGGTTGAGATATTTCGATTTTTATATGGGCAGGTAAACTTTATTAATAGAAAATTTGTTTCCAATTTTTTACTTCTAAGCTTGGACTAATACTTTAATAACCCATAAAAAAGGAATGTAAATACTATTAATTAGTATGTAAAATTTAAAGGGTCTATCCCCCATTACAACATTGCTTCATTTTGGGGATGCATCTATTAATTAATATATAATATAAAAAATGTTTACTATTTTCACATTTATTTTTTCGCCTTGCATTTTATTTTTTGCGCGCTTTAACAAAATTTTATGCATAAATTTTTTTATTTCAGCTCGATTAATGTGTTTTTAAGTTTGCATAATTAACATTTTTTGTTTTCTATTTTTAACCATTTGAACTTAAGATATTTTTAAAATAAATAAATTGTATTTTTGCTTTTGCTTAACCCTTTTTCCGCATCTATGTAAAGTTGTTTTCTGACATGTTTTTTTTTAGATGCCTAATAATGTTTTATCTTTTACAGTAAGCACATATACGGCGCAAAATGAAGATTTTAACAAGAATGTTTTTTTAATTCTATTTTATTTCAACGGACACTCTAAGTTCTTCACGTACTAACCTTGTGTGAAATACATTTTAGTGGCAACTAAAATTCTCTAGACTGGTTTTTCACACATAACGTTTGTCCACAGTACCTCACTTTGGAAATACGTTGTTAGGCATTCAATTTTCAGATCATGGTTTTATAAAACTCAAGAGACGTGTATATTTTTTAATAGAAAAAGTGTATAATGGGTAGATGAATGCTGTTGCTTCTCTCAATGCATTTTATCAACATCTGAGTGTTTTTCCTAGAAACCAGCTTACATATATGTGCAACATGTATTTATGTAAAATAAGCCAAATTAATGTAAACATTTATTGTATTGAAATATGACTACGCCTAAAAAATGTGAAAGAAATGGAAATAAGGACAACGATGAAAAAGAAACAGAATGTGTATCAATTTTTAGTTTCATAACCTTCCAATGGGTAACGAAGTTGCTAAATGATCTTAAAAAGGATGAAATTAAGTTCCCTGTATTACGGAAAAACAATAATGTGACGTATTATGCATATGAATTGGAACAGAACTTAAGAAAAATTAATGTAAGAAAGTGCAATTCTAAACATTTTTATGAAAACAGCAATTTTGTAATAGAACATGATAATAACTCAAAAGATATAAGAGTAAAAAAGGAATATAACGTATATTACAATAATATTGTATGGTCAATTTTTAAAACGTTTAAAGTTAGTATAATTTCTATAATTATTTTTAATATTTTACACACCTTATTTATAATTGTTGTTGGAGGATCTATAGACAAATATATGGTTATTTTAAAAGGTGAAACTATTCCATCTTATCCTGCCATTTTGAATAACTCAAAAGTAATATTTGGACTATACATCGTTATTTTATTATTTTTTGAATTTCTCTTTGATTCTATTTTGAGTTTTTATTATTATGAATTTCTAGTGAATATGGAAATATCATTAATACATTTCCTTTACAAAATTAATCTGTATAGTCGTAACAGTGATTTAACGAATCACTCCTTATATAGAAATAAACAAGAGTTTTCGAATATGCTATCAGATGGAATAGGAAAGAAATTTCGTTATAATAATATTAATGAAAATCCTTCTTGTATGCCTAAAATTTGTACAAAAAATTATGGTGATTCATTTAAAAAAAAACTTTATTTAATCAATTTTTTTAAAAACAGTAAAACGAAAGAAGAAGGGGAAGATATGGAAAAAGAGGACATATCTAATGTAAACATTTATAACATTATGTTTTCTGATACTCCTTCTTTAGCACTTTTTGTTGGTGCTATCATTAGCTTATCTAATATATTTGTCAAATTTTATATATCTTTTTATGTATTTTATTTAAGGATGGGTTCTGATGCTGTAAAAACTGGAGTAACATTGTCGATTGTGTTGTATAGTACAATGATTTTATTTTCATTTTTGCCAAGTCTGTTTAAAAGTAAATATTTAAAATATAGAGACCAAAGAATTGACAATACACATCATGTATTGAAAGAATTTAAATTAATGAAAATGTTTAATTGGGAATCGTTTGCTTTTAATTATATAAATTTTGTTCGGAAAAAAGAAATGATATTCTGTAAAATACGACTTTACTTGGGCACTGTTGGCATTTTTATAAATGCTGTGTCAGCTGATATAGTTGAAGTGGTATTATTTTTTTTGTTTATAAGGGAGAAATTAGATAATCGAAGAGAAGTTAGTTTTAGCTCAATTATCATGCCTTTATTTGTGTACAAGTCCTTAATTTTAAGTGTGTCTAATTTTCCTAATTTAATAAATCATATAATAGAAGGCATAATAAATATTAAGCGCATAAATAAATATGTTAATCATCATTTATATTATAATGATATTAACAACTATTCTAGGTATGTTTCAAAAATTAACTGCTATTTTAATATATCATATGCTCCTACATATTTAGAAAATGAAATAGAAGATTATTCGGGATGTAAAAAATATTTTATCGAATTAAAAAACAAGCTGAGAAAGTGTATTATGTTTTCCTGTTTTAATAAAAAAATAAAACACATAAGTATAATAAATAAGAAAATATTATATGATGTAAATTACAGTACAAGTGAAAGTATGGAAAAAACTTGTTTCCAGGAAACAATTTGTTGCACCCATGATTGTGTTAGTAGTAGTACAGGTGCGAAGAAAGAAAAAAAATATAACAATAGTGAAAATATAGAAGCGAAGAAAAAAAATAATTTAATAATAAAATTAGAAAATGCTTTTTTTGGCACTGCCAAAAAGGGTGATCGGAAGTATGATAAGTATATATTGAAGAATCTAAATTTTAGTTTAGAAAATAACACCTTAGCAATAGTTATAGGAAATGTTGGGTCAGGTAAAACTGCTTTTTTCGAATCGATTTTAGGAGATATTCAATTGATTCATGGCAGTTTATATGTTAAAAATTTGCTGTATAATATGCCAATTTTGTATGTACCTCAGAACACTTGGTTATCTATAGAAAATATTAGATCAATAATTTTGTTTGGAAAAGAATACAATTCACGAATTTATCGTTATGCCATCGAGCAAACTGAGTTATTAAATGATATAAACTCTTTTAAAAATGGTGATATGCGGTACATTAATAATGACCATAACTTAAGTAAAGGACAGAGGGTTAGGATTTCCTTGGCACGAGCTTTATATCATCACTACATGCATGTGCATAAAGTAAGCACTAGTGGTGAGAAGGAATTGCATATAAATCATAATTTTACAAAAAAGAACAGTCTAACTGATTTTTCAAATGATAAGAAAGATAAAACAAATGTAGTTTACGAGGGTGACGTCGTACCCAATGAAGACAATGTTCAAAAATTCCTACAAGAGAAAAACATTTTTTCTTTGTATTTACTTGATGATGTTTTCACATCTCTGGACCCAGCAATATCTAAAAATATTTTTTATAATTTATTTTGCAAAGAGGAAAATAAAATTTTCAAAGATCATTGCAGTTTTGTTGTATCTATGAATGAAAGCACACTTCATAATTTTTTAATTAATGGTCTTTTTGAAAATATTCATTATAAAACAGATATTTATGAGTTAGAAAATTACACTTTAAAACATTCAGGAAATGCATCATGTTATGTAAAAAAAAAAAATGTAAACATACAGAAAAATAGTATTGTCAATAGAGTAAAATTAAATATAGACAACACAAAATTTAATGGGGGGGATGAAATAGAAGCATGCAGTAAAATACATGAAAAAGGAGAACATGAAAAATGTAATAAACTAATGAAAGAGTCAAACGATAATGATTCCTTTAAAATGAATAATATTACTGTGATAGAACCTAATAAAGGAGATATCACAGAGAGTAAATCGTTTTTGGAAAATGGATACATTATTAATGCTAGCAAAAACATAAATGAAATTGCTAGACAAGTGCCACAAGAACAAAATTGTGTAACAGGATTGGATAATAATATGAATACAAATTTATCACAAACTTTACAGAATAGTACGTGGTGCACAAACACGGCTGGTTTTTCGAATGATGAAGGTGAATCATTTTTCAAAGGAAAAATAGAACTAAAAACATATATATGGCTTTTGAATAAAGTTGGGAATGTTATAATATTGTATATAATGATTTTCATGTTTATATCTATATTTACAGATGAAATAAAATTTTTCATTTTAAGTATGATTAGTATGATTTCACGAAATGATAAAAAGTATTCAAATGAAATTCTTCAGCAGCAAGTTAAGTATTTAAAATTATTTGTGATACTGCCAATAATATCATTAGTAGCATCCTTTTTTTGTTTCATGTTTATTATATACGGCACAGTAATTTCAGCAGTAAAAGTTCACAAGGAAGTGTTAATAAGTATTTTGAACTTGCCAATGCATATATACTACAATAATAATTTAGGTAATATTATAAATAGATTTATTACGGATATGTATTCTTTAGACAATGGATTTTTAAAAAGATTTTACAAGTTCATTTTCCTTTTTTTTCGACTTGTACTATCAGCCATTTTACTATTTTGTATGATGAAAGATTCTATTATTATTTTTTCTTTTGTTGTTGTCTTAATATATTTTTTTGTTTTTAAAAATTATTCAAGAGGGTGTAAAGAAGCTCAAAGAGGCTATTTAAGGTGCCATTCTCCGTTATGTAATATATATAGCAATTCTATATTAGGAAAACGCGTAATTAATATATATGAACAAAATTTATACCATTTAAAAATACACGAAGGTTATATAGAGACTTTCAGAAATTATTCTCTTTTGAAGTGGTCGATAACTATATGGGCATCTTTTTATATTAGGCTTATTGTTTTGATATTAACTACTTATTTTGTTATGCACCCTCATATCTTTTTTAATAAAATAGGAAATTTGTATGAAGGCAAAAATTACGAAAGAATTATAAGCACAATTGGATATTGCATTACTTTTTCTTCAAGGCTTGGTGTACTCACAAAAATTCTTTTATGTGATTATACCTTTGTGGAAAAGGAGATGTGTTGTGTTCAAAGACTAGAGGAATTTTCAAAATTAAAGCATGAAAAAGGTTCTTTAGATGAAGATGAAGAAGATGAAGTAGATGAAGTAGATGAAGTAGATGAAGTAGATGAAGATGGAATATCAAAATGTCATGACAAACAGGAAAAGAAGAAAATATATGACAAATCAGCAGAAATTACGCCCCATTTACATCCCACCATTGTAGACAAATATACTATAGATAAATCGAAAGAGAAATATGGCATTTGTCTTGAAAATGTATATGTTAGTTACAAGAAAAAAGTTCTTTTAGATAAAAATAGTAATACATATTGCTATGAAGATGAAGAACCATCATTAAAAAATATTAATATATATGCTTTGAAAAATCAAAAAATAGGAATAGTAGGCAAATCTGGTTCAGGTAAAAGCACAATAATTTTATCCATTTTGGGTTTAATTCCTACTAGTAGCGGGAAAATAACAATAGAAGGAAGGCCTATTAACACTATTCAAAGAAGGGAGAAAAAGACTATGATCACTGTTTTGCCACAGTCTTCATTCTTTTTTCATAACTGGAGAGTAAGAGAATTTATTGATCCTTATAAAAATTTTACAGATGAAGAAGTTGTCGATGCTTTCGATTTAATTGGTATAAGATTGAATATAAATGATTTGAACAAGTATATGTATCAACAAGAGAAAAATACACATAATGAGAAAGAGAAAAAAAATAAAAGAAAGTTTAATGTTTTAGATAACACAATTTCACTGACGGATGATTGCATAAGGTACCTCTCGCTAGTTCGTCTTTTCTTGAATAGGCACAAATACAAATACATATTAATTGATGAAATTCCTATTTTTAATTTTAATACTGTGCATTCCAATTTGAATAATTTCTTAATTGGCAACGCAAAACCATTTAATTATATTATAAAAAACTACTTTCCAGATAACACGGTTCTAATAATTTCTCATGACACACACGCATTATCCTGCTGTGATTTTATTTACGTACTAAGAAATGGAGAAGTAACCCATAGTTGCAGTTCCAAAGATATAAAAACTCAATCTGAGTTAGCACAACTGTTAGAAATGGGTTCCTGATTAGACTATCTTTCAAAATCCTTGATGTGTTAGAAAGTTCTTTTTGGGATCTTAATCAGGCAAAGTCATAGTGGTATTTACATATGCACATGTACATGTGCATACTGTGTTATTTTGATACTTTTCCTATTTCTGTGTTGGGGAGGTGGAAGCAGGAATAGTAAATTCGCACATTTATTACCCCAATCGCTATAAGTTTTAAAAGTTTCTATTGTATCTTTTTTTTTTTTTTTTTTTTTTTTTTTTTTGTAAAGAAAAAACTTCCAAATCATTGGTTATGTTCCTTATTTTGGAAGAGAGAATAATATTTGAGCTCAAAATTGCACAAACTTTTATGAAACAGTCGGCATATATTATGCAATAACATACAAATTAAGATAAATGAGTGTGTATATTATTAAAGAAATGTAGTATAATGAAAAAGAAAAAAGAAGAACTGCGATATATATATATATATATATATATATATGCGTATGCAATATATATGTGCTACAAATTGTTGCAATGATTTAAATTTATTTTTCAAGGTCAATTTCTTTAATTGTTCCTGCTGAGCAAGGGTGAAAGTTTGCATTCTTTGTAACAACCCCCTCTCTTCTACTAACTTGTCACTAGAAAAATAGTTCAATGAAGTGTTTCTAGCAGTGTCCTTAAGGACATGTGTTGCATATATATTGAAAATGCGTTGTGTATATATTGCAAATGCGTTGTGTATATATTGCAAATATGTTGCGTATATATTGCACATATATTGGATATACAAGGGCTATACATATGTTATGCAAAAATTTGAGTTGATGGAGGTGTGTGTCACAATGTATATATCAGACTTATAACCCGTATTGTAATATAAGACACATTGACAAATTTTATTTTAACAAAGTAAAAATGAGTTGTATGTTTAAACATGAATAAAAACTACGTAGAATTATATAATGACACAAATTTGTTAATACAAATGAAAGTTGTAGAAATTAAAAAATTGTATAATTTAAACAAAACTTCGCGCGTGTGTGTATATATATACAGCTATAATTATCCATAATTTTCTTTTATTTTTATGTAGCATTACAAAAAAAAAAAAAAAAAAATTATAACAAAATGGATACACAAAAAAAAAAAAAAAAAAAAAAAAAAAAAAAAAAAAAAAAAGTTATTTCGAATTGCACGATAAGAAATTGAGCTCAACTTTGTTGATTGTCTTAAAAAAATAACAAATAGAATAAACAAGTTGTTTAACTCACATATATATATATATATATATTTTTTTTTTTTTTTTTTTTTCATATAACTTCAAAATGGTATTGAATACAATACATGTATGGATATTAATATATATATTTTTTTTCTCGTATAACTTCAAAATGGTATTGAATCCAATACAGGCATAGATGTCAATTTTTTTTTTTTTTTTTTTTTTAAACGTTTTCCTAATGGTTAATATATGTACCTATATTTATACGTTATATATACATATATATATATATATATGTTTATGTTTTGCTAAGGGATATAGATTTTGCAACTTTTCAGGTTTCATTTTTTTTTCTTCTTCTTCTTGGAGTGTTCTTTATCTATTTCTAGTTCTGGTGTCATTAGTTTACCATTCGGGGTCATATTGTTATATGGCATAGATGCAACATTAGGATTAAAATTGTTGCAAGGCATAGCTGCTACATTAGGATTAAAATTGTTGCATGGTATAGCTGCACTGTTAGGATTAAAATTGCTATTCTGCATAGCTGTATTATTAGGATTAAAATTTTGGTAAGGGACAGCTGGAATATTAGTATTCAAATTACTGTACGATACTGGGGCATTATTAGTATTCATATTATTGTACGGCATTGTAACATTATTCGTATTGAAGTTATTATGTGTCATAGCTGCATTATTAGTGTTCAAATTATTTCCAGACATAGGTTTATTATTAGCATTAAAATTGTTGTATGGTGGTGTACCCATAATATTAGCATTGAAATTATTGTGTGGCATAGCAACGTTACTATATGGCATAGGTGCATTAACCACATTGAGATTATTCGGTGCTCTAAGTCTATTAATAGCATTAAAATTGTTATATAACATAGCGGGGTTATTAGGATTAAAAGGATTATATAGCATAGCAGGGTTATTAGGATTATATAGCATAGCAGGGTTATTAAGATTAAATGGATTATAAGACATTGCAGCGGTGTTAGGATTGAAAACATTATATGGCATTGCAACACCGTTAGGATTAAACATAATATTTGGCATTGCAGCGGTATTAGGATTAAACATAATATTCGGCATGGTTGCAGCATTAGGATTAAAAACATTATATGGCATTGTAGCACTGTTAGCATTGAAAGTGTTAGGCATTGTAGCACTGTTAGCATTGAAACTGTGTGGCATTGTAGCACTGTTAGCATTGAAACTGTGTGGCATTGTTGCACTGTTAACATTTAAACTGTTTGGCATTGTGCTATTGTTTTCATTGCAATTACTTGACATTTGAGTGTTGCTAGCATTAAAATTATTTGTCATTGCAGTGTCATTAGCATAAACATCCTCGTGAGACATAGCTCTGATGTTTTGATCAAAATCTGGAGCTTCACTTGTGGTACTGCATTTTTTTAATTGCTTATATAGCTCAAGAAAGGATTCATATCTATTTTCTCTCGTTAATTTGTTCCATAAAAAAATTCTCTTTTCTATAAAATGAGCAAAATCTTCAGCAGAATGTTGTTTCTTAAGCATCAAAAAATTATTAAAATCAGTACGGTCACGTATATCAAATCGATTTAACACTCTCGCAAGTTCAATATTTATAGGAGACCAACATTTTGACCTCTCTTTATTTTGTATATTAAATTGTGCTGCTAACATGAAAGATATGTTAGATATCGCTTCTTTCATGCCAAGAAAAATTTTCCTCTGTTCATTACATAATTCAAAAAATATTTGAGTCATAAATCTTTTAGTTACCATATCAGTTTCACATATACGTCTCTTTAAGTCTTTTGTGTAATATAAATAATTACTTGTACTGTAAAAAAAAAATTCTATTTTCTCTTCAGGTGTCAGATTTGAACAAGACGCAAAATCTATTACAGTTCTTGGAGAATTAATATTTATATTATTTTCGCATTCTGCTTGTTGAAAATCATTTTTTGATGCAATATCATCTTCTTTCTTACGATTGTTTTTTGATTTATTTTCACGCTCCTTCTGCTTATAATTCTTTGACTTAGATTCTCCAGTTTCTTTCTTCCTGCGCATAAATTTTGATCTAACACTAAGTCCATATTTGCGTTCGCTTTTTGGTGTGGCTTCGCTTGGTGGTGGGTTTTCGCTTTGTGCTACATTTTCAATTTGTGGTGGGATTTCACCTTGTGGTGGATTTTCACTTTGTAATGGGGTCTCACTTATTTCATTTAACAATCTCGAGTAATAGGCTTTGTCTGTTCTTGGAAGTGTGTTGTTCTGGAAAATTAAAAAAAAAAAAAAAAGGAACATATTACATGTATAAGGAGAAGGGGACAATTTGATAAGTGCAGTGTTACAGAGAGAACAGCATGCACAACTTGCGATAGACAATATAGGGCATATGCATGGCTGAGTTCCTGGGCACAGGTGCATAAACTTCAATGAACATAATATAAAATACCATGGGAGAAAAAATAAAGGGAAAAAAAAAGAAAAGAAAGTGGACACTATTCTTGCATGGTTTGTGAACTTCTTTTAACGCACACACAAACGCACAAACACACAAACACACAAACACACTTTTATTTTGATCTTACCAGTAATAGTACATATAAAAGAACGAACAAAGGTATGATGAGGACTTTATATTTATGCAGGAACCATTTCATGGAATTTTTGCTTTTGTTCAAGGATTCTTCTTTTTGATTATTGTCAGGTGTGATACTTCTTAGGACTATTTTTTCGGTTCTACTTTTTTGGAATCTTTTAAAATTTCTCTTACACCCAATTAAGGATTTCTGTTTTAAAGGCACAAGTGATTTATTGGCAAATATCATACTTTAAAAAGTTATATCTTAAAAACACACATATAAAAAAAAAAAAAAAAAAAAAAAAATGTTCAAACAATTGCTTCGTTTTATTATTATTATTTTTCCTATACGATGCTGAAAATAACCCAGTATGCGTGTTCAGCACTCATCCAAATTGCGTCGTGATAATTTCAGGATTCCCCTATGCATATCTATATATGCACAGCAATATATCTATAAAGAAAAAAAAAAAAAAAAAAAAAAATGCTATTAACCAAGAGCAAAAAATAAAGGGCGGGGGGTGGTGGTGGCATAATTGCATATGATACATATGTATATATATAAATGCAATATAAGTTTTGCATGTCAGAAAGCATGCAGTGCAAATCTGAATAACACAACTATATATATACTACTTCAGTAATTACATGTATTACATACCGTTGTTTGCTCATATGTACTAAAATATGGCAACCTAAACATTGCGTTTTTTTCCATAAGCGTGTTGCTTTATTTTGTGTTATTTTGTTTTGAATTTATATTTTTCTAGTCTTAATATGTTACATCAAATGGGATTGAAAAATCACAAAAAAAAAAAAAAAAAAAAAAAAAAAAAAAAAAGTTTCTCATTAGATAAAAAAAGTTGTTATTAATTCATTTTAACGAATTTTACTAGAGACATTTTTTTTTTTTTTTTTTTTTTTTTTTTTTTATAAGGTAGAAGTAGTAAAATGATCTCAAACAAAAATGCCTATTTTAAAAAATTGAAAATTTGTAAAAAAAAGTTAAATTCTCCACATAGCCAAATGGTCACAGCGAGATGGGTATACTAATCTCCAAATGTAATAAACTAACAAAATAGGAACATTATTTTTTTTTTTTTTTACAATTTCTATATAAAAATAAGGAGGGAAAAAAAAAGAAAAATGATATTCTTATATATAATGAAACATTTCTTTTAACATAATAATGCGAATAATAAGAATAATAAATTATAATAATAGCAAGGTAAAATATAATATTGGTAATAACTAATAATGATAAGAATTACAGGCAATAATAATAATCACGACAGTAGTAATTGTAAGAACAAAATTGCAACGACAGAATATATTAAAAAAAAATAAAATAAAAATAACATGCGTCAATAATGTTAGTATCCTTCAACCTTTTAGAAATTATATAGTTATCACAATATTTTCAGTTAGAATTTACATTTATAGGTTTTTTTTTTTTTTTTTTTTTTTTTTTTTTTTTTTTTTTTTCTAACAGTTTAATAAATATTTTTTGTTATACTATTATTTTTTGGTGCTTTACCAGGTATATATATAATAACCCAAATATATATTTTTAACGTTTGCATAAATATATACACGACTTGGCAAATATGATAAGCAGCATATATTTACTTGCCTTTTTTAATATCATATAATAACGTTCATTATTAGTATATAACTTAAATAATATGAGAAAGTATAAGTTGTATAAGTTATACTATCGGGAGGGGGGGCATAATCTCGCGAATAAGCAGAGAATTGTTTTTGGTCAAAATTTCGTTTTTGCATAAAAAAGAGCAGGGAAATATTATTGCGGAAACTTTTTTTTCCCAAATATGATGGTGAATACATAGAGGCGTACATATATACGTACCCTACATGTTTACATATATATATATATGTACACGTATATTTCAGTGTTATAAATAATGATGTGCATTTGGCAAATTTTTTTGTATGTGGATATGAGCCTGCATTATACATTTCCATTTGGCCCATGTTTTAACTCTATTTTCCATAAATAATTCTACGGAAAAATCAACTGAATATTAAAGAGGAGAAGAGGAGGTTACATGTGGGTATTACTTAAACCGTTTTCTAGATTTATAGTTTTTCTTCTTTAAAAAATTGTGCATAGTTTATAACAGAAAAAAAAAAAAAAAAAAAAAAAAAAAGTAATATTTCTACCTAAAAGATATAACATATATTTGGCAGTTTTTACTACGAACAAATATTTATCGCTTTTCAAGAGAAAAAAAAAAAAAAAGGGATTTCAAGTAAAAAGTAGGCTGTGTAAACATACAGTTTTTTTTTTTTTTTCTATTGATGTATATATATATATATTTACCCCCATTAAAAATGTTACCTATTTTTCATATAATATAATGTATTGCTGTGTTTTACAATTTTAGCTAAAAGGAATTTTTTTTTATTTGAATAATTTTTTCTTATTAAAACTTTTCATCAGGAGTTGTGGCCATGTTTGACATGTACGAATATATATACATTCACAAAATTGCTCGTTATAAATTTTTATGTTTATGATTGTAATGTATATATATACTGATATATCTGCCTTTATTTTGTTATGTTTATTTGTGTACCTATATGTGCACAATGCAATGGTATATAATTCTGAAGTGTGCTTTACTAAGTGTCCATAACAATGTTTCACAATGCTATTATATTATTTAAATCTCGTTGAAATGGCAAAAAAAGAAATATCCCAAAAAAATGAACCTCAAAGAGACATACCCTGGAAAAATAAATATTTTTTTCCTTTCGTGTGATAATTTGCCATTTTTGAAAACATTTAAAAAATAATGATAAATGTTTCATTTATCAGGACCTTCTTTGTTGTTTTCGACTGATTTGCAAAAATATTATACAAAACTTGTTATTTCAAAATAATAAAATGCACCAAAATCGAAAAATTACAACAACCTTGTAAGCGGACATAGCATAAAATATATATCTTTAGTATGCAATATTCTGTAAAATATATTTTTGTAGAATTTTTATCACCATATCTTTTACAAAAAAAAAGATGGAAAATGTTGTAAAGTGAACTTATAAAAAAGGGGAAAACGAAACATAGACTCACAATGCGCCTGTGTATTATAACAGAGCGTGAATATAAACTGTGCTTTTTTTTTTTTTTTTTGTTTTTTTTTACAAAGAAATGGTCCGTCAGTACGTACGCGAAAGAGGATGTAATTATGTAATACAAAAAAATGCATATATATATATATATATATATATATACATACATGTGTATATATACATATGAACACCCGCATGTGCAAGGTCATATTGTGGGATGCAAAGTAGCACCAATCGTGTGTAACCTGGACTGCACATATGTATATATATACACTGTACTTGTATATGCATGCATATTATTCTCGTAGTGGAGATCCAAGCTAACAATAAATCGCGATATTATGAAGAACAAAAATTGCTTGAATGCTACCTTATTTTCTTGAAAAAAATCAAGAGTTTATATTATAAAACCCTTTTTAAAGCTTATACATTGGAAACAATTTTTTTTTTTTTTTTTTAATAAGCCTATATGTTATTTGTTTTATTGTGCCATATTATAAGCCCAGTGGTATTTGGTGATATCCAATATGAGCACTTGGTCTGATTGTTTTTCTCTTTATTGATGCTTGTGATGTAAACTGATTTGAGAATATATATAATTAATGAATTTATTTTTAAGGCCTTATTTTAGATAGGTACTTTTGACCCCATTCGATGGAAGAAAAATGAGTATAACAAAAATAAATACACACTACTACTGCTCGGTATGTATGTGCATGCGTACGTAGGTAGTTATATAGATTTATGCAATGGGGTGAATAACATTTTGGGTAGAACTAATGTTCATAATTGTTATTTAAAAAAATTATTAGGTTCATATTTAATTATGTAAAAAGGATGCTATTTAAATGGCAGAATTGTGTGCATTCTTTGTTTAATTGTATTAAGTCAAAAATGTATTCATGAAAAGGAATTGATAGAAGGAAATCAAAAATGAACGTCATAAATGTAAGTCACAAAGGGACGTCATAAAGGGACGTCATAAATGGAAATCATGAACGGGAAAGCCCAAATAAACGGAAAATTAGGTGAAAATCAAGCAGAAAAAAAAATAAAATAAAGTGAAAGAATTATTTAAAAACATGCTACGTAAAGAATTTTAAAAATCTAAAAAAAAAAAAAAAGGGCAATTATTCAAAATAACCTTTTGCACTTGAATCTCTTCATACAAATCAAATATGTCGCAGTGTTACATATTTGTTCCATGCACAAACGCGTTACACAGATGAGTTGGAGATATATATATATATACTGCACTAAAAATTTTGCTTATACGTGCATCTTTCTTCGCACACATGATATTGATAAACTGCTTCCCATTCCTTCTATTATATTCTATGGAATTTTCCTCAGTCTTCATCTTCATATACATATTTTTTACATTTACTAATAATTGGGGTAACTTCTGGGTTACACTTAATTTTTTCTCACCTGACTTTTTTTTTTTGTTGTTTTAAAGGGTTATTTAAACCATTTCATAGATAATAAAGAATAACCAATGCTCGCAAGCAAAACATTTCCTAAGTAATGGTTTCTCAATATTCCAACCATTTTTCGAAGATTCTGAAATAAAGCAATTGTAAATATCAATGTCAAAACTAATAATAAGGTAGCGCCATCAGGGGCTTGTACACCTTTTACTACACTATCCGCAATGGTTTTGTATTCCTTTATATCATTTTTGATATCGGGTAAAATTTTTGTTGCAGTATTATGTATCTTCTCTGACCATTCTCCGATGGTATTTATATGTTGTTCCATTGTGCTTTTTTTTTTTATTGATCAGTGGATGTTTTTGAATATGTTTAAGTGCATGTGGGTTTTGCGTATGTATTATTAGTAAAAAGTTGTATAAATATATTTTATATTTATACAACTTTTTATGTAATATCTTTATTTACTACTTTTAAATGGTATTCTTGGTACGCTTATTATATTTATTTATTACGGGGTTCTGAGATTGTTCATTTTTTTTTTTTTTTTTTTTTTTTTTACATTTGACGTTCTACTATATATTACTCTGAATTTATATATATTCTACATATACATATAATCTAAACAGTTGCGCGAAAAATTAAAGAGACTACCGTATATATTATTCTAGGCATAAAAAATTGCTATATTAAAAATTAATAAAAAAAGGAAGAAAAAAAAAAAAAAAAAAAGAGGTAAAAAAATGAAGAAGAAAAAAAAAAAAAAAAAAATAAAGTAAAAAAAATAAATAATAATTATTTTTTTTTTTTTTTTTTTTTTTTTTTTTTTTTTTTTTTTTTCGCATATTCCTTTTATTTATTTAAAGCTACGAAATGAAAAATCCATTTCTAAATACATTTTTTTGAGCATCACTTTAAAAAATTATTTGTCCTATATGCGCATGGAATAAGGGGGAAAGAAAGGGCCATTTTTTGATTGAAATTCTGGTTCATAGGTTTCAATAAGTTTGGCTTGTGTTATATATATATGTATATATATATATATGCATACATATACATATTGAGAGAGAATACATTTATTTATGCAGCGAATTGGATTGGGAATACCCAGAATATATGACGTTGCTAACAAAATTGAAAACTTTTTTTTACCTTTTTTTACGAATATTTTTGAAAAAAGTTAATAATATAAAAATTAACTAACAGTTTTAAAAAAATGTATATATTTAATGATACACTGAATTAGAAAACTTTAAATTCCCATTCTTAAAAAAAACATTTTGGTATTTTTAGATTAATTCTACTAATTAATTAAAGCGCTTAAAAAAGAAAGAAAAAAAAAAAAAAAAGGAGAGATATTCATAATTTAATCAAAAAATTGCATGCACAGGGCGCGATTATATATTTATTGGTTCCATTTTTATATGCTAACATTAGGGTTTTTTATTATTGCTAGTTATGTAAAATACATATATATATATATATAATGGAAATTTCTCTACCTTTTTGTACTTTTCCTTTCATGTTGATTACTTAGGGAACCGTTTTAATTGCTCCATTTTACCTTAGTCCCCCTTTTATTCTTAATTTTGATTTTCCGTTTTTTATTTTATTTTTTGTTCCATTTCATTCCTTCTCGAATTGAATTTTTCAGCCACCTCGTTATGGTTATCTTTTGTTTTTCGACAGATTCTACCCATCCTGATTTTTTACTTTATAATTTAGATTACTTATAGGACTCGTGAATTTTGTGCAATCATTTCTGAGAAAATGGGTAAAGAGAGTTCAACGAAGGAAAGAACAAAAAAAAAAAAAAAAAAAAAAAAAAAATGATAAATATATTACTATATATCATGTTTTCTACCACGTTGTGAAAAAAAAAGAAAAACAACCGTCCTGGAAATATGAAAAAAATGCAAACCCATGTCACAGCACGTGGGTAATATAGTTAATGTTATACATAAAGTAAACATATACTATTATAGAGACAACTATTTTTCATTCTTCATCATTTATGAAAAAAAAAAAAAAGTGTAGGTTAGGTTATCATCAACCGGTACTCCTCTCCGCCCATTTCACTTCACAGCATGACACTTCCCCTTTTTTTTTTTTTTTTTTTTTTTTTTTTTAATGAAATGAAACCACAACTTTTTTATAAACTCGAAATTAAAAATAAAAGAAGAATTATTATTTATGATTAAATAAAATTCTATAGGAATAATACTTTAATAGTTTTGTTAATCACAAAATTAAATGTTGTATCAAATCAATGTTTTTTTTAAGCAAGTGGAAATTTAGGCGATTTCATAATAAATGAGTATCACAAGGATTGTTTTAAAATTATAAAGAAAAATCATTGCACAGGTGTATAAGAAATAAAATGAAATAAAATAAGAGCACAACAAAGAAAAATAATACAAAAATAGAATGAATATGTTTTTTTATTTTCATTTTTTCACCATTAAGCGGAGGGCATTTTCACACCCCTGCAATATTCATATTTTTTCATTCCCTAAAAATAGTGATAAATCTTTAAACAAGATCCATATACACTATGAAAATATGTAAACACATGCACATATATGTTTTATGCATCAAATGTTATGTACACTCTATTTCTAGCGAATCATTTGGGGATAATCCAGTTTTCTCTCTTCCATTTGGCACATATATATATATATATATATATACACCACACACACCCATTTTCTTCTCAATAAGATCTAGAACTTTTGCCATGAAAAAATAAAAATGTAAGCCTTTTTATCAGCTGACGTTTTTATTCTTTATCCGCAAAATCGATGTACACAAAAAGAATTAAAAAATTTAAAAGAAAAAAAAATACACGTACTGGTGATATTCTTTCCCTCACATATAGATATGTCCACAAATTTAAATGTCTTTAAATCTGTTTCTGTATGAGTACAAAAATTTATTTCTTTTAATTGGCCAAATATATTTTTTGCAGATCAAATGGAGAATTATTACTAGGTTATATTGGTGTGTGTGTGAGGGTATAGTCACCTTAGTATAATTATTTAGGCAAAGAGGAGAAAATAGGAAAAAAGACAGTTCTGAATAGTAAAATCGTATGATCATTATATGTAAATATATTTACAATATGTACATATATACACATGAAAAAAAAAAAAAGGAAAAAGGAATGCATTTTTCTGTTCTCTTTGCATTTACCAATTTAAGTGCTGTATCTTTTTTTTTTTTTTTTATTCCTTCACACTTCTGTAAATATCACCTGAGGTGGATGTATCTTTTCCCATTCATCCTTAACGATATTTAAAAACCATTTGAAATCATTAGCGGTACCCAAAAGCAAATCTTCACAAATATTCTCCCTAGTCTCTAAGGAAAGAGCGTCATCATATAACACTCTATTTAATTCTGCATGTATAGTATCTAAATATCTATACCATCTTTGATTCCACATTTCATCTCTCCAAGGTACTTCCATGTGTTTACTATCGGTATAAGTAATATATTCATTTACCATATTTTCAACTGAATCATTCCATAATTGACTTATTTTAGAATATAAATCATCCATTTCCAAACCAACAAAGTTGTTGTTCATTTGATTTGTTTCTAATTCTTCATTTTCTACAATATTAACTGGGTATGTTGTAATTATATGTACATAATTATCCATTTCTTCATCATCTTGTCCAAATAATTGTCCGCATTCTTCAAAAGGATTTTTGCTTTCTGCTTCTAAAATCCTTTGAACTTTTTTTCCTATTTGGTTATTTCTGACCCAAGGGTGGTTATTGTCACTGCACCTGAGGGGATGGGGGTGGGGAGAAAGGTTGATAGATAAGGCGATTATAGTATAGAGGCCGAAACATCTATGAATTCGTTTTGAGCCCTTTTCCATTGATCATAATCGAACAGACAGGAGCATCTGCCAAAGCTGATCCGCCGGTCTGTGAGTCAGCTAGCCAATCATTCGACCTGTCTACTTATATCTACATCTATTTATGTCTACATTTATCTATATATTATATACACATAGATGCCCCTTAGGACAACAAACAATATGAATAAATGGACTTACCTCATAACATAGGAAAAGAGGGGCTGCTCCCAGGACACAAATGTCAAGGCAATAAGATTCAGTGAAAATGTAATAATGTTCATTTTTGCGCTTCTGTGATTTTAGTGATTTTTCAGATGCTATATAGATGAAGAAGATTTTTTTTTTTTTTATGCGTTCTATTTGTAGAAGCTGATATGATAATAATCGGATTTATTAAAAATTGTTTTTATTTATTATTTTGATTTTTCTTTACAAAATGAAAATAGTAAGAAATAAGGGCAAGTATCACCGTTTAGTGTTATTCTAATTTTATAATCGGATATATAAAATAAATGTATTTTTTTTTTTTTTTTTCTCGTTTTAAATGGTTATATATAAAAAAAAAAAAAATTCTACATTCGAAAAAGTTGTACATAAATGTGAATGGATAGGTATATTTTTTTTTTTTTTTTTTTTTTTTTTTTTTTATATAGAACGTCGTAGTAGTATTATTTAAACAATTTATAATTCTTTTATTTCTTCAAATTTGACAAGTATTTCTTTTTTTTTTTTTTTTTTTTTAAGTTGTCAAGCCACAAGCGAAGAAGGCGTTTACAATAAACACAAAATAAAAATATTGACAGATAAAAAACAGTATTATGAGATTAACAAATTTGCTTAAAAAGAATATATTTAAATGTAACAAAAAAGAAAGAAAGAAAAAAAAAAAAAAAAAAAAAAAAACAGATTAAAGTTGTTTAAATTTTTATGGCTATATTAATGATTCTATAATTTTTTTTTATATTTTTTTTTATTCTACTTTGTTATAATTTATTATTAAAACTTATGAAACAACAGAAGCTGAATTATTCTAAAATGAATAATTTTATTAGTCAAGAAAAAAGAAAAAAAAAGATAAAAAAAAAAAACGTTATTCCTTCTTTAAGTTGTATATATCCCCTTTATATATATAATGTACTACATTACATGCAACATGGTTTTTTTTTTTTTTTTTTTTTTTTTTTTTTTTTAAGAATAATACATTTCTATATATTTTTATTCATTCTTTTTTATAATATGTTTACATATTTTTATTTCTTTGGATGAATATTTTTGCGTTGTTTTATTTTTTCCTTATTAACTCAGGCCCCTCTCCTGAAACAAAATAACAGTTTTATTGCTAGCTTAAAGTGCAGAACAATGTACATACATATATGTATATATATATATGTATATATATATTATGCAAATACATATATGTCGTTTCTGTATACATGTTACATATTTGAAGTGAGAACGAAAAAAATGCAAAAATTCTACCCGAGAACAGAAAAGAGTGTTGTCACTGTCCCTCAGGAAGTGCTGCAGCGCCGTTTTAATGTCAAAATAATGGAATTAAATTGTTACATACTTATGCAGTAGTAGTTGATATATGCATAGTACATGTATGTACACATTTTTATATGTATGTAAGATGTTATAATAGAACAAAAAGTGCAAAAGGCTTTCTTTTTTTAAGCATTTTTTTTTTTCTCCAAAAAAACGTACTACCTCCCAAATGGTCATAATGGAGAGTATACATAAAAAGATAAACAAACACGCATATGTTTGCTTGTATATGTTTGCATGCATTGCATTTTCACAATATCATGACTCTTTACAATAAAGTTGTATTAGTTTATCACTTAGGGCTCCTTCAACATTGTTGTCAATGTAAAATTCGAACATGTAACTGAAATGTAATATTACATATTCAACAGTTGTTAAAATGAAAAAAAAAAAAAGCAACAAAAGTAACAGAAGTAAAGAATATAAAAATGGAAAAATGAAAAGCATGAATTTTCATTGGGTAAGGGTTTAACAACGTTCTACTTAGCCTTTTCTCTTTCATAATAATTTTTCTGTTTTTTTTTTTTTTTTTAAGTGTTCTAAGCTCCATTTTTTTTTAATTTATTTTTTTTTTTATCCTTATTTAATATAATCTATGGGAGTAAATCCATCGGGATAGAGGGGAAAAATAATAAGAAAAATAATGAAAAAAATAGTAGCAAAACAACATAATGAGAGTATAATGAAAATGCTGTAACATTATAATGGCAGCATAGTAACAATGTAATAATAACATAAATTGTAATAGGAAAATAGCAAAAATGACTAACCTGCTAATGAATTTTAAGCTTGAGAAAAGCTACCTTTTTGTATTTTTTTCCTTCGTGAATGGAACCGAGATATATTAGATGTAGGTGCATAAGCATGCGTGTTACTACAAACGTGCATATATGTGAAATGGAGAAATTATTGCTACTTTTATTTTACTTTATTTTATTTTTACATCGAATAACAGAGATAATTGCTTAAATTAATACATTAAAAAAAATGCGATAAAAAGAAAAGAATAAACCTGAGGGATATCTGACAAAACGAGAAGTTAGTGACATGTATATCTCCTAACTTGTGATGGTTTGTTAGAATTTTTTTTTTTCTGTCTTTTCTAGTTGTTCTAGTTGTTCTAGTTGTTCTAGTTGTTCTAGAACATGGATAAATATACTAAATTCGCACACCACATGTTACATATAGCATAAATGGAATTCCTAAGGAATCCATTTTCAAATAAGATTTATAAAATTATTTCTTTAACATTTAACCTTCTAAAAGAGTAAGAAAGTTTTTCTTTTGTTTGAAAACATATATTTATTCTTTTTAGAATGGTAGTTATTAATGTTTTTTTTTTTTTTTTTAAAGTGGGCAAAGGGAAATGTATATATGGAATTTTTTTTTATGTACTTTTATTTCTGATGCGTCCTGTGAAGGTGTTCGTTTTTATGCATGCATATATGCATGTATGGATTTATGCATGTATGTATATATATAGATGCACAAATGTCTATGGTTGTGATGACAATTTTGGATATCTGGAAAAAGAGCTTTATACTAAAAACAGGAACTCATACACCTTTCATAACATAGCGAGATATCATTATTTCAAGCCATGAATGAATGACAAAAAGGGTAAAAAAAAAAAAATCTACATCTAGTAAACATAAGAAACTCTCGATTTTTATTTTCATCATTTGAAATATAAATTGAAGTAAAAAAAAAAAAAAAAAATAAAATAAATAATAATAATAGGAACTTCATTTGCACTAAAACATTTAAATGGCTATCATTACAGCATTAATATAATTGCTTCTTATTTAGTGATATAATAATGCCATGTATAAATATATGCTACTCACCTACGTTTTGTATCATTTTAACTGGGTAGCTATAATACCTTAGCTATTTTTTATAGGTTCAGTAGAAAAGCGGATGATTCTGCTTCGGTTTAGTTGTCACTTCATATGGCTAGGGTTTCTCGTAGAGAGAAAAAATGATAAACTCATGATAAGCAAAGTTTTCTACAGTTACGATAATTTTTTTTTTTTTTTTTTTTTTTTTTTTCTAATCAATACTGCTAGAAAAAATCTAACTTTTGCATGCAGTTCTGTTTATTGAGCATCAGAGAAATCGGTATTTTAAAAGTATTACGAAAATTGTTGCTATTTTGCAAATATTTTTCAAATATTTTTATAATTTATATAATTTTCTTAGTTTGTTCGTTTTATAGGATTTTTTTTTTTCTTTTATTTATTATGAAGAGTATTCAATTTTTTTTTTTTTTTTTTTTTTTTTTTTTGACTCAAAGGAAGCAATATAGCGATCATCAGATGGGGTGAGATAGGATGTTCACCAATAAATTAAACGTTACATATATGAACATATATATACACATGCACAGATATATGCACATACAAAGATATACAGAAAATATGTAATTACATTTTTGCATATAACGAAGTTATTGTACCCCTTTAAGAGCTGACTACAGAAAAGAAAAAAAAAAAAAAGAAAAAAAAAAAAAAGGTATTTGTTATTTTTGATGTTCCATTTATTCTAATCTTTAAAAAGAAGAAAATGGTGGAAAGGAGGAGTTGTAAAATTGTAGACTCGAAGAATTTGCATTCTGGATATTATGAACAACACAATGTTAAGAAAAATAGAAATTTCGTTACTGTAAGTTGTGGGAAAAAGAGTTCACATCAAAATTATCACAAGTTGGAAGAAGACAATGCATTTTTCAAAATAACCAAATTTTTTATTTATGTTTACATAGCATGGACACTGTCAACCTCTAATAGGGTACTGAATGAATAAGCATAAAATAGTGCATGCATGTATATGTATGGGTATATATATATATATATGTGTATACGCATATGTATATGCATGTAGATTTATGCTTATGCACTTTTGTATAATGCTTATACACATGAAGCAGTTCTGAAAATATTTTTTCCCCTTGGAATTATTTTTCATATACTTTTTTTTTTTTTTTTTTTTTAGTGTCATACTTTCAACAAACGCAACAAGGAAGATGAACTAATGAAGCTAATGTATTTTTCACCTAACAGTAGATCATTAGCAGGACCAGATTCTCTTTGTGAAGGAAGTACAGATTCTCTTTGTGAAGGAAGTACAGACTCTCTTTGTGAAGGAAGTACAGACTCTATTTGTGATGGAAGTGCAGATTCGATTTGCGATGGAAATGCAGGCTCTATTTGTGATGGAAGTGCAGACTCGCTTTGTGATGGAAGTGCAGACTCGATTTGTGAAGGAAGTGCCGATTCGCCCTGGTATGGAAGCACGGATTCGTTGTTTGATGGAAGTGCAGACTCGATTTGTGAAGGAAGTGCCGATTCGCCCTGGTATGGAAGCACGGATTCGTTGTTTGATGGAAGTGCAGACTCGATTTGTGAAGGAAGTACAGACTCGATTTGTGAAGGAAGTGCAGACTCGATTTGTGAAGGAAGTACAGACTCGATTTGTGAAGGAAGTACAGACTCTATTTGTGATGGAAGTACAAACTCTCTTTGTGATGGAAGTGCAGACTCTATTTGTGATGGAAGTGCAGACTCGATTTGTGATGGAAGTGCAGACTCGATTTGTGAAGGAAGTGCCGATTCGCCCTGGTATGGAAGCACGGATTCATTGTTTGATGGAAGTGGAAAGTGGATGAAGCAAGAAGTAAAGAGAACAAACCCCAATTTGGAACTATATTACAAAATAGCTAATTCCAATATATTTAGGAAATTATTCAATTGTGGAGTTCGAAAGATAAAAAAAAATAAAAGTTGTAGGAAGATTATACGTGTAGCTAAGAAAATCTGGAATGATGAAAGGATGAAACGAATAAAATTTATTTTGCCATTTTTGCCTATCATTAGTATGATAATAGCAGCTCTTGCTGCATTGTTATTAGGGTATAATGTGATTGCTATTTTGATAGCTATTTTTGCCCCATATGCATATCCATTTATTTTTATATCATTAAGATTGGATAAAATAAAAAATAAATCAATCAAATAATGAAGCGAAATAATAGAGCAAAATAATAGAGCAAAACAATAGAGCAAAACAATAGAGCAAAACAATAGAGCAAAACAATAGAGCAAAATAATAGAGCAAAACAATAGAGCAAAACAATAGAGCAAAATAATAGAGCAAAATAATAGAGCAAAATAATAGAGCAAAATAATAGAGCAAAATAATAAAATTGGAAAAGTAACATTTCAAATAAATGTGAAAATTGGATTCCTAAAAAATATCTGCTTATATATATATGTCACTTCCATTTGGGTAGATCAAGGCTATTTATAAAAACCTTCTCTAGAAAAAAAAGGATATTTTTTAGAACCCATTAAACTAAAACACGCCAATTCAAGAGTCATACATGTATGTGTCTATTTTAGATTAATGCACCTTAGAAATGTTCTTACACATTTGTTCATATCTTTGTAGATTTATTTGTTTCTTATTTTTCATTTATTCAATGTAAATGCTCTTAGACAAAGAATTTTCTGTCTGTGCAATGGTTCTGCTGTATTTTTTCTCTAAGATGTTTAAATGGACACGACGGGTGTGCGTAGTAATACTATCGGATTTTTCTTCTTAACCTTTTCATTTCATTCTTTTTTTTTTTTTTTTGTTTAAAACTAAATTTATTTCCACACATGTGAATATGATTACGCATATGTACATGTAAATTTTTTTTTTTTTTTTTTTTAAATTTAATTCCTAATAATTCATTTTGTACAAAATATACTTTTTTTACTTCCCTGCATTTG